TGAACAGATACACAGCTGAACGTTCAGGATTCAGTTCTATTCATAGCTTCTGGGACTGGGAGAAGAGAGTGTTTGGCTGTGTTGCTTTGACAAACAGGTTTGTAAAAATGAACTTGTTTATAAGTCATGATGTTTTACGTGTACTGTCCTTGAGTATGCTATTTATCAGGTCTGCTCGGTAAATTGGGCAAAGTGAGTGATTCATTCATTGAACATTTAGAAGAGTTCACACTGAACATGCACTGTTCCCTCGCAAACCACTGCAATGATAGGATGCTGCAAGTTTAAAGCACTACTTGTTACATGCCGTGTCCTATTGTATGCAAGTTGTTGTGTTGGCAAAGTTAGTTTTGCCTGAAAAAATGGTTCCAGAGCGTGTAGTTCAATGCGTCCGTGCATTGAATCTGACCTGCTGACAGCTCAACTGAAGTGAGAAATGAACAACTCACTTTAAGAAGTGACTCTGTTCAGTATGTTCACTTTAAAGATTTGTTTTTTTTAACTAATCGTTCGCGAACAACACAACACTACCTCCTTCAACTTTCTCTCTCTGAGCTAAGCTAGCTTTCTCCTTGCTTTTCTATGCCTTTAAGCTCAGTGTTACTCAAACAAGAAAAAAGAAGGAATAAGGACATCCTAGCCTTACTAATATTTGTACTTTTCAATACTTATTTTGGCACAGAAAGCTTCTCAATGAAAGCAGGAAGAAGCAGACATCCAGGGTTCATCAGTAAGTTTGTATTTTTACCTTTAAACAAGTTTTTTGGCCTTGCTACGTTTATGTGAAATTACTTTAGGGCAAACCTTTTTTTATTTCTGTTTACAGTTCTCATGCAAAGCTGTCTCAAACATAAAAATACTTGAAAAGTTAAAATCTTTGTTGTCCTTGAAAGTTTGCAGTTTCCGTTTGAGAGATTCACAGGAAAGAAAACACAAAATAAATCAAAGACCAGGCATTTTTAATCATTTTACCAGTCATGGGTTATTACATAACTTATACAGACATTAAGACATCCCACTGAATCGAGGTCGACCATGTTTTTAAATCATCCCCACTTTTAGGACCACAACAGTCACACACTGTAAAATGTGGGGAAAACACGAGTCAGTGAAATCCGGCCGTGCTGTCCGCAGGGTGACATTATATTACTGATGAACCTGGTCCAACTTCTGCAATGTTTTCTATTTCCACTGAAATGAAATTCTCACACGCATAGCTACGTGTTGTAACACAAGCAAACAAACCCACAGGTGGGGATGATTAAGTAATTACCACTCAAAACGTCTGAACACTGTTGTATAATAAGCTGCACTTCCTCTGTTTGAGCTGTCAGCTTCTTGAGCTGCTTTGTTTCTTGCCTTTTCCATGTCTCTTTGATGATAGAGCTTGAAATTGCACTAAGATTTGCCTTTTATTCATTGCACTTACTCCCCCAAGAAGTATCTAAACATAGCACACACATCTCTGTTGTAGTCACGTCACATTTTGGAGATACAGACTGGATATGTGACAAGAAAAACACCACAGAACTCTTGTTAAAACAAGCTGAAGCACTTTTCTCTTCTCAGGACAACATGTAGAAAAAGACGTGAAAAAAACGCAAACAAGTGATGAAGACTTTGACATTTTCTAGCGAGAAATATATGAAAGTGTTTCAGTTTTGTGACCAAAGACAAATAAAAGACGGTTACCAGCTTATTGCATTAACATTTTCAATTAGAGCAACACTAGGTAGTTTTGAACATGACTGCTCTGATTGAGGAACACATCAAATAATCAGAATCTCAAGCCTCCCTTAATCATCCTAAAATGTACAGATCTTTATTATACAAGATTTAACTGAAAAAGAAGATGCCAAAAAATGGAGGACAAAAGTTAATTTGCTAAACGGAGTCCTGACCTCACAAAGACAGTTTGTAAATCTAAGTCAGTCAATCCACCGAACACAGGGCTGTCTCATTTTTGGACACTTTTGTTGTCAGGCCTCGCTAATATGCATGTTTTCTCATTTGCACAGATTACTATAACTGTTCATTTAAACTGAGTAGCATTCAGGAAAGGTATAAGTTGCTGTGCTAGTCCTGCAATCATCAGTCAAAGTACCTGCAGTGGGAATAAGTTACTCTGGAGTGTGTTTGATTCTGCGTCTTTGAATTTTGTCACCCTACCATGTCTCAATATGAAATATGTACATTACTCATTTTAGCTCAGAGAGAAAGTAAATCCTGAATCAAGTAGAAAAGCAAAAACGATTTTCATTATTTTATACAACATTTTTTAAACTGGCATTTTAAATTTGCTTCACATCGGTAATATAATAACCTTCTGTTACCGCTGTCTCATCTTTTGACAGCCAAGTCAGACACCACAGCAAGCAACCAACTAGCTAGCTGTAATTTGTTGTTAAACTTTGATTTTACTTCATATGAATCGAACAGAGTGTGAAATATATGACTGCGCTACCGACAACTTTGGAGTCGGGCTAGCTGCCCTCTGTCCAGTCTTTCCTCTCAGCTAGGCTAAGCCAACTGTCTCATAGCTGTAGCTTACAAACATACAAACATAGGAGTGATATCAACCTTATCGCCAGAAAAAAACACCCAGAGGTAATTATGACGTTTGTTTCTTCTTAACCTAAACAAGTTTGAACAGCCTTTGCATTTGTTTCGCTCACAGATCGTGTGATCAATATTGTTTCTGTGCTCACTTTTTCTGCTTTATCTTACGAGATCATTTTGTGTTACACAACCGAACAGTACTTTCCAAAGTTGAGGTTGAAGGAAAAAAAGCTAAATCTTTTCACCATCACACAGATGTTTTCATTTATGCTGCCTGATCAGATCTTCACTTTGAGTTACTTTGAGCTGGGAGTCTGTGACCGCAAAGACTTTTGCCTTTGCAGAATCACTGAACCTCAAGTAAGGGACCTCTTTGTGCTTTGTGATCCTCTCTTCTCGTCAAACACAACTTATTTAAATAAAAATACCTATATTAAGATATTTTCCAGTTTGGTCTTTCAAAATGATAATCAGCGTGTAAGACTATTTGATATGATAAAAGTGACTTAGAAAAGCACAGCTACACTCACCGTTGCTGTTTTCTTACTTTTCCAACAACACCACCGCGATGAACAGACTCAAATTTGGCAAGCAAATAATTCAGTAGAGGAGAATTTATTCAGCCTGACGTAGATCAACACCTGTTTCTCCTAGTTAGTTACAGCTGTGGAAATTTAACCAAAATACTTTGCAGGTTTCTAACTTGCAACCCCAAAAGTGAATATTGGGAGCTGCTGGAGTTTTCTGAAATGTTTGTTTGCATAACCGTAAATTTATCTGTAATCAAAATAGATTAAAAGAAATACAGGATCTGAACCTGCTCTCTCCTCATACTGTAACATCCTGAAAACAGAGTAAAGCTTGACTTTCGTAATGACTCAATGAAAACATTTAACACATTTAATGAGTCAAATTAGGGTAGCTCTTGATTTGTGTTTGCTGTGTTGATTAATAATGAACGAATGAACTCTTGTTTAATTGTTACATGGGGAAAACTGATCTTAACACTGCCCTCTCTTGGTTTAACGAGGTACTGCGCAAAGAGTAATTCCAGGAAAATCTCTGAAGGAACCAGGTACGATGCTTTTCACGCTCTGCTGTTTCAGAGGAAGTTCAGATTTGCTCTTTAAGCTGTTGGCAGAAAAGTACAAATATGTTGCCCAAGAATCTCATCATATTTCGTTATTGCACCCAATACTTTATGTCATCCTCTACCTGTCAACCTGCCAAAATGACACGAATCAGCTAGTCTCATTAAAAATGTCTAGATGACTTATTTACAGATAGTGCTAAAAAGTTCTTTTTAAGAACATAAATACGTTCTGTTTTTTTTAGTTTTTGAGCAAACAAATTGGAACTCTCTTTCCAATGTGTGAAATTTCTTGTAAGATTTGAGAAAAACGGTACATGCATTATGAGTCTTTTCGAACAGCAATGCCACTGAAAATGGTCTTTTGAAACACATGCATGTTGTATGGTTTGAACTAAATCTGTTGCAGTATTTTCTCAGAGTTAAGTGTTATCTGTCTGGCTTCCATAAACAAGACTTTCATTCCTGAGGGGTCAGTTACACTGTATATTTAAGGTTGAAGGTGCAAAGGTAGGATCTCTCACTTGATGTCTCAACTTGTAAGGAGCAAACAGGGCAAACAGAAAGCCCCTGACGCATGTTGTTTGTCGCTTCCACTGAAGAGAAACAACGACAGCCTTGAAAATAAACATTGAATTGTCATTCTGTCAACCAGCTGACCTCTGTTGTGTTTCTGCCACAGCCACTTCAACAGTATATAACACCTAGTCACTACAGCAGCCACTGAAACTACAGAAACAGCTCCAGAGATGTGACATGACGCCTTATGGTTTACACCCTCACACTGAGGACCAGAGTTATCCAATAAATAAACTACGTGATATTTAAATACCCTCTTCCACGTGGCGTCAGGATAATTCGCTGCTACATTTACAAAGTGCTCACGGCGAAACTTGTACACCGAGGTGCAAATTCCTCAGCTTCCTGTGAGGTCAAGAGTGGAGAGGGGGAATCGAAGACCTGCAGGAGGAGAGGAGAATTTGAAAAATAAGAGGAGAACAAATGGCATCTCAAAGGGCCTTAACAGTGTGAACTGAATGGATGTTATTTTGCTGGATGTACTGCCTTTATTTTTCTTGGCCGAATGTGGAGGCATCTTTGTTCCCTGCTGGCCAGGAGGAATTTATGAGTTCATGTGGTTGACATTAGCAGAGCCAGTGGAAAATTGTTTTTCCAGGAGTTAGCAACAATCTCCAAAAACTTTAGCTTCCAGTAAGTTGTTACACCCAAATATGATCCAAATACCTTTTATTTTTACAAGGCTATGTGTGCAGGAGGATGTGAGTTCTTATCAGAGATCAAAGCGAGTTATAGTGTTTAGAAAAGTAAAATATTCAACCTCTTTGTAATCTCAAAGTGCTCTGGTCTCCGCCTCGATCTTCCTCTCTCCGTGGAGGCTTTCGGGGTCAGCAGGGGCCACCGTCTGCCTCACTGCGATCTCAGGGCCCCCACCATAAATACCCAACAAGTACTGCCATGTCTCCTCAGAGATTTGACCATAGTCTGCACCTGAAAGGAGAAAAACAAAAAAAAAAGGCATTTAATGAGTGGTGGTTATCTACATCAATCTTCACCACATATTGGGAATTGAAAAAATGGGTGACCCCACCTCTTCCTGTTGAGCAAAAATGAAGCCAAATTACCTCCCTTTCCTGTTATTTGGAGCCAAAGCCCACACAATAAGGATTGGCTGGTATAGCAGCTATGACTCAACCCCTCCACTGACCAGCACACAGTTAACTTGCACTAAAATGGTCAGGTGGTCCCATTCCTCTTAAAGGGATATTCCGGCGTAAAATTAATTTAGGGTCAAGCACACCATAACACTGAGTTAGACACCCCCTCGAGAAATTAATGTTGCCGACCACTTGCTTCTTTAGTTATACCAACTTTAGTAACGACCGCAGAATAGCAATACACAGCAGTCTGAGAAGCCATAAGTAAACCTCAACCAAAACACCACTCTTTAGCCACAAATAATGCTCAGAACAGCACCTAACTTCATCAACAGTACATTTAGAGCCCTAGCCACATCACGAGCCACAAAACATCTTTTTAACTTTGCCTAATTTCACCGCGGGGTGACGCAGCTCAACGAAGAACATTTATGATCATTACTTAATCATTTCCTTGAAGTAATAATCACCATATTGATCATTTTGCACCGTAGATGCGGTAGTTCTTCTGACTTAGCGTCGCGGTCTGATTGCATTTCCATGAAGAAATGATCATAAATGTTCTTCCTTGAGCTGCCTCACCCCGCTGCAGTCCGTAATAGACTGGCTTGAGGTCTCACTCCAAACAAGCAGCTGCTGGAAGAGAGTAGGTGAGTTGCATTTAGTCTCTTTGTCCTCAGACCACTGTGTATTGCAATCCAGTGGCCGTTACTTAAGTTGGTATAACTAGAGAAGCAAGCGGTCGGCAACATTCATCTCTCGAGAGGTTGTCTAACTCGGTGTTATGGTGTGTTTGACCCTAAATTAATTTTACACCGGAATATCCCTTTAAGAGCTGAAGATGCAGTGTCCATAATTTTTTAAAGGATTGTTAAATTTTGATTTCTTATCAGACCACAGGAACTTTTTTTAACGTCATGGATGCAGTGACTAACTTTGTTCACAGACTGTGGTTTAAGTAACTGATTCTGAGCACATGCAGTGATGTCCACTACTGAGTCATGTCTGCTTTTAATGATCCGTCTGTTTACAATCAGCACATATTTCTCATAAAACCATTACATTTTCTCTTAGGTTGTTAAATTTTTGGTCTAAAGTTTCACACCTTGCTTCAGTTGTATGTGCCCCCCCTTCATGACGCCAATCTTGCTGTTGTCGATGGGGCCAGGAGGCTCTGAGAAGCAAAAGAACAAACATTTACTGAAAATAGAAAGATTAGGTTTATTAAAGTGGGGTTTATTTGCCATTTTGCAGAGTCCGACCGTTGTCTTTGCCCTTCACAAAGCTCTCCCACTCTCTGAACCACTGCATGCTGATGCACAGGATCACAGTCGGAGCCTCCTCAGCCTGGAACTCCTTGTTTAGCTACAGATGAGAGAGAGAAAAAAGCAACTCAGCAAAAAAAGCAGAGATATATTTATACACAAGTAAAACCTTTGGAAAACAACAGAGTTTACCTTGATGAAAGTGTCTATTTCTGTTTTTCTGCGTTTAGCCAGGGCTTCAATCTCTACTTGGCAGATGGCACACATATACAGGTGATTCACTGCTGGGCCGCCTCCAAAACTGAAGACAGAACATCAACAATAAAAGGATTTTTTTTTTTTGTAAATGGAGTGGTAGAGTATCTCTGAAAGAGTTTGGACTGTCAGCTTTGCTTCACACTTCTCTGTCGATGCAAGAACTGGCAAAAAAAAATATTATAAATCAAAGCTTGAAATTTAGAAGATGGATGTAAAAGAGTTTCACAAACTATTACTGTTCTTGAACTTTTATTTGTTTTTGGAATCTTAATTTTGCAGGGTCCAAATTTTAAGCGCCAGTCGCTATTTTTATCAACCGAACTGAAGCAATAGATCATCTTAAAAATCACATCTTTCTCGGTATATCATTGTGCCGGCATAAACACATTAACGATAGTAAAACTTTCACAGCAGAACTGCATATTCACCTGTTGTAAAGGTACTCCCACACATTCTGGGGAACTATCACCACCAGGTCGTCTATGTAGTGGTATTTATTGGGAGGGATTCCTGTACAGAGAGAAAAATGTGTTAAAGGAGAAATTTTTGAGCTTTTCTAGGCTGAACTTCACACAAACATGATGGATTGTTTCTCCTCCTTCCCAAACTGCCCACTCCTATCTCTGTGAAGCAATAAAGCCATGGCTGGGACGCATAAAGTGGCCAAATATCTAAAAAATGTAACAGAAACAAAGACATGAAGAGGTCATCTATCTTATTACGAAACTTTGTGGTCATTATACAGCTTTGCTATTTGCTTTGTGATCCATTAGTTTCCACTTGGACGGACTGTTGTGAGGCGTGTTAGCTTAGTGCAGATGTTACAAAGTTTGGAGGGCAGCTAAACTTCCAGTAACCAAAAAAAAAAAAAAAAGTGTGATTTATGATAAAAAAAACTAAAAAAACTACTGCCTATCAAAACATTAGAATATTGTGGCAAAGTCCAGTTTCTTTTCAGGTCCTGAAAAGTTAGCTCTAATCAGACAATCAACTCCGAACACCAGCAAAGGTTTATTAAGCTCTGATTCTCTCACTCTGGTTCAGTTCACTCAACCACACAAGGAGGGTAAGTCACAGAAGGACACACACACACACACACACACACACACACACACACACACACACACACACACACACACACACACACACACACACACACACACACACACACACACATACATATATAACCATATCAGTCGGGCCCTACTCTACACCCAGACGTTTCCAGGAAATGGTTTACAAGTACTGTGTTATAACTTTATAGTGAACCTACAAGCTGGCAGAAGCTAAATGATTGATATCACCAGACTTCACAAAGCTCTTCTACAGCCACAGATCAGCAACTGATTTCTGAAGCAGAAAGCTTTCCAAACAAGAGGAGGGTTAGCGGATATCTCAGATGTTTTTTTCACCACACACCTCCATGCTGACAGAGAAATGTGTGGTTGCTGATGGGGCCTGGTTCAGCGAAGGTGTTGAACTTGTTCAGCCACTCCCTGGAGATGTAGAACTGCAGCAAGCTGGGCTCCTTCATGTTTGCCAGCGCGACCACCTTCTGCCTCTCCCTCACTGACTCCTCACTGCTTTTCCTACATGAATTTGAAAACAAACAGTCTTTAGCATCATTATTGAGTGAATCAGCTCTGATCTACTGAGAAATTTGACCTGGACTGCTCACCTGTAAAACAACACATAGGCCTCTGCATTCTGCACCACCGTCTCATGGACTTCTGTCACGTACTGGTCATCAAACTCGTACCACTGACCATTGATCACATTCTGACAGTAAGCTATATAATGTCCACCTGCAGAAGCATAAAAAAATGTGTTAAGTTCACACAGGGGTGATTACAAATGGTGCAAACACGCTCCAGCTTGCGAAATCTGCAAGAATATGCCAACCACATGGAGATAAAATCAGATAAATGCTTGAATCAGTAGAGGAAATGAAACTATTGCTTACTTCCTGCCGTGCCATGGTGGCAGATGACTGACAGCAGGTCATATGTGGTGACTTGAGACGGACTCTCCTTTGCTAGAAAAGGCCGCATGTCCAGGCCCTCCAATGGGAAGGATACATGGCTGCTGATCTTGAATGAATACATGACCTCATGGCGGAAGCGCTTCAGATGGATGCACAAAATCTGCAGAAAACATCAAGTAAAAAACTGTTTACTGACACTTTAAATCTACATTCAGGAGAAGATAAGGGAAAGTTATGCGTACCTCGGGAAGTTTAAGCACTTTACAGTATTTGACACCGTTTCTCAACCTGCAGCAAGACAGAAAATAAAAACTTCAGTGTGTGATTGAAATACTGCACATTAAAGATGGATAATAAACATCTCTATCAAGATTTATTATAGTACTCACTTTTTACACCTCTCACAGCTGTACATGTTGTCCCCTGGGGTAATAATAAAGGAAATATAAATCATCTACACTTTCAAAAGCTTGATTGTATTTATTAGAATTGCTCTCTTTTACCTTTGAGTTCATCTGCAGCAAAAAAAGCAGCAAGGCAGTCCTCTAAGGTAACCATAGGCCCCCAAAACCAGCTAGGGATACATGAGACTACAAACCTGTGAAGGAGAAAGCAACACATAAAGAGACACGATCAATACATCAATTTTGGCTTTACTTAAAGCTCCTATGGGGAGTTTTTTAGTGTTAATGAAATAGACTGAAAGTCATGTTGATGCCTTTGTATGACATCCAAAAGCAAACAAGACCAGTAGGATAGATTGGCAATTGTTATATTCTGATTTTTAATGTCTGAAAGTCGTGCGAGCCAAGCAGCTCAACAGTCCTGTCCTGTTAATATTTACAAAAATTAATACATTTGACTGTCAAAAAATCAGCAGGATATGACACCTCTTAAGCATGTAGAGGACAAGATAAGCAAAGACTGCTTTGTCCACTGGGGGCGCCAAAAATGACACAAACAGAAAGTTCCTCATAGGAGCCCATCTGGAGACATGCAGCTGCCTCAGTATGAGAAGTAGTTTGTGTATTTCACAAACTAGTTTATTTACCGATGAGTCGGACCACTCTGCTCCGTGTGTCCCTGAGCTGCCTGCTTTAGATTCGTCACTCTGCTGTTCTGTGAAGTAGTTAGTGGGTGAAGATAGTCATGAGGTCACTGCGCCATCTACTGGATAAGTCGGGGAACTTTTCAAATGGCGGAACATTTTCGAAGTGAAACCGAATCTAATTTGTTGCATTTCATTTTTGAAAATCGGCGAAAATCTGCGATTTTTGGTCAATTGCCAATTAGTATCAAATGCGCTAAAATTGGCCGAATTAATCGGCTCACTGAGAAATCGGTTGAATCCTAGTGCGTTAGCAACACTGTATTAGCTACTGGCAGAGGGATCAAGCTGCAAAGTTTAGTATCCAGCAAAGAAACAAGGAAGATCCTCGGAGAATCCTTATGTTGTTCTATACATCAGTGAAGTTGTGAAATTCACGAGTTATCACTGTGATAATTGTAAAACTGCGGTTATTTCTTAGAATATGATCATACCATCAAGACTACTTGCCATTGCATCCCTCTGCACCCCTGAATGTAACTGATATATTTATGTTTAATTTTCAATCCAACTATGAGTCTGTATCCTTATAGGGGTTATAAAAAATAATAAAACCACCTTCACAAAATAGTTACAATGACCTCAAAAGCAATTCTGTCTGGATTGATAAAAGCTTGATGTAATATTATGATCTGCAATTCTTAAGACTTCATTTTTGAATTCTGTTTGTTGCAAAACGTTCCTTTGGAGCTGGAAGTAACTGTGTTGAACAGCATGACAGATGTATCTATCATGAAATAAACCCACGCTAAAGCATACCTTGCCTGATTGTCTGTTTCACTCCACACAGAACCAGAATTATGACTAGTTAAAGCTCCAGCAAGGAATTTTTGGTTTGGTTGTTGCCTCCCTATGGACAATCAGTCTTTGCTTAACTTGTTCTGTGCATGCAAAAAGCTAACCTGGCTAACTTTTGATAGTCAAATGCATCATTTCTTATATGTAGAAATTTGAAAAACGAGGCTGTTTCTGCAGCTGCTTGGCGAACACCTACCCCTGTCTTACAGGTTTCAGACATTGTTATCTGCAATATTGTATTTATTAGTCTTGTTGCTGATGGTCTTGGTTGTTTTTGAATATCATAAAAAGGCATAGGTATGAATTTCAGTCCATTTCGTAAATGTGAAAAAGCTTACTGGAGCTTTACACTGGGACACCACAGTCGGTGTACAGGCCACCTTTAACCTGTTACACTACCCCCATGCGATCCATAACTGGATGTCACAATTATTTAAGGTACTTACTCCTCATTTGGCTTTAGTTTGAGGACCAAGGGCCTATGTTGACCTGATTTTTACATGTGTAAAAGCACAAGTTATTTCCTTTTGTGGAAACTTTTAGAGACTAGCACAGACTGCATTGAGAACAATGACCCTTGAACAGTGTACACTTACAGAGAAACTTCATGAGGGGCCAGTGTTGTTATGATTACAATGCTTTTGCAATCTCCTAACAGCTGGAGGATAAGCATATCACAAAACAATGTCTGCAACCCTTCTATCTCAGGCGATAAAAACAGGTGAAAGTCTACGTAAATAAGCAAATCCAAGCAAATGCACTCAGAAGGAAGCAACTGTTTTGAGCATTTAGCTGCTTTGGTTGCAAGAAAAGAAAAACTCATTATAAATGAAAAAAGTCTCCAAGATGAGTCATCTGCTTGCTCGGTTCTCAGAATTTGTCTTGTGGCACTGGGTCAAGCAACTCAGAGCCCTCTGTAGTCTTAATAATCTCTCTAACCCATCAGTCCTGGACGCAATCCCAGAATTCCTCAAGGCCCCATTCACTTAATGAGCCAAACACAAAATTTATAGTGATGACCTGATACTATTTTCCCATCCTGATATCAGCTATAATTCCTGGACTAGAGTATTAGCCAATAATGAGTCCCCCAGAGACAAAAATGAACTTAAAAATATGCGTTTTTTTTCTTGAAAACAACCCTGACAGACGCCTCTCTGTTCACTTTAGCCGAAGTTTTACTCTCCAGTAACCCATCTTTTTCATCATGTGAAAACTTGTCAGTCAGTTTTTTTCTAAAATATATTTTGGAAAAAATTCATGGTCAGATGGGCATTGTGAATTGTAGCACTGTTCTGCTGAAAAACCCAGTCATTACAACACAGCCAGCTGCTGTTTGATGCCCCTGCACAACCTGACGCTCCACTGTTCCATTAAAGGAGAAAGCACCCCAGATCATGATGGTGCCCCCTCCACTGTGCCACGTAGAAAACATCTCAGGTGGCATCACCTTGTCATGCCAGTAGCATTAGAAGCCATCAGGACCATCAAGGTTAAATTTTTTCTTATCAGAGAATAAAACTTTCTTCCACCTTTGAATGTCCCATGTTTGGTGCTCCCTTTGCACCAAACATGGGGGGAAAACGTTCCTAAATGTGTTTAAAGGTGGGAAAAAGACTGTCTTGTTGGGCTGAGCAGTTTCACTGGAGCTAGACTTTAGAGATGTTGATCTCCTAACAACTTCCTGCACTGGTTATCTAATCTCCAACTTCATCTGAACTTATTGTCAAAATGAAACCAATGACCAAAAAATGCCTCACCACCCTGTGTTTCAATACGTCTGTCTTTTATTCTAAATTTCAGTTCCACTAATTCTCAGTTTTGACATTTAGATATGACTCACTGACCTGCGTATGGAGTCCATGATGAAGGAGATCCAGCCTTGTGAGCTGTAAGTGTCAGGACAGACGCCTGTCTTCACTGGAAGGTTCTGATGTATTGATGAGTGAAGCTTGGCCAAGTCCTCCTTACCAGGAATGGGAAGAGACAAGTCTTGGAAGGTTTCCACGGTTGTAGAAACCTTTCGTAGGAAAGTGAGGAAAGTGTTTTACACAGCATGTCTTAATCAGTGGCGATGTACGTGATAAAATGCTTTCCAAAGAAGTGAAAAAAAGCTTGTATTTGAGACACCGGCATAAAGTGGGTCAGAGATTCTAGTTTAAAATGACTCATGTACTGTTTTGTGTTAACAAGAACAGACCTACATACAAATATCTAAGGAAAGGATTCATGCAAGTATTACAAAACAGTAAAATGACACAATAATCGATAAATCTGTCATAAATTCCTCTTCATTTTATTTGAAAAGTATCGTTAGTTCTCATTTACTTCAGTGGTTTCAAGCTGAATAAATAGCTCCCCCTTGTGTTTGAATCTGTGAGATGCAGCTCACCCTGTCGCAGGTCAAACACTGCACCAGACTGAGGATAGAGCCGTCGAAGATATCAGAGATCACACTGCGATAATGAGACTGTTTCTTCTTCCGTGTGCTGAGCAGCAACTGAGCTGAAGATTCATGATAAAAAAAAAAAAAAGTGGTATAGGAAAAAAAAAATGTTATCATAGCAGCTTAAAGCTCCAATCAGGATTTTTTTCTTTACAGTGATGAAACAGACTGAAATTCAAATTGAAATTATAAAATAGCAATCACAGGCAACATTAAGGGTTTAATATTGTAATTCTTAAACAATTTATGTGTAGCCAGAAGACCAGAAGTTATCCAAGGTGTGTTGAGAGAACTTAACAAATATGACCAGTATTTCTACTTTTTTTGGATAATGATGGAGTGAGGAGTCGGAGCTGTTTCCAAACCTTTTTTGAAGGAGTATGCAGGTCCTGCAGAGCGTAGCGGGCTGGAACGAGGTGGACTGGAAGAAAGTTTGGGATGCAGCTCCTGAAGGGTTCGAACTGGACTGCAGGGTGTGGACTGTGGCTGAGGCTGGGTCATTGATGCTTCATTGTCTGGCTCTAAAATCAAAATATGAAATCAACAATTTAAAGACAGAAGATCTGCGTGCTCATCATAATTCATAACCCAGCTGGCCTTGTACCTGAGGTGTTGCTGCTCTGGGTCTGCACTTGCCCCACATCAGATATCTGGTTGTTCTCTTGGCTTTGGACCTCAGTGATGGCGGTTTGTGTTACCTCCTCTTCCTCCCCCCTCTCAGGTGTCCCTTCCTCAGCTGCTGTATCCACATCAGCATCCTCGTCCATCTCCTGGGAGCCTCCACGGAGAGGCGAGCCGGACACCCTCCGTTCCTTTAGCCTCTCTTTCTCTGAGATGACCCCGTTGGTACCGACCCCCACAACACCTCCTGTTGGCGCCCTCACTCCGTCACACTCTTCCTGCAGGAGCAGCTCGCTGTCGCCTGCTCCCCCACCCTCACCCCGGTCGCTGCTAGAGCCAGAGTCACAGGAGAGGAATTCATCTTCAGATGGGGAGCGGTCCCCATCCCGTATCTCCTCACCATCACTTCCCTCAGCGCTCATGCTGCACTCTGTCAGAGGCTCCTTCAGCTCCTCGTGTAGCTGATCCATGAGGCAGCGCAGGAACTCTTGAGTGTCCTGCATCCAGAAAAACAGACTACACTTACTCAAGAGGAGGATGAGTGTAGTAACATACAAAGAAGGGTTTTCTTTTACTATGAAGTTAAGTATGAGTGAATGTGTAGCAAAAAACAGTATGTTAACCAAAAGATGGTGTAAAAATGGTCTATATTGACAAAAAGTTGGACAAGGTGAATTTTATAAATCTATCATAGCCCTCAAACACAGTCAAAAATCATCATTTTTGTCACATTTTCAACACATTTAAAACAAAACAGTCTCGAACAGGTCTGAGTCAAATAAAAAAAACCTTAAGCTAAACTGATATCATATATTTTTAATATAATAAAATCTTACTAATATTATCTACTAGGGCCTGACCGATAGGGATTTTTTGGGGGTTGATGCCAAAACTGATTATTAGGGGGGAAAAATATCTGATCACCAATTAATCTGCCAATTTTTTAAATTTTTAATGAAGTTATAAAATATATATATAAACTGTAGATATCTACAGTATACTGTAGATTTACTGTGGGCTACTGCTCTTCACGCTGGCACGGAGACCAACTGATCATACTTGGACCAGAAAAGCGTTTTCAACTACCCCCTGCGCGCACGCCGATCGGTGCCTCTGCCTCTTAACTCACGTAACTCATTTCCAGTTCAGTCTCATCTGGAGACATGCAGCTGCCTCAGTAAGAGAAGTAGCTCGATCACGAAATGTATACTGTTGTTTATTCTAACCGAATCTTATTCTCCGCATTTTATTTCTGAAAATATTGGCGAAAATCAGCATGTTTTGGCCGATTTCCGATTAGTCTCAAATGGGCTAAAATTGGCCTTGGTCGGGCCCTATTAGCTACAACTAATTTTTAAATCCTTAGGACTGCACTTGTACTGTTTCAGAATTCTGTCTGCAGGTATGCAGAGATAAATATTTCATGAATTATCCTGTAAAGTTCAGTGGTATTTTTGCAAAATGCATCATTTCTCTTTCCTGCCAAGACTCTGGAAAGAAGTTTGACATCTCACATCCCTGTGCCAAATATGAAGCCACAATCTGGATACAGTTAGCCCAGCATTGCATTAAACCTGATGGACACAGCTGGCTGGGCTGAGTCTGGAGATTGATCTAAAGCTCGGAAATTGACAACTTATTATTTCTTTTTTTGTGGAACCCTTTTCAGCATTTACATTCTTGGTCTAAATATCTCACTGAGCAAATAAAGTAAAAGCAAAGATGTCCTGTCTTATTTTATTTTATTGGTTGGCTCTTTGGACCAAAAGAAATTCACACTGCAGTTTAAGAGATTTCAGAAAAAGTCACAGTGCCTATAACCAACTATTAATTAATTTAAATACATGAAATAAGATAATATCTAATGTTTTCTCGCCCTGTTTTTACAGAGAAACACAAAAATGCATCAATCAGGTGAAAACTCATTTAAAACACACACTAAAAGTGAACAACTCAAGCCATCCACTTAGTGATCACTTACAAATGTCAGTTTTAACAGAATAAAATACATTTTTAAGAAAGTGCAGGACAAATACATGGATTTCCATCATTCAAACCATTAGACAAGACAGTGTCAGGCTGCTGAGTGATTGCCAGGTGTGCCAAGAATAGTTACCTGCTGGGTGCTTGCCCCTACCTGCTGAGCGTAACCACGAAACATTGGGTTTACGAGTTTGATGCCGTGAGACAGACTGGTAGGGACCACATAGCTGGGCCTGGAAACAGCATGAAAGCCAAGTTTAGTAAACTGAAAATTCACGTGGTTTTGTGCCACTTTTATGAGTTATTACCGTTTTTTATGCCAGAGCTCTGAGATGAGTTTCTGGTAGCTCTTACACAGAGCAGGCTTCTTATCAGTGCGGACTAATCCACTGCAGTCCAGGAAGAACTGTGTGAGGGGAGGGCTGGCAAATAAAGGGAGAAGATTTACCGAAGCAGCACTTTTTATCTGAATTAATAGAATTAAAAAGAGGAAGAGGAAGAAGACACAGAAACTGATCTCCAGGGAGAGAACAGATGTGATGGAAGGAAGTGACCTCACCAGTTTGACAGAGCTTGAAGAGCAGCATTCATGTAGCAGGAGTTCCCGATGTTTTTCATCCCCGTCAGCCCTGCAAAGAGGAGAAAAAGGAGCTGTATGTTTTTCTTATGTTGACAGAGAGTGCTGTGAGAGTAAAACCAAGCAGATACAGCATATCTTTAAGTGTAGTTGAACAGAGAAGACACCACTGAGGGTTAATTATCAATGCTTGTCTGGAGAAAGAGTCCTAGTAGCTATTCTTAGACCTCAAAGCAATTATATCTATTAAAAGTGGCAGGTATGACCTAATATTACAAGCATGATTTTCATTATCACAGGAAAAACTTCCCCTTAAGGCTTTTTTATTGATTTTCTGACCTGTTACTAGCTTGATCACCAATATTTTTTGTGATTCATGAGGACTCTGAAGTGAGAAACTGTTGTTTAGGAGAGGTAATGATGTCTTGTTGTTGTACCTCTGGGTTTGAGCTCATCCTCCTCTGATTCTGAACCCTCTTCTTCTGCAACTGCAATTGGTACGGCTTTTAGCGGGTGACCTACTGGCTGAGGAGCTGCTTCCTGGGGAAATTATGGATAGATGCTATAAATAAAAGGCTGAGTAAGGCCTTTGTGGAAAAAAAAACAAAATCAATCACAAGCGCTTGCAGGTTTTCTGTTTAATCAAGCAAAGGTATGCATAGAGGAGCAAAGCTGTACCTGCTCTGTGGCTTTACAGTGGTGAGGAGCAGCAGGGACCGGCACCAATGACGGCCTTTGCTCCAAAAACACCTCACGCTCACACACATAACACCAAATCCTGAACGTGGTGAGGTTCACAGTCAGGTTGTGCTTCTTTGCCTTAAAGAAAAAAACTCGCAGTTATGTAATAGACCTGATTTGCATGTCTTTTTCTCTTCTTATCATGCACACACAAAGAAACCGATGAGTAAAAGCTGTAGGAGTGATTACCTGTGCATGCAAGGTGCTGTGATCCGAGTATGATTCTCCACAGCCGACATATGGGCAGTCACTCTATGAAGCAGAAAGAATGTGTCAGACAGGAGCCTAGCAATCACAGTCTGTCAACTACACGACAAAACATCACAATGTCTACCTGCCCATGTATAATTATACAACCCCACTCACAAAACAGTTTGGACACAGCAGTAAATGAAAACTCTATATCTAATAGAAGATAGACAACACTGTTAATTGTGTAATACTTAAAAAACTAACTTCCTACCAACCAGGTTAATCTTTAAACCATAAGTGAGCTAACTCTGAATAAAAGAGGCTGGGTCTCTCAGGAGTAAAGATAGGAGCAGGAGCAAAGACCATCCTGTGAGGGACTGTATGAGCAAATAGTTTGACAACTTCAGGATGATGTTCCTCGGTATTAAACTGCAATGAGTTTGTGGATTTCATCATCTACATAATGTAATATCACTCATAGATTCAGAGTGTGTGGAGAAATGTAGAGATTAAAGAAACAAGGACAAAAACCAGGCTGGATTGACATTAAAAACAGACATGACGCTGGAGTGGAAACCACTGCAAGGACTCAAAATCACTTTCAAAACACACTTTCTGTAAACATAGTTGGTCAAAGCATCCACAGGTTAAATCTGGACCATGCAAACAGGAAGCCAGAATAAATATATGCTCCAGAAACACCTGCAGCTTCTCTGGGCCTGAGCTCAATCTTTTTTGGAAATCACAGATGCCTTCTCGGGGCGGCACAGTGGTGTAGTGGTTAGCAATGTCGCCTCACAGCAAGAAGGGGTTTGAATCCGGGTCAGGGCGTTTCTGTGTGGAGTTTGCATGTTCTCCCTGTGTCTGTGTGGGTATACTCCGGGTACTCCGGTTTCTTCCCACATCCCAAAAACATGCAGAAGTGGGGTAAGGTTAACTGGCCACTCTCAAATTTCCCGTAGGTGTGAATGACAGCGTGGATGGTTGTTTGTCTCTATATGTCAGCCCTGCAATAACTGGCGACTTGTCCAGGGTGTGCCCTGCCTTCGCCCAAAGATGCTGGGATAGGCTCCAGCCCCCCCACAACCCCGGGAACGGGAATAAGCGGTACAATATGGATGGATGGATGGATGGATGGATGGATGGATGGATGGATGCCTTGTCCTCTGTACTAAAGAGGGACCTCCAGGCTTGTATCAGCGCACCATCCAAGGTGCATAAGTGGCCATGACATGGATGTCTTGCACATCTACAAGGGCATTTTCAAACACCATAAGCAGATACTACCATCCAAGTGTCTCATTCAGGAAAGACTTGTATTTTTCAGCAAAACGACGCCAAACCACAAGGCAGCTGCATGGCTCTGTAGTAGAAGTGTACCTGTTGTGCCAATTTTTCAAAGCAACACAAAATTTGGTATGATTTGGTCCATCATGAAACAAAAAAATACAAAATCAGAGACCCTGAAGTGTTGAGCAGCTAAAATCCTATAAAAGGCATGAATAAGATAACAGTGGGTAAAAAAGAGGGCAGCTCAACACAATGGCACATGAACTATTTTGGGGGTATTAGGGCCGTACACTAAAATACTTAAAGTTACATTGTCAGCTTCAATGTCATCAAGAGAAACCAATTATAGCCATAACTGTACTTGTGCTGCACTTGCAAGCCTGTACAAGTTTAATAGCTGCAGCACCTATAACAGCTTTAATGCCATACATCACCATCAATTATTGAGTGTTCAGCTGGCCCTCTCATCTTAAATGCAGCAGTAGCCATTCTTGCAGGATCATCATTTAAGTAATATGGGGCTTAAGCAGATAACTTTTAGTGGTATTTTAGTCTCAACATTACCTGCAGACAGGCCCACAGATTTGGTCCTCCGGCTCCACATGATTGGCAGGTTCCCTACAGGAAGATTAGGACAACATAAGGAGAAGGATCATGATAAAATACTGCATATACAATGGCACTTAGGTTCCCTCAGAAAGGGCTGTAACAAAGCTTTACTCCAGTTATCGTGGTTAAAACTGCAAATATGGATTGATGCAGTTAACATTCACAGTGGCATGTACACTCATCAACATGGACTGGGCATCTCTGACATTGTGAATAACATTGGTAGTGAATGAATGACACCCACCTTGGATTTCTGAAGGAGGTCCTCCTTGGTTACCTCTCCTATGGAGTCCAGGTGAGGACAAATGTCTTGCTCAGCCATAGCTACTCACTTTATCTTCAGGTTGACGTCTGCTTATTTGACAGTGATAAGAAAGCTGTGGTGATTTAGGTGTTACAGCTGAGCTAGCCCTGTCTGAACACAAACAGACATGCGATCTGCAGCCATAGAAACTGACGCACCTTGCCTCTGACAGTCAGATTACACGTACAGCTGTAGTAATGCTCAGGCCACTTTTTCACAATGACAGCCCATATTTACCTCCATTATCTGACAGCTCTGCAAAAGGAAAAGGCCTTATGTTTACCAACCAAAGCTCAGAGATCATCTCCTGGCTGCAACGATGACAACATCTGTTATAATTGGTTTGTATTTACCAAAGCGAGCAGCTGCCACGTTGATAATCTCTATTTTCACGCACCGGGTCAACAATCCATGCTGGATGTGGAGAGAGACCGTGATAGAGCAAAAATATCAAGGTGCCGAGCCGAGAGACGCGATCCCCCGGCCCACCATCCCCAAACAACTCCGCCCCCTCCCATCCAGAGTCTGCACGGTCCTTTACGTCATGACGTAGAACTGCAGAAGGCGGAGACAGAAGAGGGACGTCAGCACGACGCTCGTAAATTTACCGTTAGATTTTACAGATATTCTTATGAAGTATTACTTATTTGCAAAAATGTTCTCCTGTTATTACTTAAGTAACTTTATCTGACTTTTAACCTAAATAAATATAAAACATTAAGCACTGTTAAGAGGCGACGTATGAGCGTGCATCAGTTTAATGAACCCCCCAGATACTTAAGGACAAGTGTTCCGCCTCTCCATACATTATGAGAACATGGATTAAAGTGAACGAAACAAAAATTATCCTTTGTATTTTTTATGATTATTTTTTTTTTTTACATTGCCTTTATTACATACCTAAGGGTCTCAAATTACCCCAAGATAAATCATCTCTCTTGTTCAATAAGTGTATCTTTTAACTCTTAAATTCAGTTTGGTCAAACTGGGAAATACAACTTTACCTAGTTTTCTTACTGATGTGAAAAAAGGGATCCGGCCAGACTAATAGGTTCTCTGAGAATATAGTCAGACCACTTTTTTGGCATTCTATATTATCAAGACAGTTATGTTTACACTCATTCTGTTGGTTTGCAAGGATGCACAACATCTTAAAATATGTGCAGATACACTAGTTACAGACAAAACTATGATTGCCTTGATGTAGTGATCCAGAATATTAAAAATTGCTCATCTTACCCCACTTTCCCCTGCCTGTTTCATGGGCAACTATGTTGTTTGCGTAGATCCAACATATAGCATATATCTGTCAAGCCATTTAAGCTCCTCTGAGAATTTTTTTTTAGATACTTACGAAATAGATTGAAATTCATACCGATGCCTTTATACATAACATAACATACAAAAGCAAACAAGACCATCAGTGTTGAGATGAAGACTGTTTGGAGAAAAAGATGCTGAAAGTTTTATTAAGTTTTATGAACTACATTGCAAGTAGGGGATTTGACCTCATGTTGTAGCTCATAGATATCACCATTGATGTATAAAACAAATTTAAAATGATCTTTTTTTGTCTAACCACAATTCTAATAAAACTTAGGACCGACTAAATTCACTTTCAAGAGTTTTTTTGTTTTTTTGTTTTTTTTTAAATAAATGTCTAACCCCTTCACCCATGTGCTTCTAACCTTCACAGACTCCATGAATTGATGCCCATCTCCTGAATATTTGGTCACACGATCAATTTCTTTTACCGTTTCCAAGCAACAGGGGGTGGCTCAATTTACCCCACTATTCCCTACAATTTACTGTGGGCCGACATTATTATTTTGTAGTACCGTAACTATTTTAACTATTAAACTGTTATATGCCATCCCATATGACCTATGTGACTCACTGTGAAAACACGTTACGGGATTTTTTGTTTTTACATTTAAATATGTATAAAGACAGTAAAATCTTCCGCTCTCTGACTGAGTGCTGCGTACACGCCAAACAAAACCAGGCAGAGTTTCAGCGTTATTACACGGATCCAGAATCAGAAGTCTTATTCCTCAAATTAGTAATCTCAACCTGACGAGTTTGTTCAATCTGACTTCAGATCAGCCTCTTCCAGTCCACGTACCCACAGAGCAAACCTCGCGGTATTTAGCTTACCCAGAATCCCTCTGCCTTCCTTTCTGCCTGAACCGACATGGTGGGTACATAGCTTTCCATTCTGAGAAATCTGAAGAACTGTTGTATCTATCTTCATCCTTGCATTTACGCTTATTCATACATCGCAAATTATATGTATGGTTTCTCTAAAGCTTTGTGTTGTAGGTTCAGTTAATATTAAGAGCAGATGTGACATAGTTTTTTGGAAAAACTTGTTTGAATGTACCCCGGTGTAGCCGGTTCGAGATGTGCTGTGACTGCTGGTGGGAGCTAAAGCTAACGTGGGTGAACACGCCTGATTTCTGGAGTAGTTTGTCTAAATTGAGATATCGCATTTTGACGGGTGAAGCCAATTTTTAATATTTTGGACAGCTGGACGTATGACGGCAGTTGAAACCTTGTTAAATGCGTAGTTAGTGTGTGTCCGGCTCGTTTGTTGGCCGACTTTAATGGGCCTTAGCGTCGCTTGGTGATCCTAATGTTATTACTCGCAGTCGTGGCTACGATATTGGCCACGTCTTGCTATGATTTCACTGTAATGCCTTGTCAGTTTTCTCACTTAGGGTTATGTTTACATACCCACTGAGCTACATGTGAATTGACTGTATGGCTTCCTAGTAGTTTGGGTTTTGGATGAGGTGAATTTGTTAGGCAAGGGATGCTAATCCCAGGCATGATGGCAGACTACCTGACATATTAAATGTCTCTCCAAAACTCATAATTGTAAAGTTAAACTCTGAATTGAAGGAGCAGTTGTAGCTTTAACTCATGTCACACTTAGGGAAGCATGTGTTTTTCTTGTTTAGTCTCTTCCTGATTTAATCATGTTTCTCTTTCAACAGCCTAAGGGAAAGAAGGCTAAGGGGAAGAAGGTGGCACCTGCCCCTTCAGTGGCCAAGAAACATGAGGCCAAGAAAGTCGTCAACCCCCTGTTTGAGAAGAGGCCAAAGAACTTTGGCATCGGTAAGTAGCCCTGAGCGTGATTTTAGTAGTATTGGGAGTGAAATGGGTGCAGATGATGTAACCGAATATTTGCTATCTTAACATCACTGATGACAATTTCCCACCAAGATCGCTGATGCCCTGTAGTTTGGCAAAAAGCAGTTTTTTCCCAGTTTAATTCGGTCCACTAATATGTATATTACGTCCTTTAACCACAGGCCAGGATATTCAGCCCAAGCGTGATTTGACACGCTTTGTCAAATGGCCTCGCTACATCCGCCTGCAGAGGCAGCGCTCCATCCTCTACAAGCGTCTGAAGGTTCCCCCTGCAATCAACCAGTTCACCCAGGCTCTGGACCGCCAGACTGGTACGTTTCCAAAGGCCTTTTAGTTCTGGATATAAAGCATCTCATAATTATCATGCTTTTTGCAAATGATGTGAATGCCTTTCTGCTCACTGAGTGACAGTGCTGACACTTCCACCAAGATCACTGATGCAGTTACATCTCCCAATGCGTGAAGCAAGCTGTGCATGTGGCCGCTCTTTGACACTTAGGGTAATTACTGCAATGTGTTTGTTTTGTCTTAATCAGCCACACAGCTGTTCAAGCTGGCCCACAAATACAGGCCAGAGACCAAGCAGGAGAAGAAGCAGAGGCTGCTGGCCCGTGCCGAGCAGAAGGCCGCTGGAAAGGGAGACACCCCAACCAAGAGGCCCCCTGTCCTCCGTGCAGGTGAGCGATTTAAGATCTGAAAGCTGTGAGAAGAGATTATTTGTTTTGAAGTGAAAGATGTTATTTGCTCATCTAACTTGGCCTACCTGCAGTGATGACTTGAATTTCTTCACCTGAAGCACCTTGATGCTTATTGAGCTTTTTAACCCTGAGCATTGGCCAAAACTGATGACAGAATCTTGAAGCAGGATGCTAAGAAACGAGTTTAATGTAGTTTCTCTTCTCTTAAGGTGTGAACACTGTCACCTCTCTGGTGGAGAGCAAGAAGGCCCAGCTGGTCATCATTGCCCACGATGTGGATCCCATTGAGGTGAGTTTGACCTTTTGTCCAAACCCCCAGTAGCACAAGTTTTTTTCCTCCTCAAAGTGGTCGCTGGCAATGATGTTTGAATTTCTTCACCTGAATCCTTTTGTGTGGATCAAAACACGAGCTTTTTAACCCTGAGCAGAGACCAACTAAGAAATACCGTTTTCCCACATTTTTGGTTCCAAGTGTTCAGTTTTGGATTATGTCTAAATTTTATTTCTTTCTCTTTTCTGTTTTGCTGCTTCTCCAGCTCGTCGTGTTCCTGCCAGCTCTGTGCCGCAAGATGGGTGTCCCATACTGCATCGTCAAGGGCAAGGCTAGACTGGGCAGACTGGTGCACAGAAAGACATGCACTTCAGTCGCCTTCACACAGACCAACCCGTGAGTATTCACACAACTGGTCTAGATGTAAGAGCAGCTTTACTGGCCAGAATGAATTCAGGAAACTTGTTGGCAAAGTGATTATCCTTCATTCCAGCATACATGTCAAAATCCTGTTCTGGAGCATTTAATAGAACAGATGTCTTAATTTGTTATCGACTTGTCATCAGTTTCTCTCTTATTGTTCTTCCCTAGTGAGGATAAAGGTGCACTTGCCAAGCTTGTGGAAGCCATCAAGACTAACTACAACGACAGATATGAGGAGGTAAGTGCGAGAGGGAACCTCTCTATTGAGTATAAAAATGAATGAATAATTTGCATCAAAGAACAAGCTTTCATCGATTTGTAAATGCTTTTATCCTTGTTTTTTTTCCAGATCCGTCGTCACTGGGGAGGTGGAATCATGGGTCCCAAATCCACAGCTCGCATCAGTAAGCTTGAGAAGGCAAAAGCCAAGGAACTGGCAACCAAGCTTGGTTAAATTGTTTGGAATAAAAAATGTATGTCCTAATGGAGCGAGAGACGTGTTTTTATTGTCATACTAAAATATATGAACCAAGTTTGAACTGTAGATCATTCATTTACCACAGTCTAACTAGTAGCTACAGGAGTATTGATTGAACATAGTCAAATAGAAGCAGAATTTAGTTTAACTTCCTGTTTTAATCCCTCCTGGGGCTGTTGCTTTGCTGTGATGCTGCACATAAACTTCACAGATCAAGTGTACTAAAATTTCTGCCTAGACAGTCTGTGGTCTTGACATGATGTTACAAAAGTCAGATTGAGAGCAAAACAAGAGATTAACACTAGATATGCAATCTTCTTAAAATACTTAAACATAGTTTGAATATACTTGAAGACTCCAAAATTAGGCAACTGGACTGTGTAGAGTTGAGAAGACGTTTCGCCTTTTATCCAAGAAGATTCTAAATGTCTTCTCAACTCTACACAGTCCAGTTGCCTGATCTTGGAGTCTTCAAGAAAACCATAACCTGGATGAATGAGAATCTACATGGACAGTTGGAATATACGAATTCTTTCAGCTGCTAAGTTTTAGTGTACTGGAAAGCAATCAGCAACATATTGAGCACAGAACAATTCAAGAGCAGAAACAGTATTAATTTATTCATATGTTTCTAGAGAATCCACAGCTATTTACACTTTTGTTTATGCAGTAAACAAGATTACATTGTACATTAAGAATAGAAGTTGCTTGTGACATCTCGGTTCGGTCACATCAGACAATTCTCTTGATGAACTTTGCAAACCACATGTATGAGGTGGCTGCACACAAACCATACCTAAGGAGGAAAAGAGAAGACTCATTTAGATATCTTGAAAAAGTGAATCACAGCAAAGTGTGACACTTATAGAAAACATCATCCAAACCCACCATGTTATTATGTACTGCATGTGCTCATTCCTCAGCGTGACTCTCGTCTGTCCACCTATTGGTCCACCAGGAATAGTGCTCCCTGCATCATGAGACACTCAGATTAGATTTATTTCTACACAGTAATATCTGTAGGTGTAACAGAAGCTTTAACTGTAGAACAATAATCATGACATACTTTATTTAATCTAATCTTCACTAAAATGGAGAGATAATCATGGACTAGATAGATGTGTAACCATACTGAAGTCTGCATCGATGAAGATGGGTTCAGCTCCTGTGACAGCAGACATGGCCTCCAGGTCTCGGTAATGCCAGCGGTTTCTCTCCACATCGTTGTTTGGTACGAAAGGTTTACGTTGTTCTGTCAACCTGACGACCCCGACCACCTCCATCTCACCCTCCACCTTCACAGAGGAAACATCACAGTTTTTTATAACCAACTTCAGACTGCAGAGTAAAATGTAAGACTAAGAGGGGAAAACTTCAGGGGGTAGTTTGAGTTTTTTTTAAGACTAGGTTTTATGAGGCCGTCACTTGTAACCACTGAAGATCTTTCGGTCAAAATGCCCTGATGTGTCACATGATCTGAAAAACTAACCTGTCCCTTCAGCCTGGTCTCTGGCCTTATCTTCTGTTTTGGGACGTATCCTCTGTTCACCAGGATTGTGATGCTAGAGGTGAACGCAGCAGAAATCAGTGAAAGTTGGTTACAAGATGTAACACCAACCAGTAACTATCCAGCAATTAAAGGTTTAAAGGGATATTCCGGCGTAAAATTAATCTAGGGTCAAACACACCGTAACACAAAGTTAGACAACCCCCCCGAGAGATTAATGTGGCTGACTGCTTGCTTTTCTAGTTATACCAACTTCAGCATTGACCGCACATTAGCAATACACAGCAGTCATAAACAAACCTCAACCAAAACGCCACTCTATAGCCACAAATAATGCTCAGAACAGCTCCTAACTTCATCAACAGTACATATAGGGTCCCAGCCATAGTACTAGCCACCAAACATCTTTTTAACTTTGCCTAATTTCTTTAGCAAAGAGACTAAACACAACTTACCTACTCTCTTCCAGCAGCCGCTTGTTTGTAGCAAGACCTCGAGCCAGTCCATTACAGACTATAGCGGGGTGATGCAGCTCAAGGAAGAACATTTATGATAATTTTTTCATGGAAATGCAATCAGACCGAGATGTTAAGGCAGAAGAACTACCGTGTCTGCAGTGCAAAATGATTAATAGGGTGATTATTACTACAAGGAAATGATAAAGAAATGATCATTAATGTTTTTGTTAACTCGGTGTTACGGTGTGTTTGACCCTAAATTAATTTTACACTGGAATATCCCTGTAAATCAGCAAAGTGTACCCGAGGTCAGTGCAGTAGAATGGCGTGATGACATTGGCGCCGGTCTCTCCACTTGAAGACAGCCTGCCAGCTTCTCTGGCCTCTTTCTCGGGGTCAACAGGAGACCGAGGCAGGATGTACAGCTCCTGTGAGTGGTCGTATTGTCCACGCACTCTGACCCTCCTGTACTCTAAGCTGTTCAGCTCATGGGGACTAAGAAAAACAAACATGTCAGCATGTAGTTGGGAGAAATGGGTAAAGCATTTTTGTGGAGGTCAAAAGCATGTGCTACCTTAAATCACGAGGGCAGAGGTTTTTATTAATTCATCTGAGTCTACCTCTTTTGAATAAATGCATGTTTGAAACTAAAAATGTAAAATCTGCCTCTGAATTTAGTAAACTCACTCAATAGGAAGAGGAATGGGTTCTGCCGTTGTGAGTTTTCTAAGGTCATCAATCAGCTGCAATTTCCACTGTCGCCGTTTCACCTTCAAGGAGACAAAAGCACCCTGGTCAGTCCACCAATATCTAAAGGCTGGTTTATAAGTGTGATAACTCTGAGTAAAAAACACCATACCTGCCATGTCCCAAGGCCAAAGGTGGTGGCTGGGATGAGCAGCAGAAACCATTTGAGGAAGGAGTCTTCTCCTTTTTCTGCTCCGGCTGCTGTGGAGCTGCACTGTCGGACGAAGGGAACAAACCTGCCTGGACTCCGTAAGAGTGGGATATTTTCAATTAAAAAAAAGAAAAAAAACATATTTATTAAAACAGATGGCCAAATTTCCAAATCACATTTAAGCAAATTGTAATTTTTGAAAGACAACTTCTAATGCTCGAATTGGATCTTGAAAAAAAGTTATAAAAATAAAGCACATTAACTCTCGAACACTATCGCCGAGTGATTTTCACCCGACCAAACAGGTTTACGAGATTTTCATTATTTTGCGTTTGTCCGAGTATAAACTACTTTAATTTGTCATATATTGTCCTATTGTGATATATTTTGATGACAAGTACTTTTTCTTGGGTATATTATCTCGGGTAAAAATCACCCAGCGATAGTGATGGTGTTACTAATTTTAGTGATAGTGTTCTAGGGTAAATACAGCCTTGAGGGAAAATAAGTTAAATCCACTCTGGAATATTTTAATGATTTTTAAATTTGTTTGTCTTGCCTTACAAATCAACAACCGTAAACCAAAAGAGAAAAGGTGTTATCTTTGGGCTCAAATGTATTTTTTTTAATCAATATATTGTCTCATCTACATTTTTACCTCATAAAACTACTTTCATTGTCAGTTAATGACCAAACTGTGGTCATTTCATAAAAATTAGTAAACTCCCTCAAAAAGTAACTCTAATAATAGAAACTGAACTCAATTTTTGCTATTATTGATTTATTTTCTAACAAGACCGCAAAGAACTCGTGTCAGTGGAAGACTGTCTGAGACCCTGCTGTGCTCCACAGGCTCACCTCAGGGGTGTGTTTTGTCACCTTTATTGTTCATGCTTTACACTAATGACTGTCAGAGTATGTTCAAATCGGGGTTCATCATTAAATTTGGAGATGATTCGGTGCTCATAAGCTTTCTGCAAGATCATGAGGATGGACATGGTCCTGTGCTTGACTATTTTGTTAGATGGTGTAATGATTCTTTTTTGCAGATGAACATGTCAAAAACGAAAGACATGATTCTTGATTTCCGTAAGAATCAACCTGCCACAGCCCAAACCTTTGTTAATGGTAAAGCTGTGGAAGTAGTCAGTCAGCACAAATACCCAGGCACCATCCTGGATGACAAACTGTCATTTGAGACCAACTTAGATGCCATCTGCCGAAAGGCAAATAATAATAATAATAATAATGATAATAATGCATTTTATTTGTATAGCGCTTTTACAGGAGCTCAAATCAGGTTATTTTATCTGAGGAAATTAAGGTGTTTCAATGTTGACAAAAAGCTTCTTAAAATGTTTTACTCTCCTTTTATTGAGTCCATTTTACCTTTTCTATGATATGTTGCTTTGTTAATCTCAGTATTGCAAATAAAAATAAGATGAGGAACATTGTGAAACTTTGCCAAAAAGCTACTGGCATGAGTCTTACTGATCTTGACTCCGTTTTTAAATCCAGTCACTCAGAAGGCTAAAGGTCATTCTGGCAAACCCCTTCCACCCTCTCCATACAGAATTTCAGCTTCTCTCGTCAAAGAGAAGGTTCACTTTTACTTGCGAAGCCAAATCAAACAGGTATCTCAAATCCTTCGCCCCAACAGTCATTGGTTTTTTTAATAAGCTGATGGTGAGATTGATGGGAACAATGCAACCATGAAATTGTGCTGACTCTGTGTATTCACATGTATTTATTAATATTATTTCTGCTGTATGCTTTCTTTCTGTGATGTGAGAATTGTGTGTGTTTATCCTCTGTTGCAAACCAAATTGCCCTTAGATGACATTAAAGAATTTCAAATCAAATTATGCAGTTCAATAACATCAATATATCATTTACCGTCCGCTTGTTTGAAGAATACGAGTCTGGGCAGGAACAGAGTCCTCTTCATCTGAATAACATGAGTCTGAAATGACAGAACAGCAGCTCAGATTGTGACACCATAACAGTGACTTTCACAAGTTTCAGTGAAGTTAATTCAGTATAAATACACGAAATACGTACCTGCTTTTTCAGCGTCGTTAGCAGCCTACTGGAATAAACCAAAGCGGCTTTAAAAGAGGCCATTCTGACTCAAAACAGTGAAAGACAGACTGAAGATGTATTAGACAACCGACTACATAACTTCTCAGAGGGGGGACTTATTTACGTGTTACACCTTCCGGGTCAGTGACGCTCCTCCCTGTGTTTTCCACACGTGTGTACAGAAATGTGTTGATATTCTCCTTCAGTAATTGTACTCCTGTTTGCGTCCTTTTTAGCTCTGTTAAAGTTTTATTTGGTGAAAATGGACCTCGCCTCTAGGGACTCGTACATTCAGAGTCTCGCAAGCAAAGTGATTTCTCAGCGGGAGCACGAGGCAAAGAAGAGACCGTTTGGTATGTGAGCTCACTGTTTTAGTCCGCACCAACATAATAGTGACACTTTTACTGCAGAATAACAGCAAACATCACTGTTACAGCTTAAATGTTGTGGATAATTCTGTCCGAGTCTGCTGTTAGAGGGTTAAGAGAAACAGACTTGGATCCAGAACCTCTGATATGATATGGATAACAGTGTCTAAGATTTGTCAAACCTTTAACCACAACTCCAAACGATCCTCACTTATTCTAGAGAGGCTAAAACTTAAAAAAAAAAAAAAAAAGATTTGCAATACCTTCATTATCTACAGAAGTGCAGTAGGGGAGACGGGGGTAAGTTTAGCCACCCCCTGTTGCTTGAAAATGGTAAAAAATTGATCATGTGACCAAATATTTAGGAGATGGGCATCAATTCATGGAGTCTGTGAAGGTTAGAAGCACATGGGTGAAGGGGTTAGACATTTATTTCCAAAAAGCATTTCTTACATTTGAAAGTGAATTTAGTCTGTCATAAGTTTTATTAGAATTGTGTTTAGACTAAAAAAGATCATTTTAAATTTGCAAACATTTTATTTCTAAAAAGAAAATAGAATATCGCACAAGACCATAGACTGTATAATTGGCACGGACCAGCTGCTGCCTGGCACTGACGTTACCTGGTCTCTTCCAGCTCTGCAGCCAGTCATCTGTCCTATGCCCCTTGTGTTCAGGCTGTATTCTCTCAGCAGTCACCTCACTATTGGCAGCAGGCTGTGCAACGGGTGACGGGCCTGTTGTATAGTAGGCCTGTGTGGTGGTCCAAAATATTTACATTTAGTCAGTAAACGGTAACATGTAAAAGCAGAGGGAGTGTTTAAAAAATAACTGTAAAAAGTCACTTATTAACTCATCTAGAATGCAGTCTGACCACACTACAAACCCACATTGATTTGAGCTGTTTTTTTAATAGATTCTTCATGAATTGATATGTGTTGATGAGTTAAATAAGACTATTTAGTATTATAGTATTACAGACTAGCTGTTAAACTGAGCTTTACAGAAGCCAGCCTGTCTACTAAAGTCCATTGTTGAACCAAAATTTAAAAATAGTTCTTTAAATGTACAAATGGTATTTTTATACACCCGACAAAGGCTGCGATATTTTATTTTCTTAAGTTCAAAACTCCTGTATTTTTCCATTTATATACCTGTTGTGTTGATTTGTGTGTAGCACATGTCAAGGGGAAAAGTGATGGTGGTCCTCCAAAGAAGAAGAAGAAGTGCAAAAAGAAGCATTTTAAAGAAAAGGTTGCAGATGAGAAGACTCAGAAATCCCCCAAAAAGTCTTCACAAAAAAGCCCAACCGCAGCTAAACTGAATGGATCCAAAACCCAGAGCATAAACGGATCTACAGCAAAGCCACCTAAAGGTACATTCTGCATATTCAAGTTTAGTCATTGTCTCATTATGTTGTCCAAAGAGGATATTCTGATTTGTGGCAAATTTCTTTGCAATTCTTGGTCTCTTTCTGCCATTTACAATGTTCTTTTTATACATTTAATTTTTTATAGGAGGGAAAGTCGAGTCCAGTTTCTCCACTGTGGATGTTCTACGAAAGAGACTGCATGAAAAGATCGAAGAGTCCAGAGGACAGGTATGCAGGATGCAGTCAGATTTTTTTACACAACCTTTCTGGAGCTGTCTAGCACACATGTCCTACACATTTTCTGTGTCTGACATCATGAAATACTCAAGATTTTGTATGGAGACTTTATTTAGAGACTTTATACAGAGTGTCTCTGCAATACAGACACAACAGTCAGAAAACGTAAATCTGACACCTGAGGCAAGCAGTGAAAGGTCAAACAAGAAAACTCAGATCAATGTGAACACAGCCACATAAAAAATCTGCCTAAAGACAGGCTAAAGGAATCTGAAGCTTTTTCTCCACCAGGACAGTGTAAGTAATTTTCAGTAGTGTAGAGCACATTTAGAAGCAGCTGTAGGAGCAGTGTGGTTTACCTATAACTTCACCTATTGACTCCTCTACTAGAAACAGGTTTAGACAAATAGCAGAACAGGTCAGTATTTACAGCAGTTAAATGTTTGCTTCCACCAAACGCCAAAGTTTTGGTGTATAAACAAAAGTCTGTATGCTTTTTTCGGATGCAAATCCAGAACAAATGAAGAGTGAGAGGTCCCAGGCAAGTTCAAATACAGTAGAGGAAACGTTTGATGTTTAATTGTGTGTTACAGTATAGAATGAACATGGTGTTTTATTTTCACTGAACAAAAACGGATATTTGTTTCATGACAGAGTATAAGGGCCACATCTAAGATGTTTATGTCTTGAGAAGTAAGTTGTGATAAAGTCTCACAAGGATAACTCTGTTGTAAAATTATTATGTCACAAGAATGAAATAGTTGTTCAACAAGATCAAAGTCATTTGGCTACGGGAATAAAGCCGTAATAAAGGAAAAAACTTATGAGAATAAAGTTGGAGTAAAGTTAGTAAATAACAGTAATTCAAGTCGTTTTTCTAAGAGATTCAAGTCACATTGTTAATAAAATCCTGTTAAATTCATATTCTTATGAGGATCAAGTTGTAGTAAAGTCATAATATGATTCTGATTTGATTCTGCTGCAAACTTCAGGAGTCATACTGATACTTTGCAGCTACAGACCACAGTTTAAAAGGTCCTGCTGCAGTATTTTGATTGAATTTGAAATAAAGCAGAAACCTGATGCAGCCATTACTCTAGTTTCTAATCCTTAAGAAAGCCATTTGTATGTATTTTACTTTGTAATACTGTTACTGATGTATTCAGCATGTCAAGGGCTGACTTGGGCAATAGTTGCATAGTATTTTTGGACTAACAGGTTTTATTGATTTTCCTCCAGGGAGCTCCAAAAAATGCATTATCCGAGGCCGTCCAGGCAAAACGAGCAAAACGAAAACTAGAGCGTGAGCGTAAGAAGAGGAAGAGGAAGGAGTTTCGCATGAAGAAACTGGCTGAACAAAGTGGAAAAGAAGAGCAGCCAGAGATAAAACAGGAACCAGAGCAACACACCCCAGCTGCAAGCAAAAGAAACCAGAGCGCCATCATCTTCAATAAGGTGGAAACAGTAGAGGAGGGATATGTGGACAAAATCCAGAAAAAGAAGGACAAGAAGAAAAGTATGAAGGGTCAGATTACACCGCTGACTGGGAAGAACTACAAGCAGCTGCTCAGCCGCGTGGAGGCCCGCAAAGCAAAGCTGGAGCAGCTACGGGAGAAAGATGAAGGGAAAGCACGAGAAATGGAGGAGAAGATGAAGTGGACCAACATGCTCTACAAGGCCGAGGGCATCAAAATTAAAGACGACGAGGACATGCTGCGCACAGCGTTGAAGAAGAAGGAGAAGAAGCGCACTCAGAGGAAGAAGAACTGGGACAAACGCAGCGGGAACATCGTGGAGAAGATGCAGCAGCGGCAGGACAAGAGAAAAAAGAATATCCAGAGGCGGAAGCAGGTGAAAACAGAGAAGAAGAAGGACAGGGCGAGGAAGAAAGGCAGAGTGCTGCCCGAGGACTTGAAAAAAGCTGCAATTTAGAGGACAGACTTTAAGACAGTGTTTTGAAACAATAGAACACGTACAGTTCACAATTAGTAAAAATCTGTTTTAGCTTCTATGAGGGAGAAATATTTGTGTTACTGTCAATAAAAAAACTTCTCCATATGATGTCAAATTGTGAATATTGGAATTTCAAACCCCATTTTCCAGGCCTGGATCATCCAAAATCCTACAAGAACTAATGAAACTGTGGGCGGATAACCCCATAATAGAAGATAACAGACTGATAGAAGAGCTTGTTTAACAGTGGTCCGGGAAGTATTAAGATCTTTTAGTTAAACTACGATACTTATATGAACACATGGTTAAAACCACTGGATTAAAAATCAAACTGTGGGCTGGCAAAGCATCAACACAATACTTATTTAATCTAACTGAGTACCACTGAAGTGTAACAGTTGTTGATATGTAGGGCTAACTTTATCAAAATAAGCTTGGTACTGGGTCTCATTGTTAAATTGAAATATCAACCCAGTGTGTCAATCTTTAACTGGATTATCTCACATGTCAAATGAAAAACAACAACAGCTATTTTAGTTCAGGTTGTAATATTCAGCAGCATTTACGAGAATAGACTTGGTAGAAATAGAATAAAATATATGTATGATGAAGTTACCATGTAATCGCTTAGCTCAGGGGGGGGCATTTCAATTTGATTCCTCAGAATCCTCATTTCTACAGGGTACTTTTTGGCACTAAATGAACATTTGGAAGCTGGAAAAATAAGATTGTAAAGTTTTAAATGCCACTCATAGTTTTTAGATCTGCTATACTCCTAAATCTTTGTGATATTCTGTCAATAATAAATATCGATAGGGAGAGCGGGGTAAGATGAGCCATTTTTCATATTTCGGATCACTACAACAAGGCAATCATAGTTTTGTCTCAAACTAGTGTATCTGCATTTATTTCAAGATGTTGTGCACTCCTGCAAACCAATAGAATGAGTGTTAACATAATTGTCTTGATAATATAGCATGCCAAAAAAGTGGTCTCTTATGGTCAATTTACCCCGTGTATGGGGTAAGTTGACCATAGGAGCGGGGTTAGTTGAGCACCCCAGCCCTCCCTCACCTTCCCTCTCCCTAAATAAAAGTCACTTCTTTACATTCATGTGTATTTTTTATCAATTATACGCTATTCAACTGGTACTCAACTCTCAACATAACTCAACTTTATTTGTAAAGCACTTAAAAACAACCACAGCTGAACAAAGTGCTGTACACAAATTGACATAAAAAAACAATTAAAACAATGGATAAAATAAAAGCAGATAATAAAAAGTAAAATAAAGTTTCAATGTTTTTGAAAACTAATTTAAAAACATAGAAACAAATAACTAAAAACAAACCATAAAACACTGAAACAGGAGCCGAGTCTCATGCAGAGTTGAAAGCCTATGAATAAAAATGTATTTTAAGACGAGTTTTAAAAATGGACAGTGTGGGGGCTTGTCTGATTTGGAGGGGTAGCTCGTTCTATAATTTTGGGGCCGCAACAGAAAAACATCTATCCCCTCTGAGCTTCAGTTTTGTCCTCGGTACCTCCAGGAGCAGCTGATCCGCTGACCTGAGGCACTGAGCAGGGGTGTAGGGGTGGAGAAGCTCAGAGAGGTAAGATGGAGCCAGACCATTTAAAGAAACAATAATACTAATGGTAGAATCTGTTTTATAAAAAAGATTTTAACATAAAATTTGCCTTCAGATTTGTGATTCAGAACATTCACAGTTGTATTTTTTAAAAGAAAAAGTAAAACATTTCAACAATCTGAACTGAAACTCTGATCCTCTCATCAGACTTCTTTACTTTCTCAGTTGAACCACTGGATCAACTTACCCCTGGCCAAATGGCTTAACTTACCCCAGAACTACTATGATGACTTTATTAGTCCTCTAAGCTAAAATGGTTGTATAAAACAAATTTAAAATAATCTTTTTTGGTCTGAACACAATTCTAATAAAAATTATGATAGACTAAACTCACTTTCAAGAGTGAACTCTGTTTTTTTTTTAAATAAATGTCTAACCCCTTCACCCATGTGCTTCTAACCTTCACAGAGTCCATGAATCGATGCCCATCTCCGAAATATTTGGTCACATGATCAATTTCTTTTACCGTTTCCAAGCAACGGGGGTGGCTCAATTTACCCCATTATCCTCCTACTAGGCATCCCTCAACATCCCCATTTTTACAGGGTACTTTTTGGCACTAAATGAACATTTGGAAGCTGAAAAATTAGATTGTAAGGTTTTAAATGCCATTCGTGGTTGTTAGATCTGCGATAATCCTAAATCTTTGTGATATTCTGTCAATAATAAATATTGATATACATTTAGCAATGAATTCTCATACCACCTAATGCTGACAGCCTCTGCACAGTTTTTACAGGAGCTACCCAGAACTGTTTTGGGAGCTTACTTTTAGTGTCTTAAATAGATTAAAAGTCATATTTTTAGCCGCGCCATTGCGCCATTACGGTTTGATATGTGCGCGTGTCTTTAAAGACTGCGGGCGCGTGCGCTCAGAAGGAAGTTACATCCTGGTAATCCCGCGACAGGAAGTAGAAATAAAAACACAAGGAGGTTGAGGGGGAGGTACAAGAGTTTGATAGACGCTGCGCTGCAATGTTTGCATAAAACATTAAATAACTGCAGGGTTTTGCAAATGAGGACAAACACGGTATTCTAAACCCTTGTATAAGTACTTGTTTATATTTCCTGTTGGGGTTTTTGACAGGCGACAAAGCCTGTGCACTGCAATGACTGTCCTTTAATGGGAATATTCAGGACTCTCACCTCCAATTTGACTGTCATTCGTTTGAGTTCAGTAAGAAATAACAAGGTGAGTCCTGCCACACTTAGAAAAGAGACATTTGGAGGTCAGAAATAGTGATATAATGCACGCTGAACTATAGTCTTTTATTTCAGATTATCATGGCAAGACGACTTCACGCAAGCAGGACAGACGGAGTGGACAAAAACGTTTGGTATGGACTCAATGGGACAAAGGTCTCAAACAGAAGAGATCATTGACTGTTTTTTTTTTTTTTTTAGCTTAAAACCCTAAATACGCCACATACAGAGAACTAAACCTGCGTTTTTATAGTTTTACCTTCTAGCAAGACGACATCTGATTGGTGGAGTGTATGGGTGGAACAATTTAGGAGAGCATTGTTTTTATTTTCATTTGGCTGATTATAAATCTGCTTTTGTCACTCAGTGTAGTTATAAATAAAAAAATTTAAAAAAGCAAATAATTATAAAAAATATAGACTTGGAGAATATATAGGCTTGGAAAATATAGATAATCGAAACTATGAAAGATAAGATAAGAAGAACTTTATTAATCCCCGAAGGGAAATTCAATTGTCTGTTGTCTCACATAATATGCCTCTAAAAGTTATCTATTATTTACACAAGAGTTATAAAAACTGATGGTTGTTGGTATAAAAGATCTTCTGAGTCTTTTTGAGGTTTACCCACCTTTTTAAACACACTGCTATTATTGTGAACATAACTGTAAGAGTAGCTGCTTGATAAAGATAGCAGTAATTTAATGTCTGAGCTGTTTTACATCTACAGGGTTGAATTCACAAAGCTGGCAGCTGACTACAAAGCAGTGAACCTTGGACAGGGATTTCCTGACTTCTCCCCTCCGAAGTTTGTGCAGGATGCTTTCTGTAATGCTGTGAGTGGAGGGTTCCAGATGCACCAGTACACCCGAGCTTTTGTAAGTGCAGTTTGTCTTTCGATGGATGTCACAATGCAAGTGTATTTCCTTGTGTTTTTTAACCAGATGTTAGTAGAATGAATGGATGCAAATCAAACAGCTGTAGTAAGCTCCTGTTTTTATGTTTTGTGTTTTTTTAATCCAAAGGGACACCCCCCTCTTGTAAAAAATATGGCTAAATTCTTCAGCAGGATTGTTGGGCATGAGATTGACCCTTTTGAGGACATCCTGGTCACAGTTGGAGCCTATCAGGCACTTTTTAGTGCATTTCAAGCTCTGATTGATGAAGGAGATGAGGTATGTAATCAGCCCAAGTCAGGTCTAGACAACATGATATCAAAACTGATAACATAAAATCTATTTATGTGGTTTATGAATGAATGTACGAGTGACACAAAGATTTGTAAATACCTGTCTTCCAGGTTATAATTGTTGAGCCGTTCTTTGACTGCTACCAGCCGATGGTGAAGATGGCTGGAGGGAAGGCAGTGTATGTACCTCTGAGACCTGTGAGTGGTTAACATGCAGTAGATCTTGAGCATCTGTCAGCTCATACAGGTCCATGAGAGATGTAGCCTTTATTGTGTTTGGTTACTTTCAGAAAGCTGATGGTGCCATCCTGTCTAGTGGAGACTGGGTTCTGAATCCCAAGGAGTTGGAAAGTAAAATCACCCCAAGCACAAAAGCCATAGTTATCAACACTCCCAACAACCCTTTAGGAAAGGTAAGGAAGCGTGTACCGTTTTAGTGGTTTGAATGAGCTAGCTGATGGATGCAGTATGTCTGTAATGCATATTAGTGTAAGCTGTAAAAGCTGTGGAGTGTTGCATGGGTTTAAATGCCAAAACGCGTCACTTTAAATAACTAAATGAATGGCTAAATAAATTAAATGATTTTGCATTAAAACATAGCATGTATTTATCTCTCTTGTAGGTATATAAGACTGAGGAACTCCAAATGATCGCTGATCTCTGCATCAAACATGACATGCTATGCATCAGTGACGAAGTGTATGAGTGGCTGACTTATGATGGAGCCAAGCATGTCAAGATAGGTGAGACACAGTCAGAGGAATACACTAAGTACAAGGCTGCTTTATTGGTACATTAATCAATTCTGCGTATCCACAGCCAGCCTTCCTGGGATGTGGGAGCGAACTATCACTGTTGGCAGTGGGGGGAAGACTTTTAGTGCAACTGGCTGGAAGGTAAATACACAAATTGTTAAGTTTTCCAAAAATAAGAGCCTCTGTTATGCGTACTATTATGATCATCTGCTGTGTTCTTCTTAGGTTGGCTGGGCCATCGGGGCTGGACATATCATTAAACACATGAAAACCATCCATCAGAACACTGTTTACCACTGCGCCACGGCTGCTCAGGTAGTGATGTAGTGATTTAATTAGACTTTAGAAGTACAATGTTCCTCTTTAGCTTTTCTCAGAGGACACCTCACATCCTCTGATAACTACAGTCATTCTCTCAGCGGCTACATTCAGAGAGGTTTAGTTCAGATTTTTACCCAGCGTACTTCACTTATAAAAACTACATCATGTAACTTATTTTTTGAATTTTGATTTTATTTTATTTTATAACTGACCTTGATTTTATGTTGGTGTGTGCTTTGTATGTTTAACATTTGTTTAATGGTTTTGGTTAAAGTGCGATACAAACATAGTATTGTGATCATAATAAATCTACAATACTAGGTTTGATGAGATTGTCTAATCATTTTCAGATACCTAGGGGACTCATTTTGCTTCCTTTTTCTACCTTTTATTCATTCCCTCACTAGGAAGCAGTTGCTCAGGGATTTGAGAGAGAGTACGAGGTGTTTGGGACTCCAGAGAGTTACTTTCTGCAGCTTCCTGCGATGCTGTACCACAAAAGGAACAAGCTGGCTGCATGTCTGCAGAGCGTGGGTCTGCAGCCCATCATGCCAGAGGGGGGATACTTTATGATTGCAGACATCTCCTCTGTCAGTGAGTGAAAAACATGCACCTATTTTCAACAGTGCATCTGTGCAATAAAAAATAAAAATATTCTTTATGTTTGTTTTTTGGATGTTTTGTTGAAGTATAACATGGCTTTCTTTTGACAGAGGTAGACTTAAATGACAAGAGAACCGAGGGTGAATCTTATGACTTCAGATTTGTTAAATGGCTAACTAAAGAGAAGGTAAAAGTTCTGAATTTTAATTGGTATATTTATTGGATTTTACAGAAAGCAGATGCATGAAGTTAATATCCTTTGTAGCTTTTTTTGGTATAGTGTTTCTGATTTGATTCTTTCCTGCAGGGCTTAGCTACAATTCCCGTCTCTGCGTTCTACAGTCCAGAGCACAGCAAGGAGTTTGACAAATACATCAGGTTTTGTTTTGTAAAGGTAAATCTGATCGATGTATTCAGATAAATCAAAACTGAACCCTCGTTTTTCCCTCAGTCTTTTTCACTCGCTCCTTTGTTTCTCTTTCTTACAGGAGGACTCGACTTTAGATGCAGCAGGGGACATCTTGAGAAAGTGGAGTCAGGCGCAGTAAAACCGTCCTGAGAAGAAGTATTACCCGTCCCCCCATGTCACTGAACCACTCAAACCAACCTGGGTTACCTCTTAATTTAAAACGAGCCATAAAAAGTGTTCTTGCATTAAAAATGCATGAAAACAACGTCCGCTTTTAATTGTCCTTGTACTGAAAAACACTGGAAAAAGAGAAAGTCCTTTTAAATGTTCCTCTGTAATGAATGTAGCAGAAATGTTTCTCAATATAGTATTTCTCTAATCTAAGGGATGTGTTAACCTTTTTAAATTAAATCATGTCCTTTCCCTTTATGAATATATTTTTCTTGAATCAAAGTTTAATAAAGACTTTAAAGCTCCTGTGAAAATTTGTATTGATTTCAGCGTCCCCCCTGTGGCCACAGAAATTTGACAGAAAAACACCACCTTTGTATGCCCAGGGCAAGAACAGTTCTTGCCCTTGGCATACAAAGATGGTGTTTTTCTAATGGAAAATCTCATCCGGCTGTTATTTGACAGTCAGATGTGTAACATTGTCGCCGTCGCCGGGGCAGCAGCTTCAGGAGGGAAGCCCAGACCGCCCTCATTCCAGCCACTTCCACCAGCTCCTCCGGGGGATTCCCAGGCGCTGCCAGGCGAGGCGAGAGATATAATCCCTCCACCTGGTCCTGGGCCGGCTACAAGGTTTCCTCCCGGTAGGACATGTCTGGAACACCGCTAATGGGAGGCGTCCAGAAGGCACCCTAACCAGATGCCCGAGCCACCTCAGCTGACTCCTCGTGACGTGGAGGAGCAGCGGTTCTACTCTAAGCACCTCCCAAGTGTCAGAGCTCCTTACCCTATCCCTAAGGCTGAGCCCGGGCACCCTGCAAAGGAAACCCATTTCGGCTGCTTGTATCTGCGATCTTGTTCTTTCGGTTATTACCCAAAGTTCATAGCCATAGGTGAGGATCGGCACGTGGATTGACTGGTAAATCGAGAGTCTCACCTTACGGCTCAGCTCTTCCTTCACCACGACTAACATATTGTGGTAAAATCACCAGTCTTCTCCCTGTTTGTCATATCTGCTCTTGGATATCATAGAAAAACATCAATATTGAATTTCCCTTCGGAGATCAATTAAGTTCTCATTTAAATTTTTAGTCTATTTCATAAACATCAAAAAACTCATAGGAGCCTGAAGCTGTAAAAAAAATATTCATTTCAAACCTTACTTGGTTAGAATCTCCTCTACAAATCAGTATAAATTCAAACATTACCTCTCAACTTGTATACCATCTTCTGTCATTTTGAAGATCTCATGACTGTTTTCATACATTATTGAGGGGAACGACTGTTGCCATAAAGATAAAGAAGGTTGAAAGTTCAAGGGAAGGAGTGGAGGTGCAGGCAGCTGGACGTGAAGCATATATGACCGTAGTTTGTTTAAATTCAGTCAAGAACCACTAACAGGTAAGAGCAGTGGTAATGCAGAACAAAATACACCTTAATATGGCAAGTGCTAACTGTGTGCATAGATTTAAAAGTGCTTTCATTTCAGATAATCATGTCAAGACGACTTTGTGCACGCAGAACAGAGGGTGTGGATAAAAACATTTGGTGAGTGACATGACGAGTGGACCTTTGACGCCTGAGCTCTGCAATGGTTTATAAGCTGTAAAGAGGATGGGACAGTTCAGTTAGTGTCAGAGGTTTTCAATGGAGCATAAGGAACAACATTAATCGTGTCATTTTTTTTCCCTGGATTTGAACCCAGAGCTATTTCACTTCAGCTTAGACTACAGTGTGACCCATCTTCATTTACAACTACAGTAATGTACTGATATGTATGGGCCTACTTACTCAGGCTGGTTATGGTGATTTAAAAGCATGGTCTAAGTCCAGATCATTCCATCTCTGCATTCAAAGAAAATTTAATGGGACAAGTTTAATTGTATAATTGCAAAAAACTTGATATTTGCACACCAAAAAGTGTGTCCATTTTCAAAAGAAGTACTGTACCATACACTCAGATATTTATACCAGAGTCTTTCTTTTTCACTTTATTATGTAGTTTTTATTGACTTGTGATATTCTAGCGCTGAAGTATTTATATGTAAAACTATTTTAATCATATATTTTTAATTGGATTATAAAAAGTACAAAGAACATATTGTTCAAAGGTGAGAAGTGTTATAGTAAAATGTGTCCATGATATTGTGGATTAAATATGCTCATACCTGAAGTAAATCTTTCACTCCAGAAAACAAAAGCTTATACTATCAGCATTGCCGAGTCTGAGCTGTTTTTCATCTGCAGGGTTGAATTCACGAAGCTTGCAGCTGACTATAATGCAGTTAATCTGGGACAGGGATTTCCTGACTTCCCCCCTCCAAAGTTTGTGCAGGATGCTTTCTGTGAGGCTCTGAGAGGAGGACCCATGATGCACCAGTACACCAGAGCTTTTGTGAGTGGGCTGAAATGATTCAGTTTGAGTTTGTCCGTTTCTTATAATATCAAGCCTCTTGTGTTTCTTGTCTTTTTGTCTGTCAGGGCCACCCCCGTCTAGTGGAAACTCTGTCCAGATTCTTCAGCAGGATTGTTGGGCATGAGATTGATCCATTAGAGGAAATCCTGGTCACAGTTGGAGCGTATCAGGCACTTTTTAGTGCGTTTCAAGCTCTGGTTGATGAAGGAGATGAGGTAAGAAAGCTAACTAAACCCTTTCTGGTTTATAATGGAGGGGTCTCTAAAAAATGATAATGATTTAGTTTTAACATCTGTACTGCCTTCCTTTTGTTCTGGTTGGTTTATCTCTTTTTAAAAAATGTGCTTTTATTTTGAAGTTAAGTTATTTCTGGTGGCCTGTAAATTAAGGGACTAAAAGGAAAAGAATGGTTAAATAAAATAATGTAATACTGTCAAAGTTAATGTCAGATAACTTCTGATGTAGTAGGGGCACAAGCACTAAAACTCTTTGGATGGATCACCTGTTATTACCCCAATGGATTACTTTGTAGTTATTATAACCGTCACAACTTAAAACAATATCCACAAAAGACATGCTAAACAGTCAGAAACTACCAGTCATTAATACACTTTAAGGTATAAAATTAGGCCAATGTTGAAAACTGCAGAATCTCCCTTTAAAGTTAACCTGTAATTTAAAACAAAGACAAACAAAATGACGCAAATTTGTTTTTCAGGTTATAATTGTCGAGCCGTTCTTTGACTGTTACCAGCCAATGGTGAGGATGGCTGGAGGGAAGGCAGTGTATGTACCTCTGAGACCTGTGAGTGGTTAACATGCCTTAACAAAATCATCCAGAGCATCTTCAAACAATTTTAACTATTAAAGTTGCAACTTTTTTCTTTTTTTTCCCAATATTTACAGAAGGCTGCTGGTGGTGGTGCCGTCCTGTCCAGTGGAGACTGGGTTCTGAATCCTGAGGAGCTGAGGAGTAAAATCACCCCACGCACAAAAGCCATAGTTATCAACACTCCCAACAACCCCTTAGGAAAGGTAAAGACAGTTCAAAGTGTGTTGTATTTAAGTGTTTATTACCATTGTGTTGGACCCAGTTTTAATCTCTTTCTGATGCAGGTGTATAAGATTGAGGAGCTCCAAATGATCGCTGATCTCTGCATCAAACATGATATGCTGTGTGTCAGTGACGAAGTGTACGAGTGGCTGACTTATGATGGAGCCAAGCATGTCAAGATAGGTGAGACACAGTCAGAGGAATACACTAAGTACAGGGCTGCGTTACTAATACATAAATCAATTCTGCGTATCCACAGCCAGTCTTCCTGGGATGCGGGAGCGAACTATCACTGTTGGCAGTGCAGGGAAGACTTTTAGTGCGACTGGCTGGAAGGTAAATACACATTCAAACTGAGAGTTCAGGTTAATTGAGTTTTTCTGACTGAACCATATTTGTGTCTTTACTGTTCCAGGTCGGCTGGGCCATGGGATCAGGGAAACTCATCAAGCGTCTAAAAGCCATGCATCAAATGTCTGTGTTTGACTGTGCCACTGCTGCTCAGGTTCAAACATCATTTGATTGATAAAAGACAGAGATGTTGCAGTGAAACTTGATCTTGCCAGAATTTCACGGAGCAGGACTAAAAGGAAAGATCTATCACTGCTGCTTCAGCTTTGAGACTTGATTACAGAGCACAATCATCTGCCTGCTGCTTCTTTACTGAATTAGCTTTCTCCAGATCTGTGAGAGCAAAATCAGATATCTTAGAGGACGCTTTGGTACAGGAGCACAGAGGGAAACTCTCACTAACGAAGAAGTTTTCTCAAGCTTTTAACCAAGATCCAGAGCATGGACAGATACTGGATGTCAAGCTGATTAGTAAAAGAAGAAATGTCGAGATTTATCTTCTGTTAAAAATTCTGTAAAAGCATGAACAACACAAGTGGAGCCAAAAACCCTTAGAGCTCCCCCTGGTGGCAGGCTGTAGTAAAAGCCCTGATTTATCAAACCCAACCCAACTATCATTTCAGTCAATGTTAGCTTGATAAATCACAACTACACATTCATCCAAAAAATTGCAACACCAGACTTTCAGAAAAAGCAACCCCCCAAAAGGAAACAAATTATTGAGGCCCCAAAAAATCATGCGTTATTGATACAAATAAAAGTTTATTTAGAGGAAAGGCGAAAACAGTTTTTTGAAGAGAAAGACTGAATTGAATACTGATAAAGCAACATTCAAAGTAGAAAAAGTGGCTTTCAGTACTCTCTGGTAGACACTCTATGCAGCTACATTTTATACAATAAATATTAAAACAATGGTCTGCACAGGTACATGTCAGTTGAAAGGCTAATCTATGCACAGTAAGAAAAGATTATAATAGCTATGAAGATCATTAGGATAAAAGGTTATTTTTGTATTAACACAGAGAAAACTGTCATCATATTGTTATATACTCCATACAGAAATCAACTGATAAACAGAAACTTAACATTATAGTTTTTACATCGGTTTCATGGATGAAGTGCTTCACTCTTTGTTCACGTTATCCTCCACTTCTTCTCTAACCAGGAAGCAGTCGCTCAGGGATTTGAGAGAGAGTACGAGGTGTTTGGGACTCCAGAGAGTTACTTCCTGCAGCTTCCTGCGATGCTGTACCACAAAAGGAACAAGCTGGCTGCATGTCTGCAGAGCGTGGGTCTGCAGCCCATCGTGCCGGAGGGGGGATACTTTATAATCGCAGATATCTCCTCTATCAGTGAGTGTCATGAGGATTAAACTCGACAGTATCAAGTCTCCTCATCTTGACAGGCTTGCACTGCAATTAAAACACAGAAGAAGCATCCTTTGTAGATGCGGATAAAGTGACTAAATAAAGCAAGACATGAGTGCAAAAGCTCTTCGCAGATATGCATTTGAACTATTAATATCATGTTAACTACCTGTTTTTACAGAAGTGGACTCCAGAGACTTGAGCACTGAGGATGAACCCTACGACTTCAAATTTGTTAAATGGCTGATCAAAGAAAAGGTGTTTTCTTTTTTGAATATTGATATCCTTGTTGAAGGAAAAAAAAAATTCTTTCTGAACTACAGCATAGGTTTCTAATTGTGTATACTCAAAGGTCCCGTATTAAGAATAATATATTGCTATTTTTTCTGGTTTCTTACACAATACATTGACTTCTCTCCGACAGGGTTTAGCGACAATCCCCGTCTCTGCTTTCTACAGTCCAGGGCACAGCAAGGAGTTTGACAAATACATCCGATTCTGTTTTGTCAAAGTAAGCCAATGCAATTTCAATCATTTGATTGAGGATGTCCCTCTTTCTGTGTGCTGCTCTCCATCATTCCCTCTGACCCTCACTTGCTTTCTCTGTCTCACAGGAGGACTCCACTCTGGATGCAGCAGAAGACATCTTGAGAAATTTCATACAGTAAAACAACCCTCAGATTATTGCACCAAGTTATGCATTAACCTGTCCACATCTTGCTCATCAGGTTATAAAATCCAGGCTTTAGAAATAAAATTCTGCAATTTTTTTTCAGCCTGAGTTTTAAGCAGAGAATTATACTGTACATACACCTTTTCTTTCTTTTTCTTGTATTGTTTTCCATGACTAGAGCTTTATTTTAAAAAGGTTTAGTCAATTTCAATAAATTTACAACCTCAATCAGTAACAATTTCCTGTCTTTGTCTCATGGCAGACAAACAAGTTTTTAAAAAAAATCAAAAAATAAAAACAGGCCAGTATCTGGCAGCGGACACTGTGATTTTAAGTAAATAATGACAATTTTAAGTGCTCTTAAGTTCACCTGAAACATCACCTGTTAATAGGGAAATAACAATGAGTGTTGATGATATACACAGACTGCTAAGCCAAGGACTGGGCAGAACATATCGAATACAAGTATTTGATCAAACAGGATCTCTCAGTTTTCATTTGTCTACCCAAAATAACATCTTTAGTAGTTTTTAACTACACAAATGATTTACAGACTGAGAAACATACTGAAGTACATCTTGCAACTTTTTGGGAGCTGGTAACACCACAGTCTCTCCTGCAACAGCAGGAAAACAGTCTGCAACAGCAGCAGAATAACAGCTATTCATTTTGAGAAACCTGAAGTGAGTGAGCTTCCTCATTTTTATTTTTTTCTAATATATACATAAATGTCTCAGTCTCCAACAAACTCTTTTCCTGTTTGTTCTTTCTGTCTTAAATGAAGGCAGGAATCGTTCTGGGAGATTTCTGACACATCTGTAATGTGATGCACACAGACAGAGAGCAGCAGCACTAGCATACATTCCAAGCCATATTTAAGATAATTTTCTGAATGGTAAATAATTGATAAAATAATCAAGAAAAGGGATAGTAAACAGATACAGTGTTAATGTTTAGTCACTCTGTAGTCCTTAAAGAACTCCATGAGGAATTTTTGCTCGGCTAAGGAAAAAGATTCCACTCATGATTTTGTCATTTCGACAATCGACACGTCTGAGCTTTTGGTGTGCTGCGGACGAGCCTCAGCTTGGGTCAGCCCATAGACTGTATATAGAATGGACGCCGTCTGCCTCCCCGCTGGTTGAAGCCTCCCGAGAACAGCACCCTCTGGTGACGGGCTGCAGTATAGGTCATAAATCCCACCTCCACCAGCCATCCTTATGGGTCCGTGGACAAACTTTAGAAATTTATTACACATAATATATTTTTTTTCCCCCTGCTTGTGATGTTGACATGAAGTTATTTTAAACCTGGTTTGTGCTCAAGTCCCCCTTTTTTTCCTGTACAGCTCCATTTTTAAGCTCCATCATGTTTTCTATGATTGACACTTGATACAGCCTATAGGCATACAAGGAATGCGTAGCCCACCCGGGGGATACACTTTTTGAGCTGAGCATCATCACAGTGACTCTCGGCGACTCTCCCACCAAAGGCGCACAATGCTACAGCGCAAGTGGTGGAGTGCGTACAACGCTACTGCGCAATGTTGGTTTCAGGAAATTTAGAGAAAATGCGGAATTACAGAGAGCTTTTTGGCTTTGAATTCGTATACTGGCGGAAGGCGGAGCCAAGTTGTCTACAGTATATACAGTCTATGGATCAGCCTGGCAAGAATAAGTGTCTCTGAAAAACAGCTAAGCCTTGTTAGTGGAACAAGTTGCACCCAGAGACTGTATATAGAATGGACAGCGTTTGCCTCCTTGCTCAGTGAAGCCACTCTGAGAACAGCATCCTCTTGTGACAGGCTGCAGTATAGGTCATAAATCCCAGCTCCGCCAGCAATAGGGTTCCCAACGGTACAGTAAAAAATGGGATTGTACCGTATTTGAAAACAAAAAGACATGTCCCGCTCCTTTTCCCGTATTTTCTGACAGCGTCTCTCTGTTTAACACACTGTCACAGGCTCACATCAGCAGCTTGGCAGCTGAGCTATGGAACGAGTTACAAAACACAGCAGACTACCAGCTATGGGTTGTTAACAAGAGCGCGTTATGCATAGCAACTGTAACTGCTTCTCATTTACACAGCTCTGGACACAAGTACTTACTAAAACAAAGAGGGGTGTGTGATTATGTCCTCTCTGGTTCCATAGGCAGTTTTAGGATTTGCCAACAGGGGGTGCAACTTGCCAGAGAAGTTAGTCTTTGTTTTTTGGTTTGTTTTTTGCAAGGCCAAACCTGGAAAACTCATGTTTACTGATTAACAATAGGATGTGATGTTTTAGTCTGTAATATTTTAAGGAGGTTATATAATTACAGTTAACTGTAATAAAGTGTTTGCACTTGACTTCTTGAATAAGTCAAACATTGTTTCAATATGGTGACATTGCACTATATGTTCCATGAAGAATTATTATTATTTTCACACAATAAATTCTTCAATGATATATTGATAATGTTTCTTGTGTAGTCTGTCTATAAATTAAATACAAATTAAGGTTTTAATTTATGGTTATAAATTAATGTTTGTGTACATGCCTTGGGCTCGCTTATTCTAATTGCATTTATTTTCTAATTGCATTTACTTGGTATATGAATAGGACTTGGTGGTTGACCCACCCTAAATCCCCACATTTTCCGGCCCGGCCTGAAATAAGGGACACCCAAAAGGGACACCAACAATTTTTCAGATTAACTGTCCCTTATTTCAGTTTCTTGGAGTTGGCAACCCTAGGCCGAATGCGCACAACGCTACTGCGCAATGTTGGTTTCAGGAAATAAAGAAAACTTGCGGAAATACCGAGAGCTTTTTGTCTTCAAATCCGCAAACAGGCGGGAGGCGGACCCAAGTTGTCCATAGTATATACAGTCTATGGTTGCAGCTCAGATTAAAATGGTCGCTTATTCAACCACGCTTACCGGTGATAGCCCAGCCTTCTTCAGCCAGTTTCGTGGAATACTCCCTGGTTTCCATTGGCCGGTCCTTATAAGCTTTTATTTTGAAACGGTAGACCCGGAAGCAGATAAATTTCACGTGTCTGTGTGGCTTCAAGATGTCAACTGAGGTAGCAGCGAAAAGACCAAAAACGGTGTCCATCCAGGTACCGAAACACCATTATTTTGAACAAAATGGCTTATTGAACTTAATTAAATCATTTTGATGTTTGCAATTTGATTTTTACAGCCGGTGGAGAGAGTGGACTGGAAGAAAAGGAAAGCAGAAAGTAAGTAAACTGCTAACATTAGCTTCTTTCAGCTCTCAGCAACATGCTCATCGGTTTGGATTTGATCCACTGACAAGATACAGATACAAGTGCGTTTGTCATAAAGCAGAGTTAAGATGGGTTGAAGTGCCCATGGTTGTAAAATGTTTATTTTGTTTTAATTACCATGTTATTAGTGTAGTGGTGGTGTTTCAGGTATGATGCTTCAGCATGTGTGTGGATCAGCTTTATTATGGACTGTGTGATCGTCTGTTGCCTAAGAGGTTCCAGGTTAGAGGTTTCCCTTTAGATGCTTCAGTGTTAAAGGCAGCAGAGCCGGCCCAAGCCTCAATGGGGCCCTAAGCATAATTTGATTTAGGGGCCCTCTATTTCTGCCAATAATATTGATCGTTGATCATTCACACACCTTCACAATTCTCTTTGATTAACACTCAATGACATGCAAACATATCTTTATCTAGGCGCTTTTTCTCTTCTTCCTCTTTCTATTCTCTGCTCCTGAAGGATATGTCCCCCTATTGAATGTATAAAACTTATGTGTACAAAAATTAGTGGTCGACTGATATTAGACCTCAAAGGTCGATATCTGATGCCAATATCACACTGTAGTTTATTTGTTAAATACAAAATACAACAACTGAATATATATTTGAACATACGTAAAGCGTCACTCATACATGCAAAAAAAAAAAAAAAAAAAAAATATATATATATATATATATATATATATATATATATATATATATATATATATATTCTTTTATTTCTCTTGGGGGGCCCCCTATTGCCCGCAGTGCCCTAAGCAGGCGCTTAGTTCGCTTATGCCTTGGGCCGACCATATTGAAAGGCATGAAAGGCAGACCATATTGTGTTTCAGAAATAGTCCAACTTTCACTATCATTAAAATACTCTTAGATCAGTTTTTAGATATACCAAGTCTTTGGCTAATATTGATCGTTTTGAATCCTCCACATAAAATCAGATCACACAAGCAAAGACAAAACTGCCTTTGATAGCCAATGAACTCAGATGAGCTCACAAGTGTGTTGAACCATCATCCTAAATGCTCCTCATTTAGGTATTTTGAGTTTGTTAACCTATGAGTGGTGTCCCCCTGACAGTAAAAGAAGCTCAGAAGAAAAGAAAAGAGACTAAACTGATCAAACAGCTGGAAAAGCAGAAGGAGCTGGAGGCTGCAGAGGCTGCTAAATCTGAACAGAGCCAAAACAAAAAAGGTACAAACCTCATTATTACTTCACAGATCACTAATAGGCAGTGATTTTACCCATGAAGTGCTATAATGTGGGATCTATGCTTGTATCTGTAAGGTCGAGATTACACAGTGAGCGTCGCTCTGCCAGGTTCTGTCCTGGATAATGCTCAGTCTGCTGAGCTTCGTACATACTTAGCCGGACAGATCGCCCGAGCCTGTGTGGTGTTCTGTGTTGACGAGATTGTTGTCTTTGATGAACAAGGAGAAGATGTCAAGTAAGTTTACTTGACAGCTAAGTTTTTACGATGCCCTCAAAAAAAAAACAATGAGTAACGCTTTTCTCTCTGTATCACAGGAGCGTGGAAGGAGAATTTACAGGTGTGGGGAAGAAAGGACAGGCTTGTATTCAGCTGGCCAGAATACTTCAGTACCTGGAATGTCCTCAGTAAGAGGCAGATTTTTCTGTCAGAACTTGTAGCTTAAATTTCTTCCACTAAACAGTAGTAAGTTTTTAAAATAGTAGAATTTGGTCAAAACATTTAGTTTAGGAAATGATAGTGATAGTAGATTAAGAACTGAAGTCTATGAGACTCTGCTGATGGATAATGTGGGTGCAGCTGGAACAAAATGTACATTAGCTATTTCCTGTTTATGTTTTGTGAACTGACCATAGACTGTATATATTATGGACAACTTGGTTCCGCCTACTGCCTGTATGCGGATTTGAAGCCACAAAGCCCTTAGTATTTCCGCGATTTTTCTTCATTTCCTGAAACCAGCATTGTGCAGTAGCATTGTGTGCATTCGGCGGGAGAGTCGCTGTGATGACTGTCAATCATAGAAAACATGAACCCCCTAATAACTTTTTAAAATGAAGCTTTACAGAAAAAATAGGACTTAAGCACAAATCAGTCTTACTGTAGCTACATGTCAACATCACAAGCAGGGGGGAGAAAAATTTATATTCTGTGTAACAAATTTCTAAAGTTTGTCCACAGCTCCATAAGCTTTGCTGGCAGAGGTAGGATTTATGACCTATACTGCAGCCCATCAACAGAGGGTGCTGTTCACGGAGTGGCTTCACCCAGCGAGGAGGCAGACGCTGTCCATTCTATATACAGTCCATGGAACTGACCTTTGAGCCACCTAAATTTTGGTGTGAACTTTCACAGTTATCATAGACATCACAGTTTTTCTTTCTCCACCAGGTATCTGCGAAAGTGGTTTTTCCCAAAGCATCAAGATCTACAGTATGCAGGTAACAGTCCAAATGTTGTTCTGAGGAGGGGCACTCCAAGTCAGACATTAAGGCCTCTTCTTTGATAAAATTCAAACAACTGTAGTCATACCAGAAAAAAAGTGTTTTTTTTTTGTCTTCCAGGTCTACTGAACCCTTTAGACTCTCCTCACCACATGAGGATAGATGATGAATCAGATTACCGGGAAGGAATAGTCCTCGACAGGCCGACCAAACAAGGCAAAGGATCATTGGTCAACTGTGGAATGAGGAAGGTCAGCACAAGTCTTCACTTTGAAATGTATCTTTGCCATTTTGATATTTGCCCCCTGGTTATCCAGCCAGTTTTTTTCTAGACTGCTTAATTTTAAAATGTCAAAAAGCAACATGAGAGCACATTTATATTACACAAAACCTGAGGACATGACTTTAAAAAGGTCCCATTTTGTATAACCAGTCATCCGAACCCTGAATATTGATTTTTATTATACCATGGCATGCAAAAAACAACCAAAAAATATGAAATGAAAGTTCAGCAGTCTTAAATTTCTCTATTTGTGCTCCAAAACTCACTCAAATATTAAACAGTTATCACTGTTCTTGTCATTTTATCATCCAATTTTCTCCTACAGGATGTTCGAATCGACAAACAGCTTCAATCGGGACTTCGAGTCACAGTTCAGCTCAATAAATCACAGAATCAAGGTGAGTTTTGTTCACCAGACAGTGACCTTTTTATTTCTCATTATCTGAATTGAGACTTCATTGTGCACGGGAACAGAGTAATTATCAGTGCTTCTGTCATCTGCAGAGAGCAAACTATTTAAAGGTGTGGTGGTGGCTCCTCATGTGCCCAGAACTGAAGGAGGTCTCTACTGGGGCTACAGTGTCCGCCTGGCATCATGTCTCAGTGAGTTTTTCTACATTCATCACACTATACCATCATTTTAGAGTAGCCCTGGTGTTTGTTCAGGGCTGTTGTGAGTGCTGGTTCAGACTGTCAAGTTTGCTCATCAACTGCAGTAGGAAAACACTAGGTTGTGTATAGGGCCCGACTGATTTGGATTTTTTGGAGGCCAATACCGATTATTAGGGGGGTAAAAAATCCAATTACTGATTAATCAGCCGATTTTTTACATTTTCTATGAAGTTATAAAAAATATATATATAGGTCCGTCACTCTGCTGCGCTGAGGTAGTTTAGTGGATGAAGATTGTCATGAGGTCGCTGCGCCATCTACAGGATAAGTCGGGGAACTTTTGAAATGGCGGAACATTTTCGCAGTGAAACCGAATCTTATTCTCCGCATATTATTTCTGAAATTATAGGTGAAAATCGGCAAGTTTTGGCAGATTACCGGTTAGTCTAAAACGGGCTAAAATTGGCCGATTTAATTGGCTCGTCGATAAATCGGTCGGGTCCGAGTTGTGTATCTTCATTCATTTGTTTGTCTCTTTTTGTACACATCTTAGTTCCATTTGTGAATGTATTTTGAATTTGTTTAAAAATAGAACAGAATACATTTTGGCCTAATAGTCCTCCTGCAGCCCCAAACACAAAAACTTCTTTCTTGTTTTTCTGGCTGGGTCCAAATCTTTATCAGTGGAATAACAAAGAACTGTTTCCAAATCAAGCACAGGCTAAAAAAACAGTTCTGGGACAGACTGGGTTCAAAAGAGGAGAGAAACTCGGACTGACTTCCTCTTAAATCTGTTTGTTGATGCAGGTGCAGTTTTCACAGAGAGCCCTTATAAAGAAGGATACGACCTGACTATTGGGACCTCAGAGAGGGGGAGCAGCCTGGACCAAACAACTCTGTCACCATTCAGGTACCAAGACCCCATTACCAATTAGCACATCCAGTTAATGAGCTGCATGATATATGTCCCCATTTTCCTCTTGTGCAAAAGTGAAAACATTTGGATCCCCTAACCACAACAGACACGGAAGACTGGTGCACTCTGTATGTCCCAGCTGTGTACATGGAGAAGACAGGCTCTATGTCTTGCACTGCAACCAGTCAGTTAAAGGGGTCTGGGTGTTTTGGCCTCACTTTCAGGGGGGAATTATGTCCCCCTGCCTTTTTAGAGGGGTTTCTAGTCCAGACTGAAATAACTCAAAAGCTATTGAGACATCCAGAGGGGTATTCCATGAAGCTGGCTTAGCTCAAAGTTAAGGCTTATTTCAGTTAGTCTCGCTAACTTTAGTGAGAGTTAGGTTCCACAAACGAGGCCTAGGGCTAGTGTGGCTTGGTAACCATGGAAACATGGGGTAGTTGAAAATGGTTTTCCGGTCCAAGTTTGATCAGTCGGTCTTCCTGTCGGCGTGAAGAGCAGTAGCCTACAGTATACATATATTTTTTATAACTTAATAAAAAATGTAAAAAGTCGACTGATTAATCAGATTTTATTTGTGTACAGGCTCATTTGTGTCTTCTCCCTTATTTAAATGTAGGGCACTGGACCACTCTCATCCCTAATAATAATAATAATAATAATAATAATAATAATAATAATAATAATAATAATAATAATAAAAGACATCTCCTGTGTACATGTTTTTTTTCTACTGTTTTATTCAGTGTTTGATGCAACCTTGCCACATGAAGTAGCCCGTTTTTTTCAAAGTTTGCCTACTTTAGTTTTAAGTGTTACCTATTTAGCTGCTACATTCATCCATTATGGATATATTTTGTCAAATCAAGAACATGAATTAGGCCTACATGTAAAATAGTAAATACCACCATCACATTACACAAAAACTGTAAAACAAATAAACTATGCTTTTCCATTCATGCTACAAAAAAAATATATATATATCAACTTCATCGAGAAGTTTCGAACAGCTTTAATTTCATCAGGATCTGAATGATCTCCTCTAGGCCACAGTAGTGTGAGGAGTATCAGGGTGAGAAAAAAAGCTCATCAAACACAGTAGAAACTCAGAAAGTGCTGATTTGACACAGGTCTATACAAGCAGGGTTTTCTTGCACCAACACCTTTTCCACAACCATGGCATACCTGTTCATTGATGAGGAACCTGTTCAAATGCATAAAAAATCAAAGACGTCAAGACTATTTTACCCATTAAAACATTATAAATTAAACAACCATTGCAGTTATGAGTTATTCCTAATAGTGTTCAAAAACATTCCCTCTTAAAATCTAAATTTTCAGATGTGTGCGTGTGGACACATCAGGCTAAGTGATTCATTAAAAAAAAAAAAAAAAAAAGGAAAACAATCACTTCCTCATTTAAACGGTCAGCAATGCTTTGCCAGGCAGCATCTCTGGCTTTGTTAACTGCAACCCTTTTTTGTGATAGTCACTCTGTAGCCCTTATATAACTCCATGAAGAGTTTTTGCTCGGCTGAGGAAAAGGATTCCGCTCATGATTTTGACATGATTTCGACAATTGACACGTTGGGGCTTTTTGTATGCAGCGGACACGCGCTGAGCTTCAGTTTGGATCAGCCTGGCAAGAACGAGCGTCTCTGAAAACCATCTGGGGCTCGTTAGTGGAACGAGTCGCAGCTAAGATTAAAGTTGCCGCAATAGCCCAGCCTTCTTCAGCCAGCTTTGTGGAATACCCCCCAGGTCCATGGTGGTTGAATCACTGTTGCCACTATGAAGTCTATCATGTTTATCTGTGTACAGACTCTGTAGGCAGGTGACTTCATTTATATATAAACATACTGGTTTTCTGTTAGGAGACACTGTATCATCAACTACCAGTGTTCCACTGGCTGTTTGCAGAAAAAATAGTCTGTTTGAAGAGCCAAAGAGTCACAACACATCAGCCATGAGCACCTATCAGCTTTCATCTTTCCAGAAACTAGCTGTAACTGATCGGTTTACACAGATACCACAATGTGATTTCAGCTAAAGACCACTGTTTCTGTCTTTTAAGTAAGCTGGAATTAACTTATAGGAGGGGTACTCATGGACGCTGAGGGATCACCTTCAAGAGTGGAAACACTGTGCCCTCCAAAGCTTTAGAAAATGAGCAGGATTTAAAATCTGCTGGATCACCTGAATACAGTTCCTGTTTATAGTGGACACATGGATTTACAGACGGCTGTAATTGCATTTCTCTTATCCCAAAATAAACATGAAAACGGAGATGTTAATGATCAGATTCTGGAGTTAAAAGGAGTCTTTGCTTCATGAATTTCACAGCAGAATTTCATTATGAAAATGTGGTAGTGTAGAAAGTCACACTTAGCCATCTGTGTATGACTGATTTCATATGAGTGCGCTGTAAAACGAGGATTACAATTCCTGTTGCGAAATGATCATTTGTTATACTAAGCTACTGTAAACATGCGAACAGGTTTCTGCCTGTTAAAGCTCCTGAGATGAACTCACTGTGGATAAAGTAGCCTCTGCTAATGTCCTTTACATGCTCATGTTTCGTCCTGCCCTGTCTGACTTAAGGTAGTCTACGAATGCATAGTTTTTTTGTGAATATTTAATTTGGGCAGTCTTAAAGAGGCTTTTTTCTTCAGCAGCCTCACTGAAACCTACCTCCTGCATTTAAAGTACAGTGTGATACCTGTTGGTCTAGCTGCTGAAAATCTAAATTTCCTCATCTTTAGGCATCTTCTGGTAGTTTTTGGTGGTCTTCAGGGATTGGAAGCCAGTGTGGATTCAGACCAAAACCTGGATGTGACAGACCCCGGTCTCTTATTCGACCTGTACCTCAACACATGCTTGGGTCAGGGCAGCAGAACGATACGGACTGAGGTAAGGGCCTGTTTGGACAAATATGAACATTGAAAGGTGGGGTAGGCAGGATCTGAGGAAGTGCCATTTTTGGGAGAAATCTTGAATGTAAACTCTATCCCTCCCAACCAGTTTTCCCCTCAGCTCCTCCTCTCCCCTCCCTCTCTGCTCCAGCAAGCCCCAACCACAAACAGACACTCCTGCTCGCTCAAATTGTGTCAATTAAATTCAGATATAATGCAGATAAATACTTCAGATAATTACAAATGGGGCCCAGTCAACGTGAAAGTAAAAAGCATTGGTGCTAATGTAGATGCCAACAGACTACCAGCAAACACAAAGTTTGCAGGACTTCTACAACTAGGATAAAGTGACATAGTCCAGGACCCGAGCTAAACAGTAGCGTGTCCTGTGCTACAACACGCAGCAGGTCCCTTCCGACAAGAAACACTTCTGTTACACTTGGGTTACTTTGTTAAAGCATTTACCTGTCCAGCAGAAAGGTTACAGGGTCCGTAAGATCCCGAAGCGTCCCCCATTATTGTTGACCCGGTTTCTTAGCTCTTGTCTGGTCTACATCCTTTTTAATTGCCTGTTATTCCGCCAGAGTCTCCAGTATTTACTTCGTTTTCTTGCTTGTGTTGGCAGTCGTGGCCAAAAGAGGATTCAGACAATTTTCCATGCTTTCTGGATGGTTTCTGCTGTCCGATATTGCAGCACACTAACTTTGTTTGGGCTCGTGAACAACACAGGGGAGCAGCGTCTGCCTTGCAACCAATCGGGATGGGGGAGGTGGAGAATGGCTTTGTTTACAGTCAGAAAGAACGGAGCGCTCTGAAATTTTAAAATGTTGACTACGTAGACATAACAAAACACAGTGATATTGTGATATTCCCAAATGTCATCAATAACTGATATTAAAAGATTTTTTGTATATACACCACAAAAAAGATGCTGCTTTAATGGATTTCTGTCTACCCCACCTTCAACTCACAGATTAGATGCAAAATCTCTTTTTTTTTTTTTTTAGGGCACAAGTGCGATTGAGATGCATCATCTTGTTTTTATGTTTCTCTACAGGAGGCCATACTGGTTACCATGGCAGGGCTGAGACCAAAAATCACAGCTGCTTTTACAGATGTTTCCAATGATACATTAAAGAGTTAGTAACAACGGACATCAGCCAAGAACAAGACATGTTTCAAACTCCTCTTGTGTTAGTTTTATTTCTGTACGTTTTGTTTCTGAATTGCTCAACAAATTATACATATTTAAAATAAAAAATCCACAGACTGACATTGACGTGTGTCATATTTATCTAAAGCTTACTGTTGGTTTTTGACAGTCAGTGCAGAATGAGACATTGAAAAAAACCCACCATAGTCAGTTTCAGGTTATCAAACCAGTTCATACACATGCCTGCAGTGGAGGAGTGGCACATTTAAGTCCAAGAATTAAGGCCTTTTCAGCTCTGGTATTGTGTCTTGATCCATTTACCTCCCTGTTAAAACACATGCTGCATGCATCCATATAACCTTTTATAAGAGTGTATCATTATTTCTAACTAGACAAGAAAGCAGGCACAGATTTCATCTTAATGCGAGGTTAGAGGGAGGCTGGCAGTAATCCTCTGAGTCATGAAGATGAACTGTTTTGAAAAGGTTTGGTATAAAGCCCAGTGCAAATAAACACATTCTGATACAACAGCTGTGCAAATGACCTTTTATGAAGCTGGTAAGGTTTTAGAAAGGTTTCATTTAAAGGTACAGTGTGTAGAAATGGAGATCATTTGTATCAGAGAAGCTACAGTGGCCTTTAAAGACAAAAAGCTCCTGTAATGTTCACGTTTTTATTTATCAACTTCTCCACAACCACATCCTGTTTATTACTATGTTCAATTTGTTGCATACAGATAAATTCCACACACTGCACCTTTTCACCTTTTCGGTCATTTTGGCACCTGTAGTTTGTCACTCTGGTTTGGATCAGCAGTAACATTGCCCAACCGTACACTGAGGCTTTGTTCCTCAAGTCTAGGTTTGATTTCAACTAGGCCATCCCCACTCTGTTACTTCCCCGTTTCCTACTCAACCCACTGTCCCTTCATCAGAATAAAAGCATAAAAACACAAGAAAAGTCATGAATTGTGAGGACACTAAATACACAAAATCTGAGCATCTCCAGTCCCTGCTTCGCTGTAAATTTACAATAAACTATGAGTAAAATAATCTCAAATGTCAGATCACATCGAATTAAGAATTTGCCATGTTTATCGCAAATAGCATCTTTGTAAATAGCAAGTTAACCTTTTTTTTCTGTGGCATAACAGTCAGTGAATTTAATGTTCATTCATTAGTCACAAATTAAAAAACAAGCAGCCAAAAACGTGCAAAAGGTTACATATTTTCTTGCAAAAGGGGCTGCATTTTAAAAACTGCATCATTTCCTTCCTCTGAAATTAAATACAGATACAATTGGTTTCCTTTTCGCTTTAGCAGCAGTACTTTGATACACTACACAATGCACAGTGCATCCTGTTGGGTCTTAGAGCTGAATCTGCATGCACTGGAAAGCCACCGAGGTAAAAAGGTTTTAATTCACAATGTGACAGTTTTAGACTCTTATTATTTCTCTAAACATTCAGTTGAAAATAGAGTGCTGTAAACCTGTCCAAAACAAGTTAAAATATCTCCAAATTCAGAGAACAGAGGCTAGAAATAAATCTTATATAATGATAAAATCTATATCTAGACTATAAAGTTGGTGCAGTATAATCTCTGATTCTGGATGTGGTCAGTCTAGTGCAATAACAAAACAAAAAAATAAACAGGAGTCATTTGATGCTGTAGAAAGGAGAAGTTGATACATCTCTAAAACTAAAGGGGAACTTTCATGCTTCCTCAAACAATCCCAACATCTGTTAAATTAGGCTGAAATCACACCAATTAGGCTGATGATCAAATCTTCTTTCTGTGAAATACAATCACCACAATTTTTCTGTAGCACCAAGAATCCCTTTCAGATTCTTCGCAGTGTTTGATTTTAAACCAGAAGCTCAGTGTTGCCATTTTTCTGTCTTATATGTGAGTTTTTAAGAGATGCTGTGGCTGAAATACCTAACACTGTTGCACTGCAGGATAATAAAATGTCATGTTTTAGGCTGACTTTAAAAGTGTAATACTTGTTGATGTTAATCCTTGCAGCAGTTCTGAAATATAAACGCCAAATCTGGAACATTTCACATGGCTCACATAGCAAATATACAGCTAATAAGATATAGTTTTGTGTACCAATTTAGTCACAGCTTTCCCACAACACGGGAAACACAAGTGCATTTTTGATTGATAATTGTTTTAAAAACATATAAAAAATCATTTAGTTTCTATTTACAAAAACACTTTTGTCCTCGTAGGAGTATATTCTTTCTAGATGCCTCAACATGTTGTCGTTCTGCTCTCCTCTAGGAAGAGGAACCCCCCCTCCCATAAGTCTCCTCAGTCCTTTGGTCCAAAAATAATAGCTCTTTCCAGAAAGCTTCATTCTTCCGGCGTGTCTGATAATAGCCGTCATTCATCACGAGGCTGTTTGAAGCTCGTTCAGAGGGAAGTTAGAGTGAAATCCAGCTCAAAGCACTCAGGGAGATCTCTCTCATCAGTCTTTTCACCATTTGGGATGAGTGAAGGTGATGTTGTACTGCTTGGCCCAGCGTGCAAACACCTGTTTCTCTGTAATGAAGCGATGGTGATTCCCTCTGCGGCCGCTCTCATTCTGAAGGTATGTTAAACATTCATCGGGTCCCCTGGGCTTGTAGTAGTGGTAGGGCATCTTTTTGGATCCAGGTTTTTTCCTGGAAATGAGAGGGTTTCATCAGTTATACAGTCAAATAACCTGATTTGATAAAATGTTGAAACAACAGGAAGTGTGTTTGTTTGGGGTGAGTTTTTTATATCTCCCATTTGAGTGTTTTGCAATGTTCCCACCACCGCCTGCATACCAGAAGCAGATGTAGCCACCCACACTATTTTTGAAACAAGAGGAAAAAAAAATCCTGTTTGGATGTGGGGGTTGTGTTCATACTCTATGGACATGGAATCAGTTTCCAACAGTCTCAGTGACGCCAACCATTTCTTTACAATGAGGCTTTTTTGAGCCAAAAGATATTGGAGACTCAACCTCACTTTCTGTAAACCCTGCAACGGGGAAAGAGGAGGAGGTAATGTGAAAAACAGCTACATCCCACCTGCCTGGCAGTTGACTCAGCTACACCTATAGACTACATCTCTTCAGCAGCCATCTTCATGTAACATCACACACAGGGTGGGAAAACAGATCATTATCATATATTTTTACAGTGTTCCAGATCCTAAATCACTTACACCTTAATATTCGGACAAGCTGTGGTCATTTCACAGGTCCTGGGTGGATGAGCAGCCATACAGACTATGGACAGAGATTATCCAGAGAAAGATCAGGTTGTGGTCTAGAAAACACTCTTAGCCCTTTAGCTCAGGGCCCGACTGATTTATCGGTGAGCTGATTAAATCGGCCAATTTTAGCCCGTTTGAGACTACTCGGTAATCGGCCAAAACTTGATGATTTTCGCAGATATTTTCAGAAACAAAATGTGGAGAATAAGATTCGGTTTCACGTATCCTGTAGATGGCGCAGGGACCTCATGACAATCTTCATCCACTAATTACCACACAGTACAGCAGAGTGAAGGATCTGAAGCAGGCAGCTCAGGGACGCACGGAGGAGAGTGGTCCACCTCAACGGTAAATAAACCGGTTTGTAAAATACACAATAAGTCATCAAGTATAAGTTCAACCCACTTCATGATGTTCCCTGCTGTGCTGGTCTTGGTCACGCCGAGTTAACAGTGAAGCACCATGTAATATGCAAGCTAAAGTTAGAGTTAGCCACATGCTATTAGCCTTGCTACACTGTTAGCCGTGCCAGTAATGACAGAATAAACAACAGTACACATTACATGATCGAGCTACTTCTCTTACTGAGGCAGCTGCATGTCTCCAGATGAAACCGGACCGGAAATGTGTAACGCGAGTTAAGACCAGGAGGCACCTATTGGCGGGGATAGTTGAAAACACTTTTCTGGTCCGAGTTTGATCAGTCGGTCTTCCTGTCGGCGTGAAGAGCAGTAGCCTACAGTATATCTACAGTATATTGTATACTGTAGATAGCTACAGTATATATATTTTTTATAACTGAATAAAAAATTTTAAAAACCGTCTGATTAATTGGACCCCCCCCCCAATAATCGGCATTGGCCCCAAAAAAATCCATATCGGTCGGGCCCTACTTTAGCTAGTATAATATAATCATATACAAACTAGACTGTGTAAGGCATTCTTAATAGCAGTACAAACTGCCCCCTTTGGCATGGCCACACTTGTATTTAATATGATACACTTCACATTTAGAGCTGAAAAATGTTAATAATAGTCCCACTATGGATGAAAATTACACCCACAGCATCAGACAGTACACTCCTGCGCTGACTTAATTTTAAAAACAGGCTGTGTCTGCTTCTTGTTTACAGTCCAGCTCTGTGATTTATTCAGCAGACTAGATAGGAGAAGGCAAACACTGGCTTCAGAGTAGGTTTCTGCTTTTTTTGCACAGACATACAGTTTCCCCACAGGCTTTAAGGAGAGTTAGTGGAGTAACTGTCAGATCGATTAATACTGCAAGTAAGAATCTGGATACCACTAAATCTTAAACACTGCTCCTTTAATAAGTCTACACTGGAGAAATAATGTAAACATTATACTCACAAGCAGTAATTCGGTGGAACCATCCCGTAAACTTTGATATTATCACACATCTCGATGGCTATGACCATGGTGAACCAGCCGGTGCTCAACCAAGAGTGAGACTTCTGTCTGAGAGAGAGAAAACATCACAAACAGAGTTAGTGAACATTGCATAAGCCCAATGTGAGACTGGCACCAACAACAAAAGGGCATTACTCAGGACACTGACCTGTCTCGCCCTGTCTCCCTGTGAAACAGATTGTCAAATCTGCGCATCTTACTGGGCGTGACACTAAAACAGGACAGGTTGCTATAGGTTGTGCTGACTCTCTGGATTAATCTGTACAAGGTTCCTTTGGCTTCCTTTCCAATCTTATTAGGGGGTCCCCAGAAGATGATCACAGGGTTGCTGTCAGTTCGTTGCAGGAACTCATTAGGCCTGCGGACCACCCTGAACACACTGGAGTGGGCTACCACCCTCAGTGTGGTGTGGTTCCCAACGTCAGACTCGAAGCCCATCGTCGGGGCGTCGTTCATTCGTATCACACACTCTGAACGGTCGATTTCTTCTCCTGCTCCCGTGCCCAGGACGTGGCTGGAGCTTGTGACCAGTGCACAGTCGTGGCAGTGGAGGGACATGTTCTGAAAGGAAACGACAACATTAAACCTTAAAAGAAATGTACATTGTAAACTTTTGTTTTCCCAAGTCATTGTGATAACAATATTCAGAGATTTTAGCGGTCTATGACTGTGGCTGTTTTTTTCTGTCCATATCTGGCTCCGTATTAAACTGACAATTTTGTTCACATGTTTTTATAAATTGGTGTGATTCCACCTTGTGACCATTTGACAACATAAGTGAACTTTGTATCACACTGCTTTATGACTCTTCCCAGTTTAACTCTGAGTGGCTCAGAACAACTTTACATTGTTTTAAAATCTGCCCTGATTTAATGGAGATATATTAAATAATTTATTGGACTGGTACAAATGTGCATGAATACAGCCACGTGTCTCTCCCTCCAAACTAGAAACCGCTGTCATTACTAGGAGACTAAGTACAAATGTTTAAATGAGTGGGGCTGGGTAGTTAAATATTGATATAATGTCAAGTGACAATGCTGGGCTGAGAGACTTGCAGAGCCTGCAAGGACAAAAAAAACCCTGGAGCCAAAACAAGTTTCAAGACCATTGAATCTGACTGCTAGAATTTGTGAACTCATTATCAAGTGGTCCATTTTTCCAGAAAATTTCTGGTATATAAAGAGCCTTTGGGACTAATTCCTGCTCACACAGCTAAGTCAAACATTAAGTGGCCATCAATCCATCAAACCATAAAACCTATATAGTGATTGCTTTGAGCAAAGGTCTCCTTATGAACTACGAAACAAACCATGCTATCAAAAGACAGATGGGAGATGTCACAATCAATTCTTGTTGTACATAGTGGGGCCCGAACCGATTTATCAGTGAGACGATTTAATCTGCCAATTTTAGCCCTTTGAGACTAATCGGCAATCAGCCAAAACTCGACAATTTTTACAGAAATAAAATGCAGTGAATAAGATTCGGTTTCACTTCGAAAATGTTCCGCCATTTTAAAACTTCCCCGACTTATCCTTTAGATAGCTCAGCGACCTCATGACAATCTTCATCCACTAACTACTTTTTTTTTTCGATAACTTCATAAAAAAAAAATAAAAAAAAAGTCTGATTAATCGGTAATCAGACCCCCCCCCCCCCCAATAATCAGTATCAGCCCCAAAAAATCCACATCGGTCGGGCCCTAGTACATAGTGTCAATAAAGGTTCCATTTTGGAACAGTCTCTTTACAACAGAGACAAGGCTTCAAAGCAAATACTTAAGGGGTCTTTAGCTCCTGAGTCCTTGCATGACATGATTCTGTAGTGGAAATCACCACATGGGTTTAAAATCACTTCCAAATACCATTTTCTGTGAATATAATTCAATACAATTATCACTGACACCAAACAGACATTTTGATTCACCACAACAACACTCTGATCTCTTCTTCCCGCCAGTTTGACTCACAGCCTTACCACTCATATTACCTCAAGAGTCCTACACTCAAACTTATAAGGGCATTTTGTGTTTTACAATTCAGAAACTGTAACGGAATTATTTTATTGCTGTGGTATACTATCACTGTTACCCTAACTAACCCTGACCCATCAAACCATAAAACTTATATAGTGATTGCTTTGAGCAACGGTCTCTTTATGAACTAAAAAACAAATCATGCTACCAGAGACAGATGGGAGATGTCACATTCAACACTTGTAGTACAGAGTGTCAATAAAAGTTCCATTTTGGGGCAGTCTCTTTACAAAAGAGGCAAGGTTTCAAACAAATACCAAATGGGTCTTAAGCTCCTGAGTCCTTGCATGACATGATTCTGTAGTGGAAATCACCACATGGGTTCAAAATCACTTCCAAATACCATCTTCTGTGAATATGGTTCAACTACATTAAAATTGTACTATGCAAAGAGGGAACATTATAAACATTATGGGGGTTTATCTGCACCCAAACCTGTTTAAAATGGACTGAAATGAAGAGGAAAACTGTCTTGAGTTCTAGAGCATGAAAGTTTGACTTTAGAATTGACAGCTAGGAGCCATCCAAAGGGTTAAGCACTGAGATTTTAAGCCAGTCTCTATGATGTCAAAGGATTGCATAGAGCATGATATGGGTATGTCGTTCCATGCAGGTTGTACAGGTTGTACAGGTTTTGGAGCAACGTACACTGAGACCCTGATACTGCCAAAAAATACGTATTACTATTTAGTGGAAGAGTCCTAGTGCTAGGGCTGGGCGATAAAATGATGACGATATATATCGAAAATTAGTTTCCCTCAATATCAATATAGAAAATGGTCAATATGCTTTTCGATAGTTGGCATTCTGACATGTTTTGGTAGACTCTACAAACAGAAGGGCTGGGACGATATGCTTTTCTCCCGATTTGTTTCCTCTATGATTATTTGGATGCCGATTTGATTTAAATTGCAATTCCACCATATTGTCGATTTTCTTGATTTTTAGTCTGCATTTTTAACACCAATGAAACAGTTGAATGATTACGATTGTCTACTGACTATTCCAGGAACCATATTTCCACAAAATATACACATCACATCTAAGTCAGTTTTTAAAATTTATTCCTAAATTTGGAAAAAAAATCACCCTCTGAAGATAAAACAATTCAAAAATTGTAAAACAAAAAATCACAATACTTATGCGAATCGATTTTTTTCTCCCACCCCTGATGAATAGCCAATGCGAAAGGAAGTTTCTCCGGGTCCACTTTGCACTGAACCAATTATGTGATGAATTAGCTCCAAGTAGCAAACAACTGCATAGTAGCAGACTGCAACTACGCGCAACCATAGCACTTTAACAGCACAACGCCTCACAACAAAATGTCGAAGAGACACAAAGACCGCACAGATGCAGTAGCTTGTGGTATTGCAAAAGATATGCTACCAATAAGCACTGTTAAATTTCATTTTTTATATTGTGATATATATCGATATTGACTGATATGAAAAAATATATATCATGATAAACTTTTTCCCATATTGCCCAGTCCTACCTAGTGCTAAACTGGCTAGTAAACAGCCCTAACTTACTGATATGCTCCACTTGCACAGCAACTGCACAAGCTTAAAAACACTCTCAATTACCAAATGAAAATGAAACCACTGCTGGTGAGCGTTTTAAATATGAGCACAGTTGTTAGTCACATAGGGCCGCCTTTGGGTGGGGCGCAACATTACTCAATGAAAACATCCAGTGCACCGTTAAACCAAAAATATGATGATGGAAACCCCCTTACTGTTGAGATTCTGTATCAAACCCCCAGAGACAGGGTTTCCTCCAAAGTTTACAGAGCATTGTTAAAAGAAGAGATGATGCAATTTGATGGTAAACATGCCCTGTCCAAACTTTTTTGAAACGAGTTGCTGGCATCAAATATTAAAAAGACATTATATTAAGTTTTATTATAAAACAATCAACAATCATAGAACTGGGGTTGTAGACCTATTTGAAGTGACTTCATAGACTTGGACTTTTAGAATGAACAACTGAGTTCCCTTGATGGCCATGAACTGGGTGTGTGTGTGAGTTTGTGCAATTGATAATTAAATCACAACAGATGCATATTTCATTGTTTGTGTGTTAATGGGTGTTACAACATGCAGCACGTGAAGTCTGGACTAGTTCAAGCCCAGAAACACCTTCAAAGTGCTTCCCATTTACCTGTTACTTTGATATAGTTCAAAACTAATCACACTCTTTGGGCTCAGCTGTACTCAAGCAAATGGGAAAATGCTGGCATCCCAAGCTTAAAGGAGGTGACGGTTTAATGTGTGCGCCATCAAACACACAGTAGCACAGAGCTACTGGCATAGCTACATACTCATTGTCTCAAAGTTACATAACAGGCACAGAGACAATACAGGTCCAGTACAAGGGGGTGTTTGAAATCTCAGGAAGCAGCTGAACAACTTTCTCATCCTGTTTAAATGCGTTTTTGATCTATAACTTTATGCTCCTTAATGTATAACTCCCTGATTGGTATTATGTGAGCTGGTTGCACAGTACTGGGATTTTACACTTAGTTTCTAAGAGGGTATTGTTTCCGTACTCCTTTGTTTGTGTAGATCCCAAAATGTACCTTATTTCCGCTGACTGGAACATAACCCTCCCTGCCAGCCCACTTCTTCAAATCTGTAGTCATTAGAGCATGATTTGTGGCCACATGGAAGGGAGCATAGACGTCATCAGTGACATTGTTGGAGCCGTACAGGATGAGGAGTGTCATCAAGACAAAGATGGCTGCCAAGATAACCATCCTGTGGCTTTGTTGCCCCTGCGGTGAGAACAAAGACAGTGATATGTTACTCAAGACTGTTCTGCTGTAAAGATCATAAAACATAAAAAAAGGAGTGATGCAAACCAGTAGTGTTGTTTAATTTGTAGTGTATTGTATTCTGATACAATATCCCATCATGTTGTTACTTTTTTATCATATGTCGAATCATATTGTGTTTTATTGTCTTGCATGGTAAAGTTTGGTCTCATATCATATGATTTATCAAATTATTCTGTATTGTATCGTATCGTATCTTTTTGTATCGTATTGTATCTTTTGTACCCTATATCATATCGTATCATTTGCATAACATATCATGTCGTATATTGTATAGTATATCATATTTTATATCGGATCATATCATTTCATATTATATCATGTTGTTTTGTATCATATTTTACAGTATTCTTTCCCTAAAGTATTGTATATTATATCAAATAATAAACTATATCATATTGTATATCATATTAAAATTCATCATGTCATATTGTAAGGTATGGAATTGTATCGTATCATATCCTGAGTTACCCTGCAATTTCTATTTGTCCTCAGCACACACCGGCAGGTATATATCATTATTTTTATGCATCACAGCTCTTCAAAGAGGGTACTCAAATATCTATATCCTCCAAATCTACTTTTCTTACATACATCTTATATACCAAAAATCTACATGAAACATATGATCAACCTATGACCCTTACCAATCTTTTTTTAAACTGACTTTAGTATAACTTATGTTTATTATAACAGAAATTTATACACATTTATCACATGCTATCTTTTGTTTCTTATACAATTTTTTAAATGTTTGGGGGTTAAGCCAGGCTGAAACTTTAAGCCAAAACCAACTTTGGCATCGTCTTTCACTGGGGTGGACAGTTATAAAGTAAATTTGCTTGAGTAATGTACTTCCAGACATTTTTTGAGTATCTGTAATTTACCTGAGTTTAATTTTTAGGGATGCTCATTACTTTTATTCCACTATATCTGAAAGACAAATATTACATCGTTCAATGTTTTTGTTACTTTTGCTCTGATGCCACTTGGTGAATTCTATTTCCTTTTCTCTTCTAACACCAAACCAAAAGACCAACTGTGCTCTTTAGTGCTGCTGCATGCAGTTTGTCTAAGTGGGTCATGCATCTTGATGGTTGAATGCAGAACAAACGCACTTGAAACAAGCGGTTTGGTAAGTGGTAGTAGTAATGGCCAAAGCAGAGAGGGATGATGATACTCCACCTGAGCACAGATGATCATATCTTAAGCCCATGTCTGACACCTCAAAATTAAGAACCATGTGTATAATTTTTAATGGTCCCTCTGTTTACGGCACACAAACTTCATCCCTGCAATCAAAACTTTGTCGTCTGACCTGAGAAAGTAAGTGGAGTTATGTAGTTTTACACCAGATAAACAAAGTTGTCAGTGCTTGGAGTAACTTGGCTATCATTTTTATTCGATGATTTATTGTCTCAGTTCTGGTCTTATTATTTTAGTTTTGTTTATTAAGTGTTCTTTTTTTATTGATCTTTTGGTCAGACACATACAGAGAAAAACATATACACTTATTAGTTAAAAAAAAAACCTGAAATATATTGTTTTTTTTCCCTCTTTTTTCATAGTCTGTCACATCTTTTATTTCTTATACTTTAACTTTACGAACAAGAACACACATTCTAGACACAGATATGAGTCTGCAGTCCAGCAAAAACCTACAAACAAGCCAGACTTACACAAAAATATGAATAAATAAATAAAAAATATAAATAAAAACAAATAAATAAATTAAAAAATAAAATAATAATAATAATAATAATAATAATACACCCTAGGAAGTACTCATAGTATACATGTATACAGTGGAATACAGTATCCTGCATTAAAAAACATGCAAAAAAGAAATATTATCTAGAGGTAGGCAGTGTCAATCTTTCACATCCCGCAATTGAGCTAGGAATGTGCCCCATATTTCATTAAACAGATCCTCCCTACCAGCCACTCTAAAAGAGATCCGGTCATAGCCTGCCATTGAGCTCAGTGCCTCTATCCACTTCCTAAAAGTGGACGAGGTGGAAGATTTCCAGTGGTGTAAAGTTATCCTGTATCCTGTTAACATGGCTAAGTGACACCATGATTTTCTGTGTTTTGGCATATGGGTATTATTTGGTATTTAACCCAAAAGACATACTGAAGGGTTTTTGATCAAGAGTGTACCCAACATTTTATTTAAAAACAAAATTATTGCATTCCACATGTCACTTGTTTTTCCACATTTATATACCATATGCACTAAGTATTATTAAGTATTCTTAACCACGTGAAGTAATTTTCAGTCATTTGACTAAGCATCTCAGTATTAACATTTGACGAGGAGTATCTGCTTGTAATTAAGTTGTGTACTATGTTCAACTTTGTGCTGTTGTACCCTGCTATCGCCACCGATCATCTACTAAAATAATTCTTTCCATTTCCCTGTGTCCTCAATGTAAAAAGTAAAACAGGGTGACAACATTCTTTGCTTAAACATTTCGACGTTCAAATGGACGGATGTCTCAGGTATTAATTTTAAGTACCAGAAAAAGTACACTTAAAGCTGAACTCACACTCTGAATAGTTGATCTTAACACAAGTCTTACCCCTGATTAAGGATAACTGTCAGGACTTTTGAGTTGGAGTATTTTAACACATGAGGAACCTTTTATTTTTTACAAAGTCATGCATTGGTGTAAATGTCTTCACTCTGAACAAAGAGACAATACAAAGGAAAAGGCTTACCTTGCCGCTGATCTTGGGCCCCATGCTGTCTGATCGAGCGGTGTACCGACACACTACTGTGACTGTCTGTCATCATACCTGGCAGGAAAGAGGAAAGAGAAAAAAGCTCTCATCCTCTCACCGTCTTTTCATAACTGTTTCATAAAGCCATTGTTTTCATAGTACCGAATTTGGAAACCCATCACACGATTTTACAAGTCAATATCACAGCAACAATTTCCTGAGCGAGGTAACCGTTCTTCATGGTAATTTATCCAAATAAAAAAACTAAAAAAGCTCACGAGAGAAGACTGCCATGTTTAGTTTACCACGGCCAACCGCCGCGGTGATAAAAAGCAACACATACGTTTGTTTTGACATGGAAATACCATGTTACGCAGCCATTCTCCGTCCACTCCTGGCGTCAATGTACATCTTTTTAAAATCAATATCCAAACCGATTAGGGTTTTAACTGAGGTATCATGTCTAGAGTGTCCGAATTAACGCCTGTATTTGTTAATCCGCTTTACCGTTTCATGGTCGACGCAGATCTCTTATGTTGATGTCTCCCTCATCCCTCGCGCGCCCCATCTTCCTGCACCACTCCTGACGTCATCACAGCGTCTCTCACTGCAGCACAGAAGTGAGTTAGGGGAGGGGGGGGCTGTCCAATATCAGGGTGAGTGTACATGTCCCAAAAGCAGCCCCGTTTGATGCACCTTCATTTTAAAGCTCCTCCACGATCATTTCTTATTTAAAGCTGCAGTAAGGAGTTTTTGACTGGTAACGAAATAGACTGAAATCTGCAGTGATGCCTCTCTGTGAATTAACAAAAGCCGAGGAAATCGTACGTAAAAGGACTGACAATTATTTTGCTTTATTTTTTAATGCTTAAAAAAAACTGTGAGAGGGTAGGTGTCAGGCTAAATGTTTGGCATCACCCTAAAACAAAGCTTATCTTTCTTTTTCTTCAGAAAATACTAATTAAAGGTCCTTACACACCTGGGCTGACGCAAATATAGAATGCGAAATCACGAAATATTCAGAGGCGAATTTTGACACGCCTGACTATACACATCAAGGCCGATACGATTTTGCGACTTTCTGGGGGTAAGACACATCCCGGGGAAGACTTTTCCGGGGGAAAGTCCCGCCTCCTTGGCCTCTGATTGGCTAGAAAAGCTGGAAACGTCATCACACGCTCAAGCCAAACACTTGCCAATCAGAGGCGAAGGAGGGCAGGACCTTTCCTTAACAACCAGCTACCCGACTGGAAACAAGAAGACAAAAATGGAGTCTACTTCAGCTTCAAGTGATGGTAAATTGGTACTCCTTTTGTTTTCTCAAAGGAAAAAGAAATGTAGCACATGGATGCATCCAATATTTAAAAAAAAGAAGAGAACTTGGTGCTTGGTTCAGGAGCTGAAACTGTACCACGGTTGCTGATTGTTGTCAGTTCTGATTAGACACTAGTGTTGAGATGGCTGTCTGTCATGATAGGAAATACTGAGTCGGGGCCAGTACCAGATAAGCACATGAAACTATGGTAACAACCTTTAGCTTACGTTAGCAAAGATGAAAGTTAAAACAAAGACGTTTAGCAAACTGTTAAAGCACACAAACTATCGTCACTATCGAGAAATCCGACACTATGACTCTCCACAAGATGTCCTTCAGGTTGTTATCTTTGTAATATTTGTGTTTTTTATCAAAAAGTACTCTGTTCTCCGACACGAAAATAATCAACCGGTGAATCAGACGTTGCAACAACACACAATCTGATTGGTCAGAAGTGGACATACAGTCAGCAAAATTTATGAAAAATCGACCATGATCCGAAAAAATAAATGCTGCAATACCGCAGAACGGCAAAACATCGCTGATGTAAAAAAAAAAAAATGACGTCCGAAATAATCGCACGACAAAAACGGTCCTGGTGTGTAAGAACCTTTAAAGTGATATATTTGACAGTTCAAAGACAGCAGGAGGAAAGTTTGAGCCTGGAAACGTTGTTTCTATGTATGGAACATAGGCTGTGTCTGAAATGAATCACTCAATCCCTAACCCCTAACCCCCATATGGGGTTTCACCAGTGGCGATTGCTCTAAGACTGCAAGGGAAGCTCAGCTTCCCTTACAATGTCCCCCCCCCCAAAAAAAGAAAAAGTGGTGAAATACGTACTGCTGTGTGAACATTTCATTAACTAAATACGCGCTAGAAAGCCTTCATCTTTTGTTCAGAATCAGCTTCTTATCACACTGTGATAAGAAGCTGATTCAGCGAAACTAGATGCTCATTGGATAAATGCTGGGCTTTGTCCCGCCCATCGGACGCTCAGCGTCTCTGGAGTTCTATGACGAGAGGGCGGTCCCAACTTTCTTGCGGACGCTGAGCTTCTGCATCCATGATTGGATGAGCTGTCTGTGGCGAAACCTTTTTTTGAATGACAGCTAAACAAGCGAATCAGCGATCTTGAAGAATAAAACATCTACCAGAGCATTTTCCAAGTTATTCATTCCGTTGTTCTTAACTGCTCCAGAGACTTTACCGATCCTCAGCGACTTTTGTCTTTGTTTAAAACGACTGCTGTTGTGTTTGGCGACTCTGTTCTGTTACATACAAATAAACAAACACAATTATGATGTAGGCCAGAAAAATGAGCTTCCCCTCCTTGAAAGACCAGCAGCCGCCACCGGGTTTCACTATATAGCTAACTATGTGGTAAGCTGAATCACCAGAGGTTTCGGACACTACATGGCTCACCGTTGTGACGTCACTGCTCAGACTGCCGCGTCTGAAGTTTGGGGCTGTTGTTTTTACATCCCTTGAATTTTATGATGTTGTATAGATGTATTTGTTTTTTCCAGGATGTTCGTGAAATAAAAAGATAAATAAAAAACAATATATTAATAATTCATTTAAAAGGCCTTATATTTTCATGCCGAATATTGTTTGCTGCGTCATATTGTGCACAAGACTATATGACGCAAGCAAACAATTGTTTTTCGAAAAATGTACGGATCACTTGCGAGTGAAGATAAAAAACTTGCTGAAAATGGCAAATAAAGCTCGGGTTCTGTCTCTTCTTGCTCTCGTCATCTCTATCTTTGAATTGCCGCTGGAGACACAATGCATGACGGGATGCCCACCACCAGTGGGCGACCATCGGATGGTCACTACATTTTGCAATGCTCGATGGGAAATTTTGAGTCGCCTATATGGTGCATTGGAATTGATTACTCAGGTTTTGGACACCCCTCAAATGGCCCATATAGTGACCTATATAGGGGTTAGGGATCCATTTCGGACACAGCCATAGACTGTATATAGAATGGACAGCGTCTGCCTCCTTGCTTGGTGAAGCCACTCTGAGAAAAGTACCCTCATTTCCTCTTTATCTTGCCTGCTTTTTTCTTTAGCGTATCAAAGGGATATTCCGGCGTAGAATTAATTTAGGGTCAAACACACCATAACACCGAGTTAGACACCCCCTCGAGAGATGAACGTTGCCAACCGCTTGCTTCTCTACTTATATCAACTTTAGTAACGACCGCACGATAGCAATACACAGCGGTCTGAGGAGCCAAAAACAAACCTCAACTAAAAAGCCACTCTATAGCAACAAATAATGCTCAGAACAGCACCTAACTTCATCAACAGTACATATAGGGTCCCAGCCATAGTACTAGCCACCAAACATCTTTTTAGCTTTGCCTAATTTCTTTAGCAAAGAGACGAAACACAACTCACCTACTCTCTTTTAGCAGCCACTTGTTTGTAGCGAGACCTCAGGCCAGTCCATTACGGACTACAGTGGGTTGACAAAGCTCAAGGAAGAACATTTAAGATCATTACTTTATCATTTCCAAGAAGTAATAATTACCATATTAATCATTCTGCACTGCAGACGGTGTAGTTCTTCTGCCTTAGCGTCTCGGTCTGATTGCATTTCCATGAGGAAATGATAAATTAGATAAAACTAAAGAAATTAGGCAAAGTTAAAGAGAATATATATATATATATATATATATATATATATATATATATATAAAGAATATGAATATAAACCCCCACAAATAGTGTGGAAGAAACATTGCTTGCTTGTCTAATCTGCTTCCTTGCAAAACTTTCAGCCAATAGTTTTTCCCCCCACACTAAAAGTCACTGTGGTGGGATCAGTGAACAGTTTGAAACATACTGCTACAAGTAATCTGGAAGATATGCAGGTGCTAGACCATTTTGTGCTTTACAAAAAACAAGTAAAAGGGCTGTAAAACATATCCTAAATGTAACAGGTGACCAGTGCAAAGATGCCAAATTGGTTTGCATTAAACCAACGTTAACCTTCTTTTTTTCCCCTTGTATCTCAAAAAAGCAGAGAAGTGACGCATTACTGAAAAAAAACCCCATCAATTTTAATTTTAATTTTCTAACCAAAACAAGATAGGAACATTTTTTTTAATCTTTAACAGAGCTATAACCACAGGTAGAAATTTCTCACAAGTGTGTTATAATAACTTGTGTAAATATGGGTGAATTTTCCTCTGACAACCTCAGTGCAGATGAACAGATCTCTGGCACCCCCTCTAGGTGAATCCAGAACCCAAATGCAAATTAAATGAAGAATGTGAAATACTGTAAAAACCATTTTTATTTCTACTGTTTAGGTGTTGTGTTCATAGCGGGCTGATTTGACAGTAAAATCAGACGCTTCTGAAGAGATAGTGACATGTAGAGTTCAGTGCAAGGGTTCAACCTCTTATTTCATGGATTTCAACTTTTATGGAATTATTTGTCAATCATGTGTGCAGTTTTCATTTTCTGTTGGGGATATTTTTGTCATTTTCAATACTGTCACTTTGTCATTGTCAATACTTTTGCTGCTGACCTTCAGGCCTACTGCAGCGTTATCTGGTAAAAACAGAAATAACCTAGATAACTTGTTAAACTGGGTGGCAACATAACAGCCAAACTGTCAGTATTTCTGACTTGACCAACCAGTACACATCAAATTCAGCTTACACCATTAAAGAGCCCACAGGACCACCTCTGGTCTAAACATGCATATACCTGAATCCTGTTCCAGTTTTAAAAAATGTAGAAATAGTACTACCTGCATATGAAACATTGTAAATGCCCTCTGGACGCCTCTTCAATGGATGAAACGTTAAAAAAATTTCCCTCACGGTGATCCTCTTACATATTAGACATTAAAAAAACACCCTCTAGATATTAATCCAGAATAGAAACTGTGGAAAAAGAGTTCTCTGGATGCACTTCAAACTTGTGCAACAATATATTTGTTCCAGCCCACACTGTTGTGAAAAGATATCTAATCAGTAAAAACACACAAGGTCAAAAACAAAGACTGTGCTGGACTTCAAACTGAATTCATTGTTTACTGTTCAAGCTGTCTAAAAAACACAGAAGTTATTGAAAATGTGTAAAAAGGAGCACAAACACATTTTATTTGACAGCAGGTTTATTCTCAGTAACACCAATGTTGGTGACACCAATCAGCAGTGACAAGTGTTTAAAGTTTACATTCAAGTTCACATTATTACACTAACTGAGGACACCAAAAACTCATTAACAACATCTTTTACAGCCAACATGTAACGTCAAAGTTGGAAAACACTGTAACACAGCAGTTATCTTAGAAGTGCAAAAACCATTACAGTCTTTGGAAAACTCAGTAACAAAAAAAAGGCAGCGCTTTGCTTTGACATGGTTCAGTGGTAGCAAAATGAAGAAGACGAGTAAATCATTTTGTATTTAACACTGTGTTTGTTAGCCATCGATTACGCCTTGGCTGAATTCTGTTCGTGGTACAAGAAATGAGAAATGGCCAGTACTGCAACAACACCAGTTTTCCAAAAAGTTAGGAAGCTGTGTAAAGCATCAGTAAAACAGATTCTGATGATTGATCATTTCAACCCTGTTTTTGATTTATGATAGAGAAAAGACTACTTGTCAAATGCTTAAACTGAGACAGTTTGTTTAATTAAAAATCAAGTGTTTATTCATGTAAAATCTTATGTCAGCAAAATTAAGAAAAAAAAGTTGGGCAAGGAAAAAGTTGTGATGCCCAGTTTTTAGGTTGATTTGAAAAAGGTTTGAAAAAGACATTCAAGTGAGGTTGCGTCTCTCAGAATCAAAGATGGGGGGAGAGTCATCACTTTGTGTGAGACTGTGTGAGCACATAGTTTCAGAACAATTTTCCTGAGTGTAATATCCCAAATAACTAGGGATATCATCATCCACAGCACAAAATATCTTTATAAGATTCATAGAATCTGGACAAGGCACAAAACAAATACTAGGTGGCGATGATCTTTGGCACTGCATTCAAAACAGACAGAAAAATATATCAGGGGAGATTGCTAGCTGTGTAGCAAGACAAAGATATTTCACTCTCATAATTTTGGAAACTAGTCTCTTCTGTTTAAGCTTTATGATGTTTAAAAGAGTTGATGCAAATAAAAGTAAAACATGGACCTGTCCCAACTTTTGTATTTAGTTTATTGCTGGCATCAGATTTATGATGAGCACATGCTATCTTTCTGGATATAGATTTTGCACAATTTCCAATTAAATGCAGGATTTGTTGATTTGCAAATCATCAAAATCTGTTCCTGTGAACATTTTAAACAACATTCCTACTTTTTAGAACTGGGGTTGTATTTTTTACCGTCAGCTCAAGATTAAGTGTACATATGACACCACATAAACATATTGCATGTTCTAGCACTTGTGTTTCAGATTTCCCATGTGGAATAATTGCAACACTACATTCACATGAGCACATTCAACAATTCAGGGTTAAACAATAAGCTAACGATTGCAATGTCAAACACTTGAACAGTGTTAACTTGTTGCAGTCTGAGCAAGAAATCGGGGTAGAGTTTTAAAAAAGGAGTAACAGTAGTTTACCAGCTTTACAGTCTGTTTTTCTTTTTTTTTTTTGACTGAACCTTCTCAGTTCAGGTCAGCAGCTTTGAGGCCAAAACAAATAGAGAAAAAGACAAGCAAGCTTCTACATGAAGCATAACACAAACAAGATTACTCTTACATTTCTTTTCAAAAGTAGTAAGTTGTTTTGGATTTTCTTAGATTTAAGCTTCACTGCATGGCACATGTCATAAAACAGACATGATATAAACAGTTTTCTGTCATGCATTAAGGCAAAATACTGTGCAAATTCACTGGGAAAATGCTTTTACATGTGTACCATAAAAACAAAGGTAGCTAAAATGAATCATTTTATCACTTATTTCATTTACCCTGTTATTTTTTTGCAATCAGCTATCACTCTGGAGGCAAAAAGGCAAATATTATGAACATTATGTCATTTAAGGATTTAAAGAATTGTTTTAAGAAGTGAGCGAAATGTGTCCATTTCAGTCCTATAAGACTTTGACATTTCTTTGCTACTTATTTTTAAAGACACGATTACATTAGAGAATAAACTGCAGAATAATTGTCAATGCAAACAATGAACAGTTACAGCCAATATCATAAGAATCATAAGACCTCCTGTTTCATAAAGTAAAAGTGCTTATTCATAGCTGCAGCGGTAAATATAAAATGTGCGAAATCAGCCTGAACATCAAGGCACAGGTACGAGTAAATGAACATCTATAAGCTTTGGTAATAACTGGATTTGGTTGCTAATTTAGAGGCTTGATCAACACTGATAAATGGATTTACATAACAGGCATCTTAAGTAATACTGAAGGCGGACTTCCCCACTTGGTAACAGCTAAATTCTGCTGAAATTGTAACCTTTTTAAATTTATGGTTGTAAATAATTTCATCCACCTAAAGCCAGAATCATGTAAGTCTCCCTATCACTTTTAACTTGGTTAGACTAGCAGAAAATCCACCAAAAACAACGCCATGAATATGGTAAAGTTCCAGCTTAGCCAACACTAAAAACTTGACCTAAGAGCAACAAAAGCCAGTAAAGATGCACAGCACTGTAGGGGAAAAAGATTCACCCTCCAACTCTTCATTCAGGGGCTCCATGATGGGTATTTAAACTCGATCTTGTGCTGAGTGGCCCACTTAGCGTAGATGGCCTTCTCGGTGATGAATCGATGACCCCCACGCCGACGGTTCTCATGGAAATTGTACATCTTGCACTCATCCAACCACATCTTTCCATAGTAGTGGTAAGGAGCCGGACTGTGATTGGCTTTGCTATAACAAGGCACACAACACACCAGGTTGTGACTCAAATGTGGAAAAAAAAATATTTATACCTACATCTTTGTCTATATCTACTGATCTCTCTCTCTCTTTAAATGCAGAAAACTGTTGATATCGTGGCAACATCCACTTCTCATGCACAACATTTGGTTTGGATCCTAAAACTATGTCTCACCTGCAGTAGTTATCTTGGATCATCCCATAAATATGGATGTTGTCGCACATTTCTATGGCCAGAATCATCGTGAAGAATCCGGTGGTGAGATACGTTCCTGTCTTCATTCTGAGGGAAAGACACCAAATGTACTCACTTCTGTTCATATGTACTTTACAAACATACTTTGACTCTTCATGACCAAAATAAAAGCCAAAGAATGCAAATTACTGTATTTGTTGTTAATAAACCTTTTTAAGATGAATCTTACAGGTTGTTGAAGTTGTTTGAAGGTTTTTTTTTACCTGTTTTTTCCAGTTTCGTTCTCAAAGACTTTATCACAGTACTCAACTTTCTCTCTGGTCACAGCATACATTGAGACGTTTGGATACTTCTTCACTACTTTCAAGAGAGCAGAGTAAATCTGTCCTTTCCCGTCTTGCCTCATGTTCCTCTCAGGACCCCAGAACACATACGTGGTGTTCACTGCCTGCTGGAAATAGTAGCTCTCATTTTTAACCAACCAGGGAACGCTGGTGTGAGACACAACTCGGACAGTGGTGCGGCTCCCCACGTCTTTCTCGAACCCCTGTGTGGGTGCATCGTTCATCCGTAACACACATCCAGTATTGTCGATCTCTTCTCCAGCGCCTGCTCCCAGCAACTGACCTGAGCTGGAGACCAAGGCACAGTGGTTACAGTGCATGTCCAGGAACTGTGGGAAAGAGAACAGGGTGTGAAGGATAGATTCTGGTTTCTGCGCAAGCACGCTGCAAATGAGCTGTTGTAACACGGCTTGTGTTTAAAAATAGTTAAAAATAATAATTATATGTATAAAACAGTGCATTTTGTTGTGGTTTGTTGGCTAACTTTGATGGGCAGTACACTGAAGTTTACCACACTTCAAATCTAATCATTAAAAAAAAAAATTAGTGGGTTGATTAAACATCCCAAGTTTAATCAACCCCATATTATTATTATTATTATTATTATTAAGTGAAAATGCTGCATTTCCACTTAATAATTATAATAATAATAATAATTATAATAATAATAAAGAAATAGGAGAATAACAATAAGTGGAAATGCTAAATCAGCATTTCCACTTAAAAATAGTAATAATAATAATAATAATTATACAGTGCCTTGAAAAAGTATTCATACCCCTTGAACTTTTTCACATTTTGTCACTCTACAACCACAAACTTAAAAGTATGTTAAAAGTATGTTATTGAGCCTTTAGAAGCGGGTGATTTAAGTGCTGATTGTGTTTTCTAGGGCTACGTTCACACTACAGGTTATGATGCACAATTCAGATTTTTTGTTAAATCCGATCTTTTTGTGCGGTCGTTCACATTACAACAACAAATGCGGCATCTAATGTGAACTGAATGCGTCCGTGAAGTGACCCGCATACGCACAAAGCAGGATGTGATGCAGTGTGTTTGCGGAAGTAAATATGGCCCCTCGTGTAGGTCTCAGTCCAGACTCAATTGTGGCAATATCAAGGATTTTGTGTTGCCAGAGCCAACATTTTCCTAACCAAGTTATTTTACGTAGGACATTGAGAAGGAAGAGGGCAAGAATATTGGCTTTGGCAGTTTGTGGGGTACTTTCTGCGACGTCCGTTCAGAGGAGCGTTTGGGTGAGGAGTTGGAGCCAGGAGTGGCTTAATTTTGGTTAATTTTTTACACAATTTTCGGATGACAAGAAGAACTTTTGCTTACATCTGTGAACAACGATGACGTATAGGTTGGAAGAACACAACCTGAGCGTCCACACTGCAGTCACATCGGATACATATCTGATTTATATCCACATACAAAAGAGGCCTGGGTCAGATTTGAAAAAATCAGAATTGCACTGTTCACACTTACATGAAAAAATCAGATACGTGTCACATATGGTTAAAAAATCGGAATTGACCTGCAGTGTGAACATAGCCTAGGTTTTTTCTTTACACTAAAAAGTCACCTGCATATCAATATTCGTTTGTTTTATGGCTAGCTAAAGATGCTTATAGGTGCTTTAATTTCATTCCACTTCTCCAATAGCTGAAAACTCTTTATAGGAGCTTTACATCTAAACGTGCTTTATTAGCTCCAAGCCTTTACACCCAGACATGTTCATGCATTATTTGGAGCTAACCGAAGTCCTGCCTCTCACCTGGTCCACCCTGCCGGGGCTGATTCTCATGTAGCCCCTGAGCTCGGAGCTTTTCTCTGCAGGGGTCCGCCGACCGTCCCGTGTGATCACATGTCCGAACCAAAGCAGCAGAGGGAGGCTCAGACTGAGCAGGAACAGCCAGCAGAGGGTCTGTATCCGAACAGAGGAGAGGAGCACATGGACATGTACTGAAACGCACAAATGGAGACCACACAATAACACACCTCACATTAAATAACCTTTCTCACCAGAGGTTTCATATCAAGCTGTTTGGGAAAGCCCTGATCCAGAGAGCCAGACGACACCCATTCCCCCCGGACCCTTTAAACCCAGAGAGGGGTGACGAGAGAGATCAGATCAGCCATGGACGAATCCCGATCAAAAAAATCCACACACATTTTAATGGCTGCTCTCTGATAACTCTAATAACTATTCTCAGAACCAGGATCCTCTTTTTGAGCTCATTTTAGAGATTTTAGAGGTGTAAGTCTTTGAGACAACAGTTCCAATAACACCATACAACCTACAAGACGACTCAATTGACTATTTTGTAAATCTCTGCAGCATAAATATCTGCTTAGCTCGCTTTGTTGACACAGTCGCTCCCTAAATAATGTTAAAAAATGCACTGTTCCCCTTTCCACAAGCAAAGCTTCCGGTCAGCAACAAAAGTCTCGAGAGAAACTGAAAAAAAAAACATACACCGGAAACGGTCTCCAACAGAAAAAAGATACAAAAAAGATACAAAAGATACAAACGACATTCTTGGCATGAAATCTTTTAAATGACTCCAATGCGTCTGGGAAATAGCGTATAGCGAAAAAGCATTAGCTAATCGCCTGTATGGATCATCTCATGCTTTTATTTTGAAAGGTGAAGACTCCCATATAATCCTCATATAATTTGGTGAACTTAACACACCTGTCGAGGGGGCTTCATAATGCCACATTCAAGTACCACTCGTAATTTTGTACTTTTTTAGCTCGAATTCACAGCAACTCCTTAAGTTTTTCTGCTGAACTCGTTTCAAAACCCAATATTTTATTTATTTTTAAACAAATAATCAGAAGATAAAACAAGATTGCGTTTATTCTACAGAAATATTTTAAATCCCTGTACTTATTTACTCTATTTATGTTCTATTTTTTGTTAATATAATTAAATTTTGCTTAAGACTCACTAATATTATTGAGTTAAGGAGAAGGGGTAAGGTTAAAAAATGCATTATGCTTCATCCTCCCCTTTTTGGACATTTTGGTTTGCATTATTTTTATAATTTGTTTTTTTATTGTTGTTTTGAATATTCTCACTGGTTATGTTTGTTTTTAGTTTACTTTTTAAAAATAATAAAATTATTATTATTATTATTATTATTATTATTAAAAAAGAAATAATAATGATAATAATTATAATAATAAATGTGATGATAATAATTTTTTAAGCATAATCACAACAAAACATTTCAATTATTTTTACATTATTATTATTATTATTATTATTATTATTATTATTATTATTATTATTATTATTATTATTATTATTATTATTCGTTTATCCATTTATATATTTATTTTTAATTCTTAAACCAAACAACACATCTGTGGTAAGTTCTGATTTTTGGGGCAGGAAGGTACAATGCATCTGATTGGCCAGTAGAAGTTTTTGCCCCTCTCACCTTCTATCTGATTGGTCTAGGGAAAGAAGTGAACCAGCGTTTACGACGTCCCATTGGTTAGCGGGTGTGCCAGTATAATTGCGTTTCCACAGCACCCTACCTCCCAACAGTAGGCTAGTGTGCGGCGGCTTTCACTGTCTGTGACACAGGAATGTCCTTCCTTGCCCACTTGGATGCTTACGGTATGTATCTACAGAGGAATTGAGTTGAAAATGGTGCCTCTTTAGGACTTTACACAGACACAATGAAGCCTTAGAGGTTTCTGTAAAGCTCCACAGTGAGTGAGCAGTTGAGTGGGTGATGCTGTGCTGTCAAGTGACAGATGAGCTTGGTTAGCTAGGTGTGCTAGCCAACATTAGCATTGTAGCTTGTGAGGTTTCAGACAACTTCTTAATGCTGAGTTTGGTTTGCTAGGGATATATTTTGTAGGCAGAGCTCAAAATTGCTCTTAATTGAGTATGAAATGCTGAAAAGAGATGTTTGTAATGTCCATTTATAGTCTCAGCTGCCCGGTGTGTTACATGGCTAGCCTGCTGTAGTCAATCATTCTCAGCTAGCTGCCATTCCACGATGAAAAACCAACCAGGTTGACTGGAAAGTGGCTGTTTCTCTTTTCTCCAGTAAGTGTGTGTTTCATGAATTAACCAGAGCCAGTCACACCTTTCCGTCACGTGCAGTAGGTGTAGGGCAGTCTGGTTCACTGGCTGCATACCAGACAGTGTAGATAAGGTAGCTGGCAGACAGACAGTCAGGTTACACTGCTGCTGAACACTTAATGTGAGCTTGATTTTCTCGGCTTAAACCACTTATATGGTCAATTCTACTTTGTCTCAGTCTGCAGGGGTTTGCTCATGTGGCTACTGAGGTTCTGTAGTTTTGATTGTGTGTCCTGAGGCCATGTCTCTGCATCAGAAATAAAGAATAATAGTTATCTTGATACAGGGGTTAGAATACAGTCAAATGTAGTAATGTTCACAAAGAGAGGGTAATGATTATTTCATCATGGGTGCTTTTACTGCCTGTCACTGCTGTTGTAAGGCAAGTGCCAAAACACAGCTTGTTTACATTTTCTAATGTGGAGATCACCAGTGAGTAAGGGGTAGGGCTGGGCGATAAAACGGTAATGATATGTCGGAAATGAATCTCCTTCAATCTCAATATAGAACATGGTCAATATGCTTTTCAGTAGTCATTGTTTGGCCTGTAATGGCCTTGCTTCCAAACTTTTGGAAGCAAGGCCAACAAAGGAGTCCACTACACTCTGAAGAGACTAGAGGAACCTGGAAGTTATGATGATAGAAAAAGACCTGGAAGAAAGAGAGTTACTACAAAAGCAGAGGATAAACATATCATTGTCACCAGTAAGAGAGATCGGCGAAAGACAGTACCACAAATAAGGGAGGAAATCAAAATGACAAGGTCAAAACCCATATCTCTGACAACCGGGAAATGACGTTTGAGAAAGGCTGGTCTGAAGGGTTGTGTATCTGCAAAAAAACACTACTTCATCCACAGAACTAGAAAAATAGATATGAGTAGGCAAAAGCTCACAAAATTGGACTTATGATGACTAGAAACAAGTTCTCTGGACCGATGAAAGCAAGTTTGAACTGTTTGGTTCAAAACGCAGAGTCTATGTCCACAGACAAACTGGTGAACGTCTGAAAGCACCATGTGTTACACCCACAATTCAGCATGGAGGTGGTAGTTCCATGGTATGGGGATGTTTTGCAGGTGATGGAGTTGGAGCTTTTGTTCTGCAAAAGATGGTTTGGCCCCCTCAGTCTCCAGACCTTTCTCCAATTGAGCTTGTGCGGGATGAATTGGATCGATCAGTCAGAAAAACATGTCCCACGAATCAGCAGTCTCCTTTTAATGAACTAAAGAAAGCTTGGAATGCAATCCCTGGAAAATACCTTAAAAAAACTTGTGGAACGAATGCCTGGTATATGCCAAGCTGTTGTTAAAGCCAGAGGAGGTTACTTTAAAGAAAGCAAAGTCTAACCAACAATAACTCAAATACCTGATAATTATAGTCAAAATGTCTGCTGATAAGTTACTCTTTACACAATAGTCATGTTTATTGTGTTGCAAATTATATATATTTTATATATTATATATATATATTAGCTCACGTTACTCATTTCCGGTCCGGTCTCATGTGGGGACATGCGGCTGCCTCAGTAAGAGAAGTAGCTCGATCACGTAATGTGTACTCACTCTGCTGTGCTGTGAGGTAGTTAGTGGATGAAGATTGTCATAAGGTTGCTGCGCCATCTACTGGATAAGTCGGGGGATCTTTTCAAATGGCGGGATGAAAATCCACGAGTTTTGGCCGATTACCGATTAGTCTCAAACGGGCTAAAATTGGCCAATTTAATCAGCTTGCCGATAAATGCGTCAGGCCCTAATCATGACAAACTTTTTCACATATTGCCCAGCCCTAGTAAGGGGTGTGCAATGTGGACAAAAATAGAGAAATATTAGAAAACCGACTCTTGTTAAATTTATATTTAATGTTGTAAATGATATTAGTCAAACACTGAAACTACCAGAGCAAACAAAAGAGCATTTTGAATAGATACTTCCCCTGAATGTAAAATCCTCCGAGATACTCTTTGGCCCGGTAAACTGGGGCTGGGAGGTATGGGCTAGCTATAGACTCTTAATTTACAAATTTTACAATGTAGTTAATTCACAGATGTTGAAAACAGTTAACAGCTATCTTCAGCAGCAGCTGCTTTCCAAACATTTTACAGATTGCAACATCTACAGAGCCGAATCACCTCCATGTGAGTCAGAATGATCCATGTCTAGAAATTGAATCTAACAGTGTTGACTCTGAGGCTTGGGATGTTTGTGTTGTCTCCTGGTACTGCTTGTTTTAACTAAGTAGCTTATTGTAGCTTGCACTGATTTTGCTCTTATTGGCGTATGCCGTATGACCATATCCATCAATTAAGAGTGGACTCGTGTGTCGTGACTGGTTTTTATCTTAAGACATGAGGGATACTCTTGATAATGTAATTTCTCACATCATCAAAACAACAATTATAACATCATGTTACATAATGTTTTGTTTATCACACACCCCTGCATATATTTGGCTGTTAAAAGACAGAGGGGTGAGATTTTATTGTATTTGTTAGTCAGAAAACATGACTTTTACATGATCTGTACAAGATAAGATAAAAACTTTCTTTAACCCCGAAGGGAAATCCAAGAGACCACAAAAACAGCTATCATAGGAATCACCATAATTCACATTCCAATAAACACAGTATTGCAAAATTCAAGTCTATCATGATATCAGCCACAGTCCTCAGAGCTACAAGGCCTATAATATTTAATACAGCTCTTGATAAGGATGCTTGTACATTCAGGTAACGATATAAAAATCATTTCTTATCTGTCTGCAGGGTAATAAAACTAACAGTCGTAAAGTGGACCAGTTTGAAGCCAAAGCATGGATGATTACAGACAGCTCATCAGAAAGCCCTGAGCTGGCTGATCTCACACCCAAAAGGAGACCTCATTCAGGGTGAATGTGAGAAATATTTAAGAAGCAGTGGCCTGGAGGCACTTCTGATTTCTGAGATGTCAGTCAGACAACCAGACGGGATGTCCATTGCCCAGGCTTTGGCCATGACTGTGGCAGAGATACCTGTGTTTCTCTACTCCACATTTGGACAGGTAGACCACTTTGCATTTACCGTTTTTTTTTGCATATCTATTCACTCTCACTCTAGACTGTTTAAATGTGATACTCGTGTTTGCCTCTCCTCTTCCAGTCAATCTTTTCTCAGCTGAAGCTGACGCCAAGCCTGAAGAAGGTGCTGTTTGCCACAGCGCTGGGCAGTGTGGCTCTGGCGCTCACGGCTCATCAGCTGAAGAGGCGAGGGAGGAAAAGGAAGCAGGCCACACAGGGGAAGGAAGTCCAGAAGACCGTGGGAATACCTGAGGCACTTTTGAAGACAGGAAGGCCGTCATCATTAAAGAGAGGTGTGGAGAGAGCTGTTGATAACTTATTGTTCAGAGGTGAAAAACATCTAAAACTTTATGGCCAACATCTACAGAGATTAATGATCTTTTTTTTCTCTGTACAGGTCAGTTTACTGGCCGGCAGATGATGAGTCCCAGCACCCGCAGCAATGACACCATGAGTGGAATTTCCTCCCTCGCCCCCAGTAAACACTCAAGTTCCTCACACAGCCTGGCATCTGTAAGAATCACAATTCACAACTAACTCTTTGGCCTTTGGGATTCATTGCCTCTTTGTAATGTGCCCCTTTTTGCGTGTTTGTGTCTGGCAAAGATGCGGGTCCCAAGCTCTCCTAATCAGTCTGCAAATCCATCCACCCCCTGGGAGGCAGAGCCTGTGGCAGAAGAGTCTGGGGCAGTGGAGGACGCAAACGCAGAGAAGCTCTATTTATTGGGTATGTGTTTACTTCTACTACTCATGCATTTTTAGAATTATTACATGGACATGGTTACACAATCTGTGTTTTCTTAGGTATGGTGCAATGACTGTTTTGTTTGTATTTTCCCGAATTATGGCAGCCGCAGCACTTTGTAGACATTTAGAGTAATCTGAGTAATTTATTGAAATATATTTGTTACTTTGACTTTTTAGAAAATACACAGACTCGGCTCACTTCGACCTGTACTGAGACATATTATTGATAACACAGGAAGTGCCTCTGTGCTTTTTAAAATTCCATGTCACAATTTTCCAGTTTTTTAAAGCTTTGTCATTTTTGTTCCCTGTCAGGGATGGAGCTGTTCGAGGAAGCTCTGCAAAAGTGGGAACAGGCACTGAATATTGGCCATCACCCACACTCAACCTCCAGCAACAACAGCCTGGCTCTGCAGGGGGCAGCAAGCGCAGACTTCTCCTTGGTAACCATCAAACAGATAATTAGCAGCACGGACACACACACTGCTTCAAAAATTTGCGCTTAGTTGGACATTTTGATCTCAATCTTGTTCACAGTCCTCGAAGTGATCACAACACAGTACAAAGAATCAGAATCAGAAATACTTTAATAATACACAGGAGGAAATTGCTTTTGTTTCAATCCTCCAGTGCAAATACAGTAAAGTAAAAAGAGTAAAAACAGTAAAAGAGGAGAGTTTGTGCAGTATAAAGTGGAGTTTGGACAGCATCCTCCTCTCTGACACGGCCAGCAGGGAGTCCAGCTCCACCCTCACAACATCACCGGCCTTTTTGATCAGTTTATTGGGTCTGTTTGAGTCAGCAACCCTCAGCCCGCTGCCCCAGCACGCAGCAGCAAAGAAGATCGCACTGGCCATAACAGACTCATAAAAAATCCTCAGCATCGTCCTGCAGATGTCGAAGGACCTCAGCCTCCTCAGTGGCCTCAGTGTTCCTGGTCCAGTCTAGTTTATTGTTTAATACAGTAAAGTTACACTGGATTGCGCCCTTTACTGCATATGAGAAAATAACTTTTGCCCCATCCAAACTTCTTATTTTACAGATTGAAACTCGTAATAAAGGGTTTGCTGAGAAGCTTGAGACGTTACTCCACAGGGCGTACCACCTACAGGAGGATTTTGGCAGCAGTATCCCGACAGACTCCGTCCTTGCAGACTTTGGTAAGAGTCATATTGGGCCCTTAGAGGAACACTCACCAGTGAGCCAGAATGAATATGTTGTAGTTGAAGGTTGTACATTCTGCACTTCTAAGGAGTAGCTTTGGAGCACATAATCGTTTTTCTTTTTTCAGAAGGAGAAAATGTTTTTCTTTTACCTCCGCTAAGCCCTTCTGTGTCTCTTCCCCTGTTAGTTAGCTCCTGTGTTGTTTCTTTGGCAGAGAGTGAAGGAACTCTTATCTTGCCCACAGTGGAGAGTTTCCACAGACTGCAAGACGACGACGCGACTACAGTTACCTCTGACGACTCCTTTTTCTCGGCTGCAGAGGTCAGCTCCCTTGCTTTGTCGCTGCATCAGGCACACATACTGTTATTCTGATTGATCTCACATCTTCTGCTGTCTACTTAAAGCACATGTGCACTGAGGTTTGTGTCTGTTCGGTCTGCCCAGCTTTTCGATTCCATGTGTCTGGAAGACGTCTACCAGCCGCTTAGACCTGCAGCTCTCTATGAAGAAGCTTTGTCTCTGGTCCGGGAGGGCAAAGTGGCTTATAGGTCTCTAAGGTAACTAAAGAGTGTAAAGCTGAATTAATCAACATGAGTAGCATTGAGTGAAAACCCAGTGAGAATTATCCCTCCTCTCTGCAGTTATTATCACCTCTGCAGAATGTTTTCATGTCCTACAGCTCATTGCTCAGGTTTTGCACAAAGTCTAGTGCTCCAGTTACAGATAATCTTTTTTAACCCAGACTTTTCTGCTCTGTGTGTGCTTACATGAAAATGAGCATTAAGCCAGTCAATCAACCCTTTTTTTGCACTAAAAGACTCAAACTTATGGAAAAGGATGATGGCTACATATGCAGAAAAATAAGCACCGCTGCACACAGTAAAACTAAAAAATAATTCAGTGTTGGTAGAGACTGTGTTTATGACAAATACCCTCAATTCTACTTGATAATTTGTCTCAATAGAAGTCTGATTAGTTTATTAATGTAATTAATTATTGAAATTAATTTGATTTAATTTTCTAATTTGAGTATCGTAGGTTTACTCGATTTCTAAAAAGTTGGCTTATTTCAACAGACTTGGCAGGACTAAAGGACCATATATAGAAATGTATTCAACATAATTGATAGATGCTGGGCTTCTACTTTCCTTTTCTTATTGTTTTCATATTTTTATTTTGTGAATGACCTGAAAAAAGTGTAAGTTTGACCTGAAAATAAAAAAAGGTTCTTAGTGATTGATGGAAATACATTAAATGGTGTCAAATGTATGAAGGCTGCCGGGATGAGTGTGCTACTGGGATTACACTTATTTAGTGTTATGGCTCCTAAAATTCCGATACTACATCATTAGATCAGCTGCAGCATATTTCCCATTGAGGAGATCAGCAAGCATAAATTAATGAAAACGTATGAGATTAAAAACAACCTACCATGGCAAACTTGACATCTTTTTTTCTGTTTTTACCAGAACTGAATTACTTGAATGTTTCGGTGACCAAGACTTCCTCGCCAAGCTGCACTGCGTGAGACAAGCATTCCAGGTCTGTTTCTACTGAAACATGTTTCACAGCCCCCTTTCCTATATTGACCAAAGCACCTTTTTTGTGGCCTTTTCAAGACATTTTTTAAAGCTCCTGTGAGGAACTTTTGGCATGTGCCATATAGGGCTGGGTAATATGGGAAAAAGTTTATCACGATATATACTTTCATATCAGTCGAAATTTAACAGTGTTTATTGGTAGCATGTCTTTTGCAATACAATAAGCTACTGCATCTGGGGGGTCTTTGTGTCTCCTCGACGTTTTGTCGTAAGGCGTTGCGCTAGAGAAAGCGGACTGTATGGTCAGCTGTTTCTGCTGTACAGGCGCCATGGGCTTCTTGCTCAGATCAGGGTTTGTAACCTTTTGCATTGCACGTGCTCTGCTGCGTGGTACTGCTTCAGGTGGTGAAAAAGATTTGAGGTATTCCCCGACTTTGCGAGAACATGTACTCGACATAATTTGCAGTGCACATTAACCCGGAGTGAACCCGGAGCAACTCCCCTTTTCATTGGCTATTCATAAAGTCCACCAAACGTGGTAGAATGCTGAGTTTAAAAAAGGATATTGACCATGTTTTATATTGATATTGAGGGAAATTAGTTTTTGATATATATCGTTATCGTTTTATCACCCAGCCCTAGTGCCATACTAACATCGCCAGTCATGCCGCTGATGGTCTCTTTTGCTTTTGAGTCTCATGAAAAGGCATCAATATGAATTTACTTTGCTTCCTAGATGCCAAAAATCTTTTGCTTTGAACATGACAACTTGACCGGTCTGTAGCTCTGCAGAAGTAGCCTGTAATAAAAGTAAAATAAACGCAGTTCTTCTCGCCTTATGATGCATAAAAGTAGCTTTGAGTGCAAAAGAAAGAAGTCGTTGCCATCAGTCTTTCATGCTCTGCTGGCTGATTTCCCTCTCTCCTATAAAATAACAATGCTTGTACCCAGTAGCAGTTTTTCCATTTGCAGAGCTCTGAAAGGTTTCATCTAATAGCTAAATAATGACAAAAAACTGCTTTATTTTTGTCACGGACCCATGATTCAACTGCAGGGGAGTCATCTTATATGGATCTCTGATATCTTGTACTGCACACGATAATAGTTGGTAGAAACTTTGCAGCACATTCCAACAAAGCCTGTATCAGCTGCCTTTGTGCAGGTGCAGTCTTAGCACCCACGAGGAATGACTCAGGTTTCCTCAGCTTCGGTGGCACTCAGACTAGAGCTACAAGGTCAGATAAAAAGCAGCAGCTACAACCAGGAGAGCTGGCTCACAGTGTGTCTGACATTTAGAAAAACTGATAAAACTACTTTGGTTTCTACAGTGTGAGATTCGCAGCATGATGATATTAACCTCTCTAACGTATGTGTTTAACTGTTTTAGGGCTTTGGAGAAGTCGCGTGATAACTGTGTGTTATTATTATCACCTCAGGAAAGAGACTGCTCATGCTTTTGTTCTCCTCAGATCCTGTTGTTAGATGAAACACACCGCACATTTTTCATGGAGACCGGGAAGCAGATGATTACAGGCTTAATGGTGAAGGCAAACAAGGTAACACACTACTTATTTTGATCCTCACGTATTACTTTCTCCTAATTGGATAAACAGAAGAAGCTCCTGCTGTAGTGGCCGTATTTGCTCAGAGGTAACTAAACGGTTTTTCTTTCTTTGTTTCCACTGCAGAGTCCCAAAGGCTTCCTGGAGAGCTACGAGGACATGCTGCTGTACACTCAGAGGGAGGAAACCTGGCCAGTTACGAAGATGGAGCTGGAGGGCAGAGGGGTGAGTAACACTAACCCTCCATCTTGTTAGTGTTGTAATCTGTTGTTTGATCAAATAGCTTAATGATGTACAACGATTTTCATGTCAACAGTTTATTTGTTGTTTTCTTAATTTTGTAGTGGTTTCTTTGTTTATTCATTGCAGCAGCAGAGATACTTGATACTCAGGCAGATTACATGAACTTGAGATCCTTCAGACCAACCTGAATTAATCTTTAACTGCAGTGTGGTCAAATTCAGTCAAGTTACAGTGTCCTTTACCCGGTGTAAAGCTTTATTTATCCTTCTCCATGCCATCATGGAATGTTCGGTTTTTACCTGATCTTAAATATCCCTCTTCTTCTGAGAGTGGGGATTGTGTAGTGATGGCCAAATGAAGCTTTCTGAAGCATTGAGGCTTTCCAGCCCATTGCTTTACCCTAAGGTTCACTACTCGAAGCTTCATTCAGTGCTCACTAGCTCCATCTGTTGCCAGAGTTAAACTGTGACAGCCAAGTCATTCAGATAGATTTCAAATGTTTTCACAGTGCGGATTAAGCGGTGATGGAAAATTAATGGATGGATATTATATATCCATATCGTATCACAATATAGAATAATGTTTAATCCCTGTACAATAACAATAAAGTCTATAGTGTTTGATATGACTCTGCTCTCCCTTTTTATTCCTAATAAATATTTTCTATCCCTATGATTGTTATTTTGGTTTGTGCTTTTCATGGCTATCAGTGTTCATTATTTATTAAACACATGAGGTGGTGTTGTGTGTTGGAAGTGCGGTGCTTGGGTGACAGTGCAGTATGTTGGGAGGGGGGCAGGGAGTAGAGGGGGTAATAATTTTTTCTCTTTCTTGCTTGCCCCATTAAACTACTCCTACTACCTTTACTACTAACTACTACTGCTACTAATTCTACCACTAATTTTACTGCAACTAACTAACCCTATGCTTTCAATGACTACCACTGCTGATTATAATCCATCTCTGCTACGAACGCACAAACCAAACTACCACCTAATACAACCCACAAAGCGCTGCGTTTTTGTCGTGCTTTTATTTTGAAAAACGACTCACAAAATGAACCAGTCAAGTTACCTGTGTAATGTGAGGCCTCATTTGTCATTGGTCACGTGGTTTTCAGCAAACCGATGCAAGCCTCGAAGCGAGGCCTCGTCAGACACGCCCTCTTCATACTCCGTACACGCCTCGGAGGCTCGGCTTCAAACGTCCCATCACTAGGAATGTGGCGTCTATGATTTCCAGGAAAAATGTTGTATTTTGAGATGACAGTTTCCCACTTGGTCCTAGGCCATCTTTTATGAGCTCGGGCCCGGAGAATTGCTGACATCTGCAGCGACAGAAGAGCTTTAACACAGTCATATGTTTATCTTTCTTCTTCTTAAAGGGTTTTTATCCCTTTTCATTTGTCTTATTACATTTTTTTAATTTTCTTTTTTATTGATTTCACATATCAATATTCCATCAACATTTTACATATATTGAACAAATTTCCAACTGTATAGAATATTTGCATACTTCTCCATTGCGGAGCAGAGACAGAGTTAGACATAAATTCAGTAGAATAACTGTGAAGTAAAACGAAACACTTTTGAATCATGTCCTTTTTTTCACCTCTCTCTTGCATTGTCCCTTTTGAATGAACAAGTTTGTAGCCTGAACCAAGGGTATCAATGATCTTTAATACAAAATGCCCTTACTGCACAAAGTCTGCTCTCAATTGAGACACAAAATCAACCCAGTTTTTCCAGTAGTTTTTAAAAGTATCTGTTTTTAGTCTAGATGAGAAAATCAGCTTCTCCATTCTTTATGTATCGATCATTACCTCTATCAAATCCTCTGTTTTTGGTACATCTGCTTTAGCCAATTTCTAGTGATGGCCTTTTTAGCCGCCTGTCTCATTACAATTTTATTATTTGACTGCCTGTAAATGTGATTCTCACCCCTCTGGTGGTCATTTTGCTGCATTTTTGCGACATTACCACCACCAACTGGACTAAAACGAAACTACAAGCCGACTTGTGTATCTTGGATTAAAAGCTACACCTCTTACAACGTTCTTTGAAAAAGTAACAGGCACTTACGTTTAATAACATCTGGCATAGCTATGAGAAATGTGATCACTGTGATACTGAACTCTGCAGGTGGTGTGCATGAACTTCTTTGACATTGTGTTGGATTTCATCTTGATGGACGCATTTGAAGATTTGGAGAGCCCCCCTTCTTCTGTGGTGGCTGTGCTGAGGAACCGCTGGCTCTCTGACAGCTTTAAAGAGACGGTATACTTACACACACGCACATAAATGTATTTCTATTATCAAGGATCCGTTAGCTAAAGACAGAATATTGTTCTCTTCGTAGGCTTTGGCGACAGCCTGCTGGTCAGTCTTAAAAGCAAAAAGACGTCTTCTTATGGTGAGTTTGAACTTATTTGAGAACTTCCTTTCTCAGAGTATTTCCACGTGTTTGTAGCTTAGATTATGATGTCTCTGTTTCTGCCCTCCATAGGTTCCTGATGGTTTTATCTCCCACTTCTATGCCATATCAGAACATGTGAGCCCAGTTTTAGCATTTGGGTTTTTGGGACCCCGGCAGCATTTAAGTGAAGTGTGCACAATCTTCAAGGTGAGAGCATGCACTTCTGAGAGGCTGTAATCTGCAAACTTGAAAGATTCATTGAACAATTTAGGTTTCACTCTTGAGTTGTCTGTCATTCATTTTTCCTCTTTTTTTATGTGCAGCAACAAATTGTCCAGTACCTTAAGGATATGTTTGACCACGACAAAGTCCGCTTCACCTCCACTCAGTGCTTAGCTGAGGACATCCTGAACCTCTCCCACCGGCGGAGTGAGATTTTACTGGGCTACCTAGGAATCGACAGCCTCATGGAGCTCAACGGTGCCCTGCCAAGAGACACAGGAGGCTCCTCAGAGCCTGTTAAAGAGGACTATGGCCACTGAGGGCTTTATTGAGCTCTTACAGGCTGAAAGCAGCGGGCTACAGCAAGGACTCACAGCTCAACATCTTTCTTCCCATCAAGACTGGATCAAATCACCAGACCCCCGTTCATAAATATTAATCAAACACTGCTGCTGTTTGATGATATTTCCTCCACATCTGCAGTATCGCTGGTCCTTCAGCTCAAGAGGGAGACTCGTGGATGTGATTCCCTCTCTCTCTCTCTCTCTCTCTCTTTCTCTCTTGTTATCAGCTGCTGTTGTGTATCAAAAAGGCCTGCTGTAATCATCTGATCTCAGACGTGAGAGGACTTGTCTCTGCCTTGTTTGGTGACATGCACACTTTTTAAAAACACACCGGACAGAAACTCCTACCGCATCAAGACTGGGCCTTCTACACTGTTAATACTCCATAAAGAGCGAGAACATGTGGTAGCTTTGTAGTCTGTTATTTCTATGACTGGTGGAATTTGGTTTATCGTAACGGTCTTTGTTAAATGTGAACAGAGATTAGAGTCTGCTGATATTGTGCATCTAAATGATTTTTTTTTATCAAAAAAGAAGGATTTTTGAAATCTATGATGATTCCTGAGAAGCTGATGGATGCTGTTTGATGAAGAACATGATGGATTGGTGTCCTCACTGATGATTCTTCAATCATCTTCAAAACCGAAGAAATATCCGCCCCAGTTTGGTTAGATGGAGAATGCTAGGATGCCAAAAAAAAATTTGTGAAAATTGAATTCAATCAGAAGGCAGCGTAAATCAAGTGAGTTTGCAGACATGAAAATATCAAAATTATATCAAATTGTATGTGGCATGAAAAAATACTTCTCATAGTGTCTGATAAAATATCATTCTGGTGACATTAAAACAGGATTATTGCTAATTCAGAAAGTTGTAACAGAACAATTACCACAAAATCTGGAATACAAGTCTCACCTGGATCACAACCGGTCTGTTTTGGGGGCTTCTAGAGGGAAAAAGGTTCAAAATCATCTGGCTTGAAGACACCCAGTATATTCAGCAATGTGCCGTTTTTATGCGTATGTGAAGCTCTCTCTGGTACCACCACTCTGCCAGCTACCTGAATGGTAGTTTAACATAAAGTCACATTAATAGTCGCAGGGTACAAGTAGATCTGCTGCGCGTGACTCGTCCCAGTCCTGGCCATCCGCTTTGCTTATCATTTGTCTGAAATTGAAGTCTTTTCAATCAAATAAGCACTATTTACGCCGCTGTTTCCAATGATGCATGATAATAACCTAATAAGGGGAGGAAAGTGTCAAGAAGTGGTGCAGCTAAATTTGCCCCCCTTTGCCATGTATCCAGCATTTAAGCCGTCACTTGCTTCTTTGAGCGCCATCTACTGGATAAAATACCACAGCACAACAAAGTACCTTTTCTCTACATTTTAGTGTATTGTTCATATCCGTGTAGAGGACGCAGTCACTTTTTAGATGACTATTAAAAATGCATCTTATTCTGTAAATTTTACTGTATTTTTATGAGTGCTCTCAGGAAGTTAAAGCTCCTGTGAAGAACTTTTAGTTTGTTCTAATTTGGCGCCCCCCTGTGGACAAAGCAGTCTTGGTTATCATGTCCTTATTATGCTCAAACAGTGTCATATCACAAAAAATCTCGTAACTGACTCTTAACAGTCATGTTGAAACAAATATGAATATTGTACGAGGAAATTGTAAACAGGCCTTGACTGACACCTACCCCCTCACACTGTTTAGAGAATTTAAAATCAACAATATCAGAACGGTCAAGCTTGTCACTAATAGTCCGATTTTTGCTTTTGAAGATCATAAAAGAATATGAATATCATCAATATGAATTTCAGTTTATTTTATAAACACCAAAAAAGCTCCTCACAGGAGCTTTAAAGTAGCATTAAGACTAAAACCAAGATAAGGAAATAAGCGCTCATTGCTAGGAAAGGACTCTCACTCTGGGCCTTAAAGGTACATTTGTAAAGCTTTAAGTCATTAGATTGGTAAATAGATAAAGTGGTAGATTTTTAAGGAAAAATTACAAAACAGTCATTTTAAGAGATAAATTTGAGCTTTCATGGTAATAATTTGACACAGCCTCTTCTAAGACCAGCTGTAAAAGATGGATTACCTGATGGATTACCTTATCATGGAAGGAAAAGCCCAGACGCTGTTTTAAATAATAATAATAATAGCTCTGTTGTGTTCAAGTGTCCCAGTGAGCAGTGACTAAAGATCTTGCATGCACAGCACCAGGAGGCTGAAAGTGAAGCAGTGAAACCGAACTCAGTCGTGATCCATTTCAGTACATAAAACTGTATTTTTCTTACTGCTCTCTTAATGTCAACATGTTTTCTGTAAATAGAAGCCTACTGCTGTCAGGCCTTCAGGAAAGTGCAGAGACTTTTTAAGAGATAGAAAAAAAACAATCAGTGCCATTTATTAGACTTAGCTGAATATTGTTGTTTTGTTTCTGATGTGATGAAGAACTGAGCGTTGTACAGTCAGACTGTAACATACCTAACAAGTGCACTGATGATAACTTCTGACTGTTTGTTTCCCCCGTTATGTAAAATAAGGGAGGTTGTAATACCAGTTTATCTTTTGTGATATACCCTTAAATACCAGCCCTGTTAATAACATATACATAATATTGGCAGAAAAAAACACTGAGTACTCACTTGAACTTGCCAACTTTGGCTGACACTCTCTGCTACCACTAGCACTAAAATGTCACATTTTGGGCATTATTGGAGGTCAATTTGGATGTTACTACTGGTATCTTTTAACAAATCTTTGTGACAGAGGATACTCTCAGTTGCCTGGCTGTGATCCCATCATGGGTAACTCCACTACTGTAAAGGTAGAAGTGTGATATGCAGAGTGTCATGGAAAGATTATTTATTATAAACAGCATTCGAATTACAGAATGTATGCCTGCTGCTGCTGCCTGCATGAATGAGATAAGGGAAGAAAACGCTGTCAAATTACTTTTGATTTCATATAATTTAAAAGTGCTTCTGTTTGTCACACAAAGATAAGGAAGTCTGGTATTTGTTATTCTTTTGTCATGACCTTTTTTGTTTCTTTGGCTCTTAAAAATCACAATGCAATACCATTCTGTTTAATTTTGGAGTCAGTATTACAGGAATATTTCTGTGTCTGTCTATATGAAGAAAGCTCTAAAAATAGAGTTCTTCATTTTGACAGACGTGCAGCTTTATGATTTCAAGCATTTTGCACTTTAACTGAAAAGCAGGAAGATACAGGAATGTCCAAAAACCCTCCTTAAATAATCTGTTTGATTTACACAAACATACTGAATTATTTATTGCCTCATATAACTGACATATTATAGATATGATAGGGCATAATAACTGTACAGTAGAGAACTATCTTTTCCAAAAAAAAGTTTTATGGAAATGTTTCACGCTATCCAAAGTTTTCATCCTTGAAATTATCATTAGTTTTTCATTTTTCGTGTGGTGCAATCCCTTACAACATGCTCTGAAGAGATACCCCCCCCCCCATTATCGTAGAGTGTCACGTATAATTGCAAGTATGCATTGTGCAGGTTAATGCAGTTATGCAAATGTTAAGTCTTGTGTTCACACATGTCTGCTTTCTCTGTGTCCTGAGAGAATATGAATTCCTCTTGCAGCCTCTGCATGTCGCAGTTTAGACTTCCTAAAGTGTGTTTATTAGTGTATCCCTGCAACATTAAGACCCAAACTCCGCTCTCATCTAGTTTTGTAAACATCAATTAGAATTAAGCTCAAGAAACTGCTAAGGAACGTATAATCATTTGGGTAAAAAATCCAGCATGGACTCTCCTGCGATGCTTATATTTAATAGAGTATAGGAATCTCAGATGGCCAAAATGTGAAAAGAATGATTGCTTTATTCTTTCTGCAAGTCACTGCTGTACATTACAAGTGTCCTAATCATGCCTTCTGTCTTTTCTATTGGTGTCAGCACAAACTGTAAATTAATTTTGATTCTCCATATTAAATGTTATTTTTGGTTATTAAACATGCCTTTTCCCTACCATGATGTCTTGTTGTATTTATCTTTCCACCAGGTATCATATTATATTAATATAAATATGTGTTAATACATTATGGAACGTTTTCTTGTTGATATGAAATAGACATAAAGATAATCATCTGAAAGAAAATCCATCATTTAAATATTAAGATCTTTTAGAAAGCAGATTATCCTGGAAGAGAAAGTCGAGCATGACATAACACCCCAGTGGATCTGATACCACTGACATCTTCCAATACGTAGGTCCCTGGTTCAAATCCCAGCAAAATGAAAATAAATTAACACTTGAAATATATCAGTCTATGTGAAATGAATCTGAGTTTTACTTTTTGAACTAAATCACCGGGATAAATCAACCTTTTGATGATATTCTCATCCATTGAGATGAGCCTATAGATGTTAAAGTAAAGTAGGATGCACTTCCAACACATCTAAAACAGAAAGGGTGACCTGCAAACTGAAGGAAAATATTCAAATTTTAATCAATACAGACAGAACTTTCTCTTAAAAATCAAGTTCAGATCCCAAAGAAGTGCACACATTACAGTTTTGTCCTTTTGTCATATTTTGATTTAAATTTAAATTCATTTCATTGCACATTGCACATTTCAGATCATTTGTCAACAAAAGACTGATTAACAACAGTACAAACTTGCCTATACACAAAAAGTGAAAACAGGCTGTTTCCATCACTAGTTTTATTTATTCATTTGACATTTTTAATATTTCGTAGAGTGACAGAGGTGAGTTATGGTGATTGTACTGGATTACCTCAGGCCGCACAATCTTTTCATGTAGATAAGAATTTCTGGCAACTCCTCTGAACAGCTGGCCGATACATCATTGTTAGTACAGTACAAAAACACACAATCTAAGAAAACTGTCGTCAAAGACTGTCGGCAATCCTCCTCTTACAGCCTAATGAGGGAATCTGGTTGTAAACATTTTAATCATGCAACAGTAACTCTGAAGTTGAGCTCACGGCTGCATCAAAGCTGAAGCAGAAGGATAAATATTTTCATTAGACATCATTTGTAGAAAATTGTCAGTTTTAGCTCAGAACAGGCTTTGTTGACTTTTATATTTACATTTGACCATCCAAAGCCGACTGAAAAATCTGTATAAAACAAAAATACCCAGTTATACAAAATATATTTACATGATTTCCTGGAATAATGCATATTTGATATCACATCAACTGCTTTGTGAAATGTTCTTGTCCTCTCCTGTTTTAGAAAGAAGGGTCCAGCTCTAGGAGTCCAGTGCTGCTCTTGCTCTCTGAACAGCCACCTCCAGCATTGTGTGATCACTGAGCAGCTGATGAAGGGAAACTGGATCCATTTCCAGCAGCATACCTACAAAATAACGCAGAATATGAGAGATGAAATGTCATTAATATTAGGGCCCAACCGATATGGATTTTGGGGGCTGATGCCGATACCAGTTATTAGGGGGGAAAAAATATGATCACCGATTATTTGGCTGATTTTTTGAATTTTTAAGTTACATATAGCCTACTGTAGATATCTACAGTATACTATATACTGTAGATAGACTGAAGGCTACTGCTCTTCATGCTGACAGGAAGACCAACTGATCATCTCAGTAATATTCCATGAATTTATCATGAATCAAACTCGGACCAGAAAAGAACATTGTGAAGTGGGTTGAACTGAAACTTGTTGACTTAGTGTGTATTTCACAAACTGGTTTATTAACCGTTGAGGCAGACCACTCTCCTCTGTGCGTCTCTGAGCTGCCTGCTTCAGATCCGTCACTCTGCTGTGTTGTGAGGTAGTTAATGGATCAAGTTGGGGAACTTTTCAAATGGCAGAACATTTTCGAAGTGAAACCGAATCTTTTTCTCTGCATTTTATTTCTGAAAATATCTGCAAAAATCTGCAAGTTTCGGCCAACTACCGATTAGTCTCAAACGGGCTAAAATTGGTCGGTCCCTATTTAATATTGTTCTAATGAGCTACATACACAAACTTCCTCGAGACACAAAAAATCCTTTACAGACATGCAGGTACCTGTAATATCATTTGCATGAAGAGGATCCAGCTGCTCCACCAGGGAGAAGAGCTTCTCTCCCAGCCTCTCTATGTCATCTGTGTCTGATGAGTCACTTATGTCTGTCTCCTCCACACTCTGCCTGAAGGGCGGAAACAGGAATGTAATTTCTCAAAACTTGTTTGGTTTTCATAGAACAATAAATGTTGTTTTTTCATAGATGTGTGATTGAATTATGACTTTACGATGATCTTAACTAAAGGAAAAGATGGCGTAAAAAAAAACAAAAACTAAGAAAAAACATGTCCTCATATGCAAACAAAGGTATGCTTAATATACTTACTCTTCAAGGGTCTTAAGTGCAGAGTTCACCTGCTCCTCCAGCAGTTCGGGGTCTGAAAGGAGGTTTAAAACGGACTCCTTATCCTGCTCCAGGAGCATCCCTGTCGAAGAACAGAGTTAGTACATTTAACCGCATTAGTCAGGGGTTGTTTTATACCTTTATTTTCATAAGCATAAAATCTTTATATTTTTATTTTGATAGGCATAAAAATCCAAATCCATGACAGATGCATTCAGACACAGCTGTGTTAGAACTCAATTCTAAAATGATCACACAGACCATGTAAATATGCTGGTATTGATTAGATCTAGTGTGTATTGTTTTTTTTTTACATGGTTGCATTGATGTAAATAGGCCCGAATCACTAATATCTTACTGAGACTTTTCATTTATTAGCTCTTCATAAAGTTCCTATAAAAACTCCAAGGCAGGTTCTTCACATTTGTATAAACCACAGAATTGTTCCACTTACAGCTGTGTTCCTTGACTGATGAATGGCGTGTCCTTCCCACAAATCCCACATTATAAATCTTTGTAAATGAGAAAATCTTCTGTATTCGCCCATAATAATAATAATAATACATTTTATTTAAAAGCGCCTTTCTGGACACCCAAGGACACTGTACAGGCATTAAGAACACAGTTAAAACACAGTTAAAATAAATAAGAACAACATACAGGTATGGAAATGGACAGTTAAAGGGAATATGCAATTTGGAACAGATGTGTTTTGAGTTTTGATTTGAAGTGGGGTAGTGAGTCCATGTCCATGTCCATGTTTCTGAGATCATTGCCTTAAGTATGAAATAGTTGCTCCTCAATCAAGTTACATGACAGTTTATAATCCGACCTGAAGATGGCAGCAGAGGAAGAGTTCGGGAATCACTACACAGATCAAAATTCATGCCGAAACCCACCAGTATGGGGGAAAATCTAAAGATCGTTATAGTATGAGGAATGTATTCACTTTGTAGTTCTCCAATAATGAACCATCTTTTCTCGTGCACATTGTTCTAAAATTACACTGAACTTCATACACAGCTGAAAGTCATGGGGCAGGTGTCCTCAAACTCTGAGTGTACGACTTGCCAGAGGAGATAAGGCGTGCAGAGACAGTCACTTCTTTTAAGTTAAATTTAAAAACTCACTTTTATAGACTTGCTTTTATGTGATGCCGTCTTTTATCTGACATCTCTTATCTCTTTTACCTCTCTCTTATTTCTTTTTAGCTTTTGTTATATTTGTACTATTTTCTTAATTAACCTTTTAGGCTTTTTTTTGTTTTATCTCTTGCGCATTTCTGTTGCTCTATTTTATCATTACTATTATTATCAGTATTTCCTGTTATTATTTTATTATCATTGTTGATATTGCCTTTTATATTTACGATCCTGTTTCCACTTTTGACCCCCCTTTTAATTGCAATTTCTTTTTTTCTTACCTATTTTATGTTTTTATTTTGGTCCTCGTGGTTTCATTTTATGTTGCATGGTTCTTGTGTTGTCTGGGTTCCCTATGACATATGAAAATGGCCTTCAATTCTGTTTTAACTGAGCTTTTTGTTTTTATCTGTCTTTTTCTATGGGCTTTATGACTATATATCAAAGCACTTTGTAAACGTCTGTTTTTAAAAGTGCTATACAAATAAAGTAATTATTATTATTATTATTATTATTATAGTAGTAGTAGTAGTAGTAGTAGCAGTATTATTATTATCATTATAGTACACATGAGCTGCTTCATATCTAGGTGTTACTTCACTGTATGATGATGAGGTGTGTCTTCTGGTTACTAACCTGTGATTTTCTGTGAGTGGCCGGTATTGTAAACATCCACCAACTCAAACAGCTGTTCTCCCAGAGAATCAGAGGACATGGATCCATCATCCTCGTCTTTACATGTTATTTTGCTGCAAAAAGGCGCAGTCACATGAGGAAACCCAATTCACTGTAGTGTTGTGTTCACATACTTACCATAATTTTCATCTTTACGAATTGGGCATGCAAATAAGCAGGAGTTTAAGGGATATTCCAGCGTCAAATTAATTTAGGGTCAAACACACCTTAACACCGAGCTAGACAGTCCGTCGAGAGATGAATGTTGCAGACCACTTGCTTCTCTAGTTATATCAATTTTAGTAACGACTGCAAGATAGCAATAAAGAGAGCCATGCGCTCAACCAAAACGCCACTCTATAGCCACAAATAATGCTCAGAACAGCACCTAACTTCATCAACAGTACATATATAGGGTCCTGGCCACAGCACTAGCCACCAAACATCTTTTTAACTTTGCCTGATTTCTTTAGCAAAGAGACTAAACACAACTCACCTACTCTCTTCCAGCAGCAGCTTGTTTGTACAGAGACTTCCAGGCGAGTCCATTGACTGCAGCGGGGTGACGCAGCCCAAGGAAGAACATTTATGATCATCTCTATCATTTCCTTGAAGTAATAATCACCATATTACTCATTTTGCACTGCAGATGCGGTAGTTCTTCTGCCTTAGTGTCTTGGTCTGATTGCACTTCCAAGAAGAAATGATAATAAATGTTCTTCCTTGAGCTGCGTCACCCCGCAGCAGTCCGTAATGTACTGGCCTGAGGTCTCTGTACAAACAAACGGCTGCTGGAAGAGAGTAGGTGAGTTGTGTTTAGTCTCTTTGCTAAAGAAATTAGGCAAAGTTAAAAAGATGTTTGGTGGCTAGTACTATGTCTAGGACCCTATATGTCCTGTTGATGATGTTAGGTGCTGTTCTGAGCATTATTTATGGCTATAGAGTGGCGTTTTGGTTGAGGTTTGTTTATGGCTCCTGAGACCACTGTGTATTGCTATCGTGTGGTCATTACTCAAGTTGGTATAACTAGAGAAGCAAGCAGTCGGCAACATTCATCTCTCGAGGGGGTGTCTAACTCAGTGTTACGGTGTATTTGACTCTAAATTAATTTTACGCTGGAATGTCTCTTTAACTATACATTTCCCATAAATAATACCACAGTAAATTGGATTTGGAAAAACATTGCTGCACCTTGGCTCTTGAGCAACCTGCAGGGCTCTGAGGGCTTTGTCCACAGCTGTGCTCAGCAGGGCTTCATCCTGCAGCATCTGACCCAGGACAGGACATGGCAGCTCCAGCAACATGCCTGAGAAAAAGAAAATTAAATATAAACCTCACAACAAAACACAAACTATAATTTGTGCTTTAAATGTTGCAGTATAGATATTTGTTCATTATAGGATAAAAAGCCCCCCTATAAAAACAGTGTTAAGTCACCTCACCTGTGAGTTTTCCAGCGTTTTCTTTATGTTTGGGGTAAATCAGAGTGTACAGCTGCTCACCAAACAGCTCCAGATCTTCCTCTTCCTCCATAATTAACTTCTCACAAATACCATGTATACCATGTTACACTTCATTATTACTGCATTATTTTAGGTTGAACAGACAACTACGGCCTCTGACAGCGTGTTGATTCACATCTTCTGCTTCACGTCTTCATGCAATGATCTGCAAAGTATATTTAGACCATTTAATTTACGAAAGCAGCTGTAATCATGTAAATGTGTGTTATTTTGACGGATTCCTGTAAACACCAGGCGCGTATATATGACGTCAGAATTTGACCGAACCATAGATATATAGATATATAAACGCTAGATGGCTTAAGCACGCTGTTAGCCAGTGGAGACCGACGTCCGCGCATGGCGGCCATTTATAACTTTACAGTCTACGGTGCATGGAGCATTGAGATAAACATAAATTACTTAATCTTAAAACGATTTTCAAACGGTTTGGTGTGTAAAAAACTTCAGAGTTTTAGTGATGTTTCTGCATACTCAAGGGTAATTTTAACCATGGATTTTCATGAATAAACATTAAGCAGATAGGTAGAGCAATAGCTATGGGCCTACACACACAAGGCAGTTATATTAAATCATTTATATATAAAACATTTCATCATTCCACGTATGTTATATTAGTGCTATTTCTATTATAATGATAATTATAATAATATGTCGCAATGAAATAAATTAATATTTATTTTCAATATAAATTTTTGCCTCATGTTGCCATTTTAGATGTTTTTATCAAACAAAAAAAATTGAAAGAGCAATTCCGCCTCTCCGACTAATGTAAAATCACTGGGTCAACTTTGTAATATGTACTTGGTTTTACTCACAGCGAGCCTGTTAGCCAAGTTAGAGAGCTGATAAAAACAAGCACATCAACAAAAACTGTCACTTAGACAAAATAAATAAATAAAAAATAGGCTGTCACACAAAAAAGTAAAATCTCGATTGTAGTCTCTGCCTTGACAACTCGCGCAGAGCGACTCAAAGTTAGCCCTTGCGCGCAAATGGCCATGAAACACCTGTGCTTCATGATTAAGTTTTTGTTTTTCCCAAAGAAAAGCTCCCTTTTTAGTATGTCCATGCATCCCGACTCAAAGCCACGTTATCAAGGTCTGTAATAAACAAAATTATTTGCAAATCTGTCAAGATTTCAGCGAGTTAAGAGTATTTTTGACCATGCAGATTACTCACATCCCGTCAGCTACCATAGAGTGTACCAGAATTGTACACTGAAGTAAGATGGCCGCCGGTGCCTCCGCCTCGAGTATTCTAGCCTTTCGTGTAAGATATCTATGGACCGAACCCCTGATAGAGATGAGGCCATCTTCCTCCGCTTTACGCGGTGATAACTAGTTCTTCTTAAAGTCTTTTAGCGTATAACTTATGTTTCCTATATCATTTCGAAATTTATAAAAAATAGTATTTAAGAATAAATTGGTAAAAATGAAGGTTTAAAACGAGTTGTTGTACTTACTTAAAGGAGCTTTGAGTGCGCAGTGATCTGTGTTTGAGGTTCCGTAAAGCGGTTTCCGCTCTCTCCGTTCCTTTTCCTCCGCTAAAAGGTAACGTGGTCGCCTCGGCTGCTAGTAGCCGGTTATTAAATTAGATTTGTTCTGTGTTTTTGCTTGTATTTATCGACCGGAATCAATATAAGGTTGTTGTGTGCATCGCTATTTACACCCATGCTGTGTAGAATGGTGTTGTAAAGTGTATAAAATGGAGAATGTGTGAACACGTCTCTCCCCGTGGAGGCCTCATCGTGCTGCTCTTAGCTGAAGAGCTAGCTTTAGCAAACTGCTTCAATGAGACAACCCTGTCTTCTAGGAATAATAGCACACTGCAGTTGGACTCTGTTTAGTTATATTTCTAGTAATCGGCTCGTAATAACCCACTGTCTAGTGCCGAAGTTATTAAATTTAGTGTGCATGTTGTCGTGGTAACAGAAATTGTCAGCTAACTAAATGGTAGCAACATCGCTGACGCTTGTCACACGTAAATAGCTGTCAGGTTTTACTTTATTGTGAGTTTTTCCACTAACACGTGGCTCTGTTCTGTCCAGGTTCATCATGTCGTCCCATTTGCAGTGGATGGTCATCAGGAACTGTTCCAGTTTCCTCATCAAGAGGAACGGACAGACCTACAGCACTGTGAGTACTCCATCTGTCTCTGCTTCACCAGACCTGGACAGTCTATGAGGACTGTAACCAGGGCTTAAGTACAGTCTGTGGTGTTTTAAAGAGACCAAACATATGCTGTTTTATTGTAAGATTGTCGTGATTAACTGAGATTGCAGAAGACAACCAAAATGAGCCTGCTGTCACAGGATAACACCACTGATGTTTGGAGAGTAGAAATGTGTGTAATTGTGTGTCTGTCAGATTACCCCCCATTGTGACATACCTGTTGTATTTGTGTTGCAGGAGCCCAACAATCTGAAGGCCAGGAACTCTTTCCGCTTCAACGGTTTGGTCCACAAGAAGACTGTAGGTGTTCAGCCCGCAGCTGACGGCAAGGGAGTCGTGGTGGTGCTGAAGAAGCGTGCAGGTAATTGTTTTCCTGCGTTTTGCTGTGTAAAAAGTTCATGCCATGTTGACACAAAGTAAAGGCTGATAGAAAAAACGAATTGTCAGGTGAGACAGATGTGAGAAGTATAATCGTGCTTTCTGCACAGGAAAGGAACAGCCATGTGTTGTTGTTTTTAAGGAGAAAAGCCTCCATTTGTTGGTGTTTTGCTTAATTTTGTCGTCCTGAATTTTGATGAGGTTCTGGTGAAGTTGTTCCTGATCTGAATATCATAAAGCTTTAGGTTGCAGCCTTTTTAATTTTACATCATTTGTATCATATCATATGCGTTGGATTGCTGGGATTTTCCAGTGTGCTGTAGAGCTGCAAGACTGAAAAGCAAATCTGTTATTGGTTTGAATATCATGTTTTGTTGCCTCAATCCCTAGGCCAGAACAAACCTGCCACTTCTTATGAGAAGATCACCATCAACAAGAACTCCCGCGCCACCCTTAACAGCGTGAGGCACATCATCAGCAAGAACAAGTACAGGAAGGACCTGCGCATGGTGAGCTCAGGCTGTGTTGTACACTGTAGAGTTTTGTATTTTGTGACCTCATAGGCGCGTGTGGTCCCTTTATTCTGACTCTTTATTCAAGTCCAACATTTGTTTTCCAGGCTGCCCTGCGTCGTGCCAGTGCCATTCTGAGGAGCCAGAAGCCTGTTGTGGTAAAAAAGAAGCGCACCAGGGCTGCAAAGACCGCATAAACTGAAATTTATGACAAATAAAGTGTCTTGTTTGGAAAAAAAAATCACCTTTTCTTGAGTTCTTATTGGCTGCATTTATGAATAGCTTCTTAAATTACATTATTGGTTTCTTGTGGGTATTTATGCCATTATAAAAGTTGTGGAGTTATTTATCCCAGGGGAAAAGTGTGGATATGCAAACTGCGGCAATAAATTCAGAAATGTAAGAAAAGTTTGGAATAAAACAACAGTGGATTCAACAGTTTTGTAATTTTTATTTTAGTCAAATTTTAAAAAATCCTGTCAAACCCAGGAACCTCCTAATTCAACAGTGTGGCTTTTTTTCAGTTTTTGGATGCAGAAAAACAAAACAGTTTTTTATTCTGATGGTTCCACTGTGATTGTCAGTGTCATTACACTGTAATAAATAAAAGTGTGATCTGTATTTGAGAACCAGAATCATGTCAGAGAAATTAGCTGCTCTTGACGCACATAACATCCTGTGCGTTAAACGTCCTACGGTCTGACGCATGTTGTCTGGCCGTTGCGGCAGATGGGTCACCGGTAAGAGTGCATTTACTGGCCTATTCGCATTGATGGTTGTCAAAACATCAGAGTACTAGACGTCCCTCTTGACCAACAGCTGTTTCAACTGAGGAAATTAAAGCTTTGAGTACATACAATCTTATTTTTCATAATTTACCATTTCACCTCTTGAAGCTTGCAGTCTTAGGAGATCATTTCACAAAGATGCATTTGAGAGATCAGCTTCAAGTCCTCTCTGGTTGTCTTAGTAACAAGATGCTTAATACTAATCTTGAAAACTCAAACTGACGACAACAGAGGGGAGTCTGTCTCCTCTGACTGTCTTTGTACCTACGGCACTGTTCCCTCTTTTAATCCACATTTTCAACTTAATTTTACATTTAGCCTTGGCAGCTGAGCTCTGATCGGTTCAAACATCACCTGTTAAAAGATAATACCTGTAAAATAAAGTGTATAAACGAACCAAACAGGACTCTGTTACTAGCCAGAGAGCACTGATGTGGAAACATCAGATAGATTTTAAAGCAGCCCACTGGCAGCTTTCCACCGCTGGCTTTGGAAAGAAACAAACTGTTGTCACCTCCCCCTGACTTTAAGCTGATAAAGTATACTGCTGCAATCATTTCTGCAGGGGAGCACATCCCTCTCACAAAGGATTCAGGCGTTCACCTATAATGCTGTCTGCTCTGTGAGGATGTGATAGAGGCTGTGTGCAGCGGTCACTATGAGGGGACTCAGGCCGGTACTCTTCTTCGTGCCTCTGGTGCTGCTGGTGCTGCAGAGTCGAAGCTTCGAACTGCAGGATACGATCCACGCACTCATCGAGGAAAACATCCACCTTCATGACCAGCTGGAGAACCTTACCCAGGCCCTCAGGGAGCTCAAACGGATGCTGTGGCATCACTCGAATGGTACCTCAAAGTCCTCTTTACCACTTATTTGAATACATGTGTGAGTGGAAAAAAAGACATGCAAAAAGTGAGTGTTTTCTGTAGTGGGTGGATAATAATAGAAGGTCATTTACAGGTGCAGCATAAGGCCAATTTAACATGATTTTCAAGATTCACAGTGTTAAAATTATAATGATAGGTACAAAACTGTTTATCTACATTTTCAATGAAATGAATGTTCTTTATTGGATCCAAATACCCATAATATCATATGAATGTACCTTTCTGTCTTTAATCTTGTCCTTTGTCTTTATATTTGCACACTTTGCTTTGACATGATGGGACCGTATGAAGGGAATCCCCTCAATCAATAAAACAAAACATGAAAAATTTCTGATTAGAAATCTACAGAATGGCTTTTCCTTTTTCAGGCTATATCATAAAAACGCTCTAGTGCACACTGGGATCACTAATGCTAGTGCAGATTAGTTCTGTGAAACATCTGGTTTTTCCACGTTTTGACCCCCAAGGTCACAGCAGCTCTCCGCTCTCCTTTCATTTACGTCTTAAATTGTAATTTCCTGTTTGTGTCGTTTTCTCCAATCCTGTCAGTGCTGTCTCCATTTAGTCGTGCTCGTGTTGCCTTTCTGGTCCAATATTACAAAATAGGATATTTTTCGCATGATTTTATTCTTTATTTTGGGAGGAATGGCTTTTGGGGTTAGGTTCTTTCTCTTTTGACAGAGAGAAGAAACTTACTTTTGTTTCTGTTTCCAGTCCTGCACCAGACCTAAACAACTAACCTTTCGAGCTAATAGTCCTCAGTGTTGCAATATAGATTCGTTCAAAACAACAATTGAATTCTACCAACTTTTATATTATTTATTCAATCATTTTTCTTCATGCACAGTTGAAAACAAGCTTGTCACTCTTAGTTTCTCCTCCTCACAGAATTCTCACTCAGACTCAATAAAAGTTATTAAGTCAGTTTTTCTTACATGGTGTCTGCTACCAATAGGCTTAAAAACTCCTCTTGAGAAACAAGTGGGTGATGTTTCCAAGACTTCATCCATGTGCTACTATAGTCTATAGTAGTGGTTCTCAACTGGTGAGAGATGGGTCACAAACAGCTGGTCAAAAAAGGAAATATTTAATGCGATATTTATTAGATATTTTATATTTTCTGTATAAGCAACTTCGGTAGTTGTCTGAATTCTATAAAAGTGGGTTGCTACCTAAGGACCCTAGGAAAATGTGGGTCTCAGAGTGAGACCAGTTGAGAACCACAAGTTATTTTTGATCATGCATGCTCTGCTAAATTGAAGAAAGAGCTCCAGAGATAAATTCAAGAATGAATCAGACTTTTAAAGCTGCCGTCCTGACAGATCTAATGTGTGTTTTTGTTGCAGACCATGAGCACCATCAGCATCACCGTCAACACCGTGAACATCACGATGAGAGCGTCCAACATCTGTGGGAAGAGTGGTCACAGCACGGTGTGTATGATCACATCAAAACATTTCATCAGATAGTTCACAGAGGACAACAGGAAGCACTGTGTTACGAGTTTGCAGCTCAGCAGAACAAAACATCGGCTGACATTGATTCCCCGGTCATGGAGGCTGCAGAAGCACCAGAGGGATAATCAACCATTTAGTCAATCCGCTCTGCTGCAAATGAGCCTGCTGGCAGCGTTGGGATTTGTTGCGTACACATGTTAAAAGGCTGGATTCTCCTTGTGTGAGTTAACTTCACAGTTTGATTCTTTCTTTCTTGCAGGAATCAGTGCAGAAACTCATCTCCTCTTGGAGCACGCTTTTTGTGAACACCCACATGGCTCGGCTGCTCCTCTCCATGATGAAACATCTGTCTTTCTGCTGTTGGTACCCTGCTTCACTATGCTGCTGCTTTGTAGGCTACATTAGCCTGGTGTCCACAAAACCTCAGTTTTTGTTGTGAATTACACTGTGTCATTTGAAGAGTGGCTGCAGCCCTGACTCTTGAGTGATTATTGAGTGAACGGGATTGGATGAGTTGACCTAACTGCAGTTTGTGCTGGGAGTGGCAAAGTCACGTGTGGGGAGTTTGGTGAACTGGAAAGGGGATGATGGTGTGCGACACAGAAGCCAAACGTGATCACAAGGGTACGCATGTTTGTTGTGATCAGAAGGAATTTTGACTCAGGAATTAAACACATACTCTAAAAATGTGGTTTTGGTGACTGCATGTATGTCAACAAATAACATCTGTAAGAAAAAGCTTGTGTCTTTGTGTACGACATAGCGGTGCTCTGAGCTGTTAATGTAATAAACTGTCACAAAAGGGTTAACTTGTGAATAAATGCGGTCTCTTTAAGGGATATTCCAACGTAAAATTAATTTAGGGTCAAACACACTGCAACACCGAGTTAGACACCCCCTCTCGAGATGAATGTTGCCGACCGCTTGTTCTCTAGTTATACCAACTTTAGTAACGACCGCACGATAGCAATACACAGCGGTCTAAGGAGCTACAAACAAACCTCAACCAAAACGCCACTCTATAGCCACAAATAATGCTCAGAACAGCACCTAACTTGCCTGCTTTGCCTGATTTCTTTAGCAAAGAGACTAAACACAACTCACCCACTCTCCTCCAGCAGCCGCTTGTTTGTAGCGAGACCTCAGGCCAGTCCATTACGGACTGCTGTGGGGTGACGCAGCTCAAGGAAGAACATTTATGATCATTCTTCATGGAAATGCAATCAGACCGAGAAGAACTTCCGCGTCTGCAGTGGAAAATGATTAATATGATGATGATTATTACTTCAAGGAAATGATAAAGTAATGATCATAATCATCTCTTGGGAGGGTGTCTAACTCAGTGTTACGGTGTGTTTGACCCTAAATTAATTTTATGCCGGAATATCCCTTTAACTTTGAGCAGTAGGATTAAATAGGACTGAACATACACTGTACAGTAAATGTGGGGTTGTTTTTCCTCTAGTGCAGGGGTTCTCAACCTTTTGCAAGGTGGGCCCCCCCGAAGGTGGTTCAATGCAGTTGGGCCCCCCCAGACCACCACCTGGCCCGCAAACTTTTTTAGTAGAAGGATGTCCACCCCGGTTGAGAACCACTGCTCTAGTGAACAAAAGAGGTAGCTATAAGCACAGGAAATTAAAAATTTCATATCATAGAGGTATTGAGTGTGTTGGCTAAAAGTTACAGATCTCTACAACAAAGAACCACAGCTGGAATCAGTGTTTGCGGTCGTCTAACACTCAGCTCTTTAAACTGTGTTTTGGCAACAACATGCCATATTATTGCCATTATTGATATATTGCCATATAGCACCTTTTTCAAGTCCGAGCCAAGCCTCAAGTCTAATATTTCCTAGTTAAAATAAATAGCAAAATAAAGATGCTAAAAATGCGGGATTTTAGTCACTTAAATTACAGTATAGTACCCTATTAATTTACATTATAGGTCTGTCTACAAATTAATTGATCTATGTTGTTCTTGTATGCACACACTCACACTCACACTTGGGGGGTAGGGATGGATCCACTCTTTTTGACTGCGCTGTAAAAACATTTGTTAAAATCTGACTTGAAATAACCCACTGTTTGTAGTAGTCTCAGTAAACTTATTACATGCACATTTGCAAAACACTATTGCAGAGAACATTTACAGTATACACTCAGTGTATTTTAACAACAAACTCCTAATCTCAGTTTATTAAATGCAACTCAGAGGAACATCTTTGTGCCCCCGTAATAAGCCTCTATTCTTGATTTAAAACCCAGGATCTTTGCATTGAGAAGCATTACTGCATTTGATTCAGTTATTAAAAATCCAACACAGAATGGTTTAGCTTTTTCCAGTTCTCATCAATTGAAATACAGCAGGCAGAGAGTCCAAACATTTGTTTATTTTTGCCACTATCTGAAATGTTACACCACATATAAAAGTTAGAAAATTAACTGTCAGTAATTTCAGCTGAAAGGTTTTTTATTCTACAGAGTGAAACACATTCAGTACAGTATAAAGATGCACATGAAACAAAGTGGAATGTGTATTTGGTTTACACAATGAATAAATAGACATTCACAAAACAACAAAACAATAGTCAACATCTACATCTTTCTAAGTAGGTTAAACAAAAACTCCTCAAAACTGATCATGAACAAAGTTTACTTGATTCAATGTAACTGAAGTTTAACAGGGACTGATTTCATGTTGTCTTACTTTTGCATTGTATGAACAATGCTGGTTGTGCTGTTATTATATGAATGGTCTGTTTGAAATCCTGGCTCAGTCTGTCTTTCTCGCGTGGTCCATTTACATAAAAGTGATTGATAATTCATGCGGACTGCGTACACTTTTCAAGCATATAAAGCGTAAAGATTATTATGGCTTTAGTCTATATCTAGGTCAGAGTCATCATCGCTCACTGTGTTCTGTACGATTGCTCCGTTGCGAACTGTCTTCTGGACCATCGGGGCTTTGTCGGGGAGTAGGCCGTATTCCTGCAGCAGGGCTTCCAGGTCCACAGCGAAGAAATCTTCTCCGAGCTGGTCTGTGAGCCGCACAAAGTTGCCGATTAAGTCCCCTCCTTTGTAAACAAGCAGAGCAGGTAGAGCGCTGTCCCTAAACAGACTGCTGGTGCTGATGGCCGAGCTGCGTACGCTGCAGAACTTAACCAGCGGGTATTCTTGAGCCAGACACAACAAGCTGCCGCTCATGGCCTCACAGCCGGGGACCTCCGGCTCGTAGATGTGGATCATGACCAGCGTGCTTTTGTCCTCCTTGTCCAGAGCCTCAAGGAAGTCCTCCCCGCTGTTCAGCTCGTAAATCTGTGCGAAGCGTTTGCCGCGGCAGAGCTGACGCCGCATCTCTTCAATGCGCTGCATACGGTAATGCTGAAGGAAGTCTTCGTCATCTTCTTCTTCCTGGAGCATGTTGTACTCCTGCATGGTCATCTGTTGAAAGGGAGAGGGGTGTCAAAGAGAAAATTTTAAGAGAGAGAGAAATGTATTTTTGCAAAGATTCAGATGGTGAGACAGATCAGATTTCACCAACAAGATCAGAAAAGTGAGAAGATGTGTATCATTGACCATCGGGGACACCAAATTTGACCAAACTGAACCAAAAGTTCCTCATGGAATCAAGTATCTCATTAAGTTTGGCTCATCACTATTTAAACTGTATAAGAAGCCAAAGCCGAAGGGATTGTTCATTGTTACTCAGGTTTTCTCGGATTGACATCGTGTCTGTATTGAGCCTCTTCCATTAGCAAGTATATTGGTCAGTGTAATGATAGTGTAAAGAAGAAGTCTGAGTCATTGGAGCCCTGTGCATTTTATTCCCCTTCGACCTACTTTGCCTTGAATCTTTTCCTTCAACTCTTTCTGCTTCTCTTTGTCTTTTTCCATGTCGAGGTCAGAGCGGCAGGTCATCGACAGCTTCTTGATCAGTCTCTCCATCTCTTTCTTCTGCTCTTGTTTCTGCTCCACTTCCAACTGTTTGTACTTCCTCCAGTCATTGATGACGCCTTTTGGTCCTAGGAAAAAAAACAACCAGTGACACTGTTACCAAGGAAACCTGCACTCTAATTATCCTCGATTTATTCTTGCACAGTGTGTACACTGGCTTAATGAGTGCATTTTTGCACGCACGGTCTTGTGTCGGTACCTGTGTTGATAGCACTTCCATCTGCGCTGTAATCTATCTCAGGCTCATTGACGTTTCCATCCCGGATGGTCTTGCTCTCCCCATCTTCATCCTCATTATCGCTGCCTTCATCCTCACTGCTGCTGTAATAATACTGCAGCTTCTCTCCCAAAATCTTGTCATCTAGAGTCGTCATGATGGGAGCTCACCTAAAGGAGCAGCATGGGTAAGCATTAAGACAGCTCTTTAAAAATACAGTATAAAGGGCTGGGTATTACAACACATAACCATGATCAAATTTGTATCATCTTAACCTGATTTAAAAAGCCTTTTTGAGCATGCAGCTCATGCAGCTTTACAAAAAAGACAATGAGGCCAAATGTAATTATAATGAGGGATCCTTCGGGAAGAGAAACAATCTCAGTGGTTTTTCTCATTTTCTAAGCAGAATGTGTATTAAAAAACACCAACATTAGTTTTACCAGTTAAAGGGATATTCCAGGGTAAAATTAATTTAGGGTCAAACATACCGTAAAAAGGAGTTAGACACCCCCCCCCCAAGAGATGATTGTTGCCGACCGCTTGCTTCTCTAGTTAAACCAACTTTAGTAACGACTGCAAAATAGCAATACACAGTGGTCTACGGAGCCAACAAACCTCAACCAAAACGCCACTCTATAGCCACAAATAATGCTCAGAACAGCACCTAACTTCATAAAGATACATATAGGGTCCCAGCCATAGTACTAGCCACCAAACATCTTTTTAACTTTGACTAATTTCTTTAGCAAAGAGACTAAACACAACTCACCTACTCTCTTCCAGCAGCTGCTTGTTTGTAGTGAGACCTCAGGCCAGTCCATTACGGCCTACAGTGGGGTGACGCAGCTCAAGGAAGAACATTTATGATCATTTCTTCATGGAAATGCAATCAGACCGAGACGCTAAGGCAGAGGAACTACTGTGTCTGCAGTGCCAAATGATTTATTTAGTGATTATAACTTAAAGGAAATTAGAAAGAAATGACCATAAATATTCTTATTGAGCAGTGTCACCCCGCAGCAGTCCGTAATGGACAAACATGTGGCTGCTGGAAGAGAGTAGGTGAGTTGTGTTTAGTCTCTTTGCGAAAGAATTTAGGCAAATTTAGAAAGATGTTTGGTAGCTGTGACCCTATATGTACTGTTGATGAAGTTAGGTGCTGTTCTGAGCATTATTTGTGGCTATAGAGTGGCGTTTTAGTTGAGGTTTGTTTATGGCTCCTCAGACCGCTGTGTATTGCTATCCTGCGGTCGTTACTAAAGTCGGTAAAACTAGAGAAGCAAGCCGTCTGCAACATTTATCTCTCGAGGGTGTGTCTAACTCGGTGTTACGGTGTGTTTGACCCTAAATTAATTTTATGCAGGAATATCCCTTTAACTCAATTCAAAGACAGTGTCGTAAGTCCTACTTCAACTTTGTTAAATGATTTGACCAACTTCATGCAAAGCACTGCAGTTAACGGAAAGATGATGCCGTTATCTGCTCAGCCTTAGATAAAAAAAAAAAACTGCTCCCATCATCAGATTTGTCTCATACTAGAGCACATTAGTCAGTGATGCATTATAATCCAGACTGACAGGCTCTCAAGCTGTTAAAGATTGGACACAAAAGGCTTATGTTCAAAATAGGACATCTACAGGACGCATGGCTTATACTCAGTGTGTCAATGAACAAAACCAAGAGTTACAGGCTTCTAATGATGCACTGAGCCAGCTCATGTGCACAGATGGAGAAACAATGAGACAGAAACCTTGTAACACCATCTGTTACTTATTACATGACTGTCATTTTGCACTATTTAGCTCAGTTCACGTTTCATTCATACTCACACAAATGATATATGAACATCATTTTAAATCCTACTGTTACCACTATGATGTTGATGCATCTACTCAAGTACATTAGAGTAAACAGTAAGGATGAAGGCCTTAAAAGCTACACCTTTACTGTCAACAACTCAGTAAAATTTGACAGATGTGAAAGCATGCCGTTCCTTAAAGATCTCACTCTCTCAAGGATGTAGCAGGTACTTGTAAGAGGATAGAGAAAAGCCACTTAGATTGTTTATTAAGTAGGACAAACCGGCCGAACCCGCTAGCGTGTCAGTGGGCCAAGTTAGCGTTAGCCAGGCCGAGCGAGCTTCTCCCGCACTCACTTCCTTGACGTATCGTAAACATTAACTAGCCCCAAAGCGAATAAAGCTGAGTTAAGATAGTAAATTAAACTTTAACACGCTGATATTACTGACAATGCCGTAGGTAAACATAGTAAATCACCTTACCTTGGTCGTCTGAGCAGCTTGAGACGATAACTCCAACTGTTCAGAGCTCCGGCTGATCTATCTTGATGCCTTTAAGGGTCACGAAGATGTCGTACTCTTGACAATCAACGCACAGGGAACATGTACGTCGATTTCTCAGACAGCTAAAGGTCTATTTATCGTGCGTCCAGATTACCTGTTGAACCCTTTGAAATAGTGAATGACACCCAACCCCGGTTTTTATGACAACTCTTACAATAAAGAAAGAAAATACACCACAAAATTTTTTTTTTTTTCCCTATGAACCGTAAGTTAGTTAGATCCTTTATAGCGAATACCAAAACCATTGAACATACCATGATTGCACTGGTCTATTTGACGCTACTGTATCCAAGTAATACCTCAAATTATGGTGAGAATGAATCGTAATGTACGGCAAACTATCGCCAGCATTGGATCAACAGAGGACACTTGAAGGCAACACGGTTCACCCCACTGACGTAGAACAAGCAGGGAAAATGCTGGAAGCGGTTTAATGCAGTACCCAACTTAACCACTAGATGGAGGTATTGTAATTCAACTTCTACCTCCGCATGTGTATGAAATCAGATTTGTGTCTAAAATAATCAAACAAAACTTCTTCAACATTAAACAAAAATAATAATCGGAGAGGATAAAAATCACTAAAGTAAAAGAAAAAAGTCATCTCAAAGGTAAAACTTGTAGCTTGCAAACAAATTATTTGTGCAATTGTGTAAACTACTGGTCTTTTACTTTTGTCATATATAATTTTGTTTACATTTTGTGTCAGATTTGCAAACAAAAACTCAAAGAGAGCAAATGAGAGACCAAAAATTTGGACAGCGGGAAAGAAACAGAGGAAACTGTGAACAAAATTATATATGACAAAACGTAAAAGACCAGTAAGTTACACAATTGCACAAATAATTTGTTTGCAAGTTACAAGTTTTCCTTTTCAGATGATGGTTATTTTTTTGCTTCAGTGAGTTTTATATTCTCAAATTCTTATTTCTGTTTGATGTTGAAGAAGTTTTGTTTGATAATTTTTGACACAAATCTGATTCCATACATGTGTTATCACTGGGAATGGGGATGCACAGTCGTGAGACAGAACAATGGAAAATTAAAAACAAAACAAGTTTCATCACTTTCGTTTTAAATAACTAGACTCTCATTCTCTTTTTCTTCAGTTTTATTTCAGTACAAAGTTATTCTAATAATTTGTTAAAAAAGAAATCTACCAACAAGACATGTCTGTAATACTGGAGAGAGTGAATGTGGATTTTTATGGTATGGCACAAAAATATCTGTTTAAGTTCCCAGGTGTATTTGTTCAAATGTGAGATGAATAGTGACAAATTTAAAGAATAGAGTTTTTCCAGGTCCTCCAGTAGTGTTCGAACAAGCATTACTGCATGTTCCCCAAATGAGCATCTTCAGCACTTCTTTCTTTAGCAGCCTCTTATACCTTCATTAAAGATCATCACCATCCGAAATGGTCATAGCTCATCAGTCCTTACTTTAGTGTCCCTGTTCTCTTTTTGTAAATGCTCCCCAGTTGGTACGCTAAACGCCACATGAGGACACGTCCTGGTGTTCTGACAGACTAGCTTCTTCAGAGTGGCTGAGTTCACTATGTCGAAGCCCACTTTACCTCCAAAGGTGCTAGGTTTCCAGTACTCAGGAGAACATATAGGGTTTCCTAGTAGACCTTTAAGAGAGAAAGGTGCACCCATTTCCACCATGCTCTCTCCAAATATGGACTCCTGTCGAGTTCTCTCTAACATCAGACCAGGATAAAACTCAAGAGCATCGATGTCTCCGTAGAACCCTTCAAGCTCCCGAGCTATCTCCTCATTATCTGTAAAATAGTAAAATAATCATGAGTAAATAAAATGTCAGTAAAATATTATTGCACAGATTGCCTTGAAGATTGTGACTTGGGCATTCCCCTTAAAGGTGGGGTAGGCAGGAATCCGTTAAAGAAGAATCTTTTTTTGTGGTATACAAAAAAAAGCTATTTATATCAGTCAATAGCAATTAGTTATTGATGACATTTGAGAATATAACGAAATTGCTGTGTTCTCTTATGTCTGTGTAGTCAACATTTTAACATTTTTGGGCGGCCCGCTCTTTCTGACTGTAAACAAAGCCCTTCTCTGCCTCCCTGACCTGATTGGTTGTGAGGCAGAAACGTTCAGGAGCTCAAACAAAGTTAGCGTGCTACAATATCAGACAGTAGAAACCAACCAGAAAGTACAGAAAATTGTCTGAATCCTCCTTTAGCCACGACTGCCAACACAAGCAAGAAAACAAAGTAAATACTGGAGACTGGCGGAATAACGGGCGCTTAAAAAGGAGGTAGACCAGACAAGAGCTAAAAAGCCGGGTCAACCTAGGACTGGGCGATTATATGATTGTGATTAATGATCGTGATAAATTTCAGTTCGATCACATTGATCAGCTGAGCATTTTTACTCGATCAAACACGGCGAAAATGTGCGTGACAACAGCCAATCAGAGTTGAGCTTTTCCTGCTCGCTTCTGTAAGTTAACGGAGAAGTAAACAGGAAGTAAACAGAATGACCGAACGTGGAGCAGAGGGCAGGAAAATAGATGTCAGCCATGACTTCGAGTCATCCTCTGAAGATGTTATTGTTGAGAAGAAAAGTTATTTAACGTCGTATTTAGTATTTATCTTCTTTTGTTGTCCTGTTGAGTTAAAATGGTTTTTATATTTTTCTGTTTATCTTATTCAGTTTACTTTGTTATTTCCTTTGTATGTTGATAAAATTTTGATCTAAACTCTAGTTTTTGTTTTTTGTTTTTAGTACAGTTGCTTTAAAACTGGCAGTTTAAAAACAAAATCGTGATAATAATCTTGATCAGACAATATGCCAAAATATATTGTGATCATTTTTTTGGCCAAATCACCCAGGCCTAGGTCAACCTAAAACACTTTGGGATCTTACGGACCCTGTTACCTTTCTCCTGGACAGGTAAACAGCTTTAGCAAAGTAAGCCAAGTGTCTGTAACAGAAGTGTTTCTTGTCAAACTGGACCTGCTGCATGTTGTAGCACCGCTAAACTGTTGACCTCGGGTCCTGGAGTATGTCACTTTATCCTAGTTGTAGAAGTCCTGCAAACATTGTGTTTGCTGGTAGTCTGTTGACATCTACAGTAGCACCAGTGCTTTTTACTTTCACCTTGACTGGGCCCCATTTCTAATTATCTTAAGTGTTTATCTGCATTATATCTGAATTTAATTGGAACGACACGAGCGAGCAGGAGCGTCTGTTTGTGGTTGGGGCTTGCTGGAGCAGAGAGGGAGGGGAGAGGAGGAGCTGAGGGGAAAACTGGTTGGGAGGGGTAGAGTTTACATTCAAGATTTCTCCCCCAAAACTGACACTTCCTCGGATCCTGACTACCCCACCTTTAATGCTACTTTGGCACTTGCAGCATCTTCAAGTTTTCTCAACATCCATCGAGAAAATTGGCACATACATTTCTTTTTCCTTGACCATGAATTCTATAAAACTTTCTAAATTTGCTAAATATTTTTCTGCATTTTGCTGTGGTAGTGAATTACGAAATGCAGGCAAATATAAATATAAGGACCTGTGCAGTTAGTGCAATAAATATCAAGTGATGTATTTTCAAATAGTAGACAACAGCGATGAAAAATAGTCTTTTAAAAGTTGCTCTCAACGAAGGAAGGAGATGTCATTTATTCCAAGAATTTATCCCAAGAGTGTCCAGCTGCTTTCACATCCTTGTGAGAGTCGTAAATCACATGCTTTGAAGGTTGTGCTGTGGGGTCTGTCTGTACACAGCGATGTTTTACTTACCAGTGAATTGTTTGAATGATGTGTACGGCTTAAGGTTGAAACGCTTCCTGTACTCGTTGAAGGGCTGCACGCGGAGTTGGCGGGACTCCTTTATGGCTCCCACAGCCACTTTGGTGACTACAGGATTAATGTTATAACCACCGCCAACCTGTAGAACAGATGTCAGGAGTGAAATATAGTAAAGGTAAAGCTTTTAACGCTACTGTTATGTGTATTAGGGCTTTTTTGTCTCATGTTAACCCTTAAAGCTTCTGTAGGGGACTTTCTGTTTGTGTAGATTGTAGCACCCCTTGTGGAAAAAATACTAACCCTTTTATGTAGTAAAATCCCCTTCTGATGTCTTTATCTGCCAAATACTTGTAGTATTAAAATTGCCCAATATTTGTAGTATTTCCTTCAGGCTAACATTTTTTTTAGCTGCAGCTGTTATGCTCTCTTTTTCAGATAAACACATTGACAGCCAAATTACTCTCAATCATCTTCGTCTAACCATGCCAAGCTCTTACCAAATCCAACAAAACAGGAAGACTAAGATTGAATGCCAAGAAACCTTTTTCATGAATGTTCAAAGCCGGAGCTACAACAGACTCTCTTTTAGTTTTAACTAACTTTCTGTGGTTTGTTTTTTTTTCTTTCATTACCTGGCCTGCAGCTTGGTGAGAGAAGGCATCCACCAGCTTCTCGATGCCGTAATGTGTCAAAACAGAAGTGTTGAAGAGAAACTGTGAGTAAGACAGCTCGTCCCCATCAATAATGAAGCTGTCAGGCATCAGGGGGTGCCAGTGGTAGAGCTGGCTGAACTCCAGGGCGATACGATTCCCGTACTGGAACTGGGAGTTGAACAGCAGGGTGGGATCAAACTTCAGGTGTAGCAGGTATCCGCTGAGGTGCTGCACGTACTCCTCTATCACGATCTTTATTGTCTCACCTGAGGGCAACATGCACAGACACATAAAAAAGGAGGGCAAGGGCATTAAATCAAACCACCCGTCTGGTTGTGACTCACAGCTGAACAGGTTCAAACCCCCTAAAAACCATCAACCATGAGCTAATGTGGGAGTGTGCTGTTACACTGTTATTAACAAAAACATAAAGCGCCCAACTATTAGCACTGTTGCTGGGTGTTAATAAAAGCTTTTTAATAGCACTCTCATGTCAGCTGTGTGAAACCAAAGACAGGTTAGCTTATCTTGAGATAAGGTTGTGCCATATTAACAAATACGCTCTCAAATATATGCTGTTTTAACTTGTATGTCCCTAATTTCCGCTCAATTTCTGTGTTTTCACAGTTTCTTGTCCTTTAAACTGATTTGCCACAAAGTGTTGGATTACCTGTTAATCCATTTTCATATGAGCCAAAATGTTAAAAAAATAAAGCCTGGAGCACCACAGAAAACATGAGCACACCAATTCTGAGTTTAGGTTAGAGGAAAATGCATTAAGGTGATCATTGATCACAGGAGCTTTGATGTTGTTGTGGTACCTGCAGTGATTCTGGAAAGTTCCTGGTTAAGACACCAAGCTTAAAAGGGATAAAAATTAATTTAGGGTCAAACAAACCGCAACACCGAGTTAGACACCCCCTCAAGAGATGAATTTTGACGACCGCTTGTTTCTCTAGTTATACCAACTTTAGTAACGACCGCACGATAGCGATACACAGCGGTCTGAGGAGCCACAAATGCTCAGAACAGCACCTAACTTCATCAGCAGTACATATAGGGTCCCAGCCACAGCACAAGCCACCAAACATTTTGACAACCTTGCCTAATTTCTTTTGCAAAGAGACTAAACACAACTCACCTACTCTCTTCCAACAGCTGCATGTTTGTAGCGGGACCTCGGGCCAGTCCATTATGGACTGCTGCGGGGTGACGCAGCTCAAGGAAGAACATTTATGATAATTTCTTCATGGAAATGCAATCAGACTGAGACACCAAGACGGAGGAACTACGTCTGCAGTGCAAAATGATTAATATGGTGATTATTACTTCAAGGAAATGCTAAAGTAATGATCATAAATGTTCTTCCTTGAGCTGCGACACCCCGCAGCAGTCTGTAATGGACTGACCTGAGGTCTCTCTACAAACAAGCTACTGCTGGAAGAGAGAAGGTAAGTTGTGTTTAGTCTCTTTGCTAAAGAAATTAGGCAAAGCTAAAAAGATGTTTGGTGGCTAGTGCTGTGGCTGGGACCCTATATGTACTGTTGATGAAGTTAGGTGCTGTTCTGAGCATTATTTGTGGCTATGGAGTGGCGTTTTGGTTGAGGTTAGTTTATGGCTCCTCAGACCGCTGTGTATTGCTATCGTGTGGTCGTTACTAAAGTTGGTATAACTAGAGAAGTAAGCGGTCGGCAACATTCATCTCTTGAGGGGGTGTCTAACTCAGTGTTACAGAGTGTTTGACCCTAAATAAATTTTACGCCGGAATATCCCTTTAAATGTTTCTTTTTAACTCCTAAACATTGTATACTGTCTCAAATAGTCTCAAGCCTTTGTTCTATGCTGAGCTCATCAACTCCTGATCTCTGCTTTTAATATTTCGCAGTTATTTCCTCACTTAACGCTTTTAAAAACAAATTAAAGTATTCCAAAAATCTCCAAATATTTCTCTAGGATTTCGTCCAGCTCACCGATGATGATAAGACGTGCAGTCTGGAACAGCTGTTCATCGTCCCAGGTGGGGTGCTCTGCTTTCAAGACATCACACACTCGATTATGTTCTCTCAGCCAGAGCGTGGCGTACATTCCCAGACCAGGGAGGAGTCCAAACACTTCCTGACCAATAGCAATTTGATTCTCCGGGGGGACTCCGGGGGGGTAGCTCATCCTAACAGGTGCATCAATTACAGTGGGAGGGAACATCTCGCCATCAATTAACTGATGGGAAAAGCAATAACAAATAATTACTGATTGAAATTTAATGCAAGCTCAGTCTGTTCTAGCTCATTCACAGTCTTTTTTGTGCTGCCAAAAAGGTGAATGAACTCAGCAAAATGACCGAAACAGACGGTTTAAACTGGTAACATTACAGATTACTGTTTAAAACTGCCTTTGAATATTAATAAAAATATTGAGATTAGTATATACATATAAAAAAAACTTGATTCATTTACCTGGAACTTTAGTTTTCCATCTCTGTGAAGCCGCAGCTGGAGCTGGCGTTCAAGGTTGTCTCCATAAATATGTCCTGCATCTACCTGTATGTGTCACAGGATGATAAGAAACAGGAACTGACAGGGAATAACAAAGATGTGGCTTTTTGCTAGTTGAGTTCTGGATAAAATTTTGGCCTTTGTATCTACTGAGTGGTTTCAAAACCCCCTTTATTATTTCAGGTGCCAGCATGATGTCGATTCTTGTATACATTAAACCAAAAAGATGTAGATACAAAGGAAGATCAGTTAGTTGATGTAATCTTTTAACAGGTCTTTTAACCTATTTCTGCAACACTTTGCACGAAGAGCTTGATGATACAAAATGCTCATTCTGCTTTCTCTTAATAATCAATCACATCAATCATCTGTTAATCTTTCCACTGAAAAATGTCAACAAAGACTGTTGCTACTCCCTCTAAGACTTACCCACAGCAGGGGTTATAGGAATCAAAACAATATGGAAATAATCACCATGGTTACTGATGGTCTTCTTCACTTTTACAGGCGTTAATAAAAAATCAATATTAATTTCGGTCTGTTATATATTTGCCTTAAAACTCTTTTAAGTCAAGGAAAAAAATCTATGATGCAGATCAGTTAATCAAAAATGTAATGAATGTGTCAGGTTAAATACTGAAGCACCTGGAAACCTGCTTTACATGTTTTCACAGTGTTGTCTACCTTTACTAGTTCAAAGTCTTGTTTTTCTGTTGGTTTTTCATACTCTGTTAGACTGCTGTTGTTTTCCACTAAAGAGGAAGTCTCCAGATGTTATTGTTCTTTTAAAACTGAAAAAAAAAAAAAAGATAAATCAAAGTTTACTAACCCCATGTGCCAGGGCCTTAGTAAAGCCATGGCCCATACGATTGTACGTTTTGAAGAACTGATGGGTGAAGTGCTGTGCAAAGAAGGCAAACATAAGGTTGGAGCCCTGGGGGTCGGGTCTGAACTTCCTTCTCTTCAGTAGTCTCTCAACCAGCAGCTCAGGGTCAGGCAGCCCAGCCTTGCCTGAACAGAAACACCACAGCATCAAACGTAGAACAGAGCAAAACAGAGATACACCACACCCTTAGCCAAAATACTGAGAGAGTGTGTCTGTGAAAACACTGCAGATACACTTGACACATCGCACTGCACTCCTGAACTAGTCAAGGCTGTGAAATTTTATGCACAATCTTGTGGTGTAAGGTCTCACTTAGAATGGAACAATCCCAAAGGAAAGTGCTTTTTTGTTTAATAATACCCACCCACTGTATTTGTGCATAATTCTGGGCACTTATGTATCTGCAAATTTCTATTTTATGTGTCTGAATACTGAAGCTACTCATGGTAGAGATACTGAAAGGATATTCACAATGACAATTTGCATAGACAAATACTCTTGCAGGTATGTCCTGGGGGGGGCGTGCGTGCGTCTCAATTCACGTTACTTATTTCTGGTCTGGTGAAACCGAATCTTATTCTCCGCATCTTATTTCTGAAAAAATCTGTGAAAATCGGCGAGTTTTGGCTGATTACCGATTAGTTTCAAACGGGCTAAAATTGGCCGATTTAATCGGCTCGCTGGGCCCTAGTTGTAACTGTTGAGAGTCAACCAAATGAGTAGGTTTTCCAGCCAAGGAATGAAAATGATGAATTATAATTGAATTTGAACTTTAATCCAGGTATGATACTAAAACTATTGGTTAATGCAGCTTTCAACTTGACCAACCTTTGACCCCCAGAGGTGTAGGGCAGTCCTCTGGCACTGGGGGCAGAAGCCGAGTGTAGTAGCTCAGGTTGTAGTAGGACTCCCAGCTGAGATAGCTGTATTTTGAGTTGTAAGTTGGAGGGCTGGGGATCAAGTTGGACCTGACTGTTTGATAAAAGGGAAGAATATTTAGCACTTTATGTGTGAAAGTCTGAATGAGCATCTCTGAATGAACTAATGACTCCGGACCTGTTAGGACCAGCCGCATGAGAACATCCCGTAGGAAGGTGTAGTTGATGATGTCCCACAGCCAGCGGAAATGAGTGAGAATGTAATGCACCACATCTGGGCTCGGCCTCAAGAACTGACGCACTCTGGTCCAAATCTCAGCTGCGGTGGGAGGAAGCATTAAAAAAGAAGGAAAAAAAGAGTCTTGTTACTGGAAGAACAAGCTGCTGGGAAATCAGACTGGAAATTTACTTACGATAAAATCATTATGTCTAGGTCCAACAAAAACGACCTGGTTTCACACTACTGATCTGCCACCCACATCTCTATAGTGCTCAGCAGACGATTGAATGGAGAAGGAAAAAAAGGAGGTTGGGTTATCAGGTTCTGGGTTTTGGCATCCTCATGGAGAGGTTAGATTACCAGCCAGACAAGGAGGCAACTGCTCCAGGGCCCATAAAGGTGTGCTGTTTATCCGTGTATTTAACTCTTTGATCCCTGACACTCAAAAAAGGTAAAAAACATGTCTCTTTAGCTGTCAGACACACCACTCTATTCACAGGAAAGGTGCTGACAAGTGTGTACATGCTGTTTTTCGCTTTAAAAATAGTTTCACTCAGAGTTTGTGGAGCAGTTTCTCATCAAGAATCTGCCTGCTTTGTTCATAAATCGCATATTATGAGCAGTGGGACTGAGCCAAACTCATGAAGTAGTGGTTGAAAAAGGTCAATAAGTAGATGAATTATGCTATAAAGCTCATTTAAATAGAAAGACAGAGAAGATTCATAACTGTAGGAGCCAAATATGTTGTTGTGATACATATGCTGTCCAATGGATTTCCATGTGCAGGTCAGATCCTGCCAACAACACCATAATATTGTAGGAGCTAAGTCGATACTTTAAGCTACATAGATGCTTGACCTGGAGTAACCTGGTCGACGCGCCACACTACTGAGTTTACTGTGAGTTGTAATGATCAGAGAGTCCGTACGTTGTTCCTTAGATTCAGCAAACAAAAAGTTTATTGCGATGAACAACCAAATTCATTTTGCAATTCATATCCAACACTGAACAAACAAGGAAAACGCCTGCAGTTAGCGGCATGACGGTCAAAAACCTTTTGCCCTTCCAGGTCAAACACTTGCCCCACAACAGCAACATGGCTACCTTTATTCCTGAGCCCCCAGATAAACAAGACAGCGACACCCAAGCCACACAAAGTGAACTACAGCTCATAATATTTATCACAACAACATATTTGGCTCCTACAATATCAAACGTGCAGTAGATCATTTGGTTTGTCATTGCAGGCGATGGTAAAGAGATTTGACAGAAGCTGTATTGAAATAATAAAGGCCAAAAAGCTTAATCTGAAAAAAACAAAACAAAAAAAAAACAAACCGTTTGTTAAAAGTGAAGTCTCCATGCCCAGATTCATAACCTCAGTAATTTTTTTTAAACTCTGAGTTTGTTTGAAGTTTTCTTTTGTTAAATAAGCTTGAAATTTTTCAAAGAAAACACATTATGTCAAGTCAATGTTATCACACACTACCACCACTTTCCCTGTCTCTCTCTCTCTTCCTTCCATCTCCACCCACTTTATCGTTCTTTTGTCTCGGCACAATCTAAGCGAATTGTTTGCTGCCTGTTGAGTGTGATGTAACTGCATAACTGTAAGCCAAACACATCACATCTGATTAGGCACTACAGTGTGTGAGATTTTTCCCCTTAATGAGAAGCAGACCACGGGACAAAGTTTGTAGGTGGTGGACTAAAGAGACCAGCAGGAGCAGCTCTGACCCGGTTGGCCTCTTTCTGGCATTTGCTCCTCTTCCTCCAACATTTCCAAATATTTGGGTCTAGACAAGAAATCCTAACTCTGTAAGCCAGCCGCTTCATAGCACCACTTCCTAACAACAACAAAATGATACAGTGAGCCTATCTTTTAACTGTAACTTTTTTGTAAAAGCAATAACAGGATACTTGAAATTCTTGAAGAGTTCAGTAATAAGGCAGGATATGAGGAGCAGTCACTCGAGGATGATTGAACTCACGGATGGTGCAGTTTTCTCCATAGTAGCCAGTTCGAGTGCAGTCACACTCATACTTGTCCTCATCAAATCTTACACACACCCCCCAGTGTTGGCAGGGGAAATAACAGCATGGGTTCACTGTGGAAAAACAATAAAAGGCGCATGTAAAAGACTGCAAACGCACAGGATATCAGGCAAACAGATCAGAAATGATGATTAGCATTACAGGAGGGGAAATGAGGTCAAATATTCACTCGACATGTTTAAAGTATGATTTGATTAAGATACCACAGGAACATCCCAGATGTTAACATCTGTGCATGAAGAGGATTGCATCACCTCCTCAAAAAAAAAAAGAAAAATGTTTTTCAGCCAGACATGAAGTCTCAGTTTTAGCCCTCTGGACCCATTTTTATTAAAATAACATCTGTCATCAAAAAACATGGAAAGTCCATTTGATTCCTACTCCAGGACAATAACTCCATGAATAAATGAACTATTTACTAACAACCAGTAAAGAGATGGTTTAAGATTTCTTGGAGGGAGGGTCGGAGTTAGCTCTGTGTTAAACTGGAGTCGTGTTTTGGTTGTAGAAACGAAATAAAATGTCCTACAAGAAACAATTGTCTTAATTTAGTGGGAATAAACAAACTTTTTAGCAGCTCAGTATTGCATCTTATTTTGTATACTGATGTGCCTAAAATATGTGAGGCCAAAAATGAAAATGACTGAATTTGAATAATTCTTCTCGGAGTTACTATTCATAATCCTTTTATTCAAGTCGGCATTCCTGGACAGCGATCAAGGATTACACAAAGAGGATACAAGCTGGTAATCAATGATTTGCTCACATGACCAGACAAGTTTTTCACACTGTTTCAATGCCAGCCTCTAAACTAAGCTTGATCAGCTGGCTGCAGTTTTATACTTAATGAACAACTGAACAATTGAAGTTAGTCCTTCATCTATTTTCAAACAGCTCACCAAAATGCTGAAATATCCCCTTTAGGAGATGAAGGTTAAAAGTTGGATGATGTTACACATTGGAGACATTACAAAAACGTAAACATGTCAACCTGTGTTTATTTCTATATGAAACAGCATGGGAAAAACACAACAAAACCTCTTGGCTGATTGCAGCAGCCTCATAAAAAGGCTTTTGTTTCTTCCACAGAAACAGAGAGCGGCAGGGAAGAGGGGGTTATTTCGCAGAAACACAGACAGGACACAACAAGCACAGTTCATACGTGCCAGTTTTGGTGTCAGGATACAAATCCTCCTTAACCTTAAGAGATTAGGTAACAGATAGGACAGTTTGTATCAGACATTCCTTCATCCTAAAATATAAAGATTTTAAGTTACTCGCTCTAAATTCATGATATCGGAGAATGATTCAGGCAGCCGCAGGAGCAAATCTCTAAATCCTCCATGTCAAAGGAAATCTCCTCAGACAAAAGGCAGGTCTGCAAGGACACATACATGCATCTCTGCACATGCAAAAACATGCCTCTCCCTACCCACACATCCTACTCTGTCTCCTAGCAGCACACTCAACACATCAGTAACCTCATCTTACTGCTATGTAAACTACACAGACACTATCTGATTGAACAGGTCAGACTGAGTTCAGATTCAGCAGAAAGAAAGGAATTTATCTATACATGGATTTCTTGCATCAGGACAATACTGAGTGGTGAAATCTTCTCACCTGTGACTAAGTTTGACGCAAACGCCAGGAGTCTTCCACATCATAGTTATGATGAGACATTGTGTGATTCAGAGGTGCCAGCGTAGAGGGCACTGTTTCTTACGATACCAAGTACGTGGCGCGTTTTCATGCCAATTGTTATCTGGTTAATTTATGTGACGTGTGAGAACATTGCAGAGGGAAAAGATTGAGTAATTGTCAGGAGTCAGAGTTATTTCTCATGCTGGTGTTTTGTTTGTCATGGAAATTTCTGTGTGTGAGGCATTTCATTATCAGGCACATGTTAAAAAAGAGAAGGGTTATAGCTTTGAATCCAGACTTTTTCCAGTTAGCTATACTCATGTTGTAGCTCGCATGAACTATTCTTTCATAAACATTTGACTTAACACTGTTGGTTTTCCTTTTTTTTTTTTTTTTTTTCCAGAAAAGGTGTTTCAAAGAAATTACCATGGTTCACAATTACAGTTTCAGCCACAAACACCAAGCTAGAGATGGTATAGAGATGGTGATATGATACTTGTGAATTAAGTTGTCCAAATGAAAAAAACATTCCTTAATTTATTGATTCATACTGGCAGTTAATAACTGAGAGGTGTGTTTAATTAAAGAATAACCATGATCCTAAGCTACCCTGAAGTGCAAAAATGACTTTTGTTAGACAAGCAACTTGGGAGGGATCAAAAACTCATACAACAAACTCCAGCGCAGTCTCACAACCTCACCTGACCTCTCACAAGAATTTTATGCTAGTGGTAGACTTGAATTGAACCAAGTTTGTCTTCTCTAGCTAGTGCTCATCAATGAAATGCTGCACGTATTAACTTTTTTTTACAAACACAAGCATGAGAAATTACACTGGAATCTCCTTCAAACACCAAAGTAGAGATCAGAGGAAAAGGAGGCAGTAAAACGTTTGTGTGAGCTGATAACATGAGCCTGAAGCAGGATGGTATATTGTGTATATAAAGGGTGTGATAGGAGGAGATGGTGGTCGTACAGGTCAGGCTACATGTCTGACCACAGGTCAGGCAGGAAAAGTCTGTTCTAGCAACATTAAAGCAAAAGAAAAACAGCAATCAGTACTACGGATGACTCGTTTTCCTGATTTTAATCATATTTGAAAGAAAAATAAGGCACAAGATATGACCCTGAGTAGCTTTTCTTTTAGGAATTGCGTCTTCTTGCTGATAAATTCATGTTATTGTACTGGTGGGGGGCCTGCCGGGGCCTGTCTTCGTTATCACAGTTAAGGGAATGTCTAGAAGCCTTTGCCAGCTGTCTTGTTTAAAAGGAAGACCTGAAAACATGCACTCAGGCGCATTTTTAATCTACTGAACATGTGTTTACTGCATCTGATATTTCATTAACAAACCCTAAGATTGATAAATAACGAGATTACAAACCCTCTGACCCCTTTACCTACCTGTGCTAGAAGAAACCTCATCCCCCCGGCATGTTGGCTCCCGCAACAGCAGGAGAAGAGCCCAAACTGACCCTAGGACAGAGGCTTACAAAACAAGAGTTTGAGATTAGCTTAAGGACAGAGAGGTAAAATTTGAAGCACAGACACACAAGCAGCAAATCAGATCTACTTACATCTCATTACAGCAGCCTCAATTCAGGAAATGTGCTTTCCAAACTCATCAAACTGGAAGAAAAGTGTAAACATCCAGACTCCGGGCTGAGTCACAGGGTTGTTAGGAGGAGATCCAGCCGGTTACACAAACAGACAGAGAGTGAGTGAGTGAGAGTATCAGAGCAGCAGGACTTCAGGTTTACTTGTGTGATAGAGTGCTGCAGCAGAAGCACACTGACTGCGCTTTTACCTGCCCTCACTCACTGGGAAGAGAAAGTGAGATGCGGGCTTCAGCTCTGTGTGTACACTCCGGCTCTTTGTCGGCCCCTGCTGGTGCCTTGAAATAACTGGTTAGAGGTGTGCAGTAAAATTTGGGTTAACTCTAGGGCCCGATCGATTTATCGGCGAGCCGATCAAATCGGATAATTTTAGCCCATTTGAGACTAATCGGTAATCGGCCAAAACTCGCCGATTTTTCGCCGGTTTTTTCAGAAATAAGATGTGGTCAACAGGTCAACAAGTTTCAGTTCAACCCACTTCACGATGTTCCCCGCTGTGCTGGTCTCAGTCACGCCAAGTTAACAGTGAAGCACCATGTAATATGCAAGTTGAAGTTAGAGTTAGCCATCTGCTATTAGCCTTGCTACACTGTTAGTCGTGCCAGTAACGGTAGAATTAACAACAGTACACATTACGTGATCGAGCTACTTCTCTTACTGAGACAGCTGCATGTCTCCAGATGAGACCGGACTGGAAATGACTAACCCCCCCCCAACAAATGGTATCAGCATCAGCCCCAAAAAATTCCATTGGTCAGGCCCTAGTTAACACTATAATGTGAGTACAGATAATCCTCCTTTTCTTCTCTTTTTCTTTCAAACATAATACTGTTCAGCAGAAGAGGTGTAAATGATACGGATAAATAAAGGCTGAATGCTGTTAGGCTGCCTCAGTTTCAGGGTCCTGGTATTGTTCTCACGACTTACAGGAAAGCTTGAATACAACATAGCCATTAAACATGTGTCACTTTTTCTACCACGACCACACTAAATATAAAAATCACAGCCCTTTAATGCTTTTTGTATCATATTTGATACATACTTTTATACTTTTATGATACTTCTATCAAATCAATATGATCAACAAATGACTAAAAAAAAAAAAAACACCTGAATACAGTCTGATAAATGATACAAATTTCCTCTTGTGGTTTATCATTTTCTAAAAATATCTTTTGTATCAAATCAGATCAATATATATATTTGTTAAATTTTAAGGAAATTTTGATTTTTCAAGTTTTCAGTAGTAAGTGAAATAAACATTTCAGCTCCAAAAAAAATTGAATCTTCTGGTCATAATTTGTGGTTTCAGGCATTAAAGTGTTAAGGAATAAACCACTGCTTGTCTTCTTCATATATATCAAATTTCCCCTCATGGATAAATCTTCTTCTTCTTCTTCAACATTTTGATTCTGAAAGTCTTTAGCCATAACAATGAGTTTGCACAAAGAGAGGAAAGTTATAAAAATAAACCCAGCTGTGTTTGTTTGGCAGTCTGCTGCCTTTTAGGCTTTTAGGCTCAGAGGTCATATCATCCTTTAAGTTCTGACAGACCTCTGTGAGGCTGAGTGCCATAATGCTCACATCTACTCTGCTATGCAAATGTGAAACTGCCGATTTTCATAGTTACATTTTGTCACCCTATTAAAATAAAGGCCTGTCATTTTTTGATCATGCCATGATCTTTTCAACCAAGGAGTTAGGCAGTTTTCCCAGAGATGGCCAGCACTTTCAAGACATGATTTAGGCCAAAAACTTATTTTCGTCAAAAAATGACTTTTATTTCACTCACTACTGTAAACCAAAAAATCAAAATGTCCTTAAAATTTAACAAATATATTTATCTCGTTTGATGCATTAGATGTTTTTTGAAACTGATACACCACAAGAGGACATCATTTGTATCGTTTATCGGACTGTATCAAGGTGTGGTCTTTCTTGGGAATAAAAGTATAAATTTTAGACTAAAATGATCTTAAAAATAATGTCTCTGCATCAACAAAGCACACAGGTTTCATCCTTTCAGCACGAAACATATACATGCATTTTATAATGGAGATACTGCATTAGGTTTTTCTTGATCAAGATGTAGATCATTACAGCTGGAATAATAGAATAGAATAGAATAGAATAGAATAGAATATTCCTTTATTGAACCCCCATGGGGGAAATTTTTTTGTCAATTTCTATTCTATTCTATTCTACTCTATTCTAATGTGTGGTGTGTATTTGCGTGATTTAAAACTCCCATTAAAAAAATGTATAAAAGTAAGAACAGTTTCTCGTTTGGTTTCAAGATTTAAGATTTGTTTGTTTGTCATGTGCATGTTAAACAAGGTCAACAATGCAATGAAATGCCCTGGATGAGAGGACCACTCGACTCAAAGGAGTACAGATAAAACACACAATAAGTACTGAGAGAATATATTAAAAGAAAGATACAAAAAATATTAAAGACAAATAAAAGTATAAGAGAAATATTTACAAAGTGAAAAAGAAATATTTACAAAGTGAACAAGCGATGCAGTAGGTGCTGAGTGTGAATGTATGAAATGGAGGATAAGTCGGTGGGATAAATGAGGTATGACAATTGTCATATTGCACATGACAGATAATGGTGTACATATTGCTGTATTGCACTTGGTATTGCACATCACAGATAGTATTGCAGATGATATTGGTTATGTTTCCCAGAAAGAATGACAAGATTTTCTGTCTCATTTACATGACATATTATTTCTACTTGAAGTTTATGGAGTTTATGGAGCAGAAATAAAACAGCACCAGGCAAAAGTAGACATGGCTTGTCAGAACTTGAAGGATAGTATGACCTCTAACCCTAAACAAAGCAAAGCCTGAAAGCCATCTTGAACTCTGGAAGACTCCCACGTATGAACATGTGTATCAGGGCATTTGTATTTAGCTGTTTTTACATTGAAAGGTTGATTTTTTAGTCCCCAGGTAAAAGTCCGAGCTGAGTTCCAAGCTAGACCTCAGTTCTCCACTTTTGCACTGCCTATACAAACAAATATGGCCTACTCGAGACAAAAACGACCTGACCACTTCAGTCTGAGTTTATTTTAAGGTGGAGCACAGTAGCTAAATAATTGCACATGATGACCAAGATTAACTAACCTCACTGTAAGTTCACTATTTCTCACTATAGCTTAGTGCCTCAGAGTCAGTTGGGGAAACCTGGCAATATCTGTTGCTGAACAAGACGGCACATGACCTCGTATGCAAGTAAACGCGTGCCAGCCTTCGCTTAAACTGAATTCATTCAGGCCTTATACAAAAGAGTCTTTATCCGATAAGTGTGAGTCTTCTTCTCCATCTTCAGAGTCACTGCTCAAGTCTGAGTCATGACACAGGTCTTGAAAATCAGTCTTTGATTTGGATGTGCTAAAATGAGAAAGGGGAGCATATTTATACGGCAGATGTATGTTATAATGAAAAATAGCAGAAGTATATCCTCATGTGTGGAGACGTAAATCCACGCAGCTTCTTCACACAGGAATAGAGAGTTTTGGCAGCACAGAGGAGAAACCCTACGACAGCACCAAGACGTTTGTTGAGAAATGCTGCTGTTTTAAAATCCTTGCGTGCTTATCTATGATTGAAACCACACACACACTCTACCTCTGCAAATCATGGGGGTACGTGCCAGATCCACCAGCTGATGAAGTGATTACATTTGTTGACAGGTACGATAAAAAACACTTCTCTGCAAACTCCCCAAAGCATTTCAGTGTTTACCATCGACCACTTTACACTGTAGTTAATCCAGATTCCTGACAAATTTCCACTGCAGAAAGACTTTACTTCAGAAATGTGAACGGGATTCTACAAAATCCTACTATTTCAAAACAGTTACACAACCTTCAGCTGGTGCTTTCCTTAATGTTTTCCAGCTTTATGCCATTAAATTCAACCTTTTGACTCCTTTTGTAAACTGACCTTCCTTTACCCATCCTTTGAAACTCCCATTTCTGTTTGGATCCTGATAAATATTTACTCTTTTTATAGAGGATGTTTGGTCATGACTGCCCTTATATTAAAAGGAGCAGATTTATGATTATCTTAACCAGGGTGGTACCCCAGTTTTAGCTTTAAATACCTGAGGCCTTCCTTCTTTGATCAGGCTGATTCTCTGAGCAAGAACTCGTCTGCAGATAAAGTCGCAGAGCAGTGTCCTCTGCTGTCCTAACTGGAAAGTCTGGTTTCAAGACAGACACGGTCTGCCTAACAACAATGTAAGATTGTTTTATGAAAGAGAGATAAAAAAAAAAAAACAACTCTAGACAGTGTGTTGTGGACGTACAAAGATAAACCAGTTCACAAACCAGACATCAAATAAACACTGTGTGTGCATGATGTAAAAAGAAAGGCCAAATATCAAATAGTTAAACTGATGTCACTCCACCTATCTTACCAAACATTTTGGCAGCAGGAGTTTCCAGATTCATGCTTGGTTTCATGTTTGTACTTTGCCAAGAAATTTCAGGCTAATTTATGTAGATATAGTTAATTATTATCACCATATCACTTTAATCATGATCAAACATGACCTTTTCCTTTCACCAGTGAAACATTAAAGCTTTGACAAAGAGACGGACAATTGTTTTTTTCTGTTCAACATCACATTTATTTAACCAAAAATGTGTCTTTTAAGATGAGCTGGAGGCGGCCACTGCAGCACGTCTGGGTTTGGGGGTGGTACCTTCCCGGAAACCATTCCTACAGAAAAACAAAATAAAGATTGATGTAAGCAAAAACCACACCCAGAGATAAATGCATCACAAAATCTAATTTTTATACAGTGTCTCAACTCTGAGTAACATAAAACAATGATGGCACAGTTCCACTCAAGTGTCCCAGTTAATTACAGAGACCAAGATCCTGGAACCAGCATAGACGAAAGAATACAGGAACACCTTATTCCAACCAAATCTTACAACTACAGTTATTTTTCTGGAACAATAATTAGAATCTGACAAATTAATTTAGTTGCTAAGAGATTAATAAGAATTTGGAAACCTGTTATCACTTTAAGGTGCCACTGTGGGGTCAACATGCACCCTCACAGCTCATTTTACTGCCACTGATCCTCTTATCTCCTACTGCTGCTTACCTCAGAGAAAACACTGATATCATGCTGAATTCATTTGTTCAGACAATTATTTTTCACCATCACAGATAAGCAGCAGAGATACGTCTCATGGGAAATGAGGGCGCTTTTTGCGAACCTTTGTGCTTCATTTCTTTTAAGCACAAAGGTATTCCATTCCACGTCTTTTCTTTCATGTAGTAGCAGAGCATAACAAGAGACCTGCTAACAATTAAGTCCACCAAACTTCCTGCCAACGCTGGAGTCAAAGCCAAGCATGTGAACTCCTGAACTTGAACTGTAACATAAGCCAGCAAGAAACCAGCATTTCTTCAGCTGGGGGATCATGTGCATTACAGAAAGCCCACTTTACCGCAGATATTTACTTAGCAGCAAAGTATTTGTTTCCAAGTGAAAATGAGGTTTTGTTGAGTATATTCTGTACAGCAATTTGGTGATTACAGCTATTCTGCAATATACGTAAATATTTGTCCAAAATTGTCTGTTCATTTCCTGTAAATACAGCAACATTCGGATGATTGTATATTTGAACTCTTACTTTATAGCTCTGAAATCAATGTAACCACCTATCAGTTTAAACATACCATTAAAAGGTTGCATTTGAGCATTGAAAGGAGTTTTGCATTGAGAACCTAAAGAGGAAATGCTGCCAAATTCAAGCTGATGAATCCTTCTCTTTTTTATAAAAATAATCAAGATGGAAAACACCTTTCACCTATGCAGCAGTAAACGTAGAAACACTGAGCAGACACATAGACTGAAAAGAATACAATAAATGCAAACTCTGTTCTTCTTTGTATGTATATCAAACCAATGGCTTTTACCTGAATCTGCGGTACACGACCTTCAGGTGTCTCAGACGGCCTGTGCCAGTGGTGTTCCTCCTCTTGGCCTTGGCGCTCCAGTTGTCTATAGACACAAACATTAGGTTTAACAATCTAAGCTTAACCATTCATAAAGTCAGGTGTGTGACTGATATTTCACGTAAGAAAATATTTTTCTACAGTATGAACCAACTGGTGCTGAATTAACCCAAAATGTAAAACCGTCAACTAGTTACTTTTCATATCAAATTATTTTATCATTATCAGGTCTTGATCATTAATTTGAAAACAGATTTTAGTCATTAGGTGTCTCAAGTCCCAGTTAGTTAGTCCCAAAACCTAATGTCAAAAATACTAGCACTATGTTAAACCCTTGTATAATGCAGCCACACTTTAAAAGGGATTTTCCGGCATAAATTTAATTTAGGGTCAAAACACACTAAACCGAGTTAGACACTGCATCGAGAGATGAATGTTGCCGACCACTTGCTTCTCTAGTTATACCAACTTTATTAACGACTGCACGTTAGCAATACACAGCAGTCTGAGGAGCCATACACAAACCTCAACCAAAATGCCACTCTATGGCCACAAATAATGCTCAGAACAGCACCTAACTTCATCAACAGTACATATAGGGTCCCGGCCATAGTACTAGACGCCAAACATCCTTTTAGCTTTGCTGAGTTTCTTTAGCAAAGAGACTTTACACAACTCCCCCACTCTCTTCCAGCAGCCGCTTGTTTGTAGCGAGACCTAGGGTCAGTCCATTGTGGACTGCTGCGGGGTGACGCAGCTCAAGGAAGAACATTTATGATCATTTCCTTTAAGTAACAATCACCATATTAATCATTTTGCACTACAGACGCGGTAGTTCTTCTGCCTTAGAGTCTCAGTCTGATTGCACTTCCATGAAGAAATAATCATAAATGTTCTTTCTTGAGCTGCGTCACCCCACTGTAGTCCGTAATTGACTGACCTGAGGTCTCGTTCCAAACAAGCGGTTGCTGGAAGAGAGTGGGTAAGTTGTGTTTAGTCTCTTTGCTAAAGAAATTAGGCAAAGCTAAAAAGATGTTTGGTGGCTAGTGCTGTAGCTGGGACCCTAAATGTACTGTTAATGAAGTTAGGTGCTGTTCTGAGCATTATTTGTGGCTCTAGAGTGGCTTTTTGGTTGAGGTTTGTGTGTGGCTCCTCAGACCACCGTGTATTGCTATCCTGTGGTTGTTACTAAAGTTGGTATAACTCAAGAAGTAAGAGGTCGGCAACATTTGTCTCTCGAGGGGGTGTCTAACTCAGTGGTACGAGGTGTTTGACCCTAAATTAATTTTGTGATGGAATATCCCTTAAACTAAGCACTAACTCCTGTATTTTCTCAAATAGATTAAATCCACCGAAAATTAAACTTATTAATCACACTTCATCCAATTGATCCAACTCTCACTAAATTGATTAAAAGCACTATCAAAACTTGCAGCCACCTTGGGTTGGTGTTCACCTGAACTGAGACTATCAGACCAGGTGCTAAGACCACCACTGTTTTGCTTCCGTGTCCATCTTCCAGCTCAGATCCCACAGAACAATATTCTATACATTTGATCACTTACACTTTCTCTTGCGCTTCTCGGGATAACCACACTTTCCGCAGGAGGACTTCTGCAGGTGGTAGGCCTTGGAGCCGCAGCGACGGCACAGAGTGTGCGTCTTATTCCGGCGCTTTCCGAAAGATGATGTTCCCTTCGTCTGAGAGGAACCAGAGCAGAGACGGGTCAGAAAACAAACCCCTCATGCTTTAATACACATGAATTCACCTCACAGGTCTTGTCTCAGCACAAAAAGATGAATCACAGAAAGTCATTTGTTCAGACAATTGTGTTTTAAAACATCACTGACAAGACTCTGGCCTTTTCTCTGTAAACTTGGTGTCCATTCAGCACCTGAACCATCAATGCTAACAGTAGCAAACTAACGCCTGACGGATGGAACGAAAACAAGTTTATCTTTCTGATTTGACGCTACTAATCGAAAATGTTTAACCCACACGGTAACAACACTGACCCGACAACGAATCCTTACAATAAAAGGTCAGATTAACATCAGATTACACAGATGTTACTGGATTTGTTAGCAGCAGCATCGAAACTTACCATTTTCGTCCGGTGGGTATGGGAAAAGAGGCCGGAAGGGGAGCTTGCACTGCATCAAATTAGTTCCGTGCCGCTTCCTGCGCAACACAGAAATGTATCCCCGTGCTGTATTTTTTTTCTAAAATCGATCTAGTAATCTTATGTCATAGTTAGGATAAAGTTAAATGGCGCACAATTATTTTCACAGCACAGATATTATTTTTAAAAAGTAAGAAGACGCTAACGTGACCGAACAGGGCCAGGCAGAGGCAAAAATATCTTTTGAGCTAAGGTAATGTCGATATCCAGAGTGAAAAGAAAACAAGTAAAAATCATCAACACTTATAAGCTTAAAAAACAGCCATTACTTTATTAAAAAAGAAAAAATGAAAAAAATATATTTGCTGAGCTTAAACTCATATCGAAATAGATGAGATGCCTTGTTTTTCTTAAAGATGGATTGTTCCATTCACTTTATACCTCGATCAGCTCACAGTGATCAACAGTGTAAATGAGCAAAGACATGAAATGATTAAAAAAGGAGAAGAGATATTGAACCAAAAGAGAACTTGTTTTTACAGGGGAACTTCTTTAGGGCACAGGATGACCCTTATTTTTGTGCCTTGCATTTCTACCGAGGTCTTGTGGTTTATTTACAGCAATTTTAAATAGAATAGAAGAATATAGAATATTCCTTTATTGATCCCCCATGGGGGAAATTTTTTTTTTGTCACAGCAGCATCACAGACAAGACAGAAAGTGCAAAATGCAGTTATAACAATAAGGGTCCTAATATTAAGAACTTAATAAATGTAATAATTAAGAAAAAAAAAAATTGAAAAGAGAAAAGGGAGAAGAAAAAATAAAGCTTTCTGCAATATACACAATTTAAATGCCATAAAAAAAGTGGTGGTGTAAATCCAGTTTTGTTACTGTTCATTGTAAAGTCTTATTGCAGAGGGGAGGAATGATCTGCGGTAGCGCTCCGTCCTGCAGGGTGGGAGTCTCAGTCTGCTGCTGAAGGAGCTGCCTAAAGCCCCCACAGTCTGGTGCAGTGGGTGAGAGGGATTGTCCATGATGGATATAAGCTTTGTTAACATCCTCCTCTCACCCACCTCCTCCAGGGAGTCCAAAGAGCAGTCCAGGACAGAACCGGCCCTCCTGACCAGTCTATTCAGTCTCTTCCTGTCCCTCTCGGTGCTCCCTGCCCCCCAGCAGACCACTGCATAGAAAAGTGCAGATGCTACCACAGAGTCATAGAAAGTCCTGAGCAGAGTCCTGCACACTCCAAAGGACCTCAGTCTCCTCAGCAGGTGGAGACGACTTTGGCCCTTCTTGTACAGAACGTCTGTGTTTGTTGACCAGTCCAGTTTGTTGTTGAGGTGGACACCCAGGAATCTGTAGGACTCCACCATCTCGATGTCCAGACCCTGTATGTTCACTGGAACTGTTTGAGGTGTCCCCCTCCTGCGGAAATCCACAACCATCTCCTTTGTCTTACTGGCGTTGAGCTGGAGGTGGTTTGTGCCACACCAGTTGACAAAGTCAGTGATGACAGTCCTGTATTCCCGCTCGTCCCCTGACGATACACATCCGACGATGGCTGTGTCATCAGAGAACTTCTGGAGGTGACAGCTCCCAGAGTTGTAGCTGAAGTCTGAGGTGTACAGGGTGAAGAGGAAGGGGGAGAGCACTGTCCCCTGTGGAGCCCCCGTGCTGCAGACCACCATGTCCGATACACAGTTCTGAAGCCTCACAAACTGTGGTCTGTCGGTGAGGTAGTCCACGGTCCATGCGGCTAGGTGACAGTCCACTCCCGCCCGCTCGAGCTTCCCCCTGAGCAAGATCTGTCTGCTGTAGCCTCTTTTTTGTGTCAATAATCTCCTGCACTGCAGTTTATTTTATTTTATTTTTTTCACATTTTTTAATTTTAATTAAGGCTGGCCGTCCAGGATCAAGCATTAACATGGCCCTGTGGTACAAATGAATACACACAATAGCAGGGCTCTCAAGTCTCACGCATTCAGCGTGTGACGCATTCCCAACCGTTCACACGCTCACACACCACACATTGTATTTCTCACGCATTTTAATGAACATGGTGACGTCCCCCAAGTTGCACCTCTTTAACTATGGAACAGGTAGGAATCAAGTGAGTTCCTCCGAGAGTTCAGAAGCTGCGTTTCACGCACAAGCCAATCAAATAAAGTATAGCTACTGAACAGCCAATCAAAAAGCAGCATTGCTGTATCCGGGTAGATTTTGATTTGATTTTGACAGACACTCGCCGAAATACAGCAGGTTTTTATAAGGACGAGATGGACCCGATGATTACAGTAAGTCAGTAACCTACACATGCAGAGACCTCAACAACTCATGGCATATAAACTCATATGATAAACTAAAGCCCTATGCTATTGCTATTAACAGCTGTATTGATGAATTTAGCCTCTGTACAGCCATTTCTAGCCATTTCCCCCTCCACAAAGGAGCATTTCTCATATATTCTTTTTAAAGTTCTGATACTCATGACAGTGTAATGCTCATGTACCAAAGGACTGAGTATCTCCATGTTTGTGAAACCTATACTAAAGTACAATTCATCTAAATGCTCCACAGTGCTGATTTTAACAACTCTCCTCCACAACAGGTAACTCTACGACTTTATTCTTATATATTAATGACTTTATTCTCCTAAATGATAACTTTATTCTCGAAGATTTCAAAACGTGGCCCTCATACTCCGTTGTATTTAAGAGAGTATTATACTTATAATTATCTTCACACAAGTAAATCTCACTCTAAGCTTAGTTCAAAACTTGAGAGCTCTGCAATAGGTCTCGATACAGACTATTCATCGTGTGTTCTCCAGAATTATCTCGTAACAGACATGTTTTGAAAATAGTAGATATGGCGACCGAAACATTTGAGTCTCGTATAGCACATAGCCATAGTACACGCCATTACATTCGCAAGGCTCTCAAGTTTTGAACTAAGCTTAGAGTGAGATTTACTTGGGGGGGACGGAGTATAAGGGGCACAATTAGAAGAAAAAAAAAACGTTATTAAATCTTAAAGAATAAAGTTATTATTTGGGAGAATAAAGTCATTAATATCAGTATTAAGTCGTTTAATCTGAATTAAATGACAAATTGATGAGAAACAACTATGAAACTGATAAGATAAGAAGAACTTTATTGATCCCTGAAAAGAAATTCAATAAAATGATAAAACTGTAGATAAATCACTGCATAAAAAGATAAAACACATGTAAAAACAAAACAATCAAGACATTGACAATGTAGAAAAATACAAAAATATACATGCGTGCAGTAGGACAAACAAAGGTAATTCATATTTTCTCACTCCATCATGTTACCACTAATGAGCTACAATGGCTTTGTAGGTGTCTTCTTTTAATTTATGCAAAGTTTGTAGAAAAGTTCAACATAAAAAAACACCTTTACATATAACATTAAAAACTGATGTATCATTATCAGCAAAAGCATACTGAGTAATGCCAAATCATCCACATTTTCTAACATCTTTTCACTCAAAATGACTTAAGTCTTAAGAAGCTGAATGAATTCTAACTAGAGTTCAACACTTTAACAAAGCACCTTCACAAACACCTTTAGCCTACATTTTTGCATATTTCAATATATGCTTTCTTTGTTTCTTGAACTCCTTTTATTTGATTAGTGTGTAAAATTTAAACATGACTTTACCTGGACTGTAGCTCTTTGCAACCCTCTACCTCACCCCACACCTCTCAATATGAAAAGGAAGACAGTAGCAGACACGGCTGTATACCAGATTCTCTTTGGAGTGCTTTGTGCATCACAAACTGGCCTGTGAGGTTGAAGTTAGCTTATATTCTTTAGTAGTAGATTTAACTGTTCCAATAAGCCTCTTACTCATTCTCCTTGTGAGCTTTCATCACATTGTTGCTCATGCTTAGCAGTGAAATGACTCCAAGTTCTGTCAGTCTGGTTCTGGCTTCTCCTTCCCAGCCTTTATTGGCCTTTGGGTTTCTGGGTGATGGATGCATGATGCTTTCTACTCGCACACTGACACCTGCAGCAGTCAAGGCTCGCCGGGCTCTCTGCTCAGCCACCTTTCCAACTCCAATCACCATGGAAACACCCAGCGCCTCCACTACCTTGCACAGTGTAATGTCACACAGGGCCAGGAGCTTCTCCCGCTCACCCACAGGCAGTTCAGGAGGTGTTAGGTTTTTCCCGCTGGCATTCATAAAAATGAGTGGGCATAAGTTGTGCACAAAGCAGTGTTTGAAGAACTTTTCTGGTTCTCCACAAAGTTTCTTGAAAAAAACCCAGAAACGAGCACCACTCACTTCACTCTGAGTGCAAGCGAGTCCTCTGATCTGCCGCTTTGGGTGCTCATTAGGAGGATGACCCACTTCCCCGGTGATCTTCAGCCAATCAACAACTGACCTGACTTCACCAAAGGGAACCTGTGGATAGAAAGGTTTTTACAACTTTAAGTGTGGACACTCAAACAAAAATAAGACAGATCAGTATCGAGCAGGAACTTTTGACATATTGTGATGTTGCATGTTGAGGGTGTTGTTGAATGGCTGTGTGAAGTATGTGTAGGGGAGACTGGGGTAAGATGAGCCATTTTTCATATTTCCGATCACTACATCTAGGCAATCATAGTTTTGTCTCTAACTAGTGTATCTGGTTAGAGACAAAACATTTCACAGCTTCAGCTCCTACAAAATTCAGCTGCACGCATGCTGACGAAGACCAGGACGAGAGCCCACATCACACTAATTTTAAAATCTCTGCATTGGCTACCTGTGTCTTTTAGTGTAATAATAACCACTATTATGACTTTATTAGTCCTCTAAGCTAAAATGGTGGACTTTTATGCTAGGGTTTTTGATCTCATGTTGTAGCTCATAGATACCACAATTGATGTATAAAACACATTTAAAATGATCTTTTTTTTGGTCTGAACCATAGATTGTGTATAGAATGGACGCCGTCTGCCTCCTTGCTGGGTGATGCCACTCCAAGAACAGTACCCTCTGTTGACGGGCTGCAGTACAGGTCATAAATCCCGCCTCCGCCAGCAAAGCTTATGGAGCTGTGGACAACTTTAGAAATTTATTACACAGAACATAAATTTTTCTCCCTCCTGCTTGTGATGTTGACTTGTAGTTACAGTAAGACTGGTTTGTGCTCATGTCCTCTTTTTTCTGTGAAGCTCTGTTTTTAAAAGTTATTAGGGGGTTCATGTTTTCAATGATTGACACCTGATACAGCCTATTGGTGTTCAGGGATTGTGTAGCTCTCCGGGGGGATACACTGTTTGAGCCGAGCATCATCACAGCGACTTTTGACGACTGCGCGGCCGAATCCGCGTATCGATACTGCGCAATTAGTACTTGAGCCAAGAACCAAAATTTCACATATCGGTACCACCTGGGTGGGCAAATTCTAGTTGTGATTTTTTTATTGCTATACATCCCTACAATAAGTTTTTATATGATAGACCTTGGTAACTGGTAGCTTTATTGTAGTTATCACTCATTAAAGTAATAGAGTGCAGCTGTTCAAAAATGAAAAATCGCCTTCCTTCAAAATTAGCTTTCTTTCATTTTAACCTCTCATTTAGGTGTGTTTGAACTATTGGCTAGCCATAGAGACTTGTAATAGCCCCCTAAGTAGTATTTCAAGTAATTTATCTAATACAGGTGTGTATATAAAAGCTTCAATTAGCCAATTGTCAGGTCTAAATCAAGGTCTAAATTAGGATATTTTTTTACTTAGAAGTAGAAGTAAAGTAAATGCAGACTAATAGCATTATAATAACACAACTTTAATATGACACTGACATATTTTAAATGCAGGCACTCATACAATCATCCTGGCTGGTGCAGGGCAAGAAGACATTAGCAACAAAATAAGATCTATTGATGTATACACTCTATACAGTCATCTGAGAAAAACTCCATTCCTCCACCAAGAACTTGATGAGACTGGCTTTGTTGGCAGGGCTGCAGAGAAGTTTCCTTCACTGCTGAATATTGTGGCCAGAAACAATGTTTCTGAACTGGATCCCCATGTCTGCACCTCTGTTAAGTCTTTCTGAATTTTTGATTGACGTGTCCTTGTAAACGTCAAAGACAACATCAATCTTTTCACTATCACCACCTTCATGCAGGACCTTGGCTAAAGTTCAGTCCAGCCAGCTTCCACCATGTCAGGATTGCGTATTAATGCAACCGATTCGTGCCAACTACCAGGCTGCTATCTGGAGCGGTCTCTTCATACCAAGCCATCTGTACCAAGCCCCAAGGACCATGGGTGGACCATCAATGACGAAGGGCAGCTGGAAATACAGTGGATGCGTGGTTCCCCAGCACCAGATGCGGTCTTGCAGTTGCTATCCTGCAAGTGTGTGAGGACATGCAAACCACCAGACTGCACCTGTCTCAGCAATGGGCTGAAGTGCACAAACCTGTGCAAATTACAAACTTGTGCCAACCAATACAGTGAGGAAGAGCCCCTTGCACACCGGCAGATTCAGATGTAGAAGAAGATACAGATACTGATGTCGATTACTGATGTTGATTAATAAATGATGACCAAAGGGAGCTATGTTAACAGACCCACTGTGACTCAGTGACAGTATTATGTACTAAGCCAAAGCTTGACAGTCATATTTGCTGTCACTGTTCCTTATGGAAAGAAAAGGACTTTGAATAGGAATTTGAGTTTTTCTCAGATGATTGTATAGAGTGTATACATCAGTAGATCTTATTTTGTTGCTAATGTCTTCTTGCCCTGCACCAGCCAGGATGATTGTATATTAAGTTCCTGCATTGAAAATATGTCAGTGTCATATTAAAGTTGTGTTATTATAATGCTATTAGTCTGCATTGATTTTACTTCTACTTCTAAGTAAAAAAATATCCTTAATTTAGACCTTGATTTAGACCTGACAATTGGCTAATTGAAGCTTATATATACACACACCTGTATTAGGTAAATTACTTAAAATACTACTTAGGGGGTTATTACAAGTCTCTATGGCTAGCCAATAGTTCAAACACACCTAAATGAGAGGTTAAAATGAAAGAAAGCTCGTTTTGAAGGAGGGTGATTTTTCATTTTTGAACAGCTGCACTCTATTACTTTAATGAGTGATAAATACAATAAAGCTACTAGTTATGTATAACAATAAAAAAATCACAACTAGAATTTGCCCACCCAGGTGGTACCGATATGTGAAATTTTGGTTCTTGGCTCAAGTACTAAGGACATTCAGCTCCAGTTCAGCCTGCAGAAACCTGGAGGAAGGGGTCAGACTGAGTCCTGCTTCTCCTCCCTGTTTAAAGCCCTGCAGCTGCTCAGACTTCAGCCCATCATAAAAAAGAAAAACAGAAAAAGAAAGCCCCTCCGTCTGAAAAATTTCACCTATCAACTGCTTCATTGAGGAAAAAACAATAATGCTAATAACCAACCAGTGTGATCTCTTCTTCTGCTCATTTTAGTGACTCTTTTTTATTTGGTTTAAGCTGCTGCTCCCCCTACAGGCTCACTGGTGCTACTACAGCGAAGAACGACACTAATCCGAGACACCAATGTACCGCCTAAATTCAGCCTTTAATGGTTGATATCGTGAAACTAGAAGCGAGGCCTCTGCACTCTGTGGCAAGCTGGACACCCTGGAGATAGCTTTCATGGCACACTTTTGGGATACAAGTTTGGACCCCTCTCGGGACCCCTCAGACCCCCATAATCCGGCCCTGCCCCCACCTGTATTCAACCGACACCTGCAATGTCTGTCATGGTAGCAATAACTCGTATGCTATATAACGTGTCGTCAGACGGAGCCGATAAACTCTGCAACTTGCTCGCATGTTTATTCAACAACAACAACAACAGAGGACATCCGATCACTTGTAATAACAGTTCCCCACCTAGTGGTAGCTTAGGGAAACACAGGGCAACATCACAACAGCTCTCACAACACATCCTCCCTTTTGAGTAGGCTGCATACAATAGGCCATAACATAATAGAACACCTCAGAAGTTCACCAGTTGTGTTGCAGATTATCCTTAGCCCATTCTTTTGTTAGTCACTCCAAGTAACTTCAAAATAAATCAAAATATTCCAAACTGTTTAACAACACCATTGTATCAAACTCACTTATCTTTCCTTTCTTTCCCTAACTATGAAGGTGGGGTGGACTACCCATTCCTTCATCTGAGTGAGGGGATTATTCTGCACCGGGCTGGTCACTCAGAGTTACGAGAGTACCTTCTATCTGATTCAAAGTCCATAAGGTACCTCGGAGGGTTTCTCTCTCTGGTAGGATAACGCCTCTCCATCACTTGGACCCTCGGCGGTGTAGTGTTGGGCCTCACCGTAACCTGGTCTCTTGGATCGTGGACCGGTGCGATGTCCGCTGGCGAAGCAGGGGTCTGTGGGGCTTTAGGTCCAGCGCCGGCCCCAGGCAAGGTGACGAGATGACTTCAGTTGCGCCGCAGATTCCCTCTGGAGCGTGTCAATGATGTAGGAGCGTGTTGTGTCAGCTCCAGTTGTCACTGTCCCCTTCTCCTTCATATCGGTGACCCAGACGCAGTCACCAGGGTTCAGGCTGGCCATGTTGCGGGCCCTGTGTCTGTCATTGAACCATTTCTGCTGTTTCTCTCTCTCCCTCTGTTCTTTCTTTCTCAGGGCTTTGACATTTGGCCATTTTGGGTTCAGACAAGATGGGAGAACTGGAACTGTGGTACGTAGCTTTCTCCCCATCAGCAAGCGGCAAGCGGAGTGGCCTGATATGTCATGAGGGCCATGTATGGGTCAGAGCATTTTTTCAGGAGGTCCTTCACAGTTCTTACTGCTTTTTCAGCCTCCCCATTGCATTGCAGATATCTTAGGCTGGAGGTAGTGTGAACAAAACCCCACTCTGAGGCGAACTGTCGGAAGAGGTCTGCACTGAATGTCCGCCGTTGTCACTCCGTACCTCCCGAGCAATGCCATGACATGATGTTTTCTTTAGTTTTTTTTTTCTTTAGTTTTTTTTTTCCCTATTTTTTTGCCTGGCACCTCTGTCTGGATGAGCTACTCTTAGTCTGGTCCCTCCCCCAGGACCTGTTTGCCTTGGGTGACCCTTCAGAGGCATAAGGCCCTGACAACATAGCTCCTGGGATCATTGGGACACACAAACCCCTCCACCACGGTAAGGTGGTAGCTCAAGGAGGGGAAAAAACCCTCACATGAGAGGGAAAAACCGCAAGGGTTTTTTTTTCTGTGCAAAACACCCGGTTCAGGGTGGGTTATTGTTTTTTGTTTTTTCTTTTCAGAAATACTTTTCTGAAATACTTTTCCTTCTGTTTTTTTTTTCATTTTGTTTATACTATCCTTTCTCTTTTTAAGTTTTCTTTAGTTCTTTGTCTGCCTGTTTTAAGTTTTTTTTTAGTTTTTTTCAAGTTTTTTTTAGAAATACTATTCTTTTTCTTCTTTTTGTAGTTTTCTTTAGTTTTTTTCTGCCTGTTTTAAGTTTTTTTTTTTTTTTACTTCTTTTTGTTATATATATTTAGGGTGTTTTTTTCAGAAATTCTTTTCTTTCTGTTTTTTGTTTATTTTGTTTATACGATTCTTTCTCTCTTTTTAGTATTATTTGTTTTTTACTGCCTGTTTTAAGTCTTTTTTTAGTTTTTTCAAGTTTTTTTAGAAATACTATTCTTTTACCTTTTTTTAGGTTTTTTTTTTTGGTTTTTTTTATTTCTTTTTGTTGTTTATATATATTAAAGGTTTTCTTTTCTGAAATACTTTTCCTTCTGTTTTTTTATTTTGTTTATACTATCCTTTCTCTTTTTTAGTTTTCTTTAGTTGTCTTTCTGCCTGTTTTAATTTTTTTAGTTTTTTTTAGTTTTTTGTTATATACATATATATAGGTTGTTCTTTTCTGAAATATTTTTCCTTCTGTTTTTTTATTTTGTTTATACTATCCTTTCTCTTTTTTTTTAGTTTTCTTTAGTTTTATTCTGCCTGTTTTAAGTTTGTTTTTTTAGCTTTTTTTTTTTAGTTTTTTTTGTTATTTATATATATTTAAGGTGTTCTTTTCTGAAATACTCTTCCTTCTGTTTTTTTATTTTGTTTATACTATCCTCTCTCTTTTTTTAGTTTTCTTTAGTTTTCTTTCTGCCTGTTTTAAGTTTTTTTTTTAGTTTAGTTTTTTCTATATATTTAGGGTGTTTTTTTCTGAAATACTTTTCCTTCTGTTTTTTTTATTTTGTTTATACTATCCTTTATCTTTTTTTAGTTTTTAGTTTTTTCTATATATTTAGGGTGTTTTTTTCTGAAATACTTTTCCTTCTGTTTTTTTATTTTGTTTATACTATCTTTTCTCTTTTTTTTAGTTTTTTTTATAGTTTTTTTATTTATCTATATATATAGGTTGTTCTTTTGTGAAATACTTTTCCTTGTGTTTTTTTATTTTATTTATACTATCCTTTCTCTTTTTCAGTTTTCTTTAGTTTTTTTCTGCCTGTTGTAAGTTTTTTTTGTAGTTTTCTTTTGTAGTTTTTTCTATAGTTTTTTTTAGAAATACTTTTCTTCTTTTTATTAGTTTTCTTTAGTTTTTTTCTGCCTGTTTAAATTTTTATTTTGTTTTCTTTAGTTTCTTTTCTTCAGTTTTTTTTTTCCTTTTTTTTTTTCCTGGCACCTCTGTCTGGATGGGCTACTCTTAGTCTGGTCCCTTCCCTAGGACCTGTTTGCCTTGGGTGACCTTTCAGAGGCATAAAGCCCTGACAACATAGCTCCTGGGATCATTGGGACACACAAACCCCTCCACCACGGTAAGGTGGTAGCTCAAGGAGGGGAAAAAACCCTCACATGAGAGGGAAAAACCGCAAGGGTTTTTTTTTTCTGTGCAAAACACCCGGTTTAGGGTGTTTTTTTTTTTTTTCAGAAATACTTTTCTTTTCTTTAGTTACCTATAGTTCTTTTTTATTTTTCTGCCTGTTTTAAGTTTTTTTTTTCAGAAATACTGTTATGTTTCTTTTTTTTTTTACAAATACTATTCTTTTACTTTTTTTTAGTTTTCTTTAGTTTTTTTTCTGCCTGTTTTAAGTTTTTTTTAAAAATTTTCTTTGTTATTTATATATATTTAGGGTGTTTTTTCCTGAAATACTTTTCCTTCTGTTTTTTTATTTTGTTTATACTATCTTTTCTCTTTTTTTAGTTTTCTTTAGTTTTTTGTCTGCCTGTTTTAATTTCTTTTAACATTTTTTTAGTTCTTTTTGTTATATATATTTAGGATGTTTTTTTCAGAAATACTTTTCTTTCTTTTTTTAAATTTTTTTATACTATCCTTTATCCTTTTTTAGTTTACTTTAGTTTTTTCTGCCTGTTTTAATTAAAAAAACTATTCTTTTTCTTGTTTTTTTAGTTTTCTTTAGTTCTTTTCTGCCTGTTTAAAGTTTTTTAGTTTTCTTTAGTTGTCTTTCTGCCTGTTTTAATTTTTTTAGTTTTTTTTTAGTTTTTTGTTATATACATATATATAGGTTGTTCTTTTCTGAAATATTTTTCCTTCTGTTTTTTTATTTTGTTTATACTATCCTTTCTCTTTTTTTAGTTTTCTTTAGTTTTATTCTGCCTGTTTTAAGTTTGTCTGTCTGGATGAGCTACTCTTGTCTGTTCTCTCCCCCAGGACCTGTTTGCCTTGGGTGACCTTTCAGAGGCATAAAGCCCTGACAACATAGCTCATGGGATCATTGGGACACACAAGGAGCTCAAGGAGGGGAAAAAACCCTCACATGAGAGGGAAAAAGTGCAAGGTTTTTTTTTTTCTGTGCAAAACACCCGGTTCAGGGTGCATTTTTGTTTTTTGTTTTTTCTTTTCAGAAATACTTTTCTTTTTTTAGTTTCCTATAGTTCTTTTTTATTTTTCTGCCCGTTTTTTTTTCAGAAATACTGTTATGTTTCTTTTTTTTTCAGTTTTTTTTTTTACAAATACTATTCTATTACTTCTTTTTTTGCTTTATTTTTTTTCTGCCTTTTTTTTTAGGTTTTTTTTGTTTTTTTTATTTCTTTTTGTTGTTTATATATATTAAAGGTGTTCTTTTCTGAAATACTTTTCCTTCTGTTTTTTTATTTTGTTTATACTATCCTTTCTCTTTTTTAGTTTTCTTTAGTTGTCTTTCTGCCTGTTTTAATTTTTTTAGTTTTTTTTTAGTTTTTGTTATATACATATATATAGGTTGTTCTTTTCTGAAATATTTTTCCTTCTGTTTTTTTATTTTGTTTATACTATCCTTTCTCTTTTTTTAGTTTTCTTTAGTTTTATTCTGCCTGTTTTAAGTTTGTTTTTTTAGCTTTTCTTTTTTTAGTTTTTTTGTTATTTATATATATTTAAGGTGTTCTTTTCTGAAATACTCTTCCTTCTGTTTTTTTATTTTGTTTATACTATCCTCTCTCTTTTTTTAGTTTTCTTTAGTTTTCTTTCTGCCTGTTTTAAGTTTTTTTTTACTTTAGTTTTTTCTATATATTTAGGGTGTTTTTTTCTGAAATACTTTTCCTTCTGTTTTTTTTATTTTGTTTATACTATCCTTTCTCTTTTTTTAGTTTTTAGTTTTTTCTATATATTTAGGGTGTTTTTTTCTGAAATACTTTTCCTTCTGTTTTTTTATTTTGTTTATACTATCTTTTCTCTTTTTTTAGTTTTTTTTTAGTTTTTTTATTTATCTATATATATAGGTTGTTCTTTTGTGAAATACTTTTCCTTGTGTTTTTTTATTTTATTTATACTATCCTTTCTCTTTTTCAGTTTTCTTTAGTTTTTTTCTGCCTGTTCTAAGTTTTTTTTGTAGTTTTCTTTTGTAGTTTTTTCTATAGTTTTTTTGAAATACTTATCTTCTTCTTTTTATTAGTTTTCTTTAGTTTTTTTCTGCCTGTTTAAATTTTTATTTTGTTTTCTTTAGTTTCTTTTCTTCAGTTTTTTTTTTCCTTTTTTTTTTTTCCTGGCACCTCTGTCTGGATGAGCTACTCTTAGTCTGGTCCCTCCCCCAGGACCTGTTTGCCTTGGGTGACCTTTCAGAGGCATAAAGCCCTGACAACATAGCTCCTGGGATCATTGGGACACACAAACCCCTCCACCACGGTAAGGTGGTAGCTCAAGGAGGGGAAAAAACCCTCACATGAGAGGGAAAAACCGCAAGGGTTTTTTTTTCTGTGCAAAACACCCGGTTTAGGGTGTTTTTTTTTTTTCAGAAATACTTTTCTTTTCTTTAGTTACCTATAGTTCTTTTTTATTTTTCTGCCTGTTTTAAGTTTTTTTTTTCAGAAATACTGTTATGTTTCTTTTTTTTTTACAAATACTATTCTTTTACTTTTTTTTAGTTTTCTTTAGTTTTTTTTCTGCCTGTTTTAAGTTTTTTTTTAAAATTTTTTTGTTATTTATATATATTGAGGGTGTTTTTTCCTGAAATACTTTTCCTTCTGTTTTTTTATTTTGTTTATACTATCTTTTCTCTTTTTTTAGTTTTCTTTAGTTTTTTGTCTGCCTGTTTTAATTTCTTTTAACATTTTTTTAGTTCTTTTTGTTATATATATTTAGGATGTTTTTTTCAGAAATACTTTTCTTTCTTTTTTTAAATTTTTTTTATACTATCCTTTATCCTTTTTTAGTTTACTTTAGTTTTTTCTGCCTGTTTTAATTAAAAAAACTATTCTTTTTCTTGTTTTTTTAGTTTTTTGTTATATACATATATATAGGTTGTTCTTTTCTGAAATATTTTTCCTTCTGTTTCTTTATTTTGTTTATACTATCCTTTCTCTTTTTTTAGTTTTCTTTAGTTTTATTCTGCCTGTTTTAAGTTTGTTTTTTTAGCTTTTCTTTTTTTAGTTTTTTTGTTATTTATATATATTTAAGGTGTTCTTTTCTGAAATACTCTTCCTTCTGTTTTTTTATTTTGTTTATACTATCCTCTCTCTTTTTTTAGTTTTCTTTAGTTTTCTTTCTGCCTGTTTTAAGTTTTTTTTTTTACTTTAGTTTTTTCTATATATTTAGGGTGTTTTTTTCTGAAATACTTTTCCTTCTTTTTTTATTTTGTTTATACTATCCTTTCTCTTTTTTTAGTTTTTAGTTTTTTCTATATATTTAGGGTGTTTTTTTCTGAAATACTTTTCCTTCTGTTTTTTTATTTTGTTTATACTATCCTTTCTCTTTTTTTAGTTTTTAGTTTTTTCTATATATTTAGGGTGTTTTTTTCTGAAATACTTTTCCCTCTGTTTTTTTATTTTGTTTATACTATCTTTTCTCTTTTTTTAGTTTTTTTTAGTTTTTTTTATTTATCTATATATATAGGTTGTTCTTTTGTTAAATACTTTTCCTTGTGTTTTTTATTTTATTTATACTATCCTTTCTCTTTTTCAGTTTTCTTTAGTTTTTTTCTGCCTGTTCTAAGTTTTTTTTGTAGTTTTCTTTTGTAGTTTTTTCTATAGTTTTTTTTGAAATACTTATCTTCTTTTTATTAGTTTTCTTTAGTTTTTTTCTGCCTGTTTAAATTTTTATTTTGTTTTCTTTAGTTTCTTTTCTTCAGTTTTTTTTTTCCTTTTTTTTTTCCTGGCACCTCTGTCTGGATGAGCTACTCTTAGTCTGGTCCCTCCCCCAGGACCTGTTTGCCTTGGGTGACCTTTCAGAGGCATAAAGCCCTGACAACATAGCTCCTGGGATCATTGGGACACACAAACCCCTCCACCACGGTAAGGTGGTAGCTCAAGGAGGGGAAAAAACCCTCACATGAGAGGGAAAAACCGCAAGGGTTTTTTTTTCTGTGCAAAACACCCGGTTTAGGGTGTTTTTTTTTTTTTTTCAGAAATACTTTTCTTTTCTTTAGTTACCTATAGTTCTTTTTTATTTTTCTGCCTGTTTTAAGTTTTTTTTTTCAGAAATACTGTTATGTTTCTTTTTTTTTTTACAAATACTATTCTTTTACTTTTTTTTAGTTTTCTTTAGTTTTTTTTCTGCCTGTTTTAAGTTTTTTTTTTTAATTTTTTTTGTTATTTATATATATTGAGGGTGTTTTTTCCTGAAATACTTTTCCTTCTGTTTTTTTATTTTGTTTATACTATCTTTTCTCTTTTTTTAGTTTTCTTTAGTTTTTTGTCTGCCTGTTTTAATTTCTTTTAACATTTTTTTAGTTCTTTTTGTTATATATATTTAGGATGTTTTTTTCAGAAATACTTTTCTTTCTTTTTTTAAATTTTTTTTATACTATCCTTTATCCTTTTTTAGTTTACTTTAGTTTTTTCTGCCTGTTTTAATTAAAAAAACTATTCTTTTTCTTGTTTTTTTAGTTTTCTTTAGTTCTTTTCTGCCTGTTTAAAGTTTTTTAGTTTTCTTTAGTTGTCTTTCTGCCTGTTTTAATTTTTTTAGTTTTTTTTTAGTTTTTTGTTATATACATATATATAGGTTGTTCTTTTCTGAAATATTTTTCCTTCTGTTTTTTTATTTTGTTTATACTATCCTTTCTCTTTTTTTAGTTTTCTTTAGTTTTATTCTGCCTGTTTTAAGTTTGTCTGTCTGGATGAGCTACTCTTGTCTGTTCTCTCCCCCAGGACCTGTTTGCCTTGGGTGACCTTTCAGAGGCATAAAGCCCTGACAACATAGCTCCTGGGATCATTGGGACATACAAGGAGCTCAAGGAGGGGAAAAAACCCTCACATGAGAGGGAAAAAGTGCAAGGTTTTTTTTTTTTCTGTGCAAAACACCCGGTTCAGGGTGCATTTTTGTTTTTTGTTTTTTCTTTTCAGAAATACTTTTCTTTTTTTAGTTTCCTATAGTTCTTTTTTATTTTTCTGCCCGTTTTTTTTTCAGAAATACTGTTATGTTTCTTTTTTTTTCAGTTTTTTTTTTACAAATACTATTCTATTACTTCTTTTTTTGCTTTATTTTTTTTCTGCCTTTTTTTTTAGTTTTTTTTTGTTTTTTTTTATTTCTTTTTGTTGTTTATATATATTAAAGGTGTTCTTTTCTGAAATACTTTTCCTTCTGTTTTTTTATTTTGTTTATACTATCCTTTCTCTTTTTTAGTTTTCTTTAGTTGTCTTTCTGCCTGTTTTGAATTTTTTTAGTTTTTTTTTTAGTTTTTTGTTATATACATATATATATATAGGTTGTTCTTTTCTGAAATATTTTTCCTTCTGTTTCTTTATTTTGTTTATACTATCCTTTCTCTTTTTTTAGTTTTCTTTAGTTTTATTCTGCCTGTTTTAAGTTTGTTTTTTTAGCTTTTCTTTTTTTAGTTTTTTTGTTATTTATATATATTTAAGGTGTTCTTTTCTGAAATACTCTTCCTTCTGTTTTTTTATTTTGTTTATACTATCCTCTCTCTTTTTTTAGTTTTCTTTAGTTTTCTTTCTGCCTGTTTTAAGTTTTTTTTTTACTTTAGTTTTTTCTATATATTTAGGGTGTTTTTTTCTGAAATACTTTTCCTTCTGTTTTTTTTATTTTGTTTATACTATCCTTTCTCTTTTTTTAGTTTTTAGTTTTTTCTATATATTTAGGGTGTTTTTTTCTGAAATACTTTTCCCTCTGTTTTTTTATTTTGTTTATACTATCTTTTCTCTTTTTTTAGTTTTTTTTAGTTTTTTTTATTTATCTATATATATAGGTTGTTCTTTTGTTAAATACTTTTCCTTGTGTTTTTTATTTTATTTATACTATCCTTTCTCTTTTTCAGTTTTCTTTAGTTTTTTTCTGCCTGTTCTAAGTTTTTTTTGTAGTTTTCTTTTGTAGTTTTTTCTATAGTTTTTTTGAAATACTTATCTTCTTTTTTATTAGTTTTCTTTAGTTTTTTTCTGCCTGTTTAAATTTTTATTTTGTTTTCTTTAGTTTCTTTTCTTCAGTTTTTTTTTTCCTTTTTTTTTTCCTGGCACCTCTGTCTGGATGAGCTACTCTTAGTCTGGTCCCTCCCCCAGGACCTGTTTGCCTTGGGTGACCTTTCAGAGGCATAAAGCCCTGACAACATAGCTCCTGGGATCATTGGGACACACAAACCCCTCCACCACGGTAAGGTGGTAGCTCAAGGAGGGGAAAAAACCCTCACATGAGAGGGAAAAACCGCAAGGGTTTTTTTTTCTGTGCAAAACACCCGGTTTAGGGTGTTTTTTTTTTTATTTTCAAAAATACTTTTCTTTTCTTTAGTTACCTATAGTTCTTTTTTATTTTTCTGCCTGTTTTAAGTTTTTTTTTTCAGAAATACTGTTATGTTTCTTTTTTTTTTTACAAATACTATTCTTTTACTTTTTTTTAGTTTTCTTTAGTTTTTTTCTGCCTGTTTTAAGTTTTTTTTTTTTTAAATTTTTTGTTATTTATATATATTTAGGGTGTTTTTTCCTGAAATACTTTTTCTTCTGTTTTTTTATTTTGTTTATACTATCTTTTCTCTTTTTTTAGTTTTCTTTAGTTTTTTGTCTGCCTGTTTTAATTTCTTTTAACATTTTTTTAGTTCTTTTTGTTATATATATTTAGGATGTTTTTTTCAGAAATACTTTTCTTTCTTTTTTTAATTTTTTTTTATACTATCCTTTATCCTTTTTTAGTTTACTTTAGTTTTTTCTGCCTGTTTTAATTAAAAAAACTATTCTTTTTCTTGTTTTTTTAGTTTTCTTTAGTTCTTTTCTGCCTGTTTAAAGTTTTTTAGTTTTCTTTAGTTGTCTTTCTGCCTGTTTTAATTTTTTTAGTTTTTTTTTAGTTTTTTGTTATATACATATATATAGGTTGTTCTTTTCTGAAATATTTTTCCTTCTGTTTTTTTATTTTGTTTATACTATCCTTTCTCTTTTTTTAGTTTTCTTTAGTTTTATTCTGCCTGTTTTAAGTTTGTCTGTCTGGATGAGCTACTCTTGTCTGTTCTCTCCCCCAGGACCTGTTTGCCTTGGGTGACCTTTCAGAGGCATAAAGCCCTGACAACATAGCTCCTGGGATCATTGGGACATACAAGGAGCTCAAGGAGGGGAAAAAACCCTCACATGAGAGGGAAAAAGTGCAAGGTTTTTTTTTTTTCTGTGCAAAACACCCGGTTCAGGGTGCATTTTTGTTTTTTGTTTTTTCTTTTCAGACATACTTTTCTTTTTTTAGTTTCCTATAGTTCTTTTTTATTTTTCTGCCCATTTTTTTTCAGAAATACTGATATTTTTATTTTTTTTTCAGTTTTTTTTTACAAATACTATTCTATTACTTCTTTTTTTGCTTTATTTTTTTTCTGCCTTTTTTTTGTTTTTTTTTGTTTTTTTTTTATTTCTTTTTGTTGTTTATATATATTAAAGGTGTTCTTTTCTGAAATACTTTTCCTTCTGTTTTTTTATTTTGTTTATACTATCCTTTCTCTTTTTTAGTTTTCTTTAGTTGTCTTTCTGCCTGTTTTAATTTTTTTAGTTTTTTTTTTAGTTTTTTGTTATATACATATATATATAGGTTGTTCTTTTCTGAAATATTTTTCCTTCTGTTTCTTTATTTTGTTTATACTATCCTTTCTCTTTTTTAGTTTTCTTTAGTTTTATTCTGCCTGTTTTAAGTTTGTTTTTTTAGCTTTTCTTTTTTTAGTTTTTTTGTTATTTATATATATTTAAGGTGTTCTTTTCTGAAATACTCTTCCTTCTGTTTTTTTATTTTGTTTATACTATCCTCTCTCTTTTTTTAGTTTTCTTTAGTTTTCTTTCTGCCTGTTTTAAGTTTTTTTTTTACTTTAGTTTTTTCTATATATTTAGGGTGTTTTTTTCTGAAATACTTTTCCTTCTGTTTTTTTTATTTTGTTTATACTATCCTTTCTCTTTTTTTAGTTTTTAGTTTTTTCTATATATTTAGGGTGTTTTTTTCTGAAATACTTTTCCCTCTGTTTTTTTATTTTGTTTATACTATCTTTTTCTCTTTTTTTAGTTTTTTTTAGTTTTTTTATTTATCTATATATATAGGTTGTTCTTTTGTTAAATACTTTTCCTTGTGTTTTTTATTTTATTTATACTATCCTTTCTCTTTTTCAGTTTTCTTTAGTTTTTTTCTGCCTGTTCTAAGTTTTTTTTGTAGTTTTCTTTTGTAGTTTTTTCTATAGTTTTTTTGAAATACTTATCTTCTTCTTTTTATTAGTTTTCTTTAGTTTTTTTCTGCCTGTTTAAATTTTTATTTTGTTTTCTTTAGTTTCTTTTCTTCAGTTTTTTTTTTCCTTTTTTTTTTTCCTGGCACCTCTGTCTGGATGAGCTACTCTTAGTCTGGTCCCTCCCCCAGGACCTGTTTGCCTTGGGTGACCTTTCAGAGGCATAAAGCCCTGACAACATAGCTCCTGGGATCATTGGGACACACAAACCCCTCCACCACGGTAAGGTGTTAGCTCAAGGAGGGGAAAAAACCCTCACATGAGAGGGAAAAACCGCAAGGGTTTTTTTTTCTGTGCAAAACACCCGGTTTAGGGTGTTTTTTTTTTTTCAGAAATACTTTTCTTTTCTTTAGTTACCTATAGTTCTTTTTTATTTTTCTGCCTGTTTTAAGTTTTTTTTTTCAGAAATACTGTTATGTTTCTTTTTTTTTTACAAATACTATTCTTTTACTTTTTTTTAGTTTTCTTTAGTTTTTTTTCTGCCTGTTTTAATTTTTTTTTTTAAATTTTTTTTGTTATTTATATATATTGAGGGTGTTTTTTCCTGAAATACTTTTCCTTCTGTTTTTTTATTTTGTTTATACTATCTTTTCTCTTTTTTTAGTTTTCTTTAGTTTTTTGTCTGCCTGTTTTAATTTCTTTTAACATTTTTTTAGTTCTTTTTGTTATATATATTTAGGATGTTTTTTTCAGAAATACTTTTCTTTCTTTTTTTTAAAATTTTTTTATACTATCCTTTATCCTTTTTTAGTTTACTTTAGTTTTTTCTGCCTGTTTCAATTAAAAAAACTATTCTTTTTCTTGTTTTTTTTTGTTTTCTTTAGTTCTTTTCTGCCTGTTTAAAGTTTTTTAGTTTTCTTTAGTTGTCTTTCTGCCTGTTTTAATTTTTTTAGTTTTTTTTTAGTTTTTTGTTATATACATATACACTCACCGGCCACTTTATTAGGTACACCATGCTAGTAACGGGTTGGACCCCCTTTTGCCTTCAGAACTGCCTCAATTCTTCGTGGCATAGATTCAACAAGGTGCTGGAAGCATTCCTCAGAGAGCTTGGTCCATATTGACATGATGGCATCACACAGTTGCCGCAGATTTGTCGGCTGCACATCCATGATGCGAATCTCCCGTTCCACCACATCCCAAAGATGCTCTATTGGATTGAGATCTGGTGACTGTGGAGGCCATTTGAGTACAGTGAACTCATTGTCATGTTCAAGAAACCAGTCTGAGATGATTCCAGCTTTATGACATGGCGCATTATCCTGCTGAAAGTAGCCATCAGAAGTTGGGTACATTGTGGTCATAAAGGGATGGACATGGTCAGCAACAATACTCAGGTAGGCTGTGGCGTTGCAACGATGCTCAATTGGTACCAAGGGGCCCAAAGAGTGCCAAGAAAATATTCCCCACACCATGACACCACCACCACCAGCCTGAACCGTTGATACAAGGCAGGATGGATCCATGCTTTCATGTTGTTGACGCCAAATTCTGACCCTACCATCCGAATGTCGCAGCAGAAATCGAGACTCATCAGACCAGGCAACGTTTTTCCAATCTTCTATTGTCCAATTTCGATGAGCTTGTGCAAATTGTAGCCTCAGTTTCCTGTTCTTAGCTGAAAGGAGTGGCACCTGGTGTGGTCTTCTGCTGCTGTAGCCCATCTGCCTCAAAGTTCGACGTACTGTGCGTTCAGAGATGCTCTTCTGCCTACCTTGGTTGTAACGGGTGGTTATTTGAGTCACTGTTGCCTTTCTATCAGCTCGAACCAGTCTGGCCATTCTCCTCTGACCTCTGGCATCAACAAGGCATTTCCGCCCACAGAACTGCCGCTCACTGGATATTTTTTCTTTTTCGGACCATTCTTTGTAAACCCTAGAGATGGTTGTGCGTGAAAATCCCAGTAGATCAGCAGTTTCTGAAATACTCAGACCAGCCCTTCTGGCACCAACAACCATGCCACTTTCAAAGTCACTCAAATCACCTTTCTTCCCCATACTGATGCTCGATTTGAACTGCAGGAGATTGTCTTGACCATGTCTACATGCCTAAATGCACTAAGTTGCCCCCATGTGATTGGCTGATTAGAAATTAAGTGTTAACGAGCAGTTGGACAGGTGTACCTAATAAAGTGGCCGGTGAGTGTATATAGGTTGTTCTTTTCTGAAATATTTTTCCTTCTGTTTTTTTATTTTGTTTATACTATCCTTTCTCTTTTTTTAGTTTTCTTTAGTTTTATTCTGCCTGTTTTAAGTTTGTCTGTCTGGATGAGCTACTCTTGTCTGTTCTCTCCCCCAGGACCTGTTTGCCTTGGGTGACCTTTCAGAGGCATAAAGCCCTGACAACATAGCTCCTGGGATCATTGGGACACACAAGGAGCTCAAGGAGGGGAAAAAACCCTCACATGAGAGGGAAAAAGTGCAAGGTTTTTTTTTTTTCTGTGCAAAACACCCGGTTCAGGGTGCATTTTTGTTTTTTGTTTTTTCTTTTCAGAAATACTTTTCTTTTTTTAGTTTCCTATAGTTCTTTTTTATTTTTCTGCCCGTTTTTTTTTCAGAAATACTGTTATGTTTCTTTTTTTTCAGTTTTTTTTACAAATACTATTCTATTACTTCTTTTTTTGCTTTATTTTTTTTCTACCTTTTTTTTTTAGTTTTTTTTTGTTTTTTTTATTTCTTTTTGTTGTTTATATATATTAAAGGTGTTCTTTTCTGAAATACTTTTCCTTCTGTTTTTTTATTTTGTTTATACTATCCTTTCTCTTTTTTAGTTTTCTTTAGTTGTCTTTCTGCCTGTTTTAATTTTTTTAGTTTTTTTTAAGTTTTTTGTTATATACATATATATAGGTTGTTCTTTTCTGAAATATTTTTCCTTCTGTTTCTTTATTTTGTTTATACTATCCTTTCTCTTTTTTTAGTTTTCTTTAGTTTTATTCTGCCTGTTTTAAGTTTGTTTTTTTAGCTTTTCTTTTTTTAGTTTTTTGTTATTTATATATATTTAAGGTGTTCTTTTCTGAAATACTTTTCCTTCTGTTTATTTATTTTGTTCATACTATCCTCTCTCTTTTTTTAGTTTTCTTTAGTTTTCTTTCTGCCTGTTTTAAGTTTTTTTTTACTTTAGTTTTTTCTATATATTTAGGGTGTTTTTTTCTGAAATACTTTTCTTTCTGTTTTTTTATTTTGTTTATACTATCCTTTCTCTTTTTTTGGTTTTTAGTTTTTTCTATATATCTAGGGTGTTTTTTTCTGAAATACTTTTCCTTCTGTTTTTTTATTTTGTTTATACTATCTTTTCTCTTTTTTTAGTTTTTTTAGTTTTTTTATTTATCTATATATATAGGTTGTTCTTTTGTGAAATACTTTTCCTTGTGTTTTTTATTTTATTTATACTATCCTTTCTCTTTTTCAGTTTTCTTTAGTTTTTTTCTGCCTGTTCTAAGTTTTTTTTGTAGTTTTCTTTTGTAGTTTTTTCTATAGTTTTTTTTTGAAATACTTATCTTCTTCTTTTTATCAGTTTTCTTTAGTTTTTTTCTGCCTGTTTAAATTTTTATTTTGTTTTCTTTAGTTTCTTTTCTTCAGTTTTTTTTTTCCTTTTTTTTTTCCCTGGCACCTCTGTCTGGATGAGCTACTCTTAGTCTGGTCCCTCCCCCAGGACCTGTTTGCCTTGGGTGACCTTTCAGAGGCATAAAGCCCTGACAACATAGCTCCTGGGATCATTGGGACACACAAACCCCTCCACCACGGTAAGGTGGTAGCTCAAGGAGGGGAAAAAACCCTCACACGAGAGGGAAAAACCGCAAGGGTTTTTTTTTCTGTGCAAAACACCCGGTTTAGGGTGGTTTTTTTTCAGAAATACTTTTCTTTTCTTTAGTTACCTATAGTTCTTTTTTATTTTTCTGCCTGTTTTAAGTTTTTTTTTTCAGAAATACTGTTATGTTTCTTTTTTTTTTTTTTTACAAATACTATTCTTTTACTTTTTTTAGTTTTCTTTAGTTTTTTTTTCTGCCTGTTTTAAGTTTTTTTTAAAAAATTTTTTTGTTATTTATATATATTTAGGGTGTTTTTTCCTGAAATACTTTTCCTTCTGTTTTTTTATTTTGTTTATACTATCCTTTCTCTTTTTTTAGTTTTCTTTAGTTTTTTGTCTGCCTGTTTTAAGTTTGTTTTTTTAGCTTTTCTTTTTTTAGTTTTTTGTTATTTATATATATTTAAGGTGTTCTTTTCTGAAATACTTTTCCTTCTGTTTATTTATTTTGTTCATACTATCCTCTCTCTTTTTTTAGTTTTCTTTAGTTTTCTTTCTGCCTGTTTTAAGTTTTTTTTTACTTTAGTTTTTTCTATATATTTAGGGTGTTTTTTTCTGAAATACTTTTCTTTCTGTTTTTTTATTTTGTTTATACTATCCTTTCTCTTTTTTTGGTTTTTAGTTTTTTCTATATATCTAGGGTGTTTTTTTCTGAAATACTTTTCCTTCTGTTTTTTTATTTTGTTTATACTATCTTTTCTCTTTTTTTAGTTTTTTTAGTTTTTTTATTTATCTATATATATAGGTTGTTCTTTTGTGAAATACTTTTCCTTGTGTTTTTTATTTTATTTATACTATCCTTTCTCTTTTTCAGTTTTCTTTAGTTTTTTTCTGCCTGTTCTAAGTTTTTTTTGTAGTTTTCTTTTGTAGTTTTTTCTATAGTTTTTTTTTTGAAATACTTATCTTCTTCTTTTTATCAGTTTTCTTTAGTTTTTTTCTGCCTGTTTAAATTTTTATTTTGTTTTCTTTAGTTTCTTTTCTTCAGTTTTTTTTTTCCTTTTTTTTTTCCCTGGCACCTCTGTCTGGATGAGCTACTCTTAGTCTGGTCCCTCCCCCAGGACCTGTTTGCCTTGGGTGACCTTTCAGAGGCATAAAGCCCTGACAACATAGCTCCTGGGATCATTGGGACACACAAACCCCTCCACCACGGTAAGGTGGTAGCTCAAGGAGGGGAAAAAACCCTCACACGAGAGGGAAAAACCGCAAGGGTTTTTTTTTCTGTGCAAAACACCCGGTTTAGGGTGGTTTTTTTTCAGAAATACTTTTCTTTTCTTTAGTTACCTATAGTTCTTTTTTATTTTTCTGCCTGTTTTAAGTTTTTTTTTTCAGAAATACTGTTATGTTTCTTTTTTTTTTTTTTTACAAATACTATTCTTTTACTTTTTTTAGTTTTCTTTAGTTTTTTTTTCTGCCTGTTTTAAGTTTTTTTTAAAAATTTTTTTTGTTATTTATATATATTTAGGGTGTTTTTTCCTGAAATACTTTTCCTTCTGTTTTTTTATTTTGTTTATACTATCCTTTCTCTTTTTTTAGTTTTCTTTAGTTTTTTGTCTGCCTGTTTTAATTTCTTTTAACATTTTTAGTTCTTTTTGTTATATATATTTAGGATGTTTTTTTCAGAAATACTTTTCTTTCTTTTTTAAATTTTTTTTTATATTATCCTTTATCATTTTTTAGTTTACTTTAGTTTTTTCTGCCTGTTTTAATTAAAAAAACTATTCTTTTTCTTGTTTTTTTAGTTTTCTTTAGTTCTTTTCTGCCTGTTTAAAGTTTTTTAAGTTTTCTTTAGTTGTCTTTCTGCCTGTTTTAATTTTTTTAGTTTTTTTAGTTTTTTGTTATATACATATATATAGGTTGTTCTTTTCTGAAATATTTTTCCTTCTGTTTTTTTATTTTGTTTATACTATCCTTTCTCTTTTTTTAGTTTTCTTTAGTTTTATTCTGCCTGTTTTAAGTTTGTCTGTCTGGATGAGCTACTCTTGTCTGTTTTTTTTGGGTTTTTTTTATTTCTTTTTGTTGTTTATATATATTAAAGGTGTTCTTTTCTGAAATACTTTTCCTTCTGTTTTTTTATTTTGTTTATACTATCCTTTCTCTTTTTTAGTTTTCTTTAGTTGTCTTTCTGCCTGTTTTAATTTTTTTAGTTTTTTTTTAGTTTTTTGTTATATACATATATATAGGTTGTTCTTTTCTGAAATATTTTTCCTTCTGTTTTTTATTTTGTTTATACTATCCTTTCTCTTTTTTTTAGTTTTCTTTGGTTTAATCTGCCTGTTTTAAGTTTGTTTTTTTAGCTTTTCTTTTTTTAGCTTTTTTGTTATTTATATATATTTAAGGTGTTCTTTTCTGAAATACTCTTCCTTCTGTTTTTTTATTTTGTTTATACTATCCTCTCTCTTTTTTTAGTTTTCTTTAGTTTTGTTCCTTTCTGTTTTAAGTTTTTTTTTTACTTTAGTTTTTTCTGCCTGTTTTAAGTCTTTTTTTAGTTTTTTTTTTTTTTAGTTTTTTGTTATTTATATATATATATATATATAGGTTGTTCTTTTCTGAAATACTTTTCCTTCTGTTTTTTTTTGTTTATACTATCCTTTCTCTTTTTTTAAATTTTTTTTTAGTTTTATTCTGCCTGTTTTAAGTTTGTTTTTTAGCTTTTTTTGTTTTTTGTTATTTATATATATTTAGGGTGTTCTTTTCTGAAATACTTTTCCTTTTTTTATTATTTTATTTATTCTATCCTTTCTCTTTTTTAGTTTTCTTTAGTTTTCTTTCTGCCTGTTTTAAGTTTTTTTTTAGTCTTTTTTGTTATTTATATATATATATATATATATATATATATATATATATATATAGGTTGTTCTTTTGTGAAATACTTTTCCTTGTGTTTTTTTTTTTGTTTATACTATCCTTTCTCTTTTTTTAGTTTTCTTTAGTTTTTTGTCTGCCTGTTTTAAGTTTTTTTTTTTTAGTTTTTTTCAGTTCTTTTTGGGTGTTTTTTTCAGAAATACTTTTCCTTCTGTTTTTTTTTATTTTGTTTATACTATCCTTTTTTTTAAGGGTTATATATATATATATATATATATATATATATACATATATATATATAGATAGATAGATATACATACCCCCCACAAAAAAAAAAAAAAAACATAATCATTATATATATATTTGTGCTTAACACCAGGTTTAGGGTGTTTTTTTGGGTTTTTTTTTTAGAAATACTTTTCTTTTTCTTTTTCTTTTTCTTAGTTTTCTTTAGTTTTTTAAAGTTCCTGCCTGTTTTGAGTTTTTTTTTAAACTTTTTCAAGATTTTTTTATAAATACTATTAATTTTCTTTCTTTTTAGTTTTCTTTTTTTTCAGTTTTTTTTCCTTTTTTAAGGGTTTTCTAATTAAGTTTTCTATAGATTTTTTTTCAGATTTCTTCCTGCTTTAAGTTTTTTTTTTTCTTTTTTAACTGTTTTTTTTAGCTTTTTTTTTTCAGATATATGATTAAAAGTTTTCTTTAGTTTTTTTTTTTTTTTCAGTTTTCTGCCTGCTTTAGGTTTCCTTTTTTAGTTTTTTCACAGTCCTGAATGTTTGACTCACAGTCCTGCGGAGTGTCTCCATCTCTCTGTCCCTCAAGTAGAAGGTCCTGTTAATCCTGGGTCGGTTTGTTGTTCGCTGCATTGTCTTTGACTGTTTGTAGTCTCAGAGTTCCGCTGCTAAAAGATTCTGATTGTCTCTTTCTTGAAGTGTAGCCACTCGCTGAAAGTTTCAAATGATACCCTCAAGTAGAAGGTCCTGTTAATCCTGGGTCAGTTTGTTGGTCGCTGCATTGTTTTTGACTGTAGTCTCAGAGTTTCAAACGATACCCTGGACAGCTGCTCTACTTCCAGTTAGTAACACGAGATGTGAGCTGTGATGATGTCATAATGATGCCATCACGGAATTGCTCCATTGATGTCATATTATCCTGTTGTTTGTTTACATTTGAATTTTTCACATTTAAATATAAACAAAAGCACACCCTATAACAATCATGTATTTTTCAAACCTGCTGTTAACCCACATTGATTTGAGTTGTTTTTGTAATAGATGCTTCATGAATTGATATGTGTTGATGAGTTAAATAAGAAAACTTAGTATTACAAACCAGCTGTTAAACTGAACTTTACAGACACCATCTTACCTGTCTACTTTTGTCCATTGTTGACCCAAAATTAAAAAATAGTTCTCTTTAAGTTTGGGTCAATTTTGGTGCCCCCATTTTGACAAAGCAGTTTTCAATTATCGTGTCCACGACATGCCTCAACACATTTCATCCTGTTGACTTTTGACAGTGAAATGTAGTACTTATTGGGATTTTTTTTTGTGGAAATGGTAAAATGCAGGGCTTGCCCCCCAACCCCGCACCAATTTTAGACAATAAAAACAAGGGTCTAAAACTTACAAATGTTGTCACTGATGGTTCTGTTTAATTCTGTGTATCAATCAAAGACATTAATATGAGATTGAGTGTATTTCAGCAATGTACATGCTGATGCCAATTGCGATGTCAGAGGGCCTCTATTCTCTAGGATCTTATGACTACTCACACTGTTATAGGGCATTTCTGAAGAGAACCGAGAGAGAAGGGTGATATGAATTGGGCGGGGGGGACAGGGACGGCAATCAGAGGGCCCCTGGGCCACAGGGGATGGCAATCTAACCCTTTGGCTATGGGGGACGGCAGTGAGAGGGCCCCTGGGCTGGCCTTGCTGTAGTGCCTCTCGTGAATACTCCTAAGGGAGCCCTAATATTTACCAACTAGGGGTTCAAGGAAGTAGGGGGGAATGCTTTCAGAGGGCCCTATGATTATGAAAGCCCCTGCTAAGGGTTGTGACTTCTGGCTATGTGGGGGCCCTAGGGAGAGCCCTGATGGGAGAGCATACTGTTAAGAGAGCCCTCTGATTACAAATGTTCTTAAAGGGCCTCTGATTTACCAAGGGTTTTAAAAGAAAGTCCTTTCAGTGAGCCCTAAGGCCCAGCATATGCTAGCTGTGTGACTTAATTTACGTGTGCAACCGCAAATACTTGCAGCAGAACGATGAGAGCACTACGCACGATACTGGTAGTGTTGCCAAAAACAAATCACCAAAAGTCCCTATTGGTTCTCTGAAAAGTCACTAGATTACGTCATGACGTTACTAAGATGTCATAACATCAGACACGACTCACTGAGCTCGAGAAAATGTGTCTACATGGCTATGTTGACAATTCCAAAGGGTACAGTTTCGAGATCGGGGCTAATGTGCAGTGCTGCTTAACCATGAAATAGGCTTCTGGTGGCGGTGCAGAGCTGAAGTTACATGGAAAAACAATGATTTTGACACTTGAGAGATGTGATTTTTTAAAGTCGCCAGATTCACCTAGAAAGCTGCTAAGTCGCTAGATGAGGTTTTAGTCGCCAGAGACGGCTAAAAGTCACTAAATCTAGCGACAAAGTCGCTAAATTGGCACCATTGGATACTGGCGGTTTCATGTAGGGGGCAGATAGCCAACCGGGCTCTCATTAATATTTTCCACCATTGTTTGACTCAACCACAAGCTAAACATGGAAGTTCGGAAGATCGCCCCTCGTGGTTGTGTCAATATTGCAACATGCGCACATGTCTGCATACCTTGTGTTCAGGTGTGCTATTACGTAACATGGACATAAAATATGAATGGCAACGCATTCAGGCATGAAATGTGCACACGGTAAGCATATCCTGGCCTAACACTGGCCCCAGTAGACAGCTAGTAGAAGCTGGACCTATTTTCTATGAGAAGTGATTTCGCTCCCGCACAGTATTGTGTGTACACAATATGACATGGTCCTTGGAGTGCATCAAAACTGTCATTGCGACACATCCAAAATTCAAAAATCTCTAACTCCATGCAAATTTATCGTGCGTCGCGACCATACTGTGAAGTGAGTGTCCAATAACCGAGCTAGACTCAGGGGTGGGCTGTACGGTGGTCCAGTCACAATACACAGCAGATTCACGTGTCATTATAACCTATAGTTACTTCGAAGAGAGTGGTAGACTGGCAGATATTCACCTTCAGAACACTGAGTTTCGCCCCGCTTCACTTTGCAGATTTCGCTTCCTTATGTCCCCACCGTAAAGGGGTGTACTTTACACACCAATGCCAACAAAGTGAAGTCCAAGTGAAAATCCAATATCAATACAACACTCCCACATTACACTTGGCATTGCTTTTATCGAAACTCCTCACATGGCAGAAATTTTGATAGTGTAAGTGAAAATCCAATATTGTTAAATCTGTTTATCGAAACTCCTAACAACATTCTTACATTAAAACCTTTCCTAGACTATCAGATTTAGCATCCAACACCCTATTAAAAAGCTCACTGACATTTACATTGTATTGTATTGTATTGTATTGTATTGTATTGTATTGTAATAATAGTGTACCTTAACTAGACTTGAAGCCATTGTAAGGGCTACTGTATTTTCAGTGAACAAATCTGGAAGTCTAAGTGGAACTAGAAAAATTGCATTTCCTTGCAGAAAATGCATGGAAATGCTGAGTGCTGAATGCTGAAAAAGCAATGCTAAGCTGCTAATAAAACATGGAGAAAGATATTAAAATAACCACTGAAATGTACAACATAAATACGTGTGTCTTGTGACAAAAACAGTATGAAACACAGTGTAAGTCCAAAATCAAATCCTAAATTTGCGAATCTTTAGATTTTTGCTGGCACTGTCACAGATTTAACTCTGAACTGTCTCAGATTATAATCTGCTGGGAGGTCTCTGTCATGTTTCAAATGTTACACTCTGCATATTAAATGCAAAAGAGGTAAAAGATTGTTTTAGAGACACATTGGTAAACTACTGTTTAATATCACACCCCTATAAATTTGAGTTTGCATTTTACTGTCATCATAAGTTAAACGTGTTTCTTACCTCCTGTTGAAGCCCGAGCACGCAGCTTCTCCTTTTACAGGAATGGGTTGACTCTTCTGTGCAGATTTAAAGAAGAAATAAGAAAGCATTGGTTAGTATAAAAGAAACTGTCAAATAAGTTTCAGACTGACGGCTTTAAATAGCCCAGAAGACATAAAAAAAATCTCTTGTAGAGATTTCTCACAATAACATGAGCTTTTCTGCTCTTAACCACGAAGAGTCTTTGACATGGTGGGGAGGACTTTCATGTGATGTCAATGCATCACTTTTAAGATAACCATCCGAATGTCTAGACTTTTAATTCGCTGTTGTGGCCACATTTTTTGGAGTACAGACATGAAAAACAGATCATTGTGTTCATGAAGGGGGGAGGATTCATACGATTTTCTTATTTTCATTCTAGGATTCAAGGAAATCATGCTATGAAGAAGTCCAGAGACAGCTTCTCATTCAAACAGTAGGTCAGTTAATGCCTTTGATCTCACAGCTGTTTAGGATGCAATCATTAACGAGACACACACACACACACACACACACACAGTCTGACAATGTGTGTGTGTGTGTGTGTGTCTGTGTCCAAAAGACCTGCATGTACACACAGTTAATATGTGTCTGCATCACCACCTATCTCCACCCACAAACTTTGAGCTACAGAAACCATTCTGGGCTTCAAAAATTCAGCTCATTGAGGACATTATGGGGTGTACTCAGGATTTTTTTTAATTAAACTTTTCCCCACTTTAAAATTATTCTCATTATTCATGCATTATTAAATTCGTCAGACAAATCCAAACTCATTCAAACTGATTCAAACCTTTCTGATACTTCAAACCTGTTTAACACTTTAGGACTTCCAATTATTTAAACATTTTCCCACTTCAAAATCATTCTCATTATTTATGTATGTTTTAATTCTTCAAACAAAATTCCAGTTCTACCACTACAATTACTACTTATATCACTTTAACTTGTATCTTCACTTCTACCTCCACTGCTCTTGCTTCTCTTAAGATTTTTTTTACTTCTACTCTTACTTCTACCACAAGCTCTACTGCTTTGACTTCTACTTCTTCTATTCTAAAACTACTTCTACTGCTTACATGACTACTAATATCACTACTACAACTACCTATTATCATACTACTTCTAGTACTACAACTTAAACTTATGCCTCTTCTTACTTTTCTGTGTTTTAAGGTAATTTTCTTCCTTATACAATTTTTTTTGCAATTTCAGACAGTTTTTCTAGCCTTATTCAGCATGATTGCAATTTTAATTTATGAAGCACATTCATACTATTTGTACTTCAGCAATTTTCACTTTCATCTAACTTCTACTTTTCTTTCTCCAGGTCTTTAACCAAGTTTACATTTAAACCTTCCTCCATTTTTTTTTTTAGCAGTTTAGCATTGCTTTTTCAGCTTCCAGCACTCAGCATTTCCACACATTTTCTGCAAGGAAATGCATTTTTTTCTAGTTTTGATAATGGCTGTCACATTAAAGTCATAAACACTGTAAATATCTATGCACACATTTAATCCTTGTCGATGCATTGCTTAACCATCACGAAAGTCTCGACAGTAACACAAGTTTGTATGATAATATTGTCATGAAATCTTACCGTCTCCATGTCGTAGATGTTGTCCTCTCTGTTCAGGTGTTGGTTAGAGGTGTTTGTCGGAGTCCTTAGTCGTCTGGTGAGGTTTTATTTACGATGAAGCCGTCAAAAGTTGTAAGTTCGTGAGCCGCTTAAGTTTTTCGTGCTGTTCTCTTCAGATTTGATCTTCAGAAATGACCGCTCTCTTTTGCTTGTAATGATTTAAAGTTTTTGCATCGTTACAGGTTACCATGGAGATTTAAAATGCTGTTTACTTTAGAAAAACCCTTACACTGGTAGGTTATATCTAAAAGTTTAATATTATCTTTAATTTACTTTAATCTCAATAGAATATAAATATCTCTTGAAGTAAAGTGGAGGTTATTTTGCGTCAACTAGTTTAAGAGTTTAAAAACATTTTAATTTAAAAACCTTCCTTATTCCGGTACAAAACGACAACGTTTTGAAAACTATAGCTAAGTAGGCCTTTGTCTCATAGGTAACCCAACAAAAACTGGAAACTTTGTGTTTCATTATAATTTCCACTGAAGCCTTTACTTCAATTAAATTCAGTCGATTTTCTTTAGAAGGCTACTAAAAATAGTCTCTATATACTCCTACCATATCAATATTTTAGAGCAGTAACTACATCTGTAAAGCACTTTGTCCCCCTGTTTAAAAAAAAAACCCCAAAGTTGATCATTGTCATTGATCATTGTTTAATCCATGTTTTGAAAATAGTAGATATGGCGACCGAAACATTTGAGTCTCGAATAGCACATAGCCATAGTAAACGCCATTACATTCGGGTACACTCGTGTGGCTAACACCAGAGCTAATCCACTGCTCTGCTTTGATGTTGTCTAAAACCACAGGAAATTACACAATTTTAACCTGGAAACGCCATAAAATCTCAACTTTTTACCTGATTAATGCAGTCAAAGTTATTTTCAACATGTTTTTTTTTAACCTACCTTGAGGTATATTTGAGATTAATGTTTGACAGAAATGTAGAGTTCTTCAACACAGAGGCGTACTGCATTTATTTGAGGATAAAACTGCTCTTACACTCTGGCGCATAAATGTCTTACCTGGCTAGATGTCACAATAAGTTCCCTGGTGAGGTCCACGGGGTCGTAACATTTCACAAGCTCATAGGACTCAGAGAAGTGGAACCTCTTAATTTGGAGCACCAAGAAACTGTGGAGAGCAGCAGAGAGGGAATGACCACAGGATTATTAAACTGAGGGAATTTCTGAGCATGAAAATACTGAAGATAAATTAACAGAAAATAATCTGTGCATGTGTCTGCAACAGGGGGAAACAGTGAGTCTGGGATAGATGTAACGTCACCCACTTTGGCAGGGTTGTGAAGGTGGAGCACTGTGCTGATGTTGTGCCTCCACACTCGCAGTTGAACTCCAAGTCTGTCTCCTGCAGAGAAAACATGCTGTCAGATACTGTGTACATTAAACATGGAAAATCAACAACCAAAAATAACCGCAGAGTGAAACATTTGAGTGGCTTCCTATCAGACAATGTGGATGTTGATTAAAGAGGTCCAGCGTCTATACCTTCTCATATTCCTGCAGCATCTGCTGTACCGAACCCCCAGGAATCAGGTCCAGAGAGGGATTCAGGAATTCCTCCTCTCTCACTGAGGCAGAGCCACATCTGCACGTTAAAAGGACAATACATATGATTATATACTGTAGTTATACATGTTGTGAAAAGAAAATGTAAAGATAAAAGAAAAGATTACTGTAGATTTGACCTGACTTGATAAAAATGAGCAAAAAATTAAACACATTAGTCAAACTGGAGGTAAATATGTCCTGCAACCATCTGTATGTTTTTACCTCTTGCATTTTCTGCAATTCTGCATCCTGAACACCAGGTTCCTTTCCACAGGACATCTGTAGGACCTCCCAAGGATAGAGGCAACTTGCCTCAGTGGCGCAGCCAGGTCCCTCATCTGACCCAGAACTGCAGTCAGAAACTCATGGGCATCCTGAGCAAACAGAGACACAGGTTTGATTGGATAAGCAGACAAGGAGCAGTTAGTGAAACTTTAAAGAAAACGAGCTGACTTACTTTCTGATCGTGGTCCACAAACTCTGGGGCCTGGATAGAGAGAAGCCACTTAAATTTACCCAGAGCCCTAAGTTTGTGGTGAGTGTCACCCACGTCATGGAGATGAACAATGTCCATGAAATAACTGCAGAGGGCAGAGGAACAGAGAGGAGCTTGTTTTAGTTTGATTTAAAGATTTGCGGATAAACTGAAGCCTCATGTCTCAGCAACAAAAAGTTCCTGACATCCTGAAATTAACTCATCCTTGGCAAAAAATCTGTCATGAAATAGTTTAACATGGATATTATCTCTTCTTTTAATGGGTCGAATCTTGTAAGCAGATTTACTGTTCATTTATATTAAATGTTGAATCATTTTTAGACTTAAAAAAAAATCTCTTTTTACAGTACAGGGCAAAAAATAAGTTCAAAGCCAAAAACTGACATAAAATTATACATAAATATTGTTTTCAACTTATAATGAATCATATTTATTTCACCAGCTTCAACTCTGTTTATAAATATATAAATATCAAATGATAAATAATTTCCAGAATTGTAACCCTATGCCAGTCTACATACACAATGCATTGAAAAAAATGTATTGTTATCCAACATTTTACATGAGCTAACATTAAAAAAAACAATCAAACTCAGATTGGGACATTTTTGTGATCACCAGTTAAAATGATTTGGGGTATGTTGATTTTTTTTAATATGTCAGATTTGAAAACCCATTTAATTACAATACTTCATTTGAATTATCTGACATTGACATATTTCACAAGTTTTTATTATTTATTATTTTTATCTTTTCCTCAGTTTCAGTCCTGTATATTAATACCTATTATTAATAATTAATCATTAAATGCTAGTTCATTAACACAATAAACCAGATATTTCATTTAAAAAAAAAGACAAAAGCTTAATATTTCTCATATCCTGAGGACCAAAAAAAGCTTTGGGTCAATTTTGAATAGCAATATTAATTTTGATGCATTATTCCTTTTCTTTCTTGTATTTCAGTTTTTAGTTTACGTCAAAAGTTTGACTCGTAGCTTCAACAACACGTTCTGTTGTTGAAGCTGTTTGAGAGCATGTAAAGATCACAGTTGAATTTTAATCCAAGCCACGATCTTTTCTGAACCAAACCTCAAGCTAACTCAAACCATAACTTTCTTTATTGAGATATAAACCTCTACATTAAATCTGGTACAGAAAGTGTGTATTAAACTGCTCTTTTCATTTAAATTTAAAGTAAAAAAATCAAGTTGGCTATTCTACAGCATTACAGCGCTTCTTAAAATATAAATAAATGATTCATAGACAGGAACAGACTGTGAGTGTGTTTCAAGGAGAAAAAAATAATGTGTCAGGACATATTTAGCAGATATACTGATTTTCATGTACAAGTGACTTCATGTTAAAGCTACTGTGGGGAATTTTCAGCCGATTATAACTGACTGATATTGATAGGGATGCCTCTGTGTGGCCTTAAAAAGCAAATCAGACCACCTTTGAAGGGTTTGTTCATCTCTACAAAGTTATTTGTGAGGTAAGAAACTGTTGTCAGGGATGTAGGTGTCAGATGATTTAGCTAAATTGAAGCTTTTTAAAAAGGCTTTTTCAAAAATATCTCAGGTGAAGATGACCAATGACTTTTAAAATTGAGCAGGGAGATTTTTTGTTTGAAAACAAGACTTAACACAATTTGAAAGAGAGGTTATGAAAGAAGCATAAGAAGCAACACAAACCAAAAATTCCTCACGGGAGCTTTAAGAAAGAATTGATAACACCTGATTTGTGTCACGTGATGATTTAACTCATCAGGTGACACCAAAATTGATCCATCCTGTGAACAAAATGAGTTTGTTACCTTCACTGGAGATCCCGAGGAGGCTTTTGCTGATCTTTATGATCAGAGAGAGGAGACACACGCTTTTCTCTCTAATGGAGTAAAAATAATTTTGATTTGTCAGTAACAGAATCAACTGAAAGATAAACCAAAACTAATGCTTATAACAACACTGAAGTCCAGACTGGTATTCCTATGCTTCACTTACACTACAGCACTTAAAAAACCAAGAACAACCCCATTTCTTCTCCTTTGGGTTCTTGTTTTTCTCCCCAGGTGGGGGTGCTGTGGAGCCAGCCAGACCATTGGAGGTGATATCTCTGCAGACACAAGCACACACCCATTACAGTGTGGTGACATTTGTTTTAACAACCTGTAGTGATGTTTTTAAAGGAGTCTGCAGTGACTAGTCAACATTTATCAGAAGCTTTTGTGGCTGCACAAATAAACAGCTGATTGTTGGAGCAGTTTACTCACCTCCGCTGAAGGCTGATTAGACTTCTGACTTTTCTCTGTGGAGTAACAACAAATATAAAAATGAAAACCCACTGTGTCAAATGTTTTTAGTGTCTGATTTTAAATGTCACACTTATAAAATGATCTTATTTTAACAGCTCTGAAACATACCAGAGGTTGACCAAACAGCCTGTGCAGCCAAAAGCTCGTTGGGCCGCAGTTTTCTGCGTTAGAAGCCTCTGACGCAGTGTCACTGGTCAACACAGAAACACAGGTTGGTTATTTTAATGAACAAAATAAATCCATGAAAAGAAATATCTGCAGAGACACATGACAGTCACACAGACTCAAACTATGGTGATATTCAGACGATAAAATACAATAAACACGCACTGGATGGTCTTTGAGGAAGTATCAGAGTCAAACTGAAAAAGTGTCTTTATGTATCAAAAATAATACAGCACACTCACAATGATTTAAAATACCTGAAGGTTATTCCCTGTTTTTGTGTTGTTGTTATTGATAAATGAACCCCATCTTTGTTCACACTTATTCATTAAAAAAAAAGTGCTGAATCTCTTTAAGTTGACACAGCGTTTTTAAAACAAAGCTTTTTTAATGCATATTATCCGGGAAAGGCCTCATACAAAACATGTTTTTCCTTCAATTTCAAACACAGTAAATTAAAATGGTCTTTGTTTCCCTTACTGGGAATTTCCCCTTGTGGGACTAATTAAGGAGTATCTTATCTATCATACCTGACTTTACTAGTTTTTGACTAGAGACTCTCAGTAAGAGCAAACGATGATAAAACTCCTTTATTTCATTTAGTGTTTTTACACATTTCCTTTGTCTGACTGATTAATTGATCAGTAAATGTCTTATGTGAAGCCTTTGAATTGTCTTATTCAGTTAAAATAACCACTGAAATGTATAACATAAATACATGTGTGTTGTGACAAAAAGAGTATGAAACACAGTGTAAGTCCAAAATCAAATCCTAAATTTGCGAATCTTTAGATTTTTGCTGGCACTGTCACAGATTTAACTCTGAACTGTCTCAGATTATAATCTGCTGGGAGGTCTCTGTCATGTTTCAAATGTTACACTCTGCATATTAAATGCAAAAGAGGTAAAAGACTGTTTTAGAGACACATTGGTAAACTACTGTTTAATATCACACCCCTATAAATTTGAGTTTGCATTTTACTGTCATCATAAGTTAAACGTGTTTCTTACCTCCTGTTGAAGCCCGAGCACGCAGCTTCTCCTTTTACAGGAATGGGTTGACTCTTCTGTGCAGATTTAAAGAAGAAATAAGAAAGCATTGGTTAGTATAAAAGAAACTGTCAAATAAGTTTCAGACTGACGGCTTTAAATAGCCCAGAAGACATAAAAAAATCTCTTGTAGAGATTTCTCACAATAACATGAGCTTTTCTGCTCTTAACCACGAAGAGTCTTTGACATGGTGGGGAGGACTTTCATGTGATGTCAATGCATCACTTTTAAGATAACCATCCGAATGTCTAGACTTTTAACTCGCTGTTGTGGCCACATTTTTTAGAGTACAGACATGAAAAACAGATCATTGTGTTCATGAAGGGGGGAGGATTCATACGATTTTCTTATTTTCATTCTGGGATTTAAGGAAATCATGCTATGAAGAAGTCCAGAGACAGCTTCTCATTCAAACAGTAGGTCAGTTAATGCCTTTGATCTCACAGCTGTTTAGGATGCAATCATTAACGACACACACACACACACACACACACACACACACACACACACACACACACACACACACACACACACACACACAGTCTGACAATGTGTGTGTGTGTGTGTCTGTGTCTAAAAGACCTGCATGTACACACATTCTGCATCACCACCTATCTCCACCCACAAACTTTGAGCTACAGAAACCATTCTGGGCTTCAAAAATTCAGCTCATTATGGGGTGTACTCAGGATTTTTTTTATTAAACTTTTCCCCACTTTAAAATTATTCTCATTATTCATGCATTATTAAATTCGTCAGACAAATTCAAACTCATTCAAACTGATTCAAACCTTTCTGATACTTCAAACCTGTTTAACACTTCAGGACTTCTAATTATTGAAAAATTTTCCCACTTCAAAATCATTCTCATTATTTATGTATGTTTTAATTCTTCAAACAAAATTCCAGTTCTACCACTACAATTACTACTTATATCACTTTAACTTGTATCTTCACTTCTACCTCCACTGCTCTTGCTTCTCTTAATATTTTTTTTACTTCTACTCTTACTTCTACCACAAGCTCTACTGCTTTGACTTCTACTTCTTCTATTCTAAAACTACTTCTACTGCTTACATGACTACTAATATCACTACTACAACTACCTATTATCATGCTTCTTCTAGTACTTCAACTTAAATTTATGCCTCTTCTTACTTTTCTGTGTTTTAAGGTAATTTTCTTCCTTATACAATTTTTTTTGCAATTTCAGACAGTTTTTCTAGCCTTATTCAGCATGAATGCAATTTTAATTTATGAAGCACATTCATACTATTTGTACTTCAGCAATTTTCACTTTCATCTAACTTTTACTTTTCTTTCTCCAGGTCTTTAACCAAGTTTACATTTAAACCTTCCTCCATTTTTAAAAAAAAGCAGTTTAGCATTGCTTTTTCAGCTTTCAGCACTCAGCATTTCCACACATTTTCTGCAAGAAAATGCAATTTTTCTAGTTTTGATAATGGCTGTCACATTAAAGTCATAATCACTGTAAATATCTATGCACACATTTAATCCTTGTCGATGCATCGCTTAACCATCACGAAAGTCTCGACAGTAACACAAGTTTGTATGATAATATTGTCATGAAATCTTACCGTCTCCATGTCGTAGATGTTGTCCTCTCTGTTCAGGTGTTGGTTAGAGGTGTTTGTCGGAGTCCTTAGTCGTCTGGTGAGGTTTTATTTACAATGAAGCCGTCAAAAGTTGTAAGTTCGTGAGCCGCTTAAGTTTTTCGTGCTGTTCTCTTCAGATTTGATCTTCAGAAATGACCGCTCTCTTTTGCTTGTAATGATATAAAGTTTTTGCATCGTTACAGGTTACCATGGAGATTTAAAATGCTGTTTACTTTAGAAAAACCCTTACACTGGTAGGTTATATCTAAAAGTTTAATATTATCTTTAATTTACTTTAATCTCAATAGAATATAAATATCTCTTGAAGTAAAGTGGAGGTTATTTTGCGTCAACTAGTTTAAGAGTATAAAAGCATTTTAATTTAAAAACCTTCCTTATTCCGGTACAAAACGACAACGTTTTGAAAACTATAGCTAAGTAGGCCTTTGTCTCATAGGTAACCCAACAAAAACTGGAAACTTTGTGTTTCATTATAATTTCCACTGAAGCCTTTACTTCAATTAAATTCAGTCGATTTTCTTTAGAAGGCTACTAAAAATAGTCTATATATACTCCTACCATATCAATATTTTAGAGCAGTAACTACATCTGTAAAGCACTTTGTCCCCCTGTTTAAAAAAAACCCCAAAGTTGATCATTGTCATTGATCATTGTTTAATCATTGAGTTGTTTAAACTAATGTAAACACTTAATTTTAAAGATAAGAGGTCATTTGGAGTGTTTGATGTGTGAGTGAAACCACTGGGATAGGGCTCAGACCAATGGTATGGTGGACTAACTCTGTCTCTTGGACATATTTATGCTGCCCCCTGCTGACAAACTGCAGTAATATTAGTGTCCACTGGAGCATAAAACTGTGAGGTAAACTGAAACTACTGCATGTTTATTTGTAAGTAACTGTGGGACCCAAATCAACATTTCATCTTAGACATTTTCTCTTTTATTAGAAGATATTTTCACTTTTATTGGAAACTTAACTTCTTGTTCGTTGTTCTTTGGTTTCCTCTGTCAATGTGTTTGTCACTCTGTGTTTTTTGCTGCTAACTGTTTTGACGATTTTTAATCTCTCTTGAATAAACCTGTTAAATAAAGGCTAAATAAGAGATAACATCTGCATTAAAAGAATCCAAAAAAAAAAAAGAAAAACTATAGGCTACACAGTAATCCATTGTAGGGATGGAACATGGTTTAGTGTGGTAAAGTAGATTTTAGAGGAAAATTTGGAAAATTTGGTAAATATTCTCTCAGACTTAATCGTGTTACCTGTTTAAACTTTTACTCAAGTCAAAATTGAAGTTTTTATGTGATGTGTCTACTTTGCGCACTGAACTTAATGGCTCTAAAAACCCACAGAACACATTTACAGAGCACATGGAGTGGGAGGAAGTGGGTGTAAGTGGTGCCTAAAAGCTCTTCTTTTTTTTTCATCCACTGCCGTGTGGGTAAATTTGGCTATGGATGGTTTCAAGCCCGTGATTATAAGCTCAGAGTAATGACATTAAGCAGAAGACTGAGGTTACAAGGCAGAAATTAGCTTCCTCCATAGGGTGCCTGGGATCACTCTTATCTTTGGACCTCCTGCTGCTTCTTTGTCTTGAGGGTAGTGATTGAACTCTCTTCCTATTCTTTGCTTGTCCAACTGGGACAAGCCCTGAAGGCAGACCCAGAATATGCTGGTGGGAATACATATCCAATCTGTCCTGGGAGGGCCTCGGGGCTCCTGAAGACTTGGCTCAGGAGACAGATGTCTGGGCTTTTTTTTTTGCTCAGTTTGCAGTCTACAATCTTTGACAGAAAATGAAATAGTGTCTTGCTATAAATATATATAATTAAGTGTAGTACTTCTCTGTTATCTGCTTATTCTGGCTGCGAGGTGTATCATAGATTAATTGAGAATTCTAACATAATATGCACAATCTAGGTTAGTAAAAATAAATACCGGAGTACGCAGATTTATTCCCTCATTTTCTATTTTTCAAGTGTAAAAGAGTCTGACACCTCCACGACTGAACCATTACTCAACAGGCATTTCTTTTTCACATTCGCCTACGATTCGGCTGCTTTTAAAGGTGTTAATGGTTAATCCACATGGCACAAGTGACCCAGAGTGCACCGGATGGACTTTGTTGACCTGATCAAACAGATGTCAAACTGGACAGAAATCAATGGTGATAATACATTTATCTGTAGTGGTGTTAAAGCAATCCTCTGATTTACGTTAGGAGTTTGGCATGACAAAAGTGCTGCTGCTGTTTGGACATCAAGAATTTGCTTGACACGGTGCTGTTAAGATTTTAAGTGTAGGCTACATCACATATAAATCTTACGCCTGCCTAAAGGCTGGTGTGTGCGAGCTATTTATATTGGAGGCTACAGAATTCATAGTGGTTGCACTCTGCATTTAGGAACACACATTTAAATCAAGAAATAGCTTTTTTGTTTTGTTTTTTACAAAATCCGATGGCTCTAAATGTCATGATATATGTTCTGGTATTAAGTTTTCCCCTGTTTTGGTCTTTTGAGTGTATTTTCTGTGTTTTTTCCTTCTGTTCCCTGTTGTTCCTGTTTCCCTGTAGTCCTGTCTAGTGAGTTTTCAGTTTGTGTCTGAACCCAGTTCCCTCATGTCCTAAGTGTTTTATTCCTTACATCAGTATTTTCTGTTTTATTTTTTAGTAGTTTATTCCCTGTGTTTCTAGTCTCGTTTTACTTTCTCAGTTTTCCCTCCTCAGTAATTGTCTGCACCTGTTTCTTAGTGTCTCACCTGCCTCCCGTTGCTCGTTTCCTTGTGTGTATATAGTCTTTGTCTGCCCTTGTTTCTTTGTCGGTTGGGATTCTTTGAGTTGGACATTTTTAAAACCTAAGGGTTTTTTTTTGTTCTTTTAGTTCCTTTAAAACAAATCCCCCTTTTGATCTGCAATTTAGGTCCTTTCCCCTTTTTGTTTTACTCGGATTTGTGACAGAATGAACAAACAAATAAACAGGGGAAGCAGAGCTGGCCCAAGGCATAAGCGAACTAAGCGCCTGCTTAGGGCCCTGTGGCCGGTAGGGGGCCCCCAAGAGCAATCATAAAAAAATGTAATGTTTTTATTTTTTGCATGTATGAGTGATGCTTTCTGTATGATCAAATATATATTATTGTAGAAATAAAATAAAAACATTTGCTGCTGCTGCTGTAGGCCTGTGATTCTTACTGCAGATATGTCAAAGCTCCGCTACCGTTATGTGCCTCCTGCTGTGCAATGTGCTCTGAGCATCTTGAATGTCTTACATTTTGAGATTAAAAACCATATGTGGAACCCTGAACATCATTCATCAGTCATTCACTGGTATCATTTGAATGGTTGCATTGGTATTATTTATGTTGTTACCTAGGCCACCTCCTTAAATGTGCAAAGACATGTCAGGTGCATTAAATTTATACTGTAATAGGTGTGTAAATGATCAACAATTAATATTATTGGCAGAAATCGCGGGCCCCAAAATCAAGTTTTGCTTAGGGCCCCATTGAGGCTTGGGCCAGCTCTGAGGGGAAGACAAGGACTATATATACACACAGGGAAACGAGCAACGAGAGGCAGGTGAGACACTGAGACACAGGTGCAGACAATCACTAAGGAGGGAAAACCGAGGAAGTAAAACAAGATTAGAAACACAGGGAATAAACCACTACAAAACAAAATAGAAAACACTAAAAACTGAGAACATAAGGGAACTGGGGTCAGACACAAACTGAAAACTCACAAGACAAGACTACGGGGGAGAAAATACAGGAACAATAGGGCACAGAAGGAAAAATCACAAAGGAAATACAATCAAAAGACCAAAATCAGGGGAAAACTAAATACCAGAACATACATACAGAGAGACTAATGAACACTTTTATAACCAGCAGGCTTGACTACTGTAATGCTCTTCTCTCTGGTTTACCCAAAAGCACAATAAACCAGCTACAACTGATCCAAAACGCTGCTGCTAGAGTTTTGACCAGGACCAGGGGAAGAGCTCATATTACACCCATTTCAAAGTCTTTGCACTGGCTGCCTGTTAGTTTTCGCATTGATTTTAAAATGCTTTTACTAGTTTATAAAGCTCGACATGGCCTGGCACCAGAATATATTTCAAAGATGGTTTTTATTTATGAACCAGGGCGGCCTCTCAGATCCTCTCAATCTTCTCTTTCAGTCGTTCCACAGAGCAGAACAAAAAGATTTGGTGATGCTTCTTTAAGCTGCTACGCTCCAAAACTGTGGAACAAACTTCCAGCGGGTCTGAGACAAGCTGCTAATGTAGAAATCTTTAAACGTTACCTAAAAACCCATCTATTTAGCTTTTATGTACAGCTTCATTATTTTGATTACTATTAGAATTTATTTATTTTTTAGTATCACTTTTTACCTTATTTTATTATTACATTTAGGTTTATATTTTATTGTCTGTTTTAATCTATTTTAATAGCTTTTATTTTCCTGGTCCTGATGTAGAGCACTTTGAGCTGCAATTTCATTTGTATGAACAGTGCTATATAAATAAACTTTGATCGATTGATTGATATCATGACACTAAATACTTAATGTAGTGCAATGCAGGCCTGTCTAAATGTTTAGAGAAAGACCCTGACAGGAGTTACAGTAAATAACAATAAATAAATGAATAATATAGGCAAATACGGATCCCCTAAAGCAGCTTCATTAACCTGCCACCCTTTAAAATACTCTTGTGCCATATCGTTCATAAAGAAATCTCAGTCCAGTGTAATTCCACTTCATGCAATCGACGGTGTAGTATCCCACTCGTGGATTTTCTCTCTTCAGAAAACCAACTGTATGTGAATGTTTGTGTAAATACACAGGCCACTGGAGCACCCTTGTTTGGGAGCTTATATGACCTTGGGGTTCGGCTGAGTAAGGAGCATCTCTCTGAATGAAACGCAGCGCGCACCCTGCTGCCTGGCTGAGAAAAGGCGCACCCTCCTCCTCCTCCTCTTCCTCCTGCATTTCAGTCACGCAGCTTTGCTCAGATTTGAGATGAAGCATGAAGGATGTGGTCGTAGCCTGGTAGCATTATCCAAATAATAAACAAAATCGCGTCTGCAATCGATCAATCGCTTAATCTGATTTGAGAAACGTTTCGGGATCGTTTCCGGACAGATACGCATTCGAGCGCGTAATTTGGGGGATAATCTGCATTGCTTGCATCCGATTGAGCGACTGCAGCTCTCCGACAATAGCGCAACGCGTATTCAGAGACATTTCTAATCGTTATCTTTTGCAACAACCGCCCGTGGTCAAATTAGAGGTCGAGGTTTAATTAACATTAGTGAAATCGGACACTAATGGTTTGCAATTAAGGTCACACAGTCTGTGATGCGTTTCATCCAGCACTACGATGCTGCGGTATGAGAGCAGGGAAAGAGCCTAGAGATGGTGATGGACAATGTGCTGTCCAGCAGGTACAATAAGGCAGCGGCGCTCCTGGTCCTGAATGCAGCGGAGAGAGACACCTAACCGGGTGTCACCGTCAGCCCTGGATGCTGCGAAAAAGAATGGGGTACGCCGACCCATCGGCGGGTAAAGACATACTCGGCAACAGATCTCTTTGTTTCATATTTATTTGTGCATTTGGACTCGTCACACTATTGCAGCAGATTCTCTATGGGAAAAACTACATTAAGAGGTAAGTGTTGTTTTTCTCTGTTTGGTTAGTTGGCAAAATAAACCAAAGCACAGGCCTGTGACAGACTTACTCTTTGCAAAGGTAATATTAAAAAAAGCATGCCCTCATAGTCGTTTTGTTTGCTTTAAAGTAAGGACTAATATCCACGAGTTCAATTGTTCAGTGTAATCTGTTTTGATACATCATGTTGGGGACGCATGGGGGGTAAGATGAGCTTTAATGGCTGGGAAAGAACAATAGCAATTAACCATCCATCTTCTTCTCCAGTGGCATAGAAACAGTTTCCATTGGATTTGTTTTTTTGATATTTTCTTAGAAAATGCAGCATCACATTCATACCATACACAGCGCTCCAGCTGTGTATGGTAATGTTTTTTCTCTTTCTTTTCCCAAAGACCTTTATTTTTAATTTTCAGCTTTCTTAACTGGTCTTAGCCTACATCTTACAAAGGCATCAAATAAGCAGAATGCAGAATGAGAGCTAGTAGAGCTGATGATGGCGATAATGATGATAACAGAGAGGAACATGCTACAGATGATGTGTATTTCTTACTGGTCCCTGTTAAATAAATCATATCAGCAGACTGCACTAAGTGCACTTAGCCTCTGCAGAGCTGTGTTTTATAAGACCTCTGCTACACGATTTATCTCCCCCATATGGAAGTCTTGAAAATCTTCTTCTTGCACCCGTTCTATCCCATCCCTCTTAACTGTTGGCCCCTTTTTCTTTTTTAATCTGTTACAAATTTCAGTGTGAGACGAGCAGATGCTGAGAAGCCGGGGTGTTTGATCTTTAGGTGGTTTGAATCGCACAAATCCCACTCTAAAAAATGAAGGACCTATCTGAAAACTTAACCTCCACCTTCCAGATATTTGGCACACAGCACATGTATGCTTACCTTTGAGCAAACATGCATGTGCTGCAGTCTGCCCACAGCTGACCCTCTCCCCCTTGAGACCCTGCTGGGCTGGTCTGATTAAAAGCTCAATGTGGATTCATGGCATCATGAACTCTGCACAGAGATGCATGAATTCAAACACTGACACACACCTTTCTCTCGCCTGCGTCCTCACTTTACTCTCATCCTGTAAAGAGAGAGAGAGAGGGAGAGAGTGGAGTGGGGGGGTGGGGGGAAAACAGCAAGCCGCAGGAACAGAGAGCAGTGGGCTCTGCGGCGGCCATTTTGCTACAGTCTGTCTGCACACACGCCTCAGTGCGAGTGGAGAACGAGAGAGAAAAGCGAGAGATGAGGAGAGGCTGGAGAATGACTGTTTGCATGTGAGTGAGAGAGGTGACGTCATTTTGATGTCACCTTAGGCAAAAACAAGCAGGAGTGGTTGTCGACTTGTGTTGCGACCACACCCAGCATCTTCTCAAACACAAACATAAGAATGAGACATGAGGGCAGGAGGCTGATCGGGCTGTCATGTCTTTCAGAGAGAGATGATGTGAGGGGCCAAGGCTAGAGCAGGAGCAGAGGAGGCATTTGGGTGCTTATGACACTAAAGAGGAGACAGTTTCAGCATTTCATCAATCAATGCTTCACGTTTACATCCTTCCTCAACAAGAAAAAGAGCAAAAGACTCCTTTTAAGTGTACAAGGACGGCCGTTTAAGTCAAACTCAGCCACACGTGTTGGTGCAAATATTTGTGGCGACATATTTGTGACATGCACCACGCCTGCTTTAACTCACATTAGGGTGTAAGAGTGTAAAATGGAAACTGAGTCTCTGTTTCAACTCTGTTTGACATGATGAGAGCGATGTCTAAAAATAATCACGGCATGAAAGAGTGGCACCAAAGGCCCCGAGTGGGATCGCTAATAATGGTCCACAAATGAGAAGCTTTCAAAATCGGCTTTTGGCTGCAACTCTTGTTATCGCTTGAAATGTTAGTTTATGTAACATACAGAGCAAAAGCAAACATGAAACCAGCTGAGGTCAGCTGTATTGGTAAAGGACCTTGCATACACTTTGAGCAAAAAATTCAAACAGTAGAAAATGTCTGATTTCCACGTAAAACACATCTTATATTAGGAAACATCAAAAAATGTTGTTTTGTAAGATTTTCTTTAATATATTACGAGAAATTTGGGCTTTAGTTTGGACTTGTTATATCTAAAATGGAGTTGTTTCTGGCCTTTTGAGATAAATGTGGTATTTGGTGAAATATACTGGCAAAATAGTCAGTAAATACACTTTAAACTGTGAGTTTTGTAATCCTTTACATAAAAAAAACAGATAGAACATATGCACAAATTTTAAAAAACAACTGATACAGTAAAATTAAATGAAATAAACATCAGAGGTTACAATAAATAATAACTAATTGAAAAACCAAGACGAATCTGGTATATGCCATGGACTTTTCAGGACTGTTTACTTTTTGATGTGTTCAGCCTTTGGGTCCAAATTCAGGGGAAGTTTTTGTGTTTTTGTACCCAGCTGAACTGTATGTCTATATATAGAGATAAATGCACAAAGAACTTCTCGTTAATAATGTAAAGGCTAAGTCTTTTTATAAGAGAGATTCTGCGTTAAAAGTTCCTGCAGAAAGGAAACGGCTGTGCAGATCACAAACGTTATTGTAAATGACAGAAAATAAAGTACCTGCCCATGTACTTTGGGCTGTTGTGATTACATGAAATACCCCGTGACAGACTAAATGGAGATCTGAGTCGATATGCTGGGCTCAAAGAAAAAAACAAACTCCAATAATCAAATAGTCTGAAAGTCCTTACTGCATCCAAGTCCCATTAAGGATGCTCCAGGGCTGGATCAGAGCTGCAGAGAAACTTTGTGGCTGTTGTTTGTCAAGACTAATGCTGAGATTACTGTCTGAATTTAGCTCTTGATTAACTTTATGGAGATAAATAGGCTCCTTAGATTGAAGACATTGGAGTCAGAATCAGTCCCATGAGATCGATTAGAGTCTTATTGGTTGTTACAGCAGTGTAACGTGCGATTATTGCGAAGACTCCATAAACGGGCATAATTTCAAATGAAAACCTTTGTTTCTGTCATGATGAAAATCGTCTAAATTATTCCTGTTTGATCCGCAGCTGTCTTTTTCACATGTCTAATTTCGGAGGCTGTTCTGTTCAGCAGCCGCTCGCAGAGTGTCATCGAGGTGTTGAAGTAGCACTCAGAGAAGCCAAATGTGCCTGTGGATCAGTATTGACACGAGTCCCCCTGATGATGAATGCTTCAGCACATAATGCACCCAGAAAGAAAGCCTCTTCGGGCTCAGTTTGCCTGCTGAATTCAGCTTAACACCCACAGAGCACTCAGTGAAATGAGTCACCCACGAATACTTGTATGATAATCAGCGATGATAGAAGTTGTGTAACCTGTCATGTTTGGAGATTTGAATCTAAAAAGTCTGTTAACAAATGAAGGATGATGTAACATCTTTTTATAGGTAGAGAGTTCAGTTAAATGCTAATTACTTCTTATTCTCAAGAAATCTCATAAAAAGACCCCAAAACCAACAGATAACAGATCCCAGGTGTATCTAAAGTCTAAAATTTTAGTAGAAATACATACAATAGATATTTTCTGTTATTATAATGATGTTAATTTGTCACCCAAGCACCATTTAAGTTGGCATGGTACTGTGGATGTTAGTCAAAACACATAAACTCAACTGAAAACAGTCCCAACCACTCAAGACAGTTGTTTTGACTCTGTCATCCTAATATCAAAGCCGCACTTTAATGGGTGAGGATATAATGTACAATGATGTATTTGGAGATGAAGCTGCAGAATTGAAACCCCTTCCTAGAGTCAGTGTTTGCTTAACGTACGACTGAGAAAATGTCACAGATCCTTCAGACTCACTCAGACTAAGAGCAGAACAGATTCTTGGGTTAATTCGAAAGAGATAACAAATGGATCCTGACTTATGGTATGCCGGAGGAAGTATTGAGAAGAGTAGACAAGATCTTGCTTCTGTTCTTTCTACGGGAATTTGCCGTAAAAATAGATAGATAGAATTTGATTTGTGCATTGAACCATAAATTCACTGTAAATGACCACCAAACATAAAAAGTAATGCCTCGTATCTCTCTTGAACAAGCTGTTTAATAGAGGACATACTACAACCTCTTGATGTGAGAGCTTTAAAGCACCTGCACCCAAAAGCCTCCTCTCAGTAAAGACAAAATACTTTCTGAATTACTCATGATGATGCAGAAAGCAGCAGATTGTAATGGAACATACATAAAACTGTTGAGATAACCCCTGATGAAATCGAACTAGTGAAATCTTACACTGTACTATTATTATTCAGAGTAGAAACAGTCCTTTTGAGACCTATTATTTGCCTGAAAACAATCACGTAGTTTGCTACTTTATACGATCCAAACTCGGCCAATCTGTTGGCACCTCCCCCTCAAAAGTACTTTGACATCTCAAGCAACATTGGCAATAACCGTCCCTCCTCTAAATCACTGTGACTTTAATACATCGAATTACAAGTCCAACAATCCTGCAAGCCAATTTGCAGTGTGAATGCTTGAATCACACTCTGGGTGGTGGCTTTAGGCCAAAAAGAGCATAAAACCAACCATTCAAACCATGATGACATCAACAGGAAACTCATTCCTACCATTTTTGGTGACATACTTGACTGTTTTTTCTTGAAGCCAGAAAGCTGTATGCACGTGTGGGAATGTGTCAGATTGAGTTTTGATGAGTGGGCACATGCGTCTGGTTGTTTGTGTGTTTGATATCTGCACAATAAGGACAATAAAACCCAAATAAACTGACTCATTTTCTTACTAGTGCACAACAGTTTAGCCGACTCAAAGGGGACGAGACAGGAAATTGGACCGGTCCCGTTAATTTCTCGGATGATGGATCTGTGAAGCCTGCCAGAAATGGAAGGAAAAGGTACCTTTGCTACATAACACCTCTAAAAGAAGAGAGTGTGTGTGAGAGAGAGATAGAATGAAAGACAAAAAATAAGTTTCAAATTCATCATAGTGACATTCCAGCCCTGCATGCGTGGACTGGGCCCCTGGTTTACTCTCCAGTTTCCTCAGAGAACACAATCTGCAATTCTTTTTTTCTCTACTTGTCTTGAGATCTGCAGGGGTTTCTTTTAATAAAGAGGTTATCAAGGGTTGGTAATTTTCACAGGACTGACTACATCACACATTTAAATCTAACTTAACCTGTCTGCATGTTGACAGATGTTTCCGTCAGAATTTTCAGCCAGATTCACAGAGCTCCGTAATAGTCACACCCTGCCTAGCTGATATTAAGAAGAAAAAAAAACGCCCTCAAAGGTAGGCCAGTCTGAAGGCATTTTTTAAAAGTCTTTCTCACAGAAACCCAGGAATGCCTCTTTGTTTTTCATTAGTTTTGAAAGGTACAAACTCTCATAATTTTTAAGTGGTGGTTGCACTTTCAGATTTGCTCTTGCATGTTGTCTGATCCCGTTCACCTCGACCCCCCCCAGACCCCTGACACCTCTACATCCCTTCCCTCCAGAAGCTGGTATAGAAACCACGATCTCCTCCTGATGTACTGGCTTCCTCCTCGTACCTCTGTGTCCCATTCAGCACCCCATTTCCAAATGCCTTGTCCTCCTCAACCTGTGTCTCATGTGTTCTGCACAGCTCTGTGTGTATGCCATGTACATAGTGTGGACACTTTCTCTGTGCTACCCCGTATCTCCCCTTCTCACATCTGCATTGTCTCTGCGACCTGGATTTACCCCCTTACCCCTTTAACTTAACCTTACTACAACAAGACAGGAACGTGCCAGATTTGTTCCCCCTTTAAAGCTAATAATCTCCTTTCAGTCTTTCTCCTGTTGGACTGGTTCTGAACCAGCACTGTACTGTTAACCTAACACCCCTTCTGAGATGATGTCCATCTCAATGAGTGATTTACTGTCTTGCTTTTAGAACTGAACAGAGAACACTTGCAAAGGTTTCATCATCTTAGCTAAAACAAGCATGATTACCCTTGTTTAAAGTGTCAGATTTATAATATAGCCCTCAGAAATACACTGCATCATCAGGTGGATGTAGACAACCAGTTTCATTGTTCCTTATTTGTACGATTTCGTCCCAGCATCTTGTTCCTTTAATGCACCCCCCCATTGTATTGCTTGTTGTGTTCCTTTTTTACCATTATGATTTCTTAACAATCGCCTCATTTACCTTCACAGCCAAAGGTAATATGTTGCAATATCATCCATTCGAACTCCACACTATCTGATGTATCTGACATCTGATGTGATAAAGAATAACGCTCATTCTGCCAAACACGCTCTCTTATAACTGCATTAAATCACCTCATATTTCCCAAAGCATTATACATGTAAATTTGAAACAGATTTCAGAGCTGCTAATGTATCAAAAAGGGGTATATTTTTAGACAGGAATTACTGTGGATACAGTTGATTTTAAGGGAAGGGAAGCGTGCAATATTTATTTACATAACACATTTTATTAAACGCAGCCAAGGACAGATGAGTCTGCCAGTTCTAGGCCATCTGCCCAAGTCTAAAAGGGAAGTTATAGATCTGAGCTAAAAGAGAGAACCCCTCTGGGTGCAAAACTATTGACAATCATACAAAATCATTTGGCTGAAAACTATTTAACAACTGGTTATGGCCTTGTGCTATGAGATAAACAGCGCAGTGAAACAATGTTGTATTTGCATGTAAGATAGGGAAAAAGCTCCACGACCTTCTATGTTACACTAATTAGTCGTCACACTAAATTAAACCATTTAGAATTAAGATTTCAGTCTTAAATATCAACTAAATATCAAAACTTTTATCTGCCTTTTCTTAATGTTTGCTTGAACTTCATGTAGCTCTCCTTTTGCACTTTGATTTGACCTCTTTCAGAGTGAACACTTTCCAAAATGGTTAGTCATAATTCAGAGCAATCAAGTAACACTGTGAGAGAAATACTAATTTTAGCTGATTTAGCATAACACTTATTGTAAAAGGTCCTTACACACTGGGACCGACGCAAAATCCAACGCGAAATTACGAAAACATTCAGAGGCGAATTTCGACGCGCCTGACTATACATATCAAGCCTGATGCGATTTTGCGACTTTTCGGGGGACACAAATCGGGTGGAAGCGAAACTGACACAACAGCAGACTGACTGTTTTTCAGTTCTGATTAGACACTAGTGTTGAGATGTCTGTCTGTCATGATAGCATGTACTGAGTCAGGGCCAGTACCAGATAAGCGCATTAAACTATAATCCATAAATGTAAGGTAACAACCGAGACCTAATGGTGCTGTGACAGCAACGCGGTTGAGTTTGAGACAGTGAAAATACATATGGTATGTTGTATCTGAACAGGTTAGCTTATAAGCTAAAGTTACTTAGCACAGATGAAAGTTAAAACAAAGATGTTTAGCAAACTGTTAAAGCACACAAACTATCCTTCATCTTTGTAATATTTGTGTCTTTTATCAAAAAGCACTCTGTTCTCCGACACGTAAACAATCAGCAGATCGGCCATGTTGGATATACTGGTGATACAGACGTCGCAACAACACGCAATCTGATTGGTCAGAAGTGGACACACAGTATGCGAAACTTTAGAAAAATCGACCGTGATCTGAAAAAATTAATGCCGCAATATCACAGGACAGGAAAACGTCGCTTAGATATCAACTTAAAATCAAAACTTTTATCTGCCTTTTCTTAATGTTTTGCTTGAACTTCACGTAGCTCTTCTCTGGCGCTTTGATTCGACCTCTTTCAGAGTGTCCACTTTCCAAAATGGTTAGTCATAATTCAGAGCAATCAAGTAACACTGTGAGAGAGAGACTAATTTCAGCTGATTAGCATAACACTTACAGTAAGGCACAATTTGGGGTTGTTAAAAAGTATCCCCATGGCTAGAGTTTCTTAGGATGTCAAAGTGATGGCATTCATCCAAAGGTGGCTAACATTGGCTGAAAGCTCATCATAACAGATAAAGTTAAACCAATCCATCCAAAACTTCAAATTCTGATCAGATTAGCACTTTTAATTCTGAGTTTTACCTTTTTTTAGTCAGAGGAGGAATGAGTAATACATCGTTTTGTCTTCGACTGTCCTCTGAAAAGCAGAAGCAAAATTACTGTAATAACGATGTCAATATCTTAACCACCATTGAATCAAAATTAAAAGTTAAGTAACATCTATTTTGTAAAAATATTAAATCCATCCACCCCAGAGAAGTTTCATTATTGAAAGTGCAAGACTTAAGAGAAAATATGTTATATTTCCTCTGCTAACATATATTTAGCAATTTGTTAACATTCGAATTTTCATCCCAAACAGCCCACGCTGCATTCCTGTACATAAACCTCCACACACATTAACCCAGATTGCATGCCGACGCTGATGCTGCATGCAAATACAATGTTGTGCTGCAAGAAAAAAAGGCATCATGGTTAATAATAAGAACCCATAAATAAATGGTAAATTAGCAATGTCTTAATCAATTCAAAATCAAGACTGAATCTTCTAAACCCTTTTCTGCAGAACCTCTCTGTCAGTGAAACTCAGACATTGTTTTTGTTTTCTTTTCGGTTCCTGTTGCCATTGAAATGAAAATGTGTGTAAAAGAAATGCTCTCATACTCCAGTGACAGTTTTTAAACTTTTTAAAGTTTTATTGGTTATTGTCTCCATGTTGTGATTACCCGTTTGCATGAACATTTGTGTACGTGTTAATGCCCATGACAAACTATAAATAAGCTACTGTGTAAAAATGCATGTTTGTGCAGCAGGCTCAACTGACATCCTGTATTAACTTAACTCAGTGAATTATATGAATATTAAAAGCACGCAGTATACAATAGAAGCACTACAGCGAATTTATCACCAAGTTAAAAGCTGGGATCACCAACCTTTTTCCTTCCAGGTGCAGAGTAACTATGCACTTAAGTTACCAGTATTAAAGCGCACACGTTTATATCATTACCAGTTAGATGAATATAAGTATGAGAGGTATTATGTTTTTCAGTTAAAATGTGACTTTGGTTTAGACTAAGATGGAACAGAATCTGGTGCAAGTGTCCAGAAAACAGTCTGTTACTAACCTATTTGTGACGCCTTAAATCAACCCATCACGTCTTGTCATTTGTCATCCCACAATGCTTTACTGATACTTTAGTATTTCACAAGGTAAAACTACACATTTAAGAATAGATATTAAGATAAGATATTTTCCTTCACACACTGCTTTTAAAATATTGTATTTTCACTGTACTTGAGTGTTGTTGATCTCTTTGTATACAGGGGTTTAGGCAGAGGATGACTGTGTCTGTCTCTTCAGGTATCTGGAAAACTATGATGGCTCCTTTGAGTTCAACTCAACAGCATGCAGGGAGTTCAGACAGGAAATCATGGACGTCAAAGTCTTGACAATGTGAGTGTTCATAATGATGAAGCTAACCCTTGTTGTGGACACCTTGTGTGGAATAACATCTTTTTCCCTGAAGGTAATGTTCAAGCACTCACCAGGTGAGTAATATAAGAATCCATCACCTGGTTATGTTGTAAGGTTAAGCTGCAGTTTACAATTACAAAAATAAAAGAAGGATTATGAACTGAGTTTTTTTTAAACCTGTTGTCTAATGAAATTAAAATGGCCCCATCCTAGCTTGTCATCCTAGCTGCTCTGTGATGTTTGCACGTAAATCTTTTCAATGGATTTGATTGCCTTTAAGCCTTGTCATTATTTGTTTCTTTCTATTTTCATGTAACCACTTAGTGCTCAGGGGGCTTAGACTGATCTAATTACAATAAATTGAAGGCAAAAACAGCTTGTCAAAGATGACGTTCATTTCTATAATACCTCGTGTTAAAATGTCAGTTTAGCCGCAGTTCACAATCAATAAAGCATATCCACATATCCCAGTATGTTTACATTCATAGGACTCCTCAACGGGCCAGTGGTGCTGTTGGCAATTTCATGGGCATATTTCTTGTTGTATGAATATGAACATTGTCCACTGACCTTTTTGTGCATGCCCCTCAGGCTGCCAAACTTTAATGTCCACTGATTCTGTCCGCTCGATGGAGAGCCAAGAGCCTCTCTGTCTGAAGCAGAGAGCAGCTGCTGTCACTCTGCCTGACAGTCAATGTAATGGTGCCACCCAGCCTCCCAGAGCAAATCACATCTTTCATTCCAATCATCTCAAAGGAGATGTCAGTTCAAGGACAGCTATTTGCAGACATGCTCGATGAAACCCAGCCTTTGAATTGAACAGTCTAGATCCAGTGGCATCAGTACCCCCATCACAGAGGAGTAATCACTGCAATTGTCTGACCTCTTGTTTGGCTTCTTGAATCATTTTTGTGATGTCTCTTCAATGTACTACCCTTGTAGAAACTTCAAACGGAAAATACATGGCCATGGGTATCCTCCCTTATCCCACAAGTCTCTCTTCCTGTCTGCCAGGGTGAAAACATCAGAGCTGTTTGAGAGATGGCGGAACCTGCAGGTGTGTAGGTGGGAGCAGAACAAGGAGGAAACCAGCAACTTCAAGTGAGCATTACTCAGCCAGAAAAATCAATATCAATGTGTCTGAACACCTTATGGGTCACACAGCAGCTTCATGATGCCCTGTTTTTCTTATGTTAGGTCCTTTATAATGTGTAGCACATCGGTAATGTTACTTCGGGCTTTTACACACGTGGACAAAATTGTTGGTACCCCTCAGTTAAAGAAGGAAAAACCCACAATTCTCACTGAAATCACTTGAAACCTACAAAAGTAACAATAAATAAAAATTTATTGAAAATTAAATAATCAAAATCAGCCATTACGTTTGAAATGTTGATTAACATAATTATTTAAAAAAAAACAAACTAATGAAATAGGGCTGGACAAAAATGATGGTACCTCTATAAAAGATTGAAAACTATTTGACCAGAGTGACATGATTAACTCAGGTGTGTCCTTTAATTGACATCACAGGTGTTTCCAAACTCATAATCAGTCAGTCTGCCTATTTAAAGGGAGACAAGTAGTCACTCTGCTGTTTGGTGAAAAGGTATGTACCACACTGAACATGGACAACAAAAAGCGAAGGAGAGAATTGTCCCAGGACATCCGAAAAAAAAAATTATAGACAAACATCTTAAAGGTGCAGGCTATAAGACCATCTCTAAACAGCTTGAAGTTCCTGTGACAACAGTGGCTCATATTATTCAGAAGTTCAAGACCCACGGGACAGTAGCCAACCTCCCTGGACGTGGCCGCAAGAGGAAAATTGATGACAGATTGAAGAGACAGATCGTTCGAATTGTATCCAAAGAGCCCAGGACAACCTCCAAAGAAATTAAAGGTGAACTCCAAGGCCAAGGTACATCAGTGTCAGATCGCACCATTCGTCGTTGTTTGAGCCAAAGTGGACTTCATGGGAGACGACCAAGGAGGACACCACTGCTGAAAAAAAATCATAAAAAAGCGAGACTGGAATTTGCAAAAATGCATGTTGACAAGCCACAAAGCTTCTGGGAGAATGTCCTTTGGACAGATGAGACCAAACTGGAGCTTTTTGGTAAGGCACATCAACTCTATGTTCATAGACTCAAAAACCAAGCATACGAAGAAAAGAACACTGTCCCTACGGTGAAACATGGAGGAGGCTCAGCAATGTTTTGGGGCTGCTTTGCTGCATCTGGCACAGGGTGTCTTGAATGTGTGCAAGGTAAAATGAAATCTGACGACTATCAAGGCATTCTGGAGAGAAATGTGCTGCCTAGTGTCAGAAAGCTTGGTCTCAGTCGCAGGTCATGGGTCTTCCAACAGGACAACGATCCAAAACACACAGCCAAAAAAACCCAAGAATGGCTGAGAGAAAAGCGTTGGACTATTCTAAAGTGGCCTTCCATGAGCCCAGATCTGAATCCCATTGAACATCTGTGGAAGGAGCTGAAACATGCCATTTGGAGAAGACACCCGTCAAACCTGAGACAACTGGAGCAGTTTGCTCATGAGGAGTGGGCCAAAATACCTGTTGACAGCTGCAGAACGCTCATTGACAAATACAGAAATCGTTTAATTGCAGTGATTGCCTCAAAAGGTTGTGCAACAAAATATTAAGTTATGGGTACCATCATTTTTGTCCAGCCCTATTTCATTAGTTTGTTTTTTTTAAATAATTATGTTAATCAACAATTCAAAAGTAATGGCTGATTTTGATTATTTAATTTTCAATAAATTTTTATTTATCGTTACTTTTGTAGGTTTCAAGTGATTTCAGTGAGAATTGTGGGTTTTTCCTTCTTTAACTGAGGGGTACCAACAATTTTGTCCACGTGTGTAGGTGTGTGCGCTGCTCTGTATGAGAATTTTCGATTGTTGTTTGTTTTGACATTTTTTTTATTCTATCATTGACGCTAGTGTGGGGGCAGATAAATGTTTGCAGCAGTGGAGCAAAGAAATATTTCCTTAGATGTGCACAAAGTGTATCACATCATTTTCCATCATATCTTATTGTTTCGTATCATATTTTATCATATAAAATCTTATCGTATCAAATCTTGTCGTATCAATTATTGTATTGCGTCACAGTGTGCCGTACTGTTTTGTGTCGTTTTGTATTGTTTTATATCCAATCTTATCATAATGTAACATACTGTATCGTATCGCATCACAGCCTATCATATCCTAATGTATTGTATTGTAACATAAAGTATTGTTAAAAGAAAAATATACGAAAAATTTCTTTCAATTACAGACATGACTTCACCACATCTCACAGGGAAAACTGTGTTCATTCAAGTGTATTAGTCGTCCAACGAAATGTACATGCTCAACATTGTTTTCACTTTTTCTCAGCCATTTAAAATAATGATGAAATATGAGAGATTTACGTCTTATTGATGCATTAAAACTCTGACAGGATGTTTTACTGTCTATAAATTCCTTTGAGGGGAGATCAAGAATTGAATGTTGTTGCTAACAAACACAAGTGAAATAACAGCCTACGGTTACATTGTACATTTCTCCGTACACAGATGAGGTTTTTGCAAACATGAGACTGTAGTTATATTAAACTTTGTTGTACATGGACTTGCACATGTTCCTATTTTGTGGTGCCTCCTGGACATTTACATATTTCAATGTAAAAAATATGCAGTTTGTTGACATTCTATATTCTGGTTTGAAAAAAAAAAAACCAGACCAGACAGATTCATCTGTTGAACTGCAAATAGAGGAGGTAAACCCAGTGTCAGGACAACATAGAGGTTAACCTATTATTGGTCTTGGTGGTGAAATGAAGTGTTTACCAAATGAACTAACTCTGTTTTTTTCCTACTAAAGGATGTCCCTGTCTCGCTGCTGTAACGCTCCCTCCTTTTTGTTCACCACCAAGAGAAACACTCCTGCAGGGACCAAGCTGAGGTATGAGGTGGACACAAGTGGTATCCTTCCCATCACCACTGAGGTCTTTAAGATGTTCCCAGATGTGAGTTCAACTCTTTACAAGTATTTGACATCACCCAGTATTGATAGTTTTGTTCTGATCTATTGGTATAATTCAACTATGATGGTGTGAGATCTCATTGATTTGAAATCTTTTTGACGCTGTCAGTTTGAAATTAACAGATTGTGTGTTTGTTTTTCAAATCCAGGATATGCCGTATTCCAAGTCTCAGTATAAGAAATGTGCTGTAATTGGAAATGGCGGCATCATCAAGAACAGCAAATGCGGAAAGGAAATTGACTCTGCTGATTTTGTGTTTAGGTATACGGGGTAAAATCATTCAATGTGTTGTGTCGGGGCTGCATGGTGGTTACTGTTGCTTAAACCTGGTACTGCCAAATTCTGGCTTCTGATTTTTGACAGCTGATTGGCTGGCTGACAGAAATCTGTTCCTAGTATCAAGTCAATGAAGCTGCATGTTTAGTTTTCTCCTTCAGTGGATGAGAAAACACATAAATAATTACGAAAGAATATAGCACCCATAATTTAGTTTAGCATTTGTTCGTTTTAATGCAACACGAGAATGCCATCCTCTAAATGCTCTTATATTGTTGGTTTTGGAAGGCAGGATGAAACTATTACAAATTGTAATCGAGTCAAATTACTGCCTCATGTGTCCTGCTTTAACATCATCACACAGGCACAGCTTGCCATGTTGAAAGTCGCTGAATCATGATTCAACGACTGCTGCTGAGGAGAGGAAGACAGACAGTCAATTATGATAATGTAAACACTTAACTCTGACTCACTGCTATTCTGTCCTCCATCTATTGTGCAGCCCAACACAATGCCTCTCCAGCATGCCTACTAAGTCAAATCAAATGTGATTGAACTGACCTTTTTCTTTTGCAGGTGCAACATACCACCCATTAATGACAAGTACACTGCAGATGTAGGCACAAAAACAGATCTGGTGACTATTAATCCCAGTATTATTACTGAGAGGTACTGTAAATATACTTCTACGTCAAAAAAAATTACATCCCCCCCTTTTCCATGTGTTCTTCTCTTGTGCCTTTTGTAACCTCATGATGCACTTACCGCAGGTTTCAAAAGCTGGAGAAATGGCGGCGACCTTTTTACGAAGTCCTCCAGAACTACGAGAACTCCTCAGTGGTGCTTCCTGCATTCTACAACACCCGCAACACCGATGTATCTTTCAGAGTCAAGTACATGCTGGACGACTTCGACTCCCAGAGAGGCGTGTTCTTCTTCCACCCGCAGTACCTCCTCAATGTGCAGCGGTTCTGGGCGGTGCAGGGTGTCCGGGCCAAACGCCTCAGCAGCGGTCTGATGCTGGTGACAGCTGCCATGGAGATGTGCGAGGAAGTCCATCTCTACGGCTTCTGGGCATTCCCAATGAACCCCTCTGGCATCTTTATCACTCACCATTACTATGATAATGTCAAGCCAAGACCGGGCTTCCATGCGATGCCGCATGAAATATTCAATTTTATTCACATGCATACCCGAGGGATCATTAATTTACACACAGGGCAGTGCACATGATCCCCTAAATCAAATCTTTGAAAGTGGAAACTCAATATTCAACACTTTAAGTTGTTTTAAATCTTGTTTACCCATTGAATTGTATCGGTTGTCAGCCAATAATAGTTTTTTATCCCATTGTATTCAAAAAGATAGTCTGCTTTATGTACACATCCTTTCTTACTATTTCACTGACACATTGAAGGTTGCCTGCTGTAAAGCCAACATAAAAGTACCTTTTAGTTTTGAACTTTTTTGGTTTAGCCAATCAAAACCTGGTGGTTCTCTCAGACTCTCTTACCACGGGATGCTTGTTTTTAATGTGAAAAGTGGTCTTCATAGTGATGTCGTTTCTGTGAAGTTTTCTAGTGGCTCTGCTGTACAGAGGTGTTGTTTTCTACTCAACGTTGCACAGATATTTACGCTGAAATGGGCCGCACTGGGTGTCTTTGTGCCCCCTCATTTCCTTTCTCTTCTCTCTTTATCTCGGACACTCTGTGGGTGTTGCAGCTTTTAATGTTTGTGTTATACAAAACCTAAGCTAATGAAATTAAGCTAGTATTGAAAAAAAAAAAAGAATAACTTCTAACATTGTCTACTTTTGTAATCTATTTCTTATTCACCAGAGTCGCTGGGTGAATATTTTAGAGTACTACAAAATTGGCCTGTTTTCAGTGGCCCTCTCCTTGTCCTATTTCAAAAATTTCTTCCAATGTTTCCAGCGAAGAAATTGTGTGCAAGACAAGTTTGAGACAAAGGACACTGACTACAGCCAGAAAAATATTTTACAATTTCCCCATTTCAGCAAACCTTTGCTATTCAAGGCCATCCAATTTGTAAAAACAACATACAGCAATGTTTAGCGACCCAGCCTCTCTTTGTCATTCATGTCTTAAACCATGCTGCCTTATACGATAACACCCCCTCTTTATGATATGCAATGCACCTTTGTGTTTTTGCGAATCCACAATACATGAATATAAGTATAAATCTTAACTTGTCTCTTGAATTGGAGGACATTTAAGACTCTGTAAGGTATAGAAATTCTTGTGCATTTCTCAGACTGTAATCTATTGGAATTAGTGAAGTCTTACCGTAAAGTCCATTCATAATCATGTAATGCTCTGCATGACTTTACTCTATACTTGGCTTTGTGTGTGCCTGCTTCAATGATCACTGAAATATGTTTACACTTAAGCCTCCACTGGAGTTCACAGTGCTTTTGAAGATACATACGTAGACTTTTTCCACAGATGATGAGCGGATTAAGGTAAATTTTATAGAAGTGGATGCATGATTAAGGACGCAAGAATGAAGAATGGCTGCTGCCCTCTTTGTGAAATGTTAGGACACTTGTAGGACTACTATATTGGTTCACTTTCCCCTTAAAACTGGAATTTCTGTTATTGTTCAAGCATTGGCTAGCTGTGCTTTTTTACTTTTCTTTTGTTGCACACTGCAAAAGAGACTGTAAACTATTATTTTTTTGGCTTCATTTGAGTTCTTAGCTGTGCAGCTGTCCATTATTACTAAATGTTTGAAGGACATCATTGCTCATTAGATTTAAGAATGCTTTTTCATTTGTCTGCTCAGATTTTTTGTGTGCTATTGCACAAGAAACAAAAAAATTTAATACCAAATACATTTTGGCTTGACCACTAAATAGTAGACGCAACTGACTCAAGAATGGAAAAGGAAAGAAACTGGCCTGTGTACCGGAGGGTGTCGATATATAGTATAACACAGTGCTTCTTAATTAACTGACTCTTGATCATTCTTTCTACTGTATTGTGTTTGTAAATAAACTTGTTTGGATTTTCTTACCTATTGCCTTTTTATGTTTCCATGAGTGAGATTGCCCAGAAACACCCTGTAGTACACTGTGAAAGCATTTCCATACAGTAAATAATTCATTTGCTACCAAAGGAAAATACAGTATACTGCCTGATTACCGGTTTTGTGCTGACCACCGCTTACAAGAAGCCACAGAGGACACACGATACTAATTAAGCTGTCTTATTTTAGACCAGTTAACCCGGAGTCCGTCCCCTGCAATTAACTCATTAAGCACAGCTACCGTCAACAGCTCAATTATTGAGCAGCTCCTGGTGTCGGTGTCCTCTCACTGACTGACTCACTGCATTTTGAGGCTGGTAATATGGCAGATTGTATCAAAGCAGTCCACAATGTGTGAATTTTACTATGTGGTCAAACAAAAGTACTCAGTCCTGCCAGAAATTAACATTATTAAATTGATTGTGCATTTTAAAAATTAAAGAGTCATTCCAAAATAAATTAATAACAAGCTTTAGCTAATTTAGCTGTAACAGTTAGCTGAAGGTAAAAATTCTCAATAATTAAAACTTGAGGTAGGAAAAAAGTGAAATTTTTCCATTTTTGTTATGCATTTTCTTTTAATATTAAGCAAATTATTTAGGATAAAAAAGTGTTAACTGACCTATGAGTTACATGTAGAGGATAAATGATTAAAACAGGTGACAGTAGCCAAAATTAATGAATATATATTTCATAGACAACTTATAGGAGAAGAGATGGATATGTGTGAGTCAGCTAATGATGACATATAAGGAGAAAAAATGGTTTATGTGAGTTAGCTAACAGCACTGACGGACATTTAAAACACTTAGTTAAAGACGAGTACTGACAGTGGAAGACCAGTTACCAACTGTTGAGTGGAAAAAACAGACAAGGTAAGCCTTAAAACTGAGAAAGACTTGTTAAAACTAATTGCTAAGTTATTAAGAAAAGTGTAGACGAAGATGGCTTAAAGTTTGCTAAGTTAGCCTGGATGCTAACTAGGCTGACGTTGAAGAACGGTTGGTTCAAACTCGAGGTCTACCATTGCTTGGCTAAAATATGTGGATAAACAAAAGACAAAGATAAGTTAAGGATAATTTTATGGTTATACAGTCTGTCTTGAAGCAGATTAATGTAGAAAAAAAGGCAGCTAAAATTGATATGTTGTTCAAAGGCTAGCTTAAGGTAGCTAGTGGATAAATGCATCAGAAACGTCCACCAAAAATCACAGATTAATCACTGGAGAAATAAATTCAAATATCACTAAAGAAGTAAGCAAATACACATGCAAGTTTTTTTTTTATTTGAGTGTTGAATATTGATTATATATATTTCTTTTAGAACAGACAATAAAGTAATTGATAAAGGAATACTGTGGCGTCAGCTGTTTCATGCCAGAAAATTGGATCCTCTTTGCAAAGGGTTACATGAGGTTTGACTCTCTGCTGTCATCTGTGAGCTGGGTAATCTGATGTTGAAAGATCAATATGACCAAACTCTGCCCTTCCCCTTGATATCAACATCAGGTGTCAGGTGGCATCAATAAGGCTAATGGGATGATCTGGCATATAGTCAGGTGAAGATATGTGCTCCAGTGTGATTGAACTGCACCATGAATCCGCCTGAAGGAATCGAGGTTTTTATGAAATTGGCTATGTTTTTTTTTTCATGTGTGCTATGCTTAATAGTCAAATCAAAAGTAATAATTGAATTTGACATTTTTCTGAGTGTGTTTTAACATTTAACTCCACCTTAAGCAATAAAGACACAATGGCTTAAAGTTTAATTGAAAGACAACTTGATCACTTTTGCATTTGGGTGGATAAATTAGAATACATCTGAGTTAGAGATAGCAATCTTTTTACATACAACATACAGGTATTAAAAGAACATATGAAAATCTAAAACAAAATGAAGCAGCTGGTAAAGTGGGAAGTGTATACAATATATGGCAGAAAATTGAAGAAATGAAAGTGTAAAACGGCAGTATAGTCAAGATATTACACATTATTGCACAGTAGGATTAGTGAATGAATAATAAATTGTTAATCGAATGTAGTAAAATTAGGACAGCATTAGAAGACATATCCTGCCAACTGTTTCTCAAGCACATCAGCCTGGTATCTCAGTGAGAGTATAAATTGTAGATGAGTCAATATAATCCTTGTCTAACTTTTAGCTGGATTGTAACTCAGAATGTTTTCTATATGTTTGAGTCCTCTAAAAAGTGATAAACCGTTGTGAGATGGACACTCACCCATCCCTGGTAACTCTATGATGGCAGTCCACGTGCTGCCATTTAACAGCTTCTCTCACTAAATGTGACATACATTGCCACACTTGGGTTATCGCAAAACAAACAGAGAGGAAATGTAAGGGAGAGTTTGTGTATGTGGGTGTTTATGTGGTTCTGTGTGTGTGTGTGTGTGTGTGTGTGTGTGTGTGTGTGTGTGTGTGTGTGTGTGTGTGTGTGTGTGTGTGTGTGTGGCTGCAGGTAAAAGCGTAAAAGCGCGACACCCCCGGCCCGTAAAGCGATCCTGACACCATGAATAATGGAGAGTGCCGTGGCAGAGGGGATAAGTTCTCTGTGCAAGGCTCCTTTTTCACAGGGCTTTCTCCTGTGGGTCACGTGAGTGCTGAGATGACAGTAATTTTTCATGAGTTGTGTGTGTTGTTTGGTCGTATGGTCATATATATATATATTGCCCAGGGTGGAGACATCCAGACAGCCATCCGCCATCACTACCTCTGCATGTCCTGAATCCGTTTACCTGCAGCTCCACACGCCCCAGACAGCTCTGCACCTCAACATCCCTGAACCTCTGTGAAGGCAAGGGTCAAATGAATTGTCTTACACTATTAGAAACTCAAGGCAGCACTTACGAAACTAAAGGCCAGGGAAGTGGATGAATTAAAGATGCCGTCGAAACAGAAAAAATCCACAGCTTCAGAAGAAACCGAAGAAGTTGATGACGAGGTAGAGGAAACGGAGCCAAAGTTAAAGGAGAGGAGCAAAGGTGTGACCCATGGGGACAGCTCAAAAGGGGAAAAGAGTCATAAGAAACACAAGAGCGCCGAGGGCTCAGACAATCAGGCGGCTTCAGAGAAAGAGAAGAAGAAAAAAGAGAGTGAAAAAGATAAAGAGAAAAAGAAGAAAAAGAAGAAGGACGAGGATGCTGCAGCTGGTGCTGTGATTGAAAATGAGGCTGAGGAGGACGAGCAGAACAATAATGACCCCGAGACCAATTCCAAGAAGGAGAACTCAGAGAAACTCAAAGAGGAAGTGACTGAAGGGGCAAAGGAGGAAAAGAAGAAAAAGAAGAAAAAATCCTCCACAGAAAACCCAAAGGGAGAGGAGGAGATGGGGTCCAAGGACAAGAAGTCAAAAGATGGTAAGAAGAAGAAGAAGTCTCACAATGATGATGACGAGGAGCCTTTGATTGAGGAGCAGGAAGAGGAGGAAGACTCAAAGAAGAAGAAGAAGAAGAAGGCCAAGAAGGGCTCAGCGGACAGTGATGACGATAAAAAGAAAAAGGGGAAAAAATCCAAAAATAAGCAGGTGGACTATGCTGTGATCTACCAGAATGAGCTGCTGGGATATCACACCGACTCCTCTGATGGATATGAGGATGAGTACTTCAAAAAGAAGGGTAAGGTCTTAACGCTGTGTTGAAATTTAGGTACGTGTTTGTCAGTTACGGGAAATATGTCTGCTGTTTCCAACCTGCTCCAATCTTAAATTGAGATTTCCTCCAGTACCCTTCATCCATGAGCATGAGCTATCAGGGGAGAGCCCACTGTGATTGTTCCTGGTGAAAGCTCGGTTATGTTCTACATGAATGGAGCTAAACAGAAGCTCCAGGGCAGACAGGTGCTGGGTGCCGGCCCAGACTCAGGGGACAGTGAGAACCATCAGGGGCAGTTGTAAGGCCAGGAGCCAGGGATTTAAACCAAAGAGAAGTAGACCTGTAGGCTCAAGATGAGAGGGTGGAGACCTCAGGGTGATCCATTAGTGACGCAGTAAAAAACACTAAATGGACAATTAAAATTAAATTCTGTGTACTGCTGCTACTTAAAGCCACTGACTCACTACATCATACGCCCAAACTAATTTTACCTGAGCCTAACCGAGAGCCTTTGGCGCATTAACATACAACCATGATTGTTTCATCTGCCTAACGGTGAGAGACAGAGAGGAAGATAGGAATAGAAAGATTAATGAGAGTCCTTGCATGAGAGGCGTAATGTTTTCAATAACTTAAACTAAGGCTGGTTGGTTTATAACTGGGAACGACTTGGACTTAAGCGCTTGAGAGTTTCACAAGTTTTAGAGGCTCTGTCCCCAAGAGCAAACAGCTGGAGCCACAGCATCATTTTCACAACACTGGTCAGTGAAGCATCCAAGACTTTTACGACGATTACAGTTTTCGCATTTGGTGGTGTATGAACAAACTGATGAATGTGCAGACATTTTTCTCAATCTGCTTTTCTCAATCTTTATCCTTGGATATTCTTAACTCATTACTGGTTGTGGATTGCTTGATTGCATGATATAGATGTCATCAACCCTGCCTACTACTCTCTGCTCTGAGCGAATTTTCCCAATGTTTCTTGTTGTGTTCTCACATTGGCTCACCTGACTTTACACAGGTAATTAGCTGGCAGGAAAGCAGTCTGGGCAAAGCCGGGGTGAAACTTTGTGTTCACACATGCTGCTCAGCTTGAAAATCTGGGGAAGTTTGGAAGAATCTGGAAGAGTCTATGCATGTGTGAATATAACTGGCTGAGAACCTCCACTGACAAGTCACTGTGCGGTTAGTGTAGGCACTAGAACTTTGATTTGGACTTCAATAACGCTTGACACCTCAACATGAAACATCAGCGACATTCAAGCAAGAATAACAAGGTTAGGTATAAGCAATTGCTTATGCTTCATAGTAGCAGTCATATATACTGTACCTATAGACATATTTGATTATGGTAATTATTTAAGAATACGCACCATTACTTGTTATTCTGAATGTTCATACATGTGAGCTGCATTTAGTCCTATTCATTGCCAAGTGTTGGATTATGTTTGACAGCTCAACATTACCTGAAACAGATCTGACTACTTTTATACAAGCCAGAGTTACTCAAACAAAGTGTATCACAAAGGAAAAGAAAAAAAAATCCTTTTGGAGGTCAACATCCAACCCCATTCCCAGTGTTGCCTCGAGTTCCTGTGAGAAAAGTTTTTTTTTGATCAAACATACTGAGTAAAAACAAGCCTAAATAGTATGTAAAAGCAATCTCCAACAGACTAGATCCTTATAAAAGCACTCTTTGAAGTATTAAAAGGGGTTTTGGATGAGAAAATTGCACATAAATGCATAAATATCTGAACTTAAAAGCTTTTCTATCCACTACCCCCATTATGTTGACAGGGAGAGCTGAAAATGTGATATTTCACTGTATCTGCTGGCAATTTTACTGCCTGATAATTGCCACAATAAAGTAAATGATCAAAGTTAATGTGCTTTTAGCTCCTGATCTTTGACTTGATTATGAAAGGAGTAGCGAGAATCATTATGTAGCATCAGTGGCAGTGATGTCTCTGTGTACATGCGTCTTTCTTACCACACAGACTCTCTTAGTTCTCCAACACTCCGGGGAGATTATCAAGGCTCAGTTTTACAGGCCACTGTCTATCTGATTTTATCAGGAGTCTCTCTTTCTCTTTAATCTGGTTCTAATAGCTCTGCTTACTGTTAATTAGGTATCCGTGTCCCTGCTGGATCGACTTTGGTCAAATTGCTCTTTATCAGGTCTTTGCTTCCTTCCTCTGCTGAATGTTTGTAGGTTATCTGTCAGTCTTCTTTAACAAGTCCTTAAATGACTTTATCTTGTACTCTGACTCTCTCACTCTGCATTAGTTAAAAGTTTTTCTATACTTATTAAATGCCTCAGTCTAGCTTATCACTCCATAATAATCAACCAGCATGCTACACCCTAAAGAGAGACCTATCAACCTGAATCAACTCCAAATTAGAGAGGACATCCTTTTGTCCTTCTGTTGTTTCTCTCTAAAGAAAAAAGTCACAGAATGCCCCATGGTCCCCAGTTAACCTTACATAACCACAGGAGAGAGGAGTTTACATTTACATGCCATGATGTGGCGGGACTAGGTAGAATTACCTCTGCATATATCAAACTGTTGGGTCTCAGGCAGCAGCCAATTACAAACTAATCTAAAGCTCAACATCTAATCCCGCCACCGTGACTCAAACACGGTGACGTTCCACAAGTTCGACTCTTTAAATCCTCCCCTAAAAAATTCAGAATCTTAGTTTGAGTTGGGTTTCTTGTAAGTTAAATTTTGATGAGTCATTACTCATGTGTTGGATTTAGGAAAGATTGGCTCACCCTATGAGTAGATGGGATTGGATTGCATGTCAATGTTAATTAAAGCGGTTAGTAAAGTTTGTCATGGCGATCATAGGAGCTTGATCCATATTTTGGTCTAGCTGCCTTTACAGACCAGCAGACTCTGCAGTGAGTTACCCAAGAAGTCTGCAGGAGTCGATTCCCGCAACTGAGGCTCCTGTGTGCTTTGAAATAAGCAGCTGCATTTAAATTGTTAAAAAACACAAATCTTGATCTTTTAATCAGATACTTGTTGAGATTTAAGCACTTTGTTTGGTTTAACAAACTATCACTGTCAGTGTTCAGATTGTAAGCCAATAGTGACAGTTGGTTCAACACACGGCAGTGTTTTGGCTCATTCGTATAGTTTTGATCATGTGGTCACAGTGAGCAGGTATGTAGTAGGTCACCTGCATAGAGGCAGGGACAAAGTATTGATTTAAGCTACCTGCTACCTTTGTGCTGACAGGGAAGGTGAGCTGGGTTGCTGTGCTTTTTGTTGACTGCCATTTTACATGATCACTTTTCATTGTACTTGGGGGGATTTCTGATACTGTTTCTTTTTTAATTCCATTACATTTTTATGAGACATTACAGTCTAAAGGAATAAAACACCCAACAAACAATTCCATCCTGCTAGTATGACCAAAATGTAAACAGTAACTTCGCCATGTCCACTCTTCTCTGTCCCTTCCTTGCACAAACACCTTAAATGACATAGACTGCTCGGTTTTCATCCTGTTTACCCTCCCGTCGACTCAGTGGCTTGGTCAGACGAGGAGACACATTTGTGAAACGTGATAGATGCTTGGCTGCTGTGTCACACCAGACATGGATTGACTGCAGGTTCGCCGCATTGAGTTCCCTGGCAAACATGCATGGAAGGAAATACAATGCTCTCTGATGTTTATAGATTATTGGATGCTGTCTGAGGATGTGACTTTCTGTTTGCCTTTTTATTCAGTGCTTTGCATTTAAAGATGAGACTTTCCTTGACCCCAAGCTTTTTTATTTCTTATAAGCCAAGCCACTTTGCTAAAATAGCTCATGTAAAAACAGGCATTGATCCAAAGTGCTTGATGGTCGATGCAGGCAGTTAAGAATCTGACAATGTTCAGCAAAATTCAAAGGAGTTGCATCATGTCCAGCAGGAATATGAGGAATCATCAGAAAATAGAAGGGAAAGAAAATATGCAAGTTTTTGAATTTTCTTAAAATTTTACAAGCAACACATGTTTGGCTTGGTTGTTGGATCCAGTGCACCAAAAGTATTAGATTGCTCTGTGTTGTTCGTCATCCCCTATCTATACTGCTTTTTGACCCTATCCACAAGATGATTTTAAAAAGTGATAATAGTGGAACAGGATAGCCAATCAAATGTATTCATTAATACATCATTAATGTATTCAAATTTTTGAGATCAGAGTAGCACTGATAACAATAATAATAATAATAAAAAACTTTATGTTTATGAACATCAGAACAAAGACAGGGAAAAAAGAGGCCCTACAATTGGACCCTGGGGGATGCCACATTCAATTCAAGCATTGTCCAGTGATTATTGAGAAGGTTTTTTTTCTTTTGACCTGGTCCTTTTTAAACACAAACAAGCTCTTTGTGTCACTTGTGAAAGGTTTTTATGACATTGTACGGATAATTTTGAGAAACTTCTTCTTCCTCCGTCTCTTTGTAACTTCTAGTCTCCTCTCTGTTTCAGTGTATGAGGTGGTTGCTGTCACTGGTGACGTGAAGGGAGCTGGGACAGATGCCAATATCTTTGTCACCCTTTTTGGAGAATTCGGCATCACGCCAAAGGTTCACCTGGCGAGCAAGTAAGGAGGTTTGAATTGTTTATGTTGATATCATTGAACTGTTATTTGATAGTAATGCTGCCACCAAGTCAGGTCTTAAAATAACTCATTTCACTGTGATTTCATAAGACTTGTATTTTCTTTTAATTTATTTTAGCTTGGCTAGTTTACAGCCTTGAATATCAGCTGTTAACTTTTGATCTTCTTTATTCCTTTCTGATCCTTCAGCACAGCAAAGAGGTATTTTCCAACCAGAATGCTAAAGGATGGAAACAGTTCTGTCCTTGTGTTGGATTGAATTTTGCACATTACACTGTATGAAAGAACATTCCTGCTCTACATTGAACTGAATCACAAAGAGCCTGACTGTTAAAACCATCTCCATAACTCAAAAATAGCTCGATGAGAGAGCGAGATGGGAGATGGTGATAACAACAGTTTGATTGTGGTGCAGGAATCTCTCATCTATACAGTCGCATCCAGTGTCGGACACAGAATATCTGGAGTAAGGAGGAACTATGTGGCATGGCTGGTCTTCTTTTCCATTCATGGCTGAATGAAAGAAGACTGTCATGTCATTTCTGAGGATGATCGAATGACTCTCAGGGGATCTTATCAGCAGCAGGCTACCTTTATCTCCTCACACATTGATTGACTGATAGGGTTACCTCTGCAGTGTATAGGGTAGACTGTCTTATTGTCAGCCTCACTGGACCGTGTCACACACACCTTGTGGTGGTCTCGTTCATCCACTTCAGTAAACATCAACATGCCCATGTATTCTGTGTGCCTTTGCTGTGTGGCTGTAATGCTGCTCAGCCGAGGAAACACTATACATGGATGTTGATGACCTACCTTTGCATAGAATAAATATTCTGCGTAGCAAAGAGTTTCACCTTACTCCGATATAAATTAGGTCCTGCCTGTATTGTGTAGTCATCGAAGAACATTTTGCCACATGATACAGGTAAGGAGGAGCTGCTATGTCTGTTAAAGCAGATGCAAAATGCAACTCTTTGGTAATTTATTGCAATCACTCCAAATTCAAATTGCCTAAATAGCAAAGTTTGCATTGGGCTTGCTTTTTCACAACATCAGTTCCTCCCTCATCCTTGTCTTGCAGGAGATTTTAGAAGAAGTAAACAGAGAATAAAGGGAATGCATTCATCAGTGTAAGGCAGAATTTCATTTTGGGCTTTTATTTTCACAGCATATGACACTGTGCACCTTAATTATAAGAGCTACGGCATTGTCTTTGGGTGCACTATTGTCTGGCGAGAAGAACAGATGGAGATGTGGGTCAAAGACAAAGGCAGGCATTCTCTGTTAATGAAAAAGATGGTGTCTGATTCGCTGTGGTTGGCAGAGAACCTACTGTGTGCACACAGGCGCCTGGTTCGTCTCTGTGAGGGGTAGAAGTACATGAGAGGAGGAGGAGGAGGAGGATGCATCAAAATGGCTGAGCTTTAGAAGGTTTCAGATTATATCACCACCATAAGACCACTCGGGCACCCTAAGCCGGATTAAGTCAGGAGATATAATTCATTGTTCCAGATCTCAGTACAGTTAGCTGTCTTTTCTATAACTCCATAATCTATGTTGATCAGAAGAAACATATTTCTTTTCATCTGTCTTTCTTCCTTCTCTCGCTCTCTCTTTCTTTCACCCTCTGACCAACACACAAAATAAATCTTTCTCTCAAATTTTGACATCTTTTTGTTTCCTCAATTACAGGAGCCGAACTGCATTTGAGAAGAATAAGACTGATGTTTTTCGCATCAAAACACACAATGTGGGGCCTTTGAAGAAGCTAAGGTACTGCACAGCATATATAATGCTTTCATATGAATATAAATCACATAATAGCTCTTTGATGTTTGTATGCCTGCAGCAGACACCGAAAAAATGCACAACTTGCGGTCGCTGAAATCATCCCAGCTCTGTTGAGCAAACCTAACACAGGATAACAGCAGCTTACAGCGAGGATCACACTGAAACATTTCTCACTTATTTTCCAGCTGTGCTGCTGGCCATCAAAGGATTTCATTCAGTTACACAAGGTTAAGCCCCATCTGTTGTTGTGTGTCAGAGTCTCACTCCAAAGGAGGCTGAGTGACATCAAAGCTGCCAGGACATGAATAGTGAAATGCGGCAGATGGATCTATTTAAAAGTCAATGAGAGCAAAAGGTGGAGGTGCTGCATTATAGCTCAGGAAAGGAACAACAGGTTGCCTTTGCCCTTATCATGTTGGCCAGTCTGCAAGATTTTTCAGCCTTTTTAACTTCATAGTGTTCTCAGTTTTTATACAGAGGGACATATTTGGCTCAGAGCTTTGAGAACTATTGACCTCCACATGGTTTTTAGGGCCAAAAACACAAAAGCAAACAACTGTAATCAGTGCTGTTGAACTCGGGTCCTTGTTTAGCTAACAGCAGTGTTGGCAGCCAAAGTGACTTCAGCTGTTTGGTTGGTTGAAATAGTTTAATAGAGGGTGAATTTCAGTTATTTTTTAGTTTATTAGACATCTGCAGTGTTCCCACAGCAGATTCAAATGATGTGTCTCCTCATTGAGACAGACGCAGTGCGCATTTACATACAACACACAGTGTTGTGCTCAGACTAGGACTCTGATGGTTCTTACTCAACTTAGACTCTGACTCAAATTGGATTCTTGGGGATTTATGCCCAACTTGGACTTAAACACTGAGGGCATGAGACTTGATTTAGACTGGAGATTAAGTGACTGGATTCTCACACTGACTGCATCTGATACAGTTAATATTTCATCCCCTAATTTTTAGCAACGATTTACTTAGAATGAACATAAAGTGGTCGTCTTATTTCTCAGATGTTTCTTTTGGCAACTGATGTTTAACAGATATTTTCATTTGTTTATTTTGACAAGATTGACCATTTTCAAACTTTCTCAGAAAACAAAATTTGTGATTCCTTTTTATTATGTGGCCTGTTGGACCTGTTTGCACAAATAGTTCATTTTGAAGTTGTATCATCCAGAAATCTAACAAAAAAAGCTCTGTCTGTGAACCCCCTGTCACACTTTGAGGTTTGCCTCCACAGGATTGAGCACGACAACACAGGGATGAGCGCCAGCTGGTTCTTGGACAGGGTTGTTGTGACCGACATGAACCGGCCACATCTGCGCTTCTATTTCCCCTGCAACAACTGGTTGAGTCGAGAGGAGGCCGACAACCTGTTTGTCAGGGACCTGCTGGGCAGTATGAACCCCATGGATGTGCAGAAATGTAGGTCACAGAGAAAGAAAACTAATAACACAGAGCAGACACAAGGGTTTATAAAAGTTAAACACAAAACAGTTTAACCTCAAAAAATCTTTTGGAAACAAGCGACAGGTTTTCACACAGATGAAGTAAGAAGAAACTTTTCTTCGAAACCTGACAATGTTATCGTCTTGTGTCTGGCCACTTGTACACAAGGTGTCTGATGGCTGACTGTGTCAGGTTGTAATTGAATTGTATCACTGTGTAATCCTCTGCTGAACCAGCCCGCGCGTTGCAACGTGATCTGACATCTCAGAACCAGCAGTCAATCAAGCAGAGCAATGTGACGCCAAAGTTTAGATAAACACATGCAGACACCAGGCTGTGATGAAGCAGGGGGCGCTGCCAGGGATTCTGGGCCACATGACAATCACCCCACCATTTCACCATCGCAGTTCTTCTAATGTTTCCTTCAGCCCCGTCATTCCGTGGGCCTAAGTATCATTCTGACTTTTCTACCTTTACACACAACATGTGCATACCAGAGTTTCATATACATGGACTTATCTTGGGCAGGTTTCCCAGGAATGTACCCATTTTTACCTTCATTTTTTAAGAACATACGGTATTCACCATCTTGGTTCAATGATACTGAACAGTCTGTCCTTGCTCACCTTTCTCATGTGTGCTGTGAGTAGACTGACAGATGCTCTGCAGGTGATCAGAAAGGGAAAGAAAAAGAGAGTGTCCGTCTTTTAGTAAATGCAATGATGTGATGTAATCTCCCACATTAGAGTGACACATGATACCTTAGACTGCTCTGACTTGACACGTGTCAATCTCTAAATCCCCTAGTTAACGTTTCCTCCCTGTTTGGAAGTCTGTTTAAGTCCCCTTTTCTCTGCATGTGCCTGTTTTGTGCTCATACTTTGAGACCCATCTCCACCTCAGTATCCACATGCAGGCTCTAGCTCAGATGTTCTCTTAAGTAAAAGCAGAAAATGGTTCTGGAAAATACTCAAAATTCACATTTTCCTCACTCTTAGCCTTACTTGTGTAATGATGTTAATGCTCATTCACTGCAGCCTTCAATAACATTTTCACATCCATCTTTTACAGTTAATAAATACATAGTGAGTGTGTTCACTGCTGATATGAAGGGGAGCGGAACCGATGCAGATGTTTTCCTCAACATCTTTGGAGAAAACGGTGACACAGGTAGGGCAGTAGAAAGGTTATTTTTTTCATTACCTGTTGTTTCTTAAGATAATATTTAAATCCTAATTAATAAAACTCTGGGAAATTTGTTAAATGTAGGAAATTATGGTTTGTTTTTGAATGATAGACCAAAACATTAAAAGAAATGCTTACAGCCTAGAAAATTGTGACTGTCATTGGCTACTGGTATGTCTGCAGAGAAGACTTCTTTCTAATTTAAATGAGTTTGATTCTTCCTCTAAAAACCTTTATGTCTTATGAAAGGAGAGAGACGACTGGACAGTGACAAAGACAACTTTGAACGAGGCTCTGAGGACAAGTTTACAATAGAGGCTCCAAACCTGGGCAGGCTGAGGAAGATCACCATCGGCCACAACAACAGAGGCTCGTCAGCAGGATGGTTTCTAGATAAGGCACGTGAAATCTACTTCTGTCTGCATGATCAGCACACATGAACAAAATCCCTGACCTTGATGCCTGAAACTGTGTTTCTCCAGGTGGTAATCGATGACATGGGGAATAAAGAAGTGTACGAGTTCCCCGTTAATCGCTGGTTTGCGATGGATGAAGCTGATGGTAAAATTCAGAGGGATGTGTTGGTCGGATCCCTGCAGCCAATGGGTGAGAGTCGAAAACACCACTAATTCCCATCAGGTCTGTCTGTATCCAAACTGCCTTTGGCTACATTTTCTGAAACTGTCTCAGCTCCAGGCCTAAAAACTTGGTGTCAGGTTGACAGGATATTTCACCAGCCGTTCCCCTGGTTTGTTTGTGGAGAGTGTAGGCGAAATTGTCACTTCTGAGTCAAATGATTTTAAAGCCTTACAAAAAGTGAAGATTAGCAGCTGAAGATAATGATATTTGAATAAAAAATGCAAATCCAAGGAAAAAGAAAACAACATGATGTCAAGAAGTAGACAAGTGAGGACTCTTTTCAATAAGACCAATCATGCCTTTCAGCTTCTTTACTAAAGCTCCTTTGTGCTTGTGCCAATTTAAGCACCCCTGAGGACAAAAAGATACCTTTATCTTTGGCTGATTAGTCATGCAGCTTCCTTGTACAAGTTGTGCTTTGTGACAAGAGAAAAACTCTTCCTGCTGTTGTTCGCCATGTTGCAAAATAGAACAGAATGTGGAAACTCTAGTTTCACATATATACCTAATTTTACATGTATAGCTTTACTATATAATTATACATTTTTTGGGTCTACACCCACACTTTAGAATGTAGGACTTGAAGAGCTTTTTGTTAATGATTTTGTTTGCTTTTGTGGGTCATAAAGGGGCATCACTGTTTTGTAACCAGTTAAAATCTCTGTGCAGAACCTTTAAAGTGGAACCTGGCAAGCTAATAACTAGCATAGTGTAGTGGACAACACAAACTGCTGATAGAGTTAAGAATAAAGCGTATTGATGTCTGTGGTCTCTGGGCAGGAAGGTCCAAAAACATACCGTACAAATAGATTTCCACAAGTTTACTTTTGCTTTGTGTTTATCCACACCATAGAAATAGAGCATCTATCTCACAGTTATTTAGGTTGTCCCCTTTATTAGTTATGCTAGATGAGGATCCAGGCAAATTCAGTGTTTTTCACTTTACTCCTATCCCGAAATCGGAGCCAAAAAAAAGCCAGCTGAGTGAAGCCTCGAGCTAGTTCATTGCATGTTTGCCTACTCAAGCTGTGATCATCATACTGACCAGCTTTAGTGCCAGCCAACACATACTGTATTTAACCAAATTATTGTACTTTACGAGCTGTCAGTAAAAATCACAAATGCATTTTAAGCGTATTAAAAGTTGTTTTCCATTTTTGTAAGAGAACACAAACTAAACAAATCAATAGACAATTATCATTCAGGCAGATTGAAATCATTGATCAATCAGAATGGTAATGTATTGTAATTTATTCCTTTAGGTATTGTTTATAATGTACAAGTGATGACTGGAGATGTGAGGGGTGCTGGCACCAACTCTAAAATCCACATGGTCATGCACGGCTTCAAGGGTTTGAAGAACAGCGGCAAAGTCTTCCTGGAGGGCGGTGCTTTCGAGCGCGGCCTGATCGACATATTCAACGTGGAGATCTGTGAGCTGATCAGCCCGCTTAGCAGGGTAACCATCGGCCACGACAATGGGGCTGTGGGTGCTGGATGGTACTGTGAGAAGGTACAAGACATTTATTTATTGTCAGTAGAGTGGTTCTGGAAAAGAAACATGTTTTCAGCCTCCTAACACATGTCCATTTTTTTAGGTAGTGATATACTGTCCGTTCACGGGGATTGAGCAGACGTTTCCATGTGGGATGTGGCTGGATGAGGATGAAGGAGATGGACTGATTGAGAGGGAGCTTTACGAGATGGTTTCTCTGAGGCAGAAAAAACAAAAAAGTGGGTCAACCAACTTATAGATTTGTGCTAAATAAAAGAAAATCCTGTTTTTTTGTTTTCCAAAAGTTACTTAATTCAGTATCAACATCAACATAGCTATTTCAGCATCAAATAAACTCCTCTCTCCTCCCTAGAGTTCCCATGGTCCCTGTGGATTTGGACATCAGATATCAAAGGTGCAGGGACTGATGCTCAGGTGTTTCTGCAGATCTATGGAGAGAGAGGCAAATCTGATGAGATCAAACTGGAAAACAACTCAGACAGTTTTGAACAGGGCCAGCTTGATAAATTCATGGTAAAACCTTTATCATCTCCTCAGTTAAGTATAGAATAGCCATAGTTAGGCTAGCACACTGACTATTTTGAGATTTGATGTTACTGAACAATTTTTGATCGCTATAGATTGAAATGCCGGACATGGGAAAACTACAGAAATTGCGCATCTGGCATGAGAAGAGGCACCCTTTTGCTGGCTGGCATTTAGACAAGGTTAGACCCACTTCTCTGTCTTTCAGATCTACCAATGTAAGTCATCATGATGTCAGTGTTGTCTCTTCTGTGGGCACTGATTTGGATACTGAATAAATATGAAATCATGAACCAGCTTCACAGAAAAGAAACCAAATCTCTGCTCAGTTGTCAGCTTTTAGGAATTATTGTGAGCCCCTTCCTCAGTTTATAAAAGTGTGGAAGTATGCTGGTTTGAAGGTCAAGGGCTCTATTTTCGTGCCTCGCCAGCGCCGTGGCGTAGACGCAGTGTAAGTCAGGTCCACCGCGCAAACAAGGCGTGCCCAAGCACATTTTGGTATTTTGGTGAGCGGCGCAGCCTGGCATAAGTATCCCCCCTCCCTAACTCAGCTCCTCCCAGCGGCGTAAGTCGTAGAGAGGGAGGGAATAACACAGCCGAGACCTGTTTTCACCAATCACATCAGCTCCTCTCCTAACCTTTAAATCCGCCACCGGCGAGGCGTATTACTATTTTCGTGAAGTAGTTAAAGAGATCAAGAGATGTCTGAAGACAGTAATGCCACACGATGGTGACAGAAGGCAGCTCCTCAACAAGTGTCACTGTAAGCGCTGCATTGGGCGTCCTCCACACTCTCATCTGAGCACAGATGGATTTGGTGTGTGTAATGTTGGACCCACTGGTAAAACAAACACCCTTTTCCACAAATAAAGACACTCACATAAAGTTGCATATATTTAAACCTCACGTGACAAAGGTGGGTTGTGCGCACAGATCACAACATTAACTCCAATTATGGCATTAAAATCGGAACCATCTGTGCGTAAATGACAAATCGCGCTCCGTGGCCTGGCTCTTTCTTTCATAGATGTTGGCATATAAAACAAATTTGGCTCACAAAACTGAATATTATAACATTTGTATGTTGGCTTATAGTAAATAACTCATCTGAGCACTGAAACAAATCATCTGTTCAGCTGCAGCTGCAGCAGGACAGGGAGAGGACTCGGAGACATGTCCAGGTCGAGCTGCGCGACAAATAAGAGGAAGATAGAAAAGGAGGGAGACGAACTACACATCTTGTTAACTTCATCATGTGTGTCTATTTACTAGATATTTAATTTAATTTAATGCGGTTTCAACTGTGTTGATTCAGTCAGGTTGTGTGTCCAAACGCGTGCCAAACGGGCTCATCAGAGCAGATATAGATCAGAATATATCTATATAGATCTAAATGTGTGTGCTGACTCGGAATATTGGCTGTTTTTGATTATTTATTGCACTGAAATGTGCCTGACACTGTGGAAACCTGTCGGTGAGGCATCAGTGACGTATGCGCACTACGCCGCCGGTCTACCAAAATACCACTAGACCAGCTGCGCTCTGCCTGCGCTGAAAGCTGACCAGGTTTGAAGCGGCGAGCTTTCAGTGCACTTTACATGCCACCGGCGAGCACGAAAATGTCACTGCGCCAGCTGACTCTACCGACACCTCCCCCTGCCGTGCCGCCACGCCCAGTTTGGCGGACCTCGGTGCGCCTCAGTCTAAGAAAATACCAAACTGGCTGTGCACCGAGGTCTGCCAGACGAAAATACCACTGCACGGGATCCGCCACCCTCCGCCGCGCCGCCGGCAGGCAAGAAAATAGAGCCCTAGATCATGATCAAAGACTTCAGATGGTTTGTCATCACACAGTCTAATTGTGTGATTGTTTTCTGCAGGTCACTTTGCTCAAGACCCTGACAATGGAGAAATATTCTTTCCAATGTGGCCGCTGGCTCGACATCAATGAAGATGACAACGAGATCGTCAGAGAGCTCCCAGCTATAAGTACACTCATCGATGAGCCGCTGCCCTGTGAGAGACGCTCTCGATAAAATCTGTCTTAGTTATACGGAGATGACATGTTATAATCCTCACAATGATGAATCAATTTTGTCTTTTAGTGATCAAATATCGAGTAACTATCTGCACCGGCAATGTCAGTGGGAGCGGCACCGATGCGAGCGTCTTCCTCAATATCATCGGTGACCTGGGTGACACAGGGGAGCGTCTCATGTTCATGAGCAAAAATAATGTCAACAAATTTGAAAAGGGCAATGTGAGCACATTATATTTACAAACCGGACAAAGAAAATTGAAATACATTACATCGTAGGAATCTATAAGCAACTATAATCAGTGTTTTTTTTTCTGTCCCGTCTTAGCATGACGAGTTTCTCATTGAGGCTGTGTCTGTGGGTCAGGTGCGCAAAGTGCGTGTCGGCCACGATGGACGCGGTGGAGGCTGTGGTTGGTACCTTGATAAGGTGATGGTCAGGGAGGAGGGTCAGCCAGAGAGTTTGGCCACCGAATTTCCCTGTGACAGGCAAGCTAGTAACACTCAACACATAGGATTTATACTGAAGCATGCTACTATCAAGCTCTGTTCTCCCCTCTTCTTTCTCTGCAAAACCTTTTCTCTATTAAAGTGTTCATTATAGGAGGACTTGGAGCGTACAGCCGAATCTGGTGAGGGTGAGACCTGGCCCTCTCTTTTCTCTCATAACATCTGCTCACTTGATATCCTCTGTGATAAACCAGCGCTTGCTCCTCATCTATCTCCATCTATTTTCATTCTCGGAATCTGTAGATTATGTAGTGTATCAGTTAAGCGTAAGTATTAGGTGAAGTGTCAATTTTGTCAAGAGTTTCAAAATTTAGTTTCATGTTAGTAATTTTCAGAAAGTTGTGCTCGATTTTAGTCATATTTTAGTCTCTGTGTTAAGATTTAGTCAGAGGAACTAAGTTTTCATTTTAGTCTGATTTCAGTCAGTGTTAATTTTTGTTTTAATTTAGTCAAAATTTTAGTCCAAACTTTCTCACATAGTTTTATGTTAGTCTTTAAAGAAAGGTATTTCTCCTAGAAGTAAAAAATTCAGTGTGAAGAAAGAATAACTGCGTATTTGGTCATCTTGACTTCTTTGTGTCATTAAAAAAACTGCTTTATACCTTAAACTTTATTTGAAAGGGTAATCAAAGCTAAACAAACAGCGATATAACTGATTATCCACTGAAAAGAGTCAATTATTTAATCTTGACATTATTCTTCAAAGTGTTTGGAAGGATTTTTGTTACAGTTTCATTTTCAGTTTGCTTACCTTTTACGGCACTATCTCAGTTTAGTCATGGAAAATTTGCACATCAATGAAAACTTATTAAGTTAATAGTTTAGCCTTTTTATTTAAGTGCTTTTTGTTTATTTGAAATCCATACTTGTGTTTTGGGCAGAAAGCTGGCGCAGGTTAGCTTAGCTAAGCATAAAAAGGAATCAGCTGGCCTGGATTCAGAGTTATACATAAAACAGAGAGTTCATTTGAAGCCGTCTTTATAAAGTTTTATTAGATTTCATGATGAAATTCTTTCAGGATTTTATTTGCCATACAACTCATTGTTGAATTGCTGACATTACAGCTGTTTGTGTGGCTGCCAAGAGATAGTAAAACTTAAAAGCTTGGCATACAGAGGGGAAATAGTGGAAATGTACAGCCTAGGCTTTATCAAAGTAGATAAAATCTCATTTATACTTGTGCTTTTATGGATTAAGCAGATCTTGGAGTATCATGTATTTCAGATTTGCTTTGAAACTTAGATGAAGTCAGACAGATTGTCCCACCCTGCTTCCACTAATGGCAGATGATTTTCCAAAATGTCAAACTATTGAACTTAAGATGCTTTCTTGATTTTCTTTGTAAACATAAGCAGTCAAAGTGTGTTAGTGAATCTCTTGTCCCTGGCTCACCAAAGCACCAACTTGCTGGACAAAGTTCAGTGGCGCGTGTTGAAGTAGTTAGGCAGGTGATGGATGAGTTTGCCTTGACAAATCGGCTCTAAGTGCACAATGTTCAGCCAGCTCTGGCAGTAACTGGAGCCAAACCACAGGGCCGGGGTGCAGTGTTACGTCTAAAAGGAGGCTCTTCCTGTGTCTGCCTGTCAGTCCTGCAAAAGGGAAAGGTTTGGTAGCTTCTACTGCAAAACAATTGGTAATATGAGTGTCTGTTGTAGCTTGTGCTGGTTGTGTTCAGTTTCATTTTAAACTACTGAAAATGTGTAGGAGAACAGATACTGGAGCTGATGCTTCTGAGTACAAAAAGGAACCTTAACAAATTTAACAAATGCAGGGATAAAAGTAATAAAACTAATCTTTTATTTCACACATGTTTTGATATGGGTTAACCATCTGTTTCTGCCCATTGGATTCTTTCAGGTGGTTGGACCGTAATGAAGATGATGGACAAATTGTTCGCGAGTTAGTCCCAGCCGGAGATGGCCTGCGTCTGTTCAGTGAGTGCAGAGACAGCAGTTCAATATAAACTCTCAATGTCATAATAAGATAGGAATGCTAACAAGTTTACGCTAGAGGTGTTGTTTGGTTTTTTTTCAACAACTGAGAAAATCAGCCCTTTGATTTAGAGACCACGATGAAGATGCGTTATCTACCACCATAGACGAGTCGATTTAACCACGTAATGTTAAGTAGCTCATTTTGAGAAAGTCTAGACAAAATGTGGTTTGAAAGTATCACTGAAATGAAGCAGCTGGAGCTCTGGAAACTTTCTAAATATAGCAAACTCTTCCACCGACATAAATGTTTTGGTCAAACTTTCTCAAAACTTCATGATGCAGTTCATTCTGTCTGCATGTGGTTTATAGCTCAGCTCCCCCAACTGGTTTCTCAATAATGAGGCCAAGCTGACTGGCCTTTCCTGTGTGTAATCCACTTAATATTGACAAGAACTTCATGAAACCCCACCTAAAAATGAAATTATTGCTTCTGTTGTTATGTGAATAAGATAATTACTCTCATTTCCTTCCTTTCTTCTAAGATGTCGGCTACCACATAGCAATCAAAACAGGCAGTGTTAACGGGGCCAGCTCTGACTCCAGGGTGTTTGTAAAGCTATATGGAGAAAAGGGCGACACTAACAAGATGATACTGGCAGTTTCCGACAATGACCTGAGGAACTACTTTGAGACGGCTCGCACCGACATTTTTACCATAGACACCTTTGACATTGGACAGGCAAGTTCTCGAGGATATTTTGCAGACCATGACAATAATGTTTCAGACATTTATTACCCATGATATGATCCTCTTATGTCTTGTCTCGTGTGCTTGCAGATTAACCGTCTCCTCATTGGTCACACTAATGAAGGCTTGCGGGCTGGATGGTTTCTGGACAGCGTGCAGATTTCTGTTCCGGTTCATGGGAAGCAGTACATGTTTCCAAGCCATCGCTGGCTCTGCAAGGATGAGGCTGATGGGAAAGTGGAGGTTGAGATCTATCCCAGTGAGGTCTTGGACATTGAACAATGTAAATATGGAGTGTTGCACATTCAGAATGAACCGCTCCTCCAGTGTTTTAAAGTTTATTGCTTTTGCTCTACATAATCCTGATAGTGTGACTCCATTTCTACAACAGTGATCAACTATGAAGTAACTGTGGTCACTGGGGACGTGCGTGCAGGTGGAACCAATGCCAATGTCTTCTGTCAGATCTATGGAGAGGAGGGAAAGACTGAAGTCCTCACCCTCAAGAGTCGCTCAAACAATTTTGAACGTGGCACCACTGAGATCTTCAAGGTTTGCCCAAAGCCTTCATATTGTTTTGTCTATATACTGTACATTTCATTGTACATTTAAATACCTGTTTTTTTTTTTTTTTTTTAATGATCCAAAACCCAGATTGAGGCTCAAGATATTGGCAAGATCTACAAGATACGCATCTTTCACGACGGGACGGGTATTGGTGACGGCTGGTTTCTGGAGACAGTGGATGTCAAGAGGTTGACGATGGCCATGGTGCAGATTGAGGTGAAGAAGGAAGACACCAAGAAGGACAAGAAGAAGGACAAGAAAAAGAAGAAGAAGGACGAAGAGGAGGAAGTGGAGATCATTGAGAAGCTGCAAGAAGTGGTGGAGACATTTAGTTTCCCTTGTAACCGCTGGCTGGCAAAGGATGAGGAGGACGGGGAGATTGTGGTGGAGCTGCTGACTGAGGACAATGAAGAACTGGAAAGTAAGTGGATCCTGAATAAATGTGGTTAGTCAGCCTTCTGATTTGACTGTCATGAAGCGGCCATAAGGTGCAATGTTCAAAAACTGTGTTTTTTCCTCTCAGTAAACTCATATGAGGTTCATGTTTTCACCGGCACGATGTGGGGCGCAGGGACAGATGCCAACGTTTACATCAACGTCTACGGAGAGGTTGGCGACACAGGAGAAAGACAGCTCAGGAAATCCAACAACCTGAACAAGTTTGAGAAAGGCAAGGTATGCTTTGTTTATGTGAATTCTAGATGTGCCGATTATATCTACAATTCTTTCATATAACATGATGATGCCAGACTTACTGTCCCCCCTGTTTTCACAAGCGAAGCTCGCATATCCTTTCTCCAAACTTAGAGCTACAGTGGCACACATTATTGCCTAAAACTAATGCAATAATGTAAATGCATCATAAATAACAAAAGATGGACACTTAGGTGGAAGAGAGGGACAGAGCTGTCAAGTGGTGACCTCCTAGTGGCTCGCCCTGGGTCCTGTGGGAGTAGCTGACAGGTATAAGGTGACTAAGTAGGGCTGCAGCTTCAATTTATTTAGGGAGGCTTTTGAGAGGGACTTTTGGTTGGCCTCAAGAAAGTTCTAGCAAACTGTCAAATGGCTCAGGAAGGGGAAGCAGGTCTTGGCTCAGGCTTTTCTTAGCAGCGAGGAGTCGAGGAACTCCTGAACCTAAATGACACGTCCTCTAAGAAGTTTAAGTCTGTACACCCAGGGGAAGCTTTATATCCTTAGCAGTGGTCCCTGTGGGGGTTATAAAGCTCCTCAGAGGCAAGGCACCAGGTACAATGAATATACAGTGTGTAATTTCTGTTCCTAGCTGTCTCTCAACCAAATGATAATTAAAGATATAGTTTATTGATGATGTGGAGTAGTATTAAGTCAAAGGAGATGTTGCCTTAAATGTTAAACAAAGACCATTGTGGATGGAAATCTATTTGAATGAATCATTTGTACTGCTAAAGTCACTCTTAAGTTTCATCAGAATCATCGTAAGGGACCAAGCAACCAGGCAAAGGACAAAGGTGTGGAAAAAGATCTTGATCCTTTAACTTTACTCAAAAAGCAGAAATCAGTAACAAAATATCCAACTTAATGTGGTCGAAAATCAACAAAATCTGGACCCACATTAAAAGAGGTCAACTCAGCAACAAAAGGAACTGAACTTACACCCTAACAAACATAATCAAACAGACCTACTAAGCGGTGTTGTAGTCAAGACCGCACCAACCGATACCAAGACATTACCGAGACCACAGAGGAGGAACGAGACTGAGACAAGACCGAGTGAAAATGCCTTCGATTCTGAGACGACACCAAGACCCTCAAAAATTGGTCTCGAGACCGGTCTCAAGACCAAGACCGATCTCAGGACCGGTCTCGAGACCAAGACTGATCTCGAGTACTAGAACACTACTGTATGGTAACCGTTACCTGTCTTTATGCTTCCTCTCGAGGTGACGGTACCAGCTGTTTCTGTGAGTTGTGCACTGCAGAATTTGCACACTGCCGAGTGTTTTCGCTTGCATGTCGTTTTTCAAATAAACTCCTTGTGGTTTAGGAAACCAAACTTAATTATTGCTGAGTTGGCAGACATCTTTCATGACGAGTTCACCGGGTGCCGAGCATGAACACAGCCTCTCCTCCTGTCGTCTCCATCCTCTCTCTGTATGGAGGTGGTGTGTCAGTCACTCAGACTGTGTGACACTGGGCAGGTAACTTAGCAGATGCAGCTGGGGGAGAATCATTACTACCAATGATGTGAAGTTATTAGCTCGACCGGTCTCATTCAAAAACCCGAGTCCGCTCACTCCGAGACCAAGACAAGACAGAGTGAAAATGCCTTCGATTCTGAGACGACACCAAGACCCTCAAAAAATGGTCTCAGACCAAGACCGATCTCGAGTACTACAACACTACTATTAAGTGATTCATGTCAGGGGTTTAAATAGATAAAGGAGAAGTCCAACATAAACACAAGGGGGAAACTAAAGTGATAACAAACTAAACATCTAACAAACTCAGAAAAACACCATCAAATTATCCAAACTAACTTCTTACAGAAAAAACTAAATACTCTGCTCTAACTGAAAGAATAAAGACAAACGTTTTATAAAGAATCAAAAGTCAAGGCTCCTCCTTGCTTTCCTCTTGATGTTCTGTCCCACTTCCTGTGGGTAGGCTTAAGAGGTCATCTTAGAGCTGCAGGCAGCCTTTTGCCAGGTACGCTGAAACAAAGATAAACAAAAAGTTAAGTATTGCTTTGTATTAAATGAACTCAAATTCAATCATGATGTAGAAAATTAAACTATGCGACAGTTTGTTAACTAAATTGTGGGCACCCAAATTAGAAAACAAATGGCATAAATGCAATAAAAGGGATTTATTTCAACAAAAAAGTGTGTAGTGTGATTTTTCTAAACTGAAACAAATTTACTGTGTTGAAACCTAAAGACAAAGAAATACCAACACAAGGTGGTGTTCGAGGTCACCACAATCATGTTTATTGATTTTTTTTTATATAAAGTTGTCTCATTTTTCTCACCTAACTGCAAATCATATGAGTTCATACCACAAACTTTCTACTTAATCTTTCATGTATCATCTGGTGTATTTTATTTTTTCAGTTTTTTGAGAAAACAGGATACCAAATGAAATAAAAGAAGGGTCTGTGTTTGAGCTCAAAGATTCCTGGAAGCATTTAGGATAATCAACTTAAACATAGAACATCATTTGAGTCGTTTTATGGTATAATCAAATATGGAAGTATTACACAATATCCTGTCTCTGTGGCTTGTTATGTTTGACCCCAGTTACAAATCTTAAGACGAAAGACAAAAATCGTTTCTATATGAGGCTCCCTCTTGATCTTCTCAGGTTTCCCACGCATTTTGATCACTGTGTTATGTGACTCTGAGTGGTGCCAGGAAGCTGAGAGCTAGTAGGGATCCTGTATCATGCTAGATTTTAACGATACATCTTTTATCTATCTTTTATGTGCATCCTACAAAAAAAGAGTTTTTTCATGCAGTGCCTGAGACTCTTTTCTTCCACTGTTCCTGATGCTGTCTGAGCTGTTGTGTAACATGTCTGTTATCTGTGATACTGTGTCGTAGATAATCCTCTTACTGTATCCAAAAACCTTTCAAATTAAATAAAGGTGTAGTGAATAAGTGAATAAATTCTTATGTGCAGCTAAGCTAAATCCTGTGGCATTTCTTGACCCCTTTGTCACTCCTTGTTTGTGCACGATGCAGGAGGACATTTTCAACATTACAGCGGTTGACCTGGGGGTCCTGAAAAAACTCAAGATCAGACATGACAACAGCCAGGCCAGTGCCGGCTGGTTTCTGGACAGAGTGGAAATTGTGGACAACAAAGATGACACCACGTAAGTTATCAGTATCACAAAAAGAGAGACCAGGCGATAACACCCTTTCACTCAAATCCTTTAAATTATTTCAACAACTGATGTTCAAAAACTATTAAAAAATACATATAAAGAGATTGCTGAGTCATGCTAGTCATTAAAACAAAGCCACTAGCCAAAAAGAACAACAAATTCTTTATCTTTCATAACAACCAGTACACATAAAATGTCTTTAGGGCTCCACCTTGTGGTGTCAAATGGTAGAAGTATCATTTCCCAGCAGATTAAGCAAAATGATATCACTGATTGAAGTAGTGTGTCTGTACATATTGTGATATATTACTTGTTCTGTTTGTTTTAGGTACTTTTTCCCCTGTAAACGTTGGCTGGCTGTTGATGAGGATGACGGACAGCTTGCCAGGGAGCTGGTCCCCGTGGATGAGGCCTTCATGAGGAAAGGGGATGATGATGAGGAGGACTCTGAAGCCACACTTGGTCTGGAACAGAAAGGTAAGAACAGCAGTGTAGCTACCTATCCCAAATAATTTCAACACATTTGATATTCAGCTTACTTTAATCATCATTTGATTGGAAACAAATCTTTGAGATGTTGAGTTTTTCTGCTCTGGTTATTCCAGCAATGTCAACAACATACACACTGAGGATAAAAACTGGAGACAAAAAGTATGCAGGAACTGACGCCAATGTCCTTATAGTCCTATTTGGTACCAAGGATGACACAGGTGATACTTAAAACATCAACTCAGAGTTTATCGCCTAGTGCATGTGTCTATAACTAATCTATGGTGTGTGTATCTACAGGGATCATTAATTTAAAGGCTTCAAAGACTCATAAGAATAAGTTTGAGCGGGGCATGATTGACGAGTTTATCGTGGAAGCTGTGGATATCGGGCTACTCAGGAAGCTGCGTATCGGACACGACAACTGTGGTACAGTGGGGCAGACTTTCCGCCTGCGCAGATGAGAATGTAGAAGTTGTCCAGATAGATCTACAAATTAATTCTGTGATGTGAAACAGTTTGTGTTCATATTTAAGGAGGGGGATCAGCAGGGTGGTTCCTCGACTGGGTGGAGATTGATGCCCCGTCTCTGGGACAGAAACTGCGCTTCCCCTGCGGACGCTGGTTGGATAAAGGGGAGGATGATGGGGCCATAATCAGGGACCTTTTTCCTAATCCTCTACAGACAGAGCTTTACACACCATGTGAGTCAAGCTACAAGACAGAATACAAAATTTTTACAATAATAAAGACATACAATGCATTTAAATGATCCTTTTGTTTTGTTTTGTTTCAGTCGTTCCCTACGAGATTAAAACCTTCACCAGCGATGTGTTCGGAGCCGGCACAGACGCAGATGTCTTCATTGTCCTGTACGGGCGAGATGCAGTTTGCACTCAGCAGAAGTCTCTGTGTGTCAACAAGAGGGAGAGGATAATGTACTTTGAGAGGGGAGCTGAGGACATGTTTATTGTTGAGGTAGGAAAAAGACATTCAGCGGTGGAGAAATATGGAAACTTTAGAATTGATTTAAACATAATTTTAACGACATGGCACCACATGGTTCAGCCCCTGTTTATATTTCAGTGCTTTATTACCCGTCCTCACCGCTGTACAACAACCTTTTTAAAGATGGTTTACAATCAAAAACACCCACAACTTTGAGTTTCAGGAGTTACATGTTTTTTTCTGTGGCTCATTGTTTTCTGCCCTGGTTAGATAATGCAAATCAGACCAATGACATCCAGAGAAAATATTTGGAAATGACGTTACTTGCACTGCTCTATAATGCGTATCTGCATTTTTTCTCAACAAAAAAGTCACACGATAAGTTGGCAGCAGCTTAGCTGTATTAATTATTAAGAAACATCAGGTCTCTGGAAATATGAGCTCTTGTGCTATCACCCTTTGGTGGCTCTATCTGTATATCCTCTTCTCTGCTCAACTGGTGTATGTCTGTAAATGGTACACCAGCTTATTCTGTAAACAAGATTGTTTCCAAATGAGACTAACCCTGATGAAACTGTTGTAATGCTTAAAACATTTCTTAAGATAGAAAAAAAATGTACCTATGAGTCAAAATTCATGTTTTTACTGATCAAACAATGTAAAGTTATATAAGATATGATCCAGAATCTCTGTTCCCTCCTCTATGTGAGTGTGTGTGTGTGTGTGTGTGTGTGTGTGTGTGCTATCAGTATTTTTTATGTAAATGAAGGAAGTAAATGAAGTCTCTTTCTCTGTGAGTTCATCAGGCTGCCCTTTCGAAAGTCCCTGGGCCATTGCAAAGTATTATCAACTGAACAGGGGCTTTTGAAAGGGGTAGATTTTTGACCCCAGAACTAAATTTAGACCCTCAATCCTGGGGTCTAATGCTCAGGGTTCCTGGTGAAGGTCCTTAAGTTCCTGCAACCGAAAAGCACCTTCAGTTACGTAACCAGAATCCCCTGGTGATAACACCCTCGAAGCTTAAAAGTAAAGAGGACAGCCTGCTCACCTCTTTAGCCCCTGGACTCTGATACTCAGTACCTCTGCTGCCTGTTTTAAAACTTCTTAAAGACCCAATTTGTAAAGTTGTCTTTAGATAATGCTACACCTGTTATCTTTCTCTGGTCAGCTGGGTTTATGTGTGCTGGTTTTGTGTGCACTAAATCTCTTAGGTATACATCTCCTCCTGCTTTTTGTTTGTCACACTTTGATTTAATTAGCACCCCTATTCTTATTCTCATCCTTTTTTTCCTTCCACCTTGTTTTTGAAACACTTTTAGACCTTGATTAAGGAAGGTTTGTTACGGCATAAAATACACTGATTTATTGAGCTACACCCTGTATAACAGTGAAGACCAGTGAGCCCTTCTGTGTGTTTCTCAACTCAGTGCTCTGGTGTTTTCTGTGCAGTTAGAGGACGTCGGAGATGTAATTGAAAAGATCCGTATCGGTCATGACAACCGCGGGGTTAACCCAGGCTGGCATCTGGACCGAGTGGAGATCAGACGGCTGCTCCGGAAAGGAAAGGTATACTGCAAACAGAGACGCATTAAAATCCTTACTATAGCAGCATTTCTATAAAATAAATCACAGAGTGACAGGAATAAGTGATAAAGGTGTTCATTTAAAAGATTATCAATTTGCCTCTGAGTTAAAGGAGGTCTGAGCACTTGTGTAAAGTGTAATTAACGTAATATTGTAGTGATTTGCTGTATTTCAGGGAAACAAGATTGAGATAACACAATACATTTACATCTAATTTTGATATAACATTATACAAATATAAAATACATAGTGAACTGACCATAGTTTGCTCAAATCTGCTGGTGTGCAGCAAGTAAGTCCTCCATTTGGTCAGTAGGTGGAGATGTTTTCCTCACATACAGATGATAACCAAGGACCAAAGACTGACTTTTTGTCTTACCCACTAAACACAAGACTCTGTGTTTACCCGTCACTGTCTGAGGCCAAAATGCACGAATGCAATTGTATTTTCTTTGTCCCTGTAGGGTTCAGAGACTGTCATCTTCCCCTGTGAATGCTGGCTTGCCAAATCAGAGGATGATGGAGAAACAGTGAGAGAGCTCGTGCCATCCGACATCATCACCGAGAAACTTTCAAGAGACGGAAACCTGAAAGTCACTGAAGTTGAAGTGGAAGATGCGCTAGAGAGTACGTCATTGAAAAAAAAACAGTCATTATATACATTTCACTGAAATTATAAACAGAGAAGTGGAGGAATATAAGGAAGATTTGTATTCATTTGTGTCCTGAATATCTCTAAATAAGTCCCTGTTATGACACTGTATTCTGCCAAAACTCTGTCTCCTGTAATCCTGTTTGTGATTGTATTTTCTACAGCTCACACATACAAAGTGTCAGTGATGACTGGTGATGTGTATGGAGCTGGCACTGACGCCAACGTCTTCCTCACAATCTATGGAGACCAGGGGGACACTGGAGAGAGGAAACTCAGCAAGTCAGAGACTAACAGCAACAAGTTTGAGCGGGGAGCTGTAAGAAATCAAACATCTATCATTGTGCAGTATGAACAAAATAACAGCAAATTAAGAACCTGTGTTAGTATTTTATGGATTATCATGGTTTCATCCTCACAGGTGGATAAGTTCACCATAGAAGCTGTAGACCTTGGGCAGGTTTTCAAGATCAAAATCCGCCATGATAACAGCATGGTGAGCGCCGACTGGTACCTGGATCAGGTGGAGGTGGTGGATGTGGATACAGAGGAGGTTTTCCTCTTTTTGTGTGAACGCTGGCTGTCCAGGAAGAGGGAGGATGGACGCATTTGTAGAGTCTTCTATGTCAAGGTAAGAGTGAGTGTAAAGCTAATTATTTCACCCCCTGAAAACAAAAAAGCCTCATCTAGCTTTACAATTTATCACCCCATTGCAGATCTCTCTTGCTAACTTACATACATTTTTTCTTGAGTACCTAGGATTATTTTAAATAACTACACAGCGTGTGTTTTGTTCATTAGATTAAATCTGGTTGCATCTTTCATAATCACTTACAAAATGTCAGAATGTTGTGAACAACATTGAAATTTTGAGATTAAAAAAGTTACAATTTTGAGATCAAAGTCAAAATTTGGACTTTATTCGCATAATTTCAATTTATTTAATCTTGAAATAATGACTTAAATGTTGAAATTTCAATTTTTTTCATTTCGACCATCTTAAATTTCAACTTTAATCGCAAAATTTTGACTTAAATCAATGGGGGGAGTTTTCTTACAACCAGCTGTACAAGATACAAGATTTAATAATAATAATGATAATAAAGAATAAAAGAAGGACAAGATCTTATACATTCAACTACATACAACCTTTAAAGGGTCAGTTTAACCAAATGACTACTTTTGACTGGGATTACAGCACCAATGTGGTCAAAGACTGAAGAGTGAGGAGCCTCTGCAGAAATGATATCTGGACAAACCACAGCTCTTACTTTCAAATTCAAAATCAGAACACTTTTCTCATGATAATAGTCTCTGAAAAAAAGAAAAACCCAGGGCCTGACTAACAAAGGATTTTGCCGCTTTTATTCCTGCTGAACCTGAGCAAATGAAACCAAAAGACAGACCACTTCACCAAATACACACAAAGGATTGAAAACTCCTCAAACTGTTCCAGAGAAAAAATAGCATCTCTGTGTGCTGATCGTGTTTCGGCGTGTTCAAATGAGTCATCTTGTCCTCCTTTGGGTGATATTAGGCACTTTCTCAGCAAATGAACCGCACAGCAAACATGATTATAAAAATTTTTTTGAACAAAAAGATGAAAATCAAAATGCTTTCTTTTTAACGAAAAGTGTCCAAGATAATCATCCAAATACAAATCCAACAAAGACACAAGAAAAATGACAATATAACCAAAAATATCATCTAATACACTAGAAAAACAAGGAAGTAAAAGCTTATCTTCTACATGTGGACAGGTTTTAGCTGATCGAGATGAGAGCACAGCAGTGAGTGGAGATGCTCACAGTTCACCCCCTCAATCAGACACAACACAAGAGCAAACTGCACAAGACTGCATTACTATGAAATGTTGATGCTTGTATTCCTGCTGAACCTGAGCAAATGAAACCAAAAGACAGACCAATTCACCAAACACACACAAAGGATTGAAGACTCCTCAAACTGTTCCAGAGAAAAAATAGCATCTCTGTGTGCTGATCGTGTTTCTGCGTGTTCAAATGAGTCATCTTGTCCTCCTTTGGGTGATATTAGGCACTTTCTCAGCAAATGAACCGCACAGCAAACATGATTGTAACAAATATTTTTGAACAAAAAGATGAAAATCAAAATGCTTACTTTTTAATTCAAAGTGTCCAAGATAATCATCCAAATGCAAATCCAACAAAGACACAAGGAAAATGACAATATAACTAAAAATGTCATCGAATACACTAGAAAAACAGGATGTAAAAGCTTATCTTCTTTAAGTGGACCAATTTTTTTAGCTGATCAAGATGAGAGCACAGCAGTGAGTGGAGATGCTCACAGTTCATCCCCTCATCAGACACAACACAAGAGCAAACTGCACGAGGCTGCAGCACTATGAAATGTTGATGCTTTGATTGCACTGCACTGTATGATGGAGCAGATAGTGGAGGGAAGTGAGGTCACGATTGATTAAGAGGACCACAGAGTGAGTTACTGCGTAACGAGCAATTTTGAGTCTCTTGGATGTAGTATTTTAAAGCTCTGAGGAGCCCAAAATTATTTCCTCCCACCTCCAACACCTCCAACAAAAAATCGAAGAAATCAATACCTTGAATCCACAGCACATAAATCTAAAGCTCTGCACGTCAGGCGGATAACCACTTTCACCCACTAATATCTATAAATAGATGTTTGTTCATTTCTTAATATCATTCTTTTGGTAATTTCTTCGGTTTTTGTGAACTGCATGTGATTTTAAAAGAACTGGCTTCAACATACAAGATGGGCTGTCAATTATTCTCTATCACGAGTGAAGGAGAAAGGGTTCTTTGAGCTTCTTTAGAAAATGATCATTGGTTATCTCATAACACAGACTTGTGTGAAACGCAGGCTTTAAAGTTTGCTCAGATCTCATAAATCTGTGTTTCCTCTCAGGGTTACGAAGGCGTTAGAGAAGGCCTTAACAGTAAGAAGAACTCAGCCTTGACTGTGAAAAGTGTCGACAGCAATATGAACAAAAAGAGCAAAAAGAAAAAAGAGGAGGACATCGAGCTCCCGAGTAAGAAAATCAGAAACTCTCAGCACTGCACGCCTGATTCATCCGCTGCTCTCTGAATGTTTGGCATTAAAGTTTCAACACAAACATCTTTGCGCAATCTCTCGCTGCTTTCATCAATGAATAATTGCCGTTTCCTTCCTGTGCAGTCATACCGTACCACATGACCATCTGTACTGGACTAGAGCGCGATGCAGCCACCACCAGCAGGGCTTATGTGATCATTATCGGGGCCAATCACACCCAGACAGAAAGACTGTGGCTGGACCTGCCTGATGGGAGGAAGGGCTTTGAGGCCGGCTCTCTGGAGAGCTTCGAGACCCATGGTTCAGACGTGGGAGAGATCAAAAAGGTTGAGGTGAGGGAGGGTTGGAGCTCTAGAGCTTCATCGAGGATTGTGCACAAATCACGCATCCCACCCCACACACACACACACACACACAAACATTCAGAAAAATACACCCACGTCGCTGAAAGTGATTGTTTCACTCCCCGCCTGCAGCTTGGCCATGATGGGGCCACTCCTGAGAGCTGCTGGCTGGTTGATGAGCTGTCTGTTGCCGTGCCAACCAAAGGGGTCAAATACATCTTTGCTTGCAAGTGCTGGCTGGCCAAAGATCGAGGGGACGGTTTGACTGCAAGAGTGTTCAATGTGCTGGATGCAGAGAATATTGCTATCTCCCAGAAGGTACGTTAATTGATGCAAAGCACAGGCATATGGCAGAGAGCATTCATCACTTTCACAATGAGATACCCAGATAGACTTTTCATAATGAGTGATTTCAAATCAAACTGTTATAGATAAGCCAATGGACCAATTAACTTCAGTAAAATAGTAAATAAGAGTCTAATCAATAAACTGACTCTCTCTTACTTTCCAAATCTCTCGATCTAATCAATGTCCTAATTAGGAAAGAAGATTGGGACTTATTTTCAGACATGTACTCTAAAGAACCATTGCCTGTCTGTCACAAATATTAAAGACCCTGCACTTCTCCTGAGCTTAGAGATATTTACAGTGGTTAAAAAGTGATATTAATGTGCTGTGTAACAATGATTTTTCCAAATGTTTTGCCACCACCATGTGTCTGATGAGAAAAAACTTGGCTTATTAAAGGTCGAGTTCATTGATAGTGGTATCTCAGTTGTTTTAGCCCTTAATTTTAATGTCTTAAATGTTTTTGCCAGGTCATTTATGAGGTCACCGTGGTAACAGGGGATGTGCAAAATGCAGGAACAGACACCCAGATCTTCATGTCTGTATTTGGGGCCAATGGCAGCACAGAGGAGATGCTGCTGCAGAAAAACGAGGACAGGTAGCCAAAAAATGCACGTCAGAAACACTATTAAAGAAAAATGAAATGAAGAGATGACGCAGCAGGTTATAGAACTGATTTGTTTGGTGGATGACAGGTTCGAGCGCGGTCAGGAAGACACTTTCAACATGGAGATCGATGATATTGCCCCACTGAGGAAAATGAGGCTTCGTATTGACGGCACCGGCAGTCGACCTGACTGGTTCCTGGATAAGGTCAGCTCAGTTTTTAATGTGAACTAATGCCAGAACACAACCATAATCAATATCTGTTAACATATCTTGATGAGGAGATTATAACGGACATTTAAAAGAAAATCAATACATTCATAACGCATAAAAATATATCAGAAATTTATTAGACCTTCTAAACTCTATGTCTATGTCTCATATCTGTAATGGTGGAGCTTCATTAATTGTTTTGAAAGATTCCATTAAATAGCAACTGAGATGCATTGTGGGTAATGACAAGCAAGAACAATTCATGATGTAGCAGTGCAACACCCAGTGCAGTGGCACTACACATTAAGAATGTAATAAGCATCAAGAATAGTTAATATGCCACTTATAAGACTTTTTGAGGTACTTATAAATGTTTTTCAAGTGTTAATAACAGTGTAATTAACATATTCATCATTACTTTTGGACACGTTGAAGTTCTCATTAGAAACTTGTCAACAGTTTATATACAAGTATTTGATATTTATTAGCATTAATTATACTTTAGAAGGGTTGATAAGATATTAATCAATATTATATCATTAGCTTGTAACACAAATGCAGGGAACATAATTACAGTATCTAATACAGTATGTCTAGTATAGTATGTATGTATGTATGTATAAAAAGTATTTATGATGCAGTTATGAACAGCTGAAAATGCTCTCTTGCAGCTTCTGGATCTAAAGTGGTAACAATGTCTCATCAAAATTAATAAATTCTTGTAGCTAGCGCCTTTTCACGTTTATAAGCATTTTATAAGGGGCTTTTTCACCAAATAATGCTTATTACGCAGACCTTAACCCATTTAAACCGGGACAGCATGTCCGCATTTAAACCTTCCAAGCCAGGAGCGTGGCTGTGCACTTCTACTCGGAAAGCCGGGTGCATGTAGGTATTTCTACCCCTCAAGTACGTCATTTCGTAACATTATATGGTTTTTCAATAATTTCTGGAGTCGTGGTGAATCAAATCATCATACCGCCATCATACTGCCTCTGATAGGCTAATAAAGCTTAGTAAAGTGATCGAATTCATGCTCAGATCTTGCTACGTACTTGGTGAGGAAAGTAAACAATGACGGACGCAGAGAGCAGCTTCGGAGGAGAAGCATCCAGCAGTGTGAACAACCTCTTCATATTGAGTGCTTCGACTCACACTATCGGCGTTTTCTGTGAGTGTTGCATGACTTTGGGAGATGAACACACTGTCAGCCGCTTATTTATTTATTTATTGTTTAGTTTTTAGAGCTGCTTTTGTAATGGCACTATACTAGAGCAGCTGCACACCCTTTCAACACTTTATTTTTTTATATTTACATTTGAATTGAATGGACACTTTATCATGACTGCCACTTGTTTTAGAAAGCAAATTGTTTGCTATTCTTCAGGGCAGAGCCTTCACTTTTATATAGACAACTGCTTTATCATTTGAGTTGGTTTGTTCAAAGTTTTCAAAAATGTAATGAGGGTTCAAAAAAATAAGTCACACTGAAAGCCACATGTATAAGCTTTCAAATACTTTTTGAATTTTGTTTCTATCTGCTACAGAGGCTGATACATCAGCTTTTTTGGTAAACCTCAACACTACAGAAAACCTCAGGATCTGGGGGTCCTTCTTAAAATGGCCCTCAGGATTTCAGAGGCGTGTCTCAGACAGGGTTTAGGTCTTAATGTGTTACTATAAAGTGTTACAGTTCAGTGACATGTTCACATACAATACTTTTTTTTCAACGCTTCAGTTGACTTTAATATAAACTTGTCATGCACAAAACACTAAGTTTGACTCTCTCTTCCTGTCGAGGTCTAAATAATTTCTCAGAACATCTCCAGATCTCATCCATAAAACATGAAGCCAGGAGCATCAAAAAGCAACAATAGCTTCTATTGAACAAAGCAGATACAGGTTTGTGTTTTACCTTGTCTGTGTAAGCTGTAGGTCACAGTGTCATTCAATCTATTATATCACACAGACAACAACACACACACACTTCTATTCCTGCCTCCAGGAGAGCGGTCAATGATTCACCCACCCACCCACCCTCAAAAACACAGACAGCATGCACATACACATACGCAGCAGGGCCCAGAGTTCCTGGAGTGAGCATATTGACCCGTTTTAGTCATCATGCTGTTGTTGCTGGCATCACAGACACACTCCTGCACAAACAGAATTCATCAACCTGTGTTCATTAAAAAGAGGAAGTATGTCATTTTCATTTTTTCCAATGTGAAAAGGTCTTTTCAGTTCAAACTTGACAGATTTATAACGTACAAAGCAGCTTTTTAATTGACTGCATTTGTCACACAGCTTGTAAAAAATATAATTTCATGCTCCTTCTCTGAGGCTGACCCTGTGAGGACAACATCACTGATCACCTCCAAATTTCGTGTGATGTCTCAGGCCAAACGCCGTGATGAAACAGAACACATTTCCTATGCAAATGTCTTCTCTGGTAAAGGCACTGCGCCTGCAGAGCAGCAGAGCAGTCAGGAACAATACCCAGCCCTGTCTGTCCGTGCCTGGGACTCAGCAACTGCAAACATCTCCTTGATTTGACCCTACACAGAGCCTTGTGTGTTTGGCATCACAAGCAGATGTGCTGCCTGTATGGATTGCTGGGACTCTGTATTGAAATGAACACAACAGTGCACCGGGCAAACTGCCAGCATAGTAATCTGCTCCAATAAATATGCAGAGTGGAGAGCGAATACTCGTGTGGGCAGCCTGCATCTGAGTCTTTGACTGCAGATTGAATGTTTCCCTGGACCAGTGATCTGACTCGTATCACATCAGTGTCCCTGGTATGACAAAGTGTGAAACAGCATTTACTCAAAATGTGGTTTTATGTTTAGAAACCGAATGGCTTGAAGGGCCATAGCATCTCTTTAGGTTCTAACTTTCAGTCAGCCAAGGAGAAAGCAGTGTTTTTCTTATGCTTCTGTAGCAAGCCTCAGGTGAACTCTGGAGGAACTACAGATTACTTTTTATATAAGTAACCCTCTTACCCCTCTCTGCCGAACTGTCACTGGCTCTCACATTAGAAAGGTGTTTTATCATCCAGGTGATCATGCGTGACCTGACCACAGAGGAGGTGTCTGTGTTCACCTATGAGGAGTGGCTGTCCAAGCTGCGAGGACCCAAGAGAACCATGATCTGCGAGATGGCTGCTGTTGTGGACGAGGAGGTGATGGTGGAGCTCACCACCTACATCATTCAGGTCAAGACAAGTGATTGTGCAGGTTAGTCCTCGACACAGAAACCTGTTTTACATCCATTCCTAACATGCCAAGATTAAGAGAAATAAAGTGAGATTAGCGCCCGACCGATTTATCAGCGAGCCGATTAAATCGGCCAATTTTAGCCCGTTTGAGACTAATCGGTAATCGGCCAAAACTCACCGTTTTTCGCTGACATTTTCAGAAATAAAATGCAGAGAATAAGATTCTGTTTCACTTCGAAAATGTTCCGCCATTTCAAAAGATCCCCCAACTTATCCAGTAGATGGCGCAGCGACCTCATGACAATCTTCATCTACTAACTACCTCACAGCACAGCAGAGTGACAGATCTGGGGTGGTAGCTGAAAATGCTTTTGGTCTTCCTGTCGGCATGAAGAGCAGTAGCCTACATAGCAAGTATACCGTTGATATCTACTGTATATATATATATATATATATATATATATATATATATATATATATATATATGTATATATGTGTGTATATATATTTTATGATGTCATAAAAAAATTTAAAAATCGACCGATTAATCGGTAATCGGACCCCCCCACCCCAATAATTGGAATCGTCATCGGCCCCAAAAAATCCATATCAGTCCGGCCCTAATTGAGATTAGGAAGGAATCTTTTTTTATTGAAGGTTTGAATTATCCTTTAATTTCCTTTTTTTAATTTGAGCATTTTGAGTCAAAACCTCTTATTCTGCTTTTAACTTAATGAACAAATTACAAAGGTCAGTGTTTGGTTTTATCAGACTGTTTAAAGCAGACCAAAGACATAAAATTGTTTAATGATTCTCAACCAAAAAAACAAGGTCAAAATGACTTAATAATTTCAAATATTGGGTTGATCATCCAGTCCCCCCTTATTTTTCTAATACTAGTCATACTCTTTCTAAAAAGTAGCACCAAAAAAGAAGGGGGCTTAGGATTGATACATGAGGAACACCTTTTATCATTATTACAACCTGCAACTTGACCAGACCACTTGCCACTGGGGCTGTCAGCATTGGTGCAGTAATCGTGATGTTCATGCTTTCTTTTCATCCTATGCTATTCTATCCCTTTCAGTTCACCATTTAGCACTAGCTATTACAGCACCTCACTGCTCTTGCTGCTGCCATGATTAAAATGAGTGGTTTCACTGCACATTTGAAATGGAAAAACTTCAGCTAGTTTAGTTGACAAGTACAAATTAATATTAGCTTTGCATTAGATGGAATTCAAAATGGACTATGACATACTGATACTTGAAATGTGTGATTGATTTGAAGTCCAGTCAGTGCGATTAGGATGTTAACTTTTGACAGTAGTAAATCAATGTATTTGCACAAAAAAAGAAAGGAGTCTAGGATTAAACCCTGAGGAATACCATTTACAGTCATTGAACTAGCACCTGTATTAGACCTGCTAGCTCTAGAATCAAAATATTGAATTTTACATCACTTATCAGACAAGACAACAATTCCTATCCACTCTTTATCCTCAGCACAGGCTCAGGCTGAGTTCAAGGTGCTCAGAGTGAACAGAGCAGCTCAGATATCCTCTTTTATCAGCAACATCCTTGAACACTTCATGGTAATCCTGAAGGAATCCCAGATCAGATGAGAGATTACACATGTCAAAGTGTGGTTTATATGCACCTTTTTTGAAAGGTAGTGCCTTAAGGGATCCTGCAGGTGCTTAGAGTTTAAGGTCGGCGGGTTCTCATTGTGGATCTTTTAGACCTGTGACTTTACACTTCGCCAAATAAGTTCTTTAACCTGTAAAATATATGAAAACCTGGAATATCTTTCATTGCTATCCAAAGATCAATGTAAATGTTGTATTGATCACTTTTCCCTGTTGACCTGTGCTTTTACAGTCGTTAAATTTCAAGAACAGGCAAAGGTGGGAAAGTTGATATTCGACTCCAACATGGTAAAGATGAAATCCTCTTAAGAAATACTGCCACACAGTCCTGCCCGCTCTCTTCTTCATGCAGAATTTTTCTGCAGCTCAGCAGTGCTGCTGATCAATACGATAGCATAGAGAGAAGTCTGAGCCGACTTCAAAGGACTGCTCTCTGCCCTTGGCTGTTACTGGGAGCTGAAATGAGTGGAATAATGTGCATGGCAGATAGAGACACACACACGCACGCACGCATGCAGGGAACATTACATAGGTGACAGTCTGGGTGAGGTAGTGCCCTCCTTTGGGATTAACATAACATGAATGACATGTAGACCGCCATGAACCATTGACATGTGAAGTATATATACATGCATGTAATGGTATATGAGTTCTTAAAGTTGCTCTAAGCATGACAGAATTTCTAATGTTGTGGCTCCTTTAATGCTGCTGCTAGCATAGCTTACAGACATGTGTTAAACCAGGCCACAAAAACATGCCAGGGTCTGAGTGAGGCAATATACATTCACTTAGTGTGTAAATCAGTGTTATGAAAGGATTAAACACACAGGAATCGAACTATAGAGTCAGAGGACGGCGCTTCCTCTGCTGATCTTTCAACTCTCTTGCATAATGTGATTCGTTGTTTGTTGAAGAGTTTTCTCGGGGCTTTGCAATCTTCGTTTTTATTGCAATAATTTAACACATCTCTGTGATACGTGATGTGCATCAGTTTAAAAGAACAACATCAAAGCATTGATTTATTATTTATACTCAGCGTACTTGATAACTGTTCACATATGACGTCAAGATCTTTTTTTTTTTTTTTTTTGGTGAAATTTTTATGAATTTGTTTTTTAGTCAGAACAAAATAAAAGACACTTTCAGAGAGGGCAATACAGAGGTGTTTGACATGCAGTATTTTAAGTGAAGCCAATACCAAAGTGCATTCTTCACTTTGGCCAGCAGGGGGTGAATCCAGAAGCCTGATTATTTACTTGTGATTGATAGGCAGAAATATTAGACATATTCATAGTAGATTTAACTCACTAATTCTTGACTCTTAAAAAACAAAGTTGGACATGGCAACCAAAGTTTACCTCTAGCTTCATAATAGTGGTTGTTAAACCATAACGGTGTCAGTGTTTGTTTTAAACTGGCAGTCAGATAATTGAGTATTAATGCAACAGTGAAATGAAGCAGAGCTCCTGGGTAATTTCTCTAAAGGGCTCATTTATCTTCCTCCTCAGGTGCAGGCACCGATGCAAACGTGTGGATCATTGCTTTTGGAGAGAACGGAGACACGGGGACATTAGCGTTGAAAGAGTGCAGCAAGTCGAACAAGTTTGAGCGCAAACAATTGGACACGTTTCGCTTCTCGGATATCCTCAGCCTGGGAGAGCTCTCCAAGGTGCGAGTCTGGCACGACAACTCAGGTAAACCACCAGAATGACCGGCTGTCATTCTGCATACGGGGCTAGTTAAATCTGTTATTATAATAAATTACTGACTTAATGTGTCAAACTGAGGGAGAATAAGGAGGACTAAGAAACACAGACATCAGCCTCTATTTTCACTTTCTGTCTCTTTTGCCTCCTGACCTCGTTACACCCAGGCCCTGCCCCAGGATGGCACCTGGATTATGTCGATGTGAAGGATGAGATCATGGATAAAACATTTCGTTTTCCCTGTGACCGCTGGCTCGCTAAGAATGATGACGACGGACAGATAATGAGAGAACTGGCCTGTGCTAACAACGATTATCTGGACCTCAACGAGAAGACGAGTAAGCCTTGTGTTTACAACACATACAGATGTTTTAAGATTTCAGACTTCAGTCCTGTTTGATTCAGCAACATCTCCTCTGTAGTTTAATACCACTGGTCTCTTATAATTTGTTCATCAAAAATGGGGTCTAATTGTATACAATCTTATTCACCATTGTGTTGAGAGTTTGGTGTATGTTCTCTGTTAGAATTAAGACATTAAGGATGAAACTGAACATGTTTTCTACCTCTCTTAAGAATATGAAATATGCACCACGACTGGAGACGCAGCTGAAGCTGAAACCAAAGAAAACGCTTGGATTGTACTTGAGGGGAAAAAGGGCCGATCAAAAGAATTCGTAATGGAGAACTCCTCAAAGAAGAAGAGGTTTTTGCGGTGGGTACTTATGTGTGAGATTAGCTCAGTGAGCTGCAACTTGTCTGCGTGAACCTGCTTAAAGAAACGTATTTTCTTCCCCTCTTTTTCCACCTTTACACTTATTATGATAATCCTACCAGCAGCAAGCACTTGAGCTCAGAGAAATGCTGCAATCCACTCTTAAGACATTACATCATCCTGAAGAAAATTCATTCAGACACTTGATAAATGAGTCGAAACGTGTATTTTGAGCATGTTGTCTGACTGATGAGAAAACTGCTCATACTGACAGGATCATATGAATCTCTTTGTAGGGGAAATGTGGACAGGTTTGAGTTTTCATCCAAGAACCTGGGGGACATTGTTGGTATCTGCCTGGGACACACACCCAAGGATGGAAAGAAAGTAAAGGGGGAGGTTTTCTGGTATGTGGTGGAGGTCGTCGTCACTGAAAGGGAACTGGGAAACAGGTAAGACATTGGTTACTGCTCACTGACCCTCTTCTACACCCGCTTACCATAATCAGACTGCAGCCATTTCTCTCTGACATCATGCTCAGGGCTGGAATCGCAAATGCTGCAACAATTTTGTGATTCGGTGTTAACATTTTTAAATTGCATGGAAGTAGGAAACCTTAGAAATTCATCCTACCTGGATTTATCAGCGACAAAAGAGACTCGAGTCTGAAACTGTGAAAATCAACAGTGTTGTGGTGTTGTGTCATTCGCAAATAATTCGTTCAAAAGAACCGAATCTTTTAAGTGAATGTACTGATAAATGGCATACCATAGGACAGTACACTTAAAACTTCATGACAAACCTGTTTGCCAAAGCAACACAGCCAAACACTCTCATCTCCCTGTCCCAGAAGCTATGAATTGAACTGAATCCTGAACCGTTCATCTGAGTATCAGTTCAGGAGGTCGAAGTCTCAGGCTCCTCCTGCCAAATGCTGAATGATTCGGTGATATGATGAACAAATATTTTGAATGAATCTTTTTAGTGAACTGATTCTAGTGATTCAGTACATCTAAAAGAACTGTTCATTTGCCCATCACTACAGTATTGAAGTAACAACACAGCTTGGTTTCCTTTTTAGAAATCATAATTTCTCTGCTTTCTGTCTGTTACTTGCTTGATTTTGATTGGTCAAAACCTCATAACCAGAGTGATCAATCCACAGAAGGGAGTCCAGTTCATTTCACTGCTGCCTGTTGACACTGTGGCAAAAATGTTGGTTTCAATTTAACATACCAAGTTGGTTTACAAAGAAGAAAAAAAAGTCAGTTTCCATCTCAGGCTGGTCTTCAGAGCCTTGAAATAATAATGACAGTTACCAGGCACATATGTGAGAACAGCCTGAGGAGCTACTGGACCCCAACCAGCTCTGAAAAGGAAAAGCTGAGCAAGATCCTGTCTTACAATCCCAACAATGGCAACAGAGCTGGTGAGTTCATCTCTGAACCTCCAAGCACGATAAACTAGCTCAAATCTAAGTGGTAATAATAATAGATGGGACTGGGGAAATTGACTGGGATCAATTTGGCTATAATCCCAAATATTTACATGTAAATGTTCATCAAAATGTACTGTTCCCATTTTAAAAAATAAATAGATAGAAATAGTAACAGTGTTAAAAGTTCTAACTATATCACCTTATCCAATGTAACCTTCACTGAAAATGTTCAGTTTACATGAATTTGTCCCTCAAGGTGACTGATAAGACTCTGTGGCCCTGGAAGTGTTGAGTTTTTGAGGGTCTTGTTCCCCCTGAAGGGTTTCTGGATTACATAACCATTAGTTCACTATACATCATCCCTTATTAAGACAACAGGTAACAAAAGGACACAACCTTTGTCCATTATTGTTTGATAAATTAAAACCTTTTCATGACAGAAGCATCAATTCTCTCAATCATTCAGACTTTATTTGTATAAAACTTTAATGCAATATGCTGAAAGTCGTGAATGCTCAAGATAATATTGGCCAGTAATAAAAAGATATTTTATCTATAAAAATGAAGCTATTGTATGTCCTATGTACATTCTGATTTTAGTCACAAATGATTATAGAGGATATAAAATAGCAACTGATGTATTTTTTTTTTGTTGGTATATGATTTGAAACCTGAAACACTGCAGTATGACATTATGGCAGCATTTGAGCTTCAAACACCTTGCATGATGTTGGTGAGATATGACTGTCCTGAAGAGTTGGGCACACGTCCATCAATCTGTTAATTGTTCTTTGTAGGCTCAATTTCTTTGCTCTTACCTGGGCAGAAAGTATTATAGACAGTATCAATGCAGAGGCAGGGAGCCTGGTGAAATAATGGTGAATGACTCTAAATGGTAAATGACTCTGCTCTGAAAGCCACCTCTTGTGCCTGATTGTAATGCTGGTGCTATGAAGAGCTGTTCAGGAGTTGAGAGAGCTGGTTCTCGCTGGATCACTAAAAACAGTAATTCTCACTGTAAGGTATATCATTTCTCCTAATGGTTATTTACCTGAGAAAGGAGGAGAATCGACTTCTTGCTCTGACATGGTAAAATGAATCACAAACAACTTGGGTGAGAGCATGCAGCCTTTTAAATTTGATGGATCCCTGTTGCAGCAGGAGGGGGAGTGAACCATCAGGCTTTCAACAGGTTTTTTTTAGGCTAACATTATTGTAAACTTGAGCTAATTTCAAACTGGATTAATGTATTCACTTTGATCAAAGCTGACACCTTTGTTAACGGATTAACAGAGTTTTTGATTAGCTGTGCCCACCTCTGCTGCTCTGTGAGTATGGTAAAGGCTGAGGTCATTCATTTCTCTCTTTACAGCGTTATTTGTTGCTCACTAGTTGTTTTCTCTCCTCATCTTTCCAGGTACTTCTTCAGTTGCAACGCCGCCATCCCTCTCTCTCCAAAAAGGGACGAGTTCTTGACCTTTGAGTGCACTAAGGCCATTGAGAGCTTTGCCAGTAAAGCTCGCAGCCTTGTACCCGTCAAGTATGAGATAATCGTTATCACTGGTGATGAGAAGGGAGCGGGCACAGATGCCAACGTTTTCATCACTATCCACGGCTCCAATGGGGACTCAGGCTGCCGTCAGCTGCGGCAGAAGTTTCGTAATCTATTCGAACGTGAGCAAACAGACCGTTTTGTTCTGGAAATGCTTGACATGGGGGAGCTGCAGAAAGTCCGGGTAGAACATGACAATTCTGGTTTGAGCCCTGGATGGCTTCTCGGTAGAGTGGAAGTCACTAATACAGCCAACGGTGTTACTACAATTTTCCTCTGTGGAAAGTGGCTCGACACAAAGAAGGCAGACGGGAAGATCGTCAGGGTCTTGTATCCAAAATATTAGTAGAAGTATTATTTATTTATGAAAACTACCACTGCAGAGAGATCTCCACTCATGCTCAGTAGAAGTTACCAAAGAGATTCTGCTCTGGGAAGTTTTTAAAACTCAGGAAGGGAGAACATTTTTACACTCAAAGGATCTTTTTTTTTATGACACTTTGGTTAAATATTTTAAAATACCTGGAAATACAGCCTGTGACAATGTCTTCTTAGGTACGGAGGCTGAATGTGCCATTCTTTTTAAGTTTCGTATGTCAGGGATGGTTTGTTCAGTCGCTTTGTTACAAAGGAGGTTTTATAAAAGATTAAACTCTTTTGTAATACTCAGACGAAAATTTCATCTTGTCTTTTTTGATGGTGCATCCATGCAAACAACATCTACAACAACAATAACAGAACTTCATTAAAAAACTGCAAGAATATTTATCTTATAACAAGAATGGTTTGAAGGTGATTGAACATAACTCAGATTTATCAGCTCAAACAGTTAGAAGTTAGAGAAGAGGTGCATGAAGAAACTGAAGTTAAGAAGATTTATTTCAAAGTTAAGTCCAATATTACGACGAGTAATAGGGCCACATTAGGAAAAGGAAAATTTAAGACTCTGAGATTAAAGTTGTTAACTTACGGGAACAAAGTCATTACTAACAAGAATACAGTCATAATAAAGTAATTCCTTACGAGGATTAAGTCGTGATAAAATCATTACTTACAAGAATAGAGTCAAAATAAAATAATTACTTACAAGAGTAAAGTCAGAATAAAATCTTTATATTCTAACCTGTTGTTTAAGATGACAATGAGAGCTGTGGAGCATTTCATAAAAATGTACTTCAATATAGGTCTCCCAAACAAGAAGATACTTAATCTTTTGGCACATCAGCACCACATTATCATAAGTATAGTAGTAGTTAATTAGGACTTAATTCTCACAAGAAATTATTTTATTACGACTTCATTCTCGTAAGTAATTACCTTATTACGACTTTATTCTCCTAAGTAACTACTTTATTACAACTCTATTCTCGTAAGTAATTATACTATTATGACTTTATTCTCATAACTACTTTATTACAACTTTATTTCCGTAAGAAATTACTTTATTATGACTTTATTCTCATGAGAAATTATTTTATTACGACTTTATTCTAGTTATTAATTACGTTATTACAACTTAATTCTACAGTAGTGATTTTATTACAACTTTATTCTTGTAAGGAATGATTTTAGTACGACTTTATTCTCATAAATTTATGACTTTAATCTCAGCCTTTTTTTAAATAATGTGGCCCTAAATACTCTGTTGTACAATACAAAGTAATCATACAGCAGATTTAAAAAAATTTTTCATCTTATGTAATATCTGCGTCAAGTTGGAATCACATTTTTCATTTTGGGGAAAGACTGAAACAAAAGACATGGAAACAAGCTCGTCCATTTTATGCAATTTATTACAAAAAGAGCACATACAAAAGGATAATATACAAGCCATGAAATAAAATTCAAATTAAAAAACAAAACAAAACGGTTTGGGTTTAGCAATGCAACTTTTGAAATCATTATCATCATTATTAGTAGTAATAATAAATTAAGTACAAAATTCCACCACATGTGAATCTAACATTTACGCATAATATGCTCATCCATTTCTCTTATCAACACACTCATCACTTAATGCGCTATTGCTTTAATATTAATGATAAATAGTTCTGTTTTCAGATAAAATATCCTATATTGAAAAACATTGCGCAGTCACAGCTAAAACAGCAGATTTTCATACAAGGATGGCGGCAGCCCTTTCACTGGCACTTTTTGGGATATTTTCTCTTCAGCTTTGTTCGTCAGTTTCAAACAGCAACAAAATTCATATTTTTTTATTCTGTTATATTCTTTGTATACATTTTTCACCATATACTATTAAACCATTGAGACTATATTGAAACCTGAGAAAACATGCATTTTTAGAAAAGGTTGTGCTTTAAAATCCTTGCCTTCCTTTTTAGAATGAAAGGAAACAAAGGAGAGATTCTGAGAGGAGAGATGGACGGTAAAACAAGAAAAAAAGAGAAGCAAAAAGGAGGAGAAAAGAAACTGAAATTAACTAAAGTGGGAGTTTTGTAGTAGTTGTAAAGCCCACAGTGAAACATGCCTCTTTAAAGAACTATTTCAACAATATGTAATGCAGTAGCATCACAAACCAGCAGCTGTTTTGCTTAAATTTTGAGAGTAATGGCTTTTGTACATCCCTTCCAAATATTGTCCTAGCTCCTTCATTTGAATTATAATGAAACCAATAAGGCATGGTGGCTTCATGGACTGATTGTTTTGATGGTTTGGGGAAGATGGAAATATCTCCTAACACTTAAAGCGAGGCACTTGTTATGTTTAAGTCGAACAAAGAGAAACACAAGGGAGACGAGAAAAAAAATCAAGATAGATACAAAGAGTTAAAGTATAGGAACATGCTTCACTGATGATCATTAAGACCCATAGTGCATTGTGAGAAGCAGAGCATACAAAAAAAAAAAACATGTTCTTAGAGATAATATCAAAATTATCTATACTAACTGTTTTTTGCCAGTGAGAGGGTTCCCATAGTTAAACAAGTGAGTGCAAAACAAAAAATCACAAACTAAAAAAGATTCACTTCATTGCAGTTTGTCCACTACATCACAGCATGGGGGATCAGAGAAATTGCATTGAATGGAATGTAACCAAGATCCACAGCACCACATGAGATAGTGACAGATAAAAAGAGAGATAGATAGAGGGAGAGAGATAGAGAGAGATATAGAAATAGAAAGAGAGAGAGAGATGGATAGATAGAGAGAGATAGATTGAGAGAGAGAGAGAGAGAGAGAGAGAAAGAGAGACAAAGAGCGGGCTCAGTAGCTCAGCGTTGGACAGTAAACATCGCACAGCCAGCTTGTGAAGATCAAACAGCAGGGCATCTTTAACTTTAGTGTTCCAAATAGTACAACTGCATGCAAAGCATTCCCATTTAAAACAATGCAAAAATGAGGTAATTGTTTTTTTCATAGCATTTTTGTTATTTCTAAATAAATAAATTATGATTCGATCGCCCAACCCCACCCCCCACCCCTCCCAAGAAAGAAAACTATATAAAATTAAATACATACCCACAATATCTACAGTTAGTAATAAATTATGATTGTTAAATACTTAAGGCATTTCAACTGACAACACCCTGTGTAAACTATGAAAACTTCATCACAGATGACTCCACTACAGGAGGAGGCAGCGTTAACACCAGCAGCACACAAGACAGGGAAAACTGATCCGTGCTCCATGACCATCAAGACCAGTTCTTCACTTTCAAAGCAAAGGTCCCAAAGGTGTCCTTTAACAGAAAGCAGACCAGTCAGACTAATGCTGCGTTTTCACCTTGAGAGCTCAGACCGAGAACTGGAAACATTACATAAGATCAGCTCGATTAGGCAATTTAACTGGACTACTGTCCTTGTCTGAGTTTACAAGCACTGGGCAAGAATTAAATTATTAACAGAAGCGTGTTCGACTCTGTTACAGTAGGTGGCGACATGCCCTCTTTCAACACGCTACTATCAGGTTGTCTCCAGATTGGTCTATTGTGTACCAAAACAATCAACGAAACCTGTTAGCAAGAGCCCAACAGAATGTTTGTCCAGCACTGTCACCTTAAAGGTCCTTACACACCAGGATCGACGCAAATATCCAACGCGAAATTACAAAATAACCTGAGGCGAATTTTGACGCGCCTGACTATACACATCAAGCCTGATGCGATTTTGCGACTTTCCAGGGGGAAAAAAGACGCGTCCCAGGTGGAAGCAAGAAGACTGACACAACAGCAGACTGACTGTTTTTCAGTTCTGATTAGACACTAGTGTTAAGATGGCTGTCTGACATGATAGCATGTACTGAGTCGGGGCCAGTACCAGATAAGCACATTAAACTATAATCCATAAACGTAAGGTAACAACCGAGACCTAATGGTGCTGTGACAGCAACGCGATTGAGTTTGAGACAGTGAAAATACATATGGTATGTTGTATCTGAACAGGTTAGCTTATGAGCTAAAGTTACTTAGCACAGATGAAAGTTAAAACAAAGACTGAGCGTGACACAAAAAATAAATGCCGCAATATCGCAGAATGGGAAAACGTCACTGATGTCACCGCTTGTATTGACAGGATACGGGTTCAAAAAAAAATATTGATGTCCGAAATAATCGCATGACAAAAACGGTCCCGGTGTGAAAGGACCTTTAGGGTTCCAGGGACTTTATTTTATCCCTGCAAAAGTTCCCTGTAGGGAATAGTACTCTCTGAAAGTACAGGAACTCTTGGGTAGTATCTGAAGAGCACTGAACACTTTTGGTCTGTTGAGTACTAGCAGTATTTTGCTGATGTTTGGCTCAATCTTCAGCAGGCAAGAGGAACTTTTTAATCTCTTAAAAAAACCTTAAAGGTATCCTTTTCAAAAAGAAAGACCAGTTGGATTGTTCATCTGTTCCACAACAAAGACTTTCTTCAAGAAATAAAGACTTAAGGAGACTGAAAGTATAAAGATTTTAGGGCTCCACACCTTAAAAATCCCTGCTAGAAAAGTAGTACTTTCTAAATGTACCTGTACTTTGCTGTCTCACCTCACAGCTCTGAACTTTACTGATTAGCACTCAGGGTATTCAGAGACTCTTTGACAGCTCAGCAGACAAAGATGTTTGATCATGGGTCTTTAGATCTCAGCGGAAATGCGGATGACTTGGAGCTTGAGGAACCTTTAAGTTAGAAAAACAGCTCATGGTACTAACAGTTCTGGGTATTTTTGGTGGAAACGCAGCTTTAGTGATAGAAGGGACTGTCTCATCTTAACAGCCCCCTTCCTGTTGTGCTGTTTTTTGTCTGTGTGCACTGCAAGAGCCAGGCTGCCTCCGTCTCACCACGTTCTACATGTTCTAGCAATACAGCATAGCAACCAGCATAGCAACCACAAGGGGAGGTCTGTCACACAAATACACAAGATCAATACGTAAGCTCCTCTCCGCTGAAACACTGCATGAATCTAGACCTAAATATAAACCAAATGCAATACCAAGGAAAAATCTTTTGTTGCTATATAACTATTGTCACATGTGCTTGTTCTTTAGGCATTAAGGTAAACATCAAAAAGAGGATCCCAGCGCTGCCACAAAAGGGACCAGATGAACACACGCTACAAGTCAGGGGGAGCAGCCACTGACACCGTGCTCATTTTTTTTTGTTTGTTTGTTAGTGTTAAGAAGATAGTCACAGCTCAGATTAACTAAGTCATGCAAAGCCATCTCTGTACCGTTTGAAACTGCAGAAACGCTACCAAAGCAGCCGCCCAAGTCGACAAAGAAACATGCATTTTTTTGAAGCACACACTGTTCTGCCGCTGGCCCCACGCCAGACAAAGATTCAGGTACAAGGGCAGCTAAATCTTCCTCCTACTTTCCTCTGCAGTGCACAATAGTTTCCTTTTTCTTCATCCTTTTTTGGCTTTGTGTTTCATAAGCACTCCAGTGGCCATGCTGTTAACCTACAGCAAGTTTTAAGTGTTACACACACGCTCATATTTGCATGTTCCAAACATCCACGCGTTACTTCAACACATTCCTTAAGTCACGCACACAACAGGGCCGAGCACACACGTAAACCTGCTTGAGGCTCAAGCTACACAGTGACATAATGCATTTTGGTGAGAACACTTTCTACCTATTTTGAAGTTTTACAACACACACATGACAACTCGATCACTTGGCTCGGCTTTTCACGGCAGTGAAAGAGACCTACTCGCACGACACCAATCCAAGGTAAATATATTGCAAAATGTCAAAGCTGCATGATAGAATTAAAACACTTAGCTAGCTAGTGCAGCAACAGCGCACCAGATTATCACTTATTGGTTACTGCTACTCTACCACGACCACAAATGATCTTTAGGTAAACATGGCATCAGAGCATTTAGGTTTTCTTGTGTGGCAGAATATTCACTTTGATTGAATTGTGTTTAAAAGAGAGAAATATATATTTGTATATATATTTATATATTTAGAAAGAGAGAGAGAGAGTAAGAGAAAAGTAGCCAGCTCAGTGTAAGGTTATGTGTTTTTCACTCTCAGGACATTAAGTCATGGCTTTGAGGACATGCTACACAGCCCGTGGCTACCTACAGTACAACACCACAACAGCAACAACACCCCACTTACAACCAGCAAGCTACAAGTAAACCCTGTGTACATGAGTATGTGTGTGTGTGTTTGTGTGTGTCTTTTGCCTCCAGAAGGATGTGCTTCTTTAAAGAGAGAGAGAGAGAGAGAGAGAGAGAGAGTCCTTGGCGGCCTCTCGTGCAGTTAGCTGTCCTGGCTTGGCTCAGTTAAAGCGTGAGTCAGAAGAAGTAGGGTGGTGATGTCACATGACGTCTGGAGACATTTGGCAAAAGCACCCAACGAGGGGGAGGAGGAAAGGGTGGAAGAAAGCAAGAACCACATGAGAGGAAAGGTGGTGGGGGGTTTGAATCTCATCAGCTGTCAGGGTTCAGCTGTGTTTCGATGTCAACCCGACAGATGGGACACTTCCTGCTTGTGGCCAGCCATTGGTCCACGCAGCCTTGGTGGAAGAGGTGCATGCAGGGTAGTCTCCTGGAGGACACAGAGACACAGACACACACAGGGACAGTGTTAATTCACATCAGCAAGCATCGGTGCCTCTCAGAGGAGGCAGTTATGTACTTGCAGGGAACTCCTAAATCCTGCAGAGAGGTAGTTTTTTCAACCCAGGCATGAAGAGACGACTTCTGTTGAGTCATCGACCCTCAGAGCTGCACAGACAGCTGAGACTCCATATGCTGTAAACCGAGACGCTTTCCTCGTCCCAAGGTGATACTCCAGTCCCCACATCGTACCCCCCAACTTGATTTTTGATGAATGTGTATGTGCACATGCTCACATATGTTCTCTGACAGAGAGTTAAACAAGAGTCCAGATTTGACTCTGTAGTCCATCCTTTAAATAATTAAGGTCAGCTTGGCTTAAAGGAATATTCCGGCGTAAAATTAAGTCAGGGTCAAACACACTGTAACACCGAGTTAGACACTCTGTTGAGAGATGAATGTTGCCGACCGCTTGCTTCTCTAGCTCAACCAAAATGCCACTCTATGCCCACAAATAATGCTAAGAACTGCACCTAACTTTATCAACAGTGCATATAGGGTCTTTTTAGCTTTGCCTGATTTCTTTAGCAAAGAGACTAAACACAACTCACCTACTCTCCTCCAGCAGCTGCTTGTTTGTAGTGAGACTTCAGGTCAGTCCATTACAGACTACAGCAGGGTGACGCAGCTCAAGGAAGAACATTTATGATAATTTCTTCATGGAAATGCAATCAGATCGAGACGCTAAGGCAACTACTGCATCTGCAGTGCAAAATGATTAATATGGTGATTATTACTCAATAAAATTATAAAGTAATGATCAAAAATGTTCTTCCTTGAGCTGCGTCACCCTGCTGTAGTTCGTAATGGACTGACCTGAGGTTTCACTACAAACAAGCGGCTGCTGAAAGAGAGTAGGTGAGTTGTGTTTAGTCTCTTTGCTAAAGAAATTAGGCAAACTTAAAAAGATGTTTGGTGGCTAGTGCTGTGGCTGGGACCCTATTTGTACTGTTGATGAAGTTAGGTGCTGTTCTGAGCATTTTTTGTGGCTACAGAGTGGTGTTTTGGTTGAGAGTGTGGCTTTCTGCATTGCTATTGTGCGGTTGTTACTAAAGTTGGTGTAACTAGAAAAGCAAGCGGTCAGGAACATTCATCTCTCGAGGGGGTGTCTAAGTCTGTGTTATGGTGTTTTATTACCCTAAATTAATTTTAAGCCGGAATATCCCTTTAACAAATTTATCAGATTCTGCAAACTAAAATTCTTTTTTTATTGCTGTTTAACCTAAATCATCTATAAAATCCTTTAAAACACATCAACGTGTATGTTTTTGAAATTTTTCGTAATTTTGAGATTTCTGACCTGACATCCTCCCCGTCCTCCAACATGGACAAACAGATGGTGCACTTCTCATCCACATCTGTTTCCTCCTCCTCCCCAATCTTCAGCTGCAGGGGCTTTCTCTGTTAGCAGGTCAGATTACACAGAGACAAAAGGTTAGGCTAAAAGAGCCTATTGTAAATCAACTACCAGTTAATGTGTCTGTGTGCCATCATCTTTTACCTTTTTGTACTTGTGTGGAAAGGTGAACCTCTCTATGGTTGTCTGAACAGCTCCTCTGCTGACACTCCCAAGCCGGTCTTCCAGCTGCAACAGCTCCTGGAGCAAAAGTCAACATACATTATGACAAAATCAATACAACAATAATTATGTAACAGCTTAGTTATAAAGATAAAATCCTGATCAGACAAGTTCATGACGTGCTTGAGTACATTGAGTTTAATCAGAACATAACAGTGTGGCAGCAGTTTCAAGCTCCCCGACACTTAAGTGTTTATAAAAGACAGAAATACCTCATAACTTTCTCGGACAGCTGTGGCGTGCCTCGAAGGATTCAGACTTTGCAGTGCCAACAGGTGCAGCTGGGGGTATGGGTAGTTTCTGATTTCATGCACAACCTAAGAGAATAAGAGAAGCCTCATTTTATAACTCTTGTAATAATAACCCAGCAGTCAGACATAGTTTTGTCCATTGCTTTGATGCACTCTTAGTGAGAAAGGACATACTTTGTTTAAATACTGTAGATGGAACAAACATTTTTTAAGTTGTGGGTCACTGTCTAAATAGAAACCCTAGATTTGTAGAACCAATACTAACATACTGTTCTGCCCCAAACCATGATATAGTCCTGAAAACCTAGACAGAGTCTCTTGAGATTAAGGTACCAATTAAGTTCAGGTGATTATAGTTTATTTTTTATCAAAGTTATGAATGAAATTTTCACTTTTTGTTTGCATGACTGTGGCTATACAACATCGCATCAGCATACAGGTACCAGTTATGTCCTGAATAAGGCTATGAGTTATTAAAAAATGGTAAAAAAGCTTTAAACACAGACCCAGATGCTGACATTCAGCATCTGGGTCACGTATTGCTAAAAAAAATTAGGCAAAGCTAAAAAGATATTTGGTGGCTAGTGCTATGGCTGGGACCCTATATGTACTGTTGATGAAGTTAGGTGTTGTTCTGAGCATTATTTGTGGCTATAGAGTGGCATTTTGGTTGAGGTTTGTTTATGGCTCCTCAGACCGCTGTGTATTACTATCATGCGGTTGTTACAAAAGTTGGTATAACTTGAGAAGCAAGCGGTCGGCAACATTCATCTCTCGATGGGATGTCTAACTCGGTGTTACGGCATGTTTGACCCTAAATTAATTTTACGACGGAATATCCCTTTAAGTGAAAATATTTTATATGGACATCATTAAAACAGGTCTGCTTGGCTGACACCTACCCCCTTGCAGTGGTTTCGGGCATAAAAAATAACATTCAGGAATCAGAATTCATGTTGCTGATGATCTATTTTGTTTTTGGATATCATGGAAAACCATCAAAATAAATTTCAGTCTGTTTCTTGGAGATAAAAAAAAACTCCTCACAGGAGCTTTAATAAAAAAAGATTTAGATTTTCTGCCATGATGTTTATTAGTAAGTGGAGTGATACACCTACTTTTGTTATCCTTATCCAATCAGATTACTTGGTTTGAACTAGCTGTGGTATAATGTGTGATACTGAAAAGCAATAGGCAATTGTACATTCTAAATATATTGTAGTGTTTAACATACCACTTGTGCAGATGATGTGTTCCTTGGAAAGTGATGCATTCGCGGGGAGGCCAGGTAGTGCTGATAGTGCTGCGGAAGCTGCTGGAGCTGGTACTGATGATGAGGAAGGCCAGTGTCGACGCTGAGATCCCTGCAGGCAGACAGACAGACAAGGGACTAAATCATCATTGTCAGCCATGACAGGCAGTGTGACAAACAGACAGATGGGTGCACAGATGACAGGACAGGATCATTTTTGGACTCCACAGGACTCATGTTAATCTCCGACAGGGGGGCTCACCAGTCAGTGCCTTCAGCCAGGTAGCGCTGCTGCTGTGTCATTGGTTGAGGGACGTGGAGGGGTGGGGAGTACTCGTAGCCTGAACGCAGTCTGTGGGGGTTCAGGGGTATACGCTCCTGGGTTCTTCTGAAACAAAGACAAGATAAAGACACTAGGTTTAAAGACTGATTTGTTTTTTCACTTTGTGGATTTTGCAATTGAACTTTTGGTACCATGATTAATCTACTATTATTTCATTTCATGTTGAATTAAATATCGATCATCAGATTTTCACCTTGAGTGTGGTAGGATCCTGCGGTGCTGCGCTTCTATAAGCTGCTGCTGGATGAGGTATTGCTGGTGTAAGGCCTGAGGTAGGAATGGTGGCCCTGGCACATCCTGGAACTGCGGGGGTGCGGGCAGGGCAGTGAGGGGCGGTGGCGGGTGATGCGCCGGGGGCAGGTGGGTGGCCAGGCCTGTCTGAGGCTGCTGGCTGGCGTGACCCAGAGGAAACTCTGCTGAGATGGGCGCCTGGGGAGCACCCAGGTGAAAGTGTCGGCAGGAGGTAGCATGGCTGTGCTGATGCCTGGTGAAGTGTGCTCCTATGGGAAATCAATGGAGGGACCAGAACTGAGTCGGATAAAGCCTGAGATCAGTTTCGTTCAATCAGACACCACATGGAGACCCAGACAATTCAGTGACGAGGACATTTTCACACGTAATTGCAAAATCGAGCACTTTCTGGCTTTCTCACGCACACAAACACTTACAAATACATTTAACAAGCGCTCACACAGAGAGAACATGGAAACAGGACAGACCCGACACTGGAAGAGACAAGACAAGACAGACAAAACAGCAGACAAAACAGCAGATGGAAGACTCAGACATTGAGACCCCTGTGGAGCTCTGTGAAAACCCACACACAGATTGCACCCATTGCCATTGTAGAAAGGACGGATCTTCACAAACAGTCTGGTGTATTTCAAAGATCTACAGTACTGTGAATTGTCTGAGGTCCATGACTTCTCAGAAATCTTCTAAATTATGTTTTTTGTATTTGAGGTAACTCATATTCAACCATAGATCTCCCATTTAAACTCCTCCATGAAAGCTAAGGTGGGGTCATAGACTTGTCTGCCCCTGACTTCCTCCCTCTTCCCTCACACCTTTCCTATCAGAGGTGGAGACATGAGATAGTGTGCGAGTCCAACTGAAACACCTCTGTATCCAGTTGCACAAAACAATCGATACGAATTACTCCAAGCCGAGAGAAATAGAAGGCTGGGAGGAGGGTGAAGTTGGGACACACAGTTACTCTTGCAGCCTCCTATTACTTCTTTCTAACTCTCTGGAACAGGAAGCAGACAGCGTGATAGGATACCTTAGATTTGTGCTGTTAAATAGCTTCATAACAAATAAGGTCTGTTTAAATTGGGAGAAACAATTGTCTCACATACTGCTCTGAAACTGATTTCAGCATGGAAGGGAGGCTGTTGCTAAGCTGATAGTATATAATACACATTTGGCCCAAAATATGCTTAAAAATCTGTTCAAACCTTTTATGAACCACAACATGAACTAAAAACACGCTTCCTTACCTGTAAAGATAGTTGGGAATTATAATGATTTACGCATGTACATGCCAGAGAAAGGCTTAACTGCATTTGTAAAGTGCCATGCTATACAGTTATTCCTGTTTGAAGATTTTATGCTACGCCAGATTGGCTTTCCTACGGGGTTGTTACGAGGACGTCGCCTAAGGAGTGATTTAAAAGTAGTAGCTATCCACTTGTCTACCAGATGAATAAATATGTATTCCCCAAAATGTCTAAATCCTCACTGAAGTGTTGCTACTGTGGCATTTTAGTGTGTTTTCATGATTTCATTGTCAAGCTTCATTTTACCTAGCCTCCGGACACGTGGAGCCATTGAACCTAGAGAACCATGAGCCATCGGACATGTGTCTGAGGAATTAGAGCAGAAACGGCAGACTGTTGGTGTGGATTGTTAAGGCTGTGTACCACTTTGTGTGAACCTTGTGACCCTACAAGACTGGACAGAAGCTTTGAGTTAATATCAAATGATCTGCCTTTGGGCTGTTTCACAGTGTGAACCACTGACATTAATATTTGACATACTGCAGTGCTGCTGGCACTAAAGCCCCAATGCTGTTATCATTTCGTCTCTGCTTTGCTTTAGACTTTCAGATAGAAAATGTCTGTTTGGTGCGTAGCAGACCCCCATCCATTCATCCATGCACACTCACACACACACTCACTCACTCACTCACTACCACCCACCTCTCTTCACCCCTGTGCTGCTGCACAGGCAGCCCCTCCCCCACAGTGTGGCTGCGGCATGGCGTCCCTGTGTGAGTGACAGCCGTAAGCCCTGCCCAGCCGCGACTGCAGCAGTCTGACATCGAACCTGTCTCCCTTTTTCCCTCCCCCCTCCCTTCTCTGCAGCTTTATAATCGCACCACCTCTCTAACATAATCCTGTCTTCTGCCTGGTGTGGTGGTCTTTCATCATAGGACACTGTGGTTACGTAGTTTTTCATTAAAACCCCACAGCTCCTCTGGCTGATATCACTGATTAGAAAACTCACAATCACAGTGAGGGACTAATGAATGAAATCAGCCTAGCTATTAGAGGGGAAATCTCAAAACAGTGAATGCTCGCTCATTTCTCACTGGCTTTGATTGTAAACATCGGTTAAATAAGTGCAAACTTTGTGCCAAAACACCTAAAATTAACATGTTTGAAACCAGTGCAGCTTCTGTAAATTAACATGCACTATCACTGCTGAGCTATTTAAAAGTGTCTTACAGCTGGTAGCTGTGGAGAAATGTGCAAACATGCAGGGTTATGTCTAAGACACACCTTAGTCCCACACATAAATAACTTGTGGCTATTTCAGACATTGTGGACACATGTAGGGCTTAAGTGGCTCTGAAGAAATGGCAAGAAGTCACAGACTTCTACAGCTCTTTAAACACCCGATTTTATGTTTGAAATAAAATCTTTCACACTTTGAAATGAATGACACCAAAGCCTGTGCTGTATGTTGTAACCACTGTCAAACTCTTTGCAGAAAGCTTTTTGATGAATCAATTTTAGAGTTTCATTAAGAACCATGAAAATAGTTTTGGATTTTAAATATTTTTAGAGCTCCTTAATCATTACAGACTCTTACGGGACAAAATAAAATACAATACCACCATAACGGTGACCAGAATGTCAACCCTTTATTTTGACATATTACTAACGTCCTGCAGTGACTAATTTACAGCTATAATGTCACATGAACTGAATTGGGTTTCCTTCCTCTGTTGTCAGAAGCAACAAAAGGCTTGACTGGATGACTAGAGGAATTCATTCTGACATTATAAAGCTGTGAGTAGCTTGTCTCTGCGATTCAATGGTTTATTTGTATAAATGTGTCAAGGTCTGTTCTGCTCATCAGTGAGCAAAAGACTGGATAAAAGGGGCCAATAGTTGACTACATTACACAGACACAGTTATAACACTCCACAGATGAAATAACTGCCTTTTGCAGATTGAGTGAAATTGATTTCTACTATATTTGAAGACTCATAAAGGAATAGTTGTACATTTAAGTGGCGCAATAAACAAGAGGATAAACCCTGCACATACATGTATATTTGTAACCGTGAAAAGCTAATCTACTAATCTAAAAGCTACCATAATCCACCTAGAGTGCCTTAAAAGGTCAGTCATTAACATGCTGTCTGCCATTTGTTAAGTCCATAAAGAAGTGTAAAAATAACACTTAGCTGTTATGGGGGTTTTGTGGCAGACTCAATCTAAGGGTCTGCTTGAGCCAAAAGAAACAGACCAACACACAACACAAAAAAGCCCTTTTTGTAATTGAACAAATGCAGTAAATTAGTTGGTCTTGGAGGTGCTAGTAGGCAGATTTTGTTGTTTTGAGTTAAAGCGAAGATACTAGTTTCCAGTCTTTGTCCCAAACTGGGCTAAAAGCTTATTGATAAAGCTTAATTTTGAGTATACCTTTGTGGAAGTCTTACTGAACTCTAAACTCTGAACTTTAAACCGCTTTTTGATGCTGCTTTGTGTATGTGTATATGGAAAGGATACACCTCTAAAGCTTCTTACACTAAGCCGTGAAAATCTCCACATACAAATAAAACGGGGAACATCTTGATACACCACAGACAACCAGTTTGTACCATTTTACCATGTTGGAGAAATTATTCATATTTTGGGGTGTAATTAACCATCTAAGGTAAAGCTGCAAGTAAAGAGACCCAAAAATTATCAGATTTTTTTCTGCATCAGATTGTTGAATTAACTCAAATTTTCTTTTGGCTTGTTCTTATTGAAGAAAATGCACCCAAGTTTGTTTCCATCAATGTTGATATCAAAAGATAAAGACCATCAAGGAGGACTCTCATTTTTCCCGACTGACACCAGTGACCACCAATGAGTGAATGTGAGGAGGGCTGTGGTGCTCTGTAAACACTGTAGGGGTTACGAGGTAATGACAGCGCATCACAGAAACTACCAGTGCTACTGTGGTTCAGATTAAACATGCTTTTGTTTTTTATATCGAAATAGATATACATTTGTCACTCCTACTTTACAGAAAGCAGAGCAGCAACTTGAGAAAAGTCTGTCATAGACAGCTGAGAAATGAGAGCACATAGAGAGTGAGGGGACCGTCTCAGTGACAGCACAGTGTGAAGGGAGGAAGGGGAGGAACACATGGAAATCAGCAAAAAGCACACTGAAGGTTAGAAAGAAAACTACAGTCTTTATTGGAAAATATTAGTATGTGTGGCACTGTGTGATAATAGTAATAATAAGAGTAATATCTCTGATATAATCGTAATAATACCATGCAAATAAAGACCAAAGGCAAGGCCCGACCATGCTCTCTGTAGGGTTAACAGAACAGAAGCAGCATCCAATGAGTAGATGTGTATGCTTACAGCACAGTTCAGTATAGCAGGGACATCTCTACACAAAGTTTACATTGGAATCTGCTGTTCAATGTGGAAAAACAGAAAGTATAAAATGACCATGCATTAGGATCTAATACAAGAACATAAGGTAGAAAACAACAACCAAAGAATAAAAAAGACATTTTCATTCTAAAAGGAGTTCTACAGCAGTGCAGGATATACACATCCCTGTAAAATGGATAGCATTCTGGAGGAGATTTCAGAGGAGGGGGCTGTGCATGATAGTGGATTGAAAAAGGGAGTTTTTTTTATTCCTTCTGAATGGCAAGATGAGTTAGACCTGACTTGCCAATTTCTCAATTCAGCTAGTAGGAACAAAGGCTTTTGCACATGGATAGGATTATGAGCAGTTGTTTATGCTACTATAACAGGTGCAGTGGACCATCAAATGCAAAAATAACCGCACACATAAATCAGGGATTTTAGCTCTGTGCATGTTGACCAATTGTTATATTACTTATAAATTATCAAAGAGAAGGTGATTATACAAGTACTTGAAGTATGCTGGTACAATGCACCTTTGCAAATAAGGAATGGAAAGAGTTCGATCAAGCCTGGCTATAATCGAATCGAGGGGAAGGGGATCAAAATGTATCCACTTTACAGAAATTTACAGCAGAATGTAGTCTATCCACACTGAATGGGAGAATCACAATGACAGTCGGTAGTAAAGTCTAACGCTACAATGGGTTATTCACTGAAGAGCAACATGACAGTTTAAATAAAGACAGTGTTTTTTCTCTACAGAAGGTGTTATTCTTTAGTCTGTTACACAGAAGGATACGGTATGAGTGGGAACTCGGTTTTAATGCCAATGTCGTCTTCAGATGGAAAGAGGAAATGAGGAAGAAGGGGTTCACAATACAGCTAGATGCAGAGAACAGGCAGAGGCTACGGCAGACAGCAGCAGATGATCGTTAGCTACACAATGGAGGGGGACAAAGGTCTGAGAAATGCGGAATGTAGAGCCAGCCTCGATACTATGGAACAGGAAAAAAGAACACAAATAAAAGCACAATGAAATCATTGGTGCTACTGCATGTAGTTTTTAACAGTGCAAATTATTACCACTACTATTATTATTACATAATCAACACAGATAGCCTGCTGCAATGGAGGATGATGTTATTGTTATTATGCCCAATTCAGCAAGTGGATTACTCATCTTTGCATGCTGGAGGTGCAATTATTGGGTTTCATTTGACGCTTTTTTTAAGGGTTCAAGGCAAAATTTCCACCATTTTAAATCCGTTTCTAAAAGCTAGTTGTGCCCCCTTTTTAAGCTACGTGTATTAGTAGACACTACCTGCATTAAATTGAAAATAGGAGAATTAGTAGACACTTATTCACAATTATTAAGGTAAAAAGAGGAGGAATTAGAGAAAATTTGATTCCAGGTTTCACAGTAATGAGAAAACTACTCTTTGTAATGCTTATTCGGACACAGTGGCCAGCTTGCTTGGCCAATTTCATGAAAACCCCCAAACAGAGATTGTGATACCAGCTAAAGCTTGGCTACTAACCGTCGCTATTTCAAGCTGTTACCTAGGTAACGTCAGCTAGCGGTGTGACTGTACAAAATAGCAGTTAATGCACGTAAACATCGCACGAGGTAAAAAAGATAACCGCGCGAGCCGCTGTAGCTGAGCACAGCTGAGGGTAAAAGAAAAGCGGTGGCTGCCATTTGACAGCTGCAGTCATTTGGTGCTGTTAAAGAGGCCCTGGCGCAAATATTTACAGCCTGTGTGTAAAATTATATGTATCCAGTTACATACAGCACGTTGTTACGGTTTCGGTTCGGGCTAAATTCGCGCGACGCTACAAGCTAGGAAGACAGATTCTGTTATCTACGCTCGACTGTCGCGATTATGCTGGCTTGCGTTTTTCGCTAGCAGGTGTCATCTCTGTTTACATCATTTGAGGACATTTAAAAAAAAGAAAAGCGACACCGAAAATTCTGTTAGAGTTCAAACAAATGAAATACATAAAGCTAGTCATACCTCTATTTCTAACTGAGCCGAAGACGGGGAGAACCAGATATCCAACATGTACTAACACCATCCTGGGTCCTTTGTTGTGTGGGTAGCCAGCGAGACAGATGGTCCATGGAAATGATCTCCTCCAGTCCCCAGCACATTCAAACGGACAGGCTGCGCTGCCTGCACACTGAGAACCGAGCAGCCAATCACTGGACCCTCCGATCAGGACCCTCCGGCTTTGGCACCCTGCTCCACCAATGGGAGAAGCGCCGGGGCGAGCAAGTTTTGGACTGCCCGCCCCTCTATGGCTGAATTAAGCAGCCCGGGTAAGTTAGGCACTTCTATGACAATTGGACTTATTTTCTTAACCCTTCAACACTATCGCCGGGTGATTTTTACCCGAAAAGTACTTGTCATCAAAATAGGTCAAAATAGGACAACACGTGACAAATTAAAGTAGTTTTCTTTTATTTTAAACAGTGCAATGTCCAAAGGGAGGGGAAAAAGTGCCATGAGGAGACCATATAAAAATGCTAAATAACTAAATTCGGCATTCATAAAAAAGTAAGCCTAAAAAAACAAAAGAATATGTATAGAAACTGTGAACTTAGTTTCTTTTCCACTCATTTCTGGGGCATGTGAGTCTTCCCTGGCGAAGACTCAGGGTCCTTGGCACAATAACAGCTGCAGGAGAGAGAACCAAAATATGGCAGATTTTGAGTGAGTAAAAATGACCAGCTGACTTAAATATTTCTTATCACCATATGAATTCCCTTGAAAATCACTACTTTGTGATAGTTATTCATAACCACTGCGCTAAATAAAGATAGCATGCAAATTCCAGGACCATTCTTAGACTATGTTCACACTGCAGGTCAATTCTGATTTTTTAACCATATGTGACACATATCTGATTTTTTCATGTAAGTGTGAACAGTGCAATTCTGATTTTTTCAAATCCGACCCAGGCCTCTTTTGTATGTGGATATATATCGGATATGTATCCGATGTGACTGCAGTGTGGACGCTCAGGTCGCGTTCATCCGACCTATACGTTGTCAATATGCGACAAACATCACCATTGTTCGACAACACAAACAGTCGCGCAAAGCAATCAGTGCTTTGTGCGCATGCGGGGTCACTTCACGGACGCATTCCGTTCACATTAGATGCCGCATTCGTTGTTGTAATGTGAATGACTGCACAAAAAGATCCGATTTAACAAAAAATCTAAATTGTGCATCATAACCTGCAGTGTGAATGTAGCCTTACTGACCTTATTCGCCTACATGCAGCTATCTAATCCACCCAAACCTACTTACCTTCTATCACTTTTGCTGGGTGAAAATCACCCGAACACATACCTGTAGGAAAAAGCAGGTTTTGGATCAGGGAAACAAATATGTCCTCACAGATCTTAAAGGCAATGATGAAGCAGGGACCCATGATAGTCAGACAAACGCAACGTAATGAAAATTTCGTTAACATTTGTGGTCGGGTGAAAATCACCCGGCAGTCGTGCTCCGGGGTTAAACAGCCTCAACTGAGGGAGAAATCATGGGTAAACTGGATTGTAATTCCTCACTTGTTAAACCTTGTGAGTATACCCTTGGAGTGGGAACTTAGTTTTTAACCCTCAGACTAAGCACATCTACTGCTCCAGAACCTTTTAGTAAAAGTAGCCAAAAGCACCTTTAAGGAATTACACTACAGATCATCTAGTAATACTCAATCTTTTTTTTAATCAGTTGATTTGACAGTACATCAGGCATTGTTGCATCTAATTAAAGAGCAACCGATGCTGTGTATGCAGGACCTCTAGCTGTGGCTAATTTGCTGTCCTTGTCCCTGGTTAGACAGCAAGAAATACAGCATTATAGCAGGTGCAGACAGGTAATCATATGTTTGCATAAAAACAACAAGAAAGCAGACAAAACAAGCAGTTTCTTCTATGCGCAAAAATCTGGAGACTTACACATACATACATACGCAGACACATAGATACACATATACATACACACACATAGACATACATCCATGCCATAATATACATATATGTAAGTTAGTGTTCACAGATTTGTCTTTGTTTCAGCCATAGTTTTGTTTTGATATTGAAGGCTTTCAGGTCCTTTAATGTTTTTATTTCTGATTGTAATATATTCCAAATCTGTGGACCTTTGACTGAAAAGGAAGACTGGCCAAAAGCTGTCCTGCGCTTTGCGGGTTTACAGTCTCCACTGACTGCTCCTCTTGTAGAAGCTCCTTTATATGAGTATTTTTCGATTGTTTTACTAACTAGGTCTGACTAATTTTACTAATTCTCATCAAAGTTCCTAGGAAACATTATCTAAGTGCTTTTGCACCATGGTCCTGTACAGTAGATTTGCTGAGTACTGTCTGTGCCCTGAAAACCTCTCTGCCTATGGTGTTCAGCCTGAAGGGTGGAGGAACAGATGGACATGGGGAAGCTGAGGGGGTAACAAAACTCTTAGACCCCATATGTTCTAGTCTTCCATTTCCCACCATGTAAGGCCTGAAGCCTGTGGTGCCACACAAAGAGCTTTTCACTGCTTTGCTATCAGATGGGGGTCAAATCAGTTCACCTCACTCTTAAACATTGCAGACTTTTGATATTTGTTACACTTTATAGTCTCTGAATGTTACTAAAAATTTGACTTAATATTTGCTGCAGTACTTGATTATCTAGAGTTGATCTGTACTCACGTTTGTAGGACACATAACTTTTGTTTCCAATCAGAAGTTGTCTCATGCACTATTTTTGCTGTCTGAAAGCCCTTAAGCTCTACCTCTAGCAGCCATTCAGTGGTGAGCTGTCATTACTTGGACTAAACCTACACCTGTACTTGTACAACACAGATTCCAAAGCTGCGTCATTCAGACTAAAACGACATCTGCAGGAGGAAGAACACTTATTTCTAGCTTTAGAGAGTTAGCCAGCACACTTGCTGCTCTGTGAGGCCTCCTCTGCCCTGTAAAGAAAATTTGCATACAGCTGATGATCTGCCCTGAGGGTGAAAAGAGCCAGCTAAAGGGCTTTGGTTTTTAAGGGGAAGGGCCCCGCAGGCTGAATTGCTCCACTCCCTCTTTGTCCTCCTCATGTGAACTCCATATGTCCCCCTAGCGGCAGGTGACGCAGTGTGACCTCTGACCCTGTAGGCCACTTGTGTGGGTGAGGGTGAAGTTGTTTTGTTCACAGTGATGCAGTTGTCTAGACTGTTTGGCTACAGGATAAAAAACAATGAAATCTCAATTTTGAGCCTCTGATAGTAATTAATGTCACCCTCAAACAGAAGAGCAGAGGGCAGACAAGACAATACAGTGATATTTATTAGGGTGCCCCTGTAATTACATTCAACTTGGTTCACCAAGATCTTTTTTTTTTTTTTTGAGAGAGAGTTTTAAGCCATGTCTATGAAAGCTTTTCTCCTACCTTTGTCTAAATGATTAAAAAAATGTATCAATACATGGCACATTCTCCGAGCCAGCTATACCATATAAGATTCAACAAAAAAGCAAGAAAATTCATCACTCGTTCTGTTTTCTTCTAGGGCCTGAGGGGCCTCGAGGTGAAACCGAATCTTATGCTTTGCATTTTATTTCTGAAAATATCGGCGAGTTTTGGCCGATTACCGATTAGTCTCAAACGGGCTAAAATTGGCCGATTTATTTGGCTCGCCAATAAATCGTCCGGGCCCTATTTTCTTCACTGTATTGACACTAATGCCAGAGATTTATAGCTACTGGTGGAACAAAATGTTTGACCACTGGTTATCAAACCCAATGCAGTAGCAGCAGATGACCGTCTTACTTAAGTCTGGTCCTGCCCGTTAAAAGGAAGCTTTCCTCTCCACTGCAACTTAGCAAAGGCTGTAAAGTGGTACACACATGTGGTTGATGATGGGCTGGGAGTGAGCCTGATTTGTTTGGATTATTCCAAAAAGTGTTTCAACTCCATAGTATGCATTTCTCTCAACATTGTCTGTGTCACCTGTTATGTGATTTATCAGTCTGTGTGTTTTACATCATATTAGTGCATTGAAACAATCCCAGAAGATTTAGCAATTTTCAACATCAGCATCAGCTTCAAAGCCTCCAAAAGCCTTCGAGAAATATTTTTTTCCATATAGACAAGAAAAGAGTCATTGTCAAGAGGGTCATTAAATAACACTATTTATTTAGTTTTAAAATAGATTTTTTTTTGTTCTACAGACATAATTTCAAGGAAGTCAAGGACTTACAGAAGCAACAAAATAAACACCCTTTTTGTTAATTTAAAATACTGACAGTAAAATAAAAAAATGAAAACAAAAAGAAGAGCAAGGCTAAATTACAGGTATAAGGATCATATCCAACATGAGGTTAAGGACGTGACCAAACATGCTTTGTGCAACAAAAGACGAGCATCACTGCTCGAATTTTCAACCAAACCTCTATTACTAAGGACATGAATCTGACTTGCATTTCATAAAAATCCCAAGAACAATAGCAAAAAGGGTTATGCAAGCAGAAGTGGTCTGATAAAAGAATTGATAGTACAGTGGTAGCTGCTTATAATTAAAAAAATAATAAAAACTGGCCAAAGGGGAAATAAAGTCTTATGTAACTGTATCATGAGTTTAAAACAGAAATCTTGCCACCCCATTCACATAAAATACACTTACAATTCAACAGATGTGGACTTGCAGAGAAACTTGAACAAGAAAGATCTGAAAGAAAATTTAGAATTGGGAAAGAAAAATAAAAGTTGAAACATAAATTCCATTTAGGCTTTGGTTTAGTTCTTATATTTAGTTATTTCCTTTCTCTTCTGTTACCAGCAGAAGTAAAATGATTTGATTCAACAATTTAAGCATGGTATAGAAGAGTAGGTGGTATACCATATGAGATTAAACAAATATAAAGTTTTTAAACAGTGTTTAAAGTTAGATCATTGATTAAAAAAAAAAAAATACCAGCATGACTGCGGTACTGCATGAGTACAGAAACAAGACCACAGGGAGGGAGAGGAAGCAGGCCCCGAGGCTCAGGGTAAAAACAGTTTGCACGGTAAAAGCCTCTTCTACAACCCTGACATGTGGGCACAAAATCCACCCCATCACTTCTTTAATGTGTGCTAAATCCATTTCTATTATTAAAATATTTATTGTTGAGATAGCAAAATTCAATGCTTTGTAAGGTAAAAGAATAAGCTTTATACTATTCTTAAAGAAAATAGTGCACATTTCAAGGCATTCAGGCCGTCTTACTTTGCAGTATTCAATGGAAAAGACTTTTCCTCAGATGTCGTAAAGGGGTCCCCAGAGGGTGAATGTGTTTGCTTCAACTCAGGATAGACATGCAAACGATAAGTGCACCCAGTCATACATTCACTGATAACTACCACACCTGGGACACATGAGACTCTGTGGCTTTTACACAGCAGGTTTGAACTATCAACACCACCACCACTGCATATAGAGTTGCTTTGGTGAAAATGGGTCTTATTCTTTAGTGTTTGAATCCATTCCTCAGAGTTTTAGTTAAACCAGGTCTTTGTTTTAATACAGCTGGAGAGTGTACAGTCATGTATCAACAAACAGAAGAAGCTGTGGTTTTAAGACATTTTGTAAAATGCACTTGTTCACTTTTTGTTGAAGAGTTTCATGTATAAAACTACAGCTCATAGTTGCTCTGTCCAACTTTGGCTTGTACTATCAGTGAAGATTCAAAGAAATACTGTGCCTAGTCGCCAAATAATCCCTAAAAAAACATCCTTTTTATGGGGCCTAATTATCAGAGAAAGAGAGAGAGGCAGCACCAGCCTTTTTTGTCTGACTCTTGACTTTGGCTACGTTCACACCGGAGGTTCTGATGCACAATTCAGATTTTTTGTTAAATTTCGATCTTTTTGTGCGGTCGTTCACATTACAACAACAAATGCGGCATCTAATGTGAAAGAAATGTGTCCGTGAAGTGACCCGCATGCGCACAAAGCACAAATTGCTTTCTGCGCCTGTTTGTGTTGTCGAACAATGGTGATGTTTGTCGCATATTGATGACGTATAGGTCGGATGATCACGACCTGAGCGTCCACACTGCAGTCACATTGGAAACATGTCCAATTTATATCCACATACAAAAGAGGCCTGGGTCGGATTTGAAAAAATCAGAATTGCACTGTTCACACTTACATGAAAAAATCAGATATGTGTCACATATGGTTAAAAATTGACCTGCAGTGTGAACATAGTCAAAGAAAACGAATGAGCACTTCACAGAAATGTCAAACTGCTTCTATAGGATGGCCTAAAACCTTCCCAGAACAGATCAAAGGTTGTACTCATGCTGAGCACAGTTTAGAGAACACAAAGTGATAAATCTAGACTGACCTAGGTATGAAACCAGTGGAGGGACTTTTGAAAACAAAACGGACCTTAGATGGGCAATCAATCTACGGTCTCCTGTACAATAAAAACCATCCAGCTGCCGTGTTTGTATTGACTGCGGGTGATAGCGAATGAAACTACAAATGAAGTCTAAAAATATGCCATTCAGAGTCTGTAGTTAAGCAGGTCCACAGCTATGACATGTTGCTGACCAACTCTCAAGCAGCAACTTGAAGTTTTCACTACAGAACTTGCAAGCACACGACACAAAATGTCAACTCACAGCCATTGAAGGGTAACTGAGGTATTAAATGAAGAATATTGCTATCATTGAAAGATAAATCACCCTTACAAACTTTTCTACCTGTACTTGAAGTGCTGTGCCATTTGATTATATCTAAGTCTAAGCCATGATCAGGGAATCACGTCAGTAGGATGGCTCTGACACACATGATTGTTTAACAGTAAATTCAAAAAAATAAACAGAGCCCTGTAGCAGGAAAAGTCCATGAGCAGTTACAGGCCAGGCCGCAACCAAGGGAAGGATTTCAGCCATAACAATGGGGGCAAGGCAAGAAGGATGAGGAGGATTAAGAGGAAGATATGAGGAGTCTTCAGTGTACAAGTTGTTTTAAGGGAGGTATTTGTGTCCCGCGTCCTCGTCCAGTGTGAGGTCCACTACTTCAGGAGGGGACACCCAGTTGGGCTGAGGGGAAACAGTAGTCCAGAGCTGGGGTTCATTTGTGCTGTTTAACTGCTCCACTGAGTTGTCTTTCCAAGAGGAGAGACTCTTTATCACGCCTCCACATGGGTGCGCACATCTGTATTTAGAAACAGAGGACATTAAAACGCGGATTATTTTTTGTAAAACCAACCACAGTTATATTTTTTCCCCATGTTGAGTGTTTACCGTGCTTTCTCCTGCACTCCGACTATTTCTACCTCACTGTCCGAGGAAGCAATGTTAATCTGGCCCTTGCTGTGTGTAGAACTTTCCTTGTGCGACAGCTCTGCCTCCACGTGACCTGAAACAAATAAAAAGGAACAGAGTCAGACATTGTGAAGGGCTACCAACCAGTAGAGAGCTTTAGGCCTCGCTGAGACATAAAAGGACTGCAGCTGCTTTGACACAGACAAGAAGAAAAACAATGATGAATCTGACACTTAGCCTAGCAGATATGGCAGGGAGTGACACATTGGACAAAACATAACAGCGTGGACTTTAGATTTGAGTTTTGACGCTGCCGGCTAGTCAGTCAGAAAAGGTCAATTTGTTGTTTTGAAGCAAGGCGGAAGAAGACTTTTCTAGTACCAAGCCACAGTGGGAAAGAAGAAGGCAGAAGTTCTTCAAAAGGGCATCTCGCTGGGACTATAAAAGACCGTCTCCCCACCATAGTATCGTGGACACCCATGCCTCTATATCCCCTGTCTTCACTGAGAGGAAATTATCAGTTTGGATTTACTGGGTTTGTAACTGACCTGAGATTGAGCTCAGAGCTCTTATACACCCAGAGTGAGATGCCATATCCTGGCCTCTGTGTGTTTTTAGCTCATGCTTTATCACCGTGGGCCGGACTGTCTCCACACTCATACTCTCCTGGTTAGAATCAGTGTCTGAAATATCATAGTGACCCACTACAGGAGGCCCGTCTGCAGGAAACAAAGAAAACACTTTATTATTCAAATCATGCCTAGGAATTGTAGGACTGTGTGGATCCATAGTGCTGCTAACTGCAGCGTCTATATGACTAAACACAGGAAATACACCCCTTTTTACTTTGATAGAAGATAGTGACATCGCACATTAGGGCTCTTCGATGCGAGTGAAAAGCAGAGTTCCTGCAGAAAACCACCAACAATTACGGCAACTTTTCAAAGCTTAAATAATTATGCTTTTAAAGTAATGTTTGTACCAATGAACCTCTCACAGCATTTTTTTTCCTCTTCATTTATTGCTTTTAAAATAACAGCCATTCACATAAAAACTACACTAGAATATAGTCGTTACAAAACACTTAAAAATGATCACAGCCTGTAAATGAAATGTTGTCTGGGAATTAAAAGGCTAAAACAAAGAAGAAGTGGAAGAGTGGGAACGTGTATCTTTGCTTTACCCTGTGAAAGGAGTCCCTGGAAAAGACACACACACACACTAACACAGCTACCCTGACATGTCTATGGGTGAGTGCGTGTGTGTGTGTGAGTGCCTGAGAGAGGGCTGGTCTGGACAGCATGTACTTTGACACAAGGGTGCCTATGAATAGCTGGCTGGGCTGGAATAGGAAGGTACCAGGGTTACAAGAGAAACCGATTTCAAAGGCCATGTATTAGAGAGATAGAGAAAAGGACTCGTGTAAACCAGGATAGCTCTTTGGTAAACAATTGACTGTCCTTAGTGTTTCTTCTAATGCACACAGTGTGTGATTGTAAGGGCTCACTTTACAATGTTGATCAAGCCATTTTTTTTAAAGTAAATTCAGTCAAAAGAAATGCAGTACAGTAGTCATTTGATCAATCTGAACATAAAAGTCAAAGTAATTATTAGGGCTGTAACCGACTCAGAAACTCAAGTATACTTCTGATTTATGTTTCACAGAATGGTTAAACACTTAAAGTAGATTATGCTAACAGTGTTATAATTCAAACTAGGACGATCTTCCGTTTCTTAACCCATATTAACTATTTTTAAAGTTTATTTAGCGAGTAGGAGACCTCTATTAGCCATATGGCTCCTAACAAAACCCTCCGACTACCGTATTTTTCGCACTATAAGGCGCACCTGATTATAAGGCGCACCACCAATTAACGCGTCTATTTTCATACATAAAGCGCACCGGATTATAAAGCGCATCAAGCCAAACAAAACGGTCAGATAAGTCAAACTTTTAATAACTCATTCAATAACTCTACGAGGCTACGGTAGCCGCAGAAGCAGAAAGGATTTTAAGTGCGCCTTATACTGCGAAAAATACGGTAATGAATATTTAAAGGGTCTATAAATTGGCAAGTGAGCTGCTTAGCTTGGAGTTTTTCAGTTTTGAGGTTGCCCCATCCACCAGTAGACAGTTATTTGGCTGTAGTTGCCATGCCTGCCATGCTGTTTTTGTCTTGATCTGGTGGTGAGTGGTTCTTTGACAAAATGAGTGAACTTGAAGAGTTCTCGACTTGACCTTCCCGATTCATATCATCAACCTTAGGGGGGGTGAGGGGCAGCCCTAATAATTACGCAACATGCAACATAAGTTGAATATTCACACAATTTTAAACAAGAAAAAAAAAGGCCAAGAGAAAGAAAATCAACAGATAAAATGTCCCCTAAGTCACCGTTTATCAGCACAAGCAAAGGTACACCTTGCACACATGCTGCTGATGAAAATAATTTGGCCTTGCACATACTATATGCTACTATAATCACATGCAAACAGGTGGGGAAACTTCCAGCTTTCAGTTGTGTAAAACTGACAGTTGTGGGACTACATATACACATACAGAAAAAGTAACTCTTTCTTCTTTTTAACCTTTCTAACTATAAATATGATTAGGCTGAGAATTCTTTCATCGTGTTCTGATGGTCTTAGCAGTGTTGTGACACTCCCCATCAGTAAAAGTAGTTTAAGGAAGAGGCTGAGGTGGAGAGCTTCCACCTAAAAGACCACAGGATCTGAACCAGAGAAGGCCACATGATCAGTCAGTTTTTAGGGAGTCAGTAAACACGGCCATGCACCTTATTGCAGCTGTTATAACTGCGGTGTATTTGTAAATGTGATGCCTGTATTTTCGGATTAAAGACAAGCTGCGGACACAGGCCAAGCTGGCAGACCAGTGCAAATAAAATATTAACTAGGCGAATATTATATGAGTGAATATCTGAGGCTCTTAACAGTGTAACTGATAGCCACAACACAGAAACCCATGCTCCATTTGTTGTCCATAATCTATACACAGGCTACTACGAATAACCATGAGGAGTCCCTCCTCCCTCACTAGTTTCTTGATGCTGCTCAAACGCAGCAATAGCAGCAAATGTAACAGAAAGGCAAACTTTAAAAATGTAAACACATCTAATCAGAAAACGAGAGACTTTCTTGGTTAGCATTGTTTGTATTAATAGGCAAATCTATGTTTGAAATGGTCTGATGTTAGTAAAGCTATGCCACCAAAAGAAAGGTTGCCACAACATTTTAAAAGCCCTGAACAACTTTTAAGCAGAGTGCAAATATAGTTCAGGAAAAGAAAGGGTTATGTAGAACCTAATTCTTAAAATAATAGTATTATGATGCTCTATATATCATTCCGCACGTGAAGTCAGAATGACAAGGCACATGCTTTTAAGCAGCAGCACCCCCACTTTAGCACTATCATGATGGCAGCCAGGTGCTGTAATGCAGTCCATACGAATGACATAATCAGCTCCTTGGTCTACGTGTGTACGTGTGTGTGTGTGTGTGTGTGTGTGTGTGTGCACAGCTGCTCAATAAAAACAAACAAGCCATACATTAGCAGTAGGATAAAGAGCCCTGACTCAAGAGTCTAAAGAGATTTGCCCCGAGTCCGTGTAACAGATTCAGCAGAAATTGAACAGGTGAGTTGAATTGTTCAGAAAGTCAAATCTCACAGTGATTCAGCATCAGGAGATGCACTTAGTCTCAGGTCTGCACTCAGTCCAGTTCATAGATGCAGCTCAGGCCCAGCTGCTGTTGAGGGTGAATCCGCTAATTGACCTCACGCCATTTATTCATAATACCCAATGCCGTGGTCTCTGCAACTATTTCTACACTTGGTAAGCTCTAAGTTTCAAACAGAGAGGAGTGAAGTAGAGGTTTAATCTAAACATTCAGGAGGCCAGGGTCTGGGACACCTAGATTTCCATTCTGAGTGGCCACTTCAGGTAGGATGTTGTTGTTGATGGGAGTGGGAGGGAGACTGTTGTTCTCTCGGGCCAACATGTAGGCTGCCATAGTCTCTGCAGACTCTGATGATGGCAAATAGGAACTGGGCGGGGACAGGCGTCCCCCTTGCTGCTGCCCCTCGTGGGCGTCACTCGAACGTTTCGACGAGTCGTTGTCTGAGTCCAGATGTGCAAGCTTTTCCATCCAGATGCGGAAGCGCTCCTCAGTCTGGCGCTGCATCACGGCAAAACGTGTCATGGCCTCCTCCAGGACGCTGCCGATGCCGTTCCTGTCCCACGTACCGCTGTCCAGCAGCCCATGAATCTGGGCGCCCACTCTGGATCTCTCCGATGCACGTCTGAAGCCAGCTTTAAAGACATTGAGGCCAAGCCATAAGAAAATACAGTAGCACGGTCATGCCTTGGAGTTGGACTTTTGCATTTAAGAGAAAATGAGTTTGTGTTTGGTTACGTGCAGATCAACTGTTTTCATGCTGATGGACTACGTCATGCAGCTGTAGCACTCAAATCTGTGTGCGGGATGTAAAAATGACTGAAAAATCTCATGTAGTACAGATCCTTAAAGTAACAGAACTGGATGCTTTAGGTGACAGTGAAAGTGGTTTGGGTCATTTTTAACTGGAGACTCAGTGGGGTAAAATGCTTCCGTTTAAGGCAATAAAAAAACCTTAATAAAGGACTACAGATGTCTCTGACTTTGTTTCTGTTGCGATGACGATATTCTTCGCAAATTTGTAGAAAAAGAAAAATACCTGTAAAATTCTGCTCATGCATCTGAACAAAACAGAAAACCTAATGCTGAAAAAATGTACACAAGCTTGATCACTACAGAAAAAAGACAACAAAAAAAATCTACAAACAGATCTGAATTATAAAGAAAAGGTATGTTTCAGGACTGATATGAAATGTTTTTTCTTTATCAGCCTATTTTAACTCTATCTGCACACAATTCATCAGCCACTACTCCAGCCACATACAACCAGTAGCAGACCAAACCCTCCTAAAACTCCACTCACCCAGCAATCACCAGGTAACAAAAGTTTTCGGAGTGTACAAAAAGATAGCAGATGATACAATATTTTCAGTGTTTACGCTGTCATTCTTTTCAGTGAGCACCCATCTTCTGCATCAATAGGTTTTAGCCAGTTATGAAGAGCCGTCTGACTCATCAAAAGATGCTGTTGAACACATTTAAGAGGAGATGACCAACTGTTTCTGTTTCCGTTCTTAAAAATGTCTCCTCACCTCCTGTGTAGGCAGGATGAAGCATACGATAGACCTAAGGAATATTTAAAAAGCTGCGGGCAGAGAAGGAAAGCAGGATACACCAAATGAGTCTTGCAGCTAACGCTAGCACAATGTGAGCGTACACCCCCATCTATTGAGAGCAAAAAGGCTGATGATATTATTAGCTCACTTGTTGGACAGTAGGAACCACAAAAAAAAGGTTAGATTACCAGAACATGGTTATATTTCATTCAATGAATTGAATGTCTGCTAGACTTCTGTAGCATGCAGATGATGGAATAAAGCTCCAACAAAACAAATGTTGTTTGACTTGAACTGACAGGATAGAGACTTGTCTATAACAGTGTAAGCATCTAGAGATAGGATGGATGGACACCAATAATGAAAAAGAAAAAAAACCACAAAGACAGAAAGTGACTGATAAAAACAAACAAAGCAGTGCTTTTGTAACATGTTACAGCAAAATGTTTGTACAGCCCTGATGTGCATTTCTATGTGCTTTTTTATTCTAAAAATGAATTCATCTCGAAGGAAAGCAGGCTTGGTTTTAAAGAAATTTGACTGACTAGTTTCCATGTAAAACATATCATGTGACACGGTGTTTTTACATGACAATACTATGTGGCTTCTACAGTCACCCTAAACGGTGGTAGTAATACTGTTAAAGTGCGAAGAGAACATTGGGTGTTACCTGAAATATCTGTCTTGATTGTCTTGCTACCTCCTGAGGTGTCATCGTCGTCGTCCTCAGAGGAGCTGGTGGTGGAGTCGCATGTGAGCTCGCTGTCACTTGTACTGCTGTCCTGCAGCAGGTTATACTTCTTCCGTGCCGCTGCTTCTCGTTTTTGCCTCAGCAAACGCATTCGCTCCTTGTGTTTCTGGCTCCGGTGACCTTTCACTTTTCCCAGCTTGCCGTTAGTTTGTTTTTCCTGCCCTCCCGCTGCGGCTGCGGTAGGCTGGCAGCGATTTTTCTTTGCAGCCATTGCATTAGGAGGCATCTCACTTTCCGACCGCGATCGCCGGGACTTCCTGCCTCCTGTGGAGATAGGTTGCCTTCCTGCTGCCTGCCCTGGATCGTTTGAAGCCTCCATGTTGCCATCTTCTTCTCCTGCAGGAGGAGCGGCACCTTCTTCCCCTGAGGAGAGTGTGTCTGAGTCAGCAAGATGCCCGCTGGATGAAGGGGAGAGCATGCAGGGGTTTGAGGAGTCACTTTCGTAGATATGACGAGATACAGGCTTGTCACTCCCTGTTGAGGCATGCTGGGACTCGGGGGAGTCTCGGCGGAGTTCCTTCATCAGGCATGGCATAGAGAGGAGACTCTGTTCCCCCTCTGTATTCAAAGGGCTTTCTCCCTCCTTTTCCCTTGGCGGAGAGCTGGTACTGGTGGTGGTCTCTGTTTTCAGGTGCTCATCTTGCTCTACCTGAATGGAAGCCGTGGCTGATTGTGTTTCATCAAGGCACTCTAGGGGACATTCGGCATCAACAAATTCCTCTGCCTTCTCTGAATCAGCCATCTTCATGCTAAATGAGCCCAGAGCCCAAAGGTCCAACAAACATGGACCAATGTGCCTGGACAGGAGCTCACCTGCCAGATTAAAGAAAATTCACCATAATCAATACACCATGTATTTGAAGCCATGTCACATCTGTCAGCTTTCTATGGAAATGTTCTGCCAACCTGAATTTCTGCAACTAAAGTAATCAGTAAACATCCATCACAAGATTATATTGTGATTTAGTCTCATTATGAACTACTGTAAAATCAAACTAGAAATGTCCAGTTTCAAAAACACTGATTACATTTTTCAGTTCTTACAATGCATAAAATATCTGATTATTAATGTTTTTTATGTGTCCTGTTACTACTGCATTGCCACTAATTTTTAACACCTAAATAAGAGAAAGACTTGCCATTGGATTCTACACCATCCAACACGATCGACTTTGGCAGCACCAATGTTACCGTTTTTACTCTAATAACTGATAAAACTGTGTAATTTGCTTTAACATTTTACATTTAGATCTTACTCAACCTGCAAACAAATGTATGCAAACCACTCGAGCCTCCTAAGCAGTAGTAAACTGAGCGTGTAAAGCGTAATGTATTTCTGGTCTGGGGGACTTGAGTTAGTTGTATCCTGGTCTTCCTGAGGCTAGCAGGCTTCCTTCCAGACTCTACTTACAGCTGCGTAGTAAAGCTAACCTCGGTCATAACCTTACGCTGTGCAACACTTGGCGAGAGGAAGACAACAAGTGAAACAAAATGTTCAGGCTGCAGGACAGCTGCCTTGCAAGATCCTATAAATGGAAACAGTATCTAACCGACCGGAGGCGTAGTGAGCAGGATAATGTCAGCAGTTAGCTCGGTGCTAACGGTATTGCTGTTAGGGCAACTTACCGCGGCGTTAGTAATATTCTTCTTTTTCCACCGCTAGACCTGTTGACATCTTCGATAATGTGCAGTCCCTTTGATTAACGATGCATAAGCAGTGCACTGGCTGATATTACTGACTTATTAAAAACTTTGGGGAATTTTTAATGTATTTTGGCGCAGTATGCTTGCACCTTCGCGAGCTCCGTTAGCCGTTAGCCGTGTATTTATTTAAAATGTCTCCATCAGCCGTCGCTCCCTCACAAAGCTGCAGGCGTCACTTCCGGTGTTTTCTTCACGGCCGAGCGCCCCTGTGGGTGGGGGTCAACTTATTTAATACTTACACTAGTACTGCTACTACCACTTTCAATATTATTTATAAAAAATAGTACCTTTTTTCAGGAAAAACAGTTCTTGAGAATTCACAATACAATGCAAACTCATTTTCATTTACACTTTGATTAATATTTATAAGATACTGGCTGAAAAGACCTTTAAAAAATCCACTTACCCTTTAATGCCTGACACCACAAATTATAGCCTGAAAATTCACATTTTTGTGGAGCTAAAATGTTTATTTTACTTTATACTGAAAACCAAAAACATCTAAATGTCCTTAAAATTTAACGAATATATTTATTTATCTTGTTTGATACATTGTATTTTTTTCGAAACTGATTTACCAAAGAGGACATTTTTATCATTTATCAGACTGTATTAAGGTGTTTTTTGAGTAATTTGTTTATCATATTGATTTTAAGGGGTATCATAAAAGTACGCATCAAATATGATACAAAAGGCAAAAAAGGGCTACACTATAACATTTCCTGTCTGCTGTCTACTGTCGTATCTCCAAACACAATTTTCACTGCATTTCGTTGCATTGTTCTGAACAGTGTAATGACAATAAAATTTAATTTAATCTGATCTAATCTTAAATATAAATGCTATGTGAAAATCAAGTGAAAATTAGGTGAAAATTGTGTTTGGAGATACGAAGAAACACGAAGAGACGGTATGAATTTTTTTGCAACAGCAGCATCACAGACAAAGGTAGTGCAAAATGCAGTTATAAAAATAAAGATCGTAATATTAAGAAATTAAATAAATGTTATATTACGAAAAAAATTAGAAAAAGGAAAAAGGGGAGAATAAAATAAAATAAAATAAGATAAAATAAAATAAAACTATATACAATATACACAATTTAAGTACCAGAAAAAAGTGGTGGTGTGAGTCCACCATTATATATTTCATATGTATGAAGTTGAAGTAAAAGCTATTGGAAAAATATGTGTACATATTATTTTTAAACTCGTGTACTATTATTTTAATAAAGCTTTTAATGGCGGTATTTGTTTTTTATATTGGGGTATTTTATTTCATTTTAAAAACTGGAGTTGGAACAGGTGTGACATTTTGTTTTTTATTCATCCGCCTTGAAACAAAGCCGTATCCCATACCAAATAAATTATTTCGAGCACTTATAGCCACTTAAATACCCAAACTATCAAAAGTTTACTTAATAATTACATTTATCAAAGGAGGGGAAAAAAACTGTCTTTTATTTTGAACTACTTCCGGGTCACGGTGACCTCCCTGTAGAGCGCTGCCGTGTCCGCCATCCTTCTCTCTCCTCTCCGGAGCAGGACACAGTCACAGGACACCAACATGCTGTCAGTTCGCGTCGCAGCGGCTCTTGCCCGCACTCTGCCTCGACGGGCTGGATTTGTAAGCTACTCTCATTTCACTGTGTACTAATTTTGTGTCGACTTTTAATCTAAAACCTCGACTTTGTTCTTTGTAAGAGTCATGGCGTTGGTGATCTGCGTGCAAAAGTCTCTGCACAGGAGGACACCGGGCCCTTCACAATAATAGTTTTCTAAGCGAACATTTACAGCTGAAACAAGCCGCACATACGACACCACAGATACTTTAAAATCGATCAAATGAATCTCAGAATATGTGTCGTTTAGTTAATGCACGGATATGACGAAGCTAAAGAGCAGGAAAAACGAATGGAGATTGGCATCGAAGGTCAAGTTTCCTCTTCTCAGCCCTCTGCATCTGTCAATGTATTTGCAATACTTGACACTGTTTTAATTTACACGAATATATTATAATAGTTGACTGGTGGTCAGCTGTGAAAAGGAATCATGATTGGACTCCAGATTGCATGACCTAGTGCCCTTTATTTTGAAAGGAAACCCATGTCATGTTGCAGACATGAACAACTCAAAGTTCAGAGTCATGTCAGTCATCAGGAAAGCTCTTGTGTAGAAATTTGGCTGTTAATGAAACTGGATGAAACCACCTAAGATGGGGTAGATGTTCGTGTAAATGCTGCTGCAAACGCCTTTATGCTAATTTTTTCTCATCAGAAATTGATTGGCTAAAAATTGAGCATAACACCTTGTGTGCAGGCTTCTCCAAAATCAACAAGACCTGAAAAGTTCTTGACAAGACCTTTGATTTTTTTATTTCTTAAATTTTATTTGCATTTTTTTTTTTTTTTTTACAAACAAACAGTTAGCTGAGTGCCTTTTTAAGGTCCTTTCACACCAGACCTATTTTTGTAGTGCAATTATTTCGGACGTCAATATTTTTTTCGAACCCGTATCCTGTCAATACAAGTGTTCACATCAGGGACGTTTTCCTGTCCTACGGTATTGCGACATTTATTTTTTTATATCACCGTCGATTTTTCTAAAGTTTCGCATACATTGTGTCCACTTCACTGAAACAACCTTTTACTATCTTAAAAACACTGCAAAAGTATGACCGTTTCGCTCTCTGAGCCAGACGGACAGACTAATGAACACTTTTATAACCAGCAGGCTGGACTACTGTAATGCTCTTCTCTCTGGTTCACCCAAAAGCACAATAAACCAGCTACAACTGATCCAAAACTCTGCTGCTAGAGTTTTGACCAGGACCAGGGGAAGAGCTCATATTACACCCATTTTAAAGTCTTTGCACTGTCTGCCTGTTAGTTTTCGCATTGATTTGATTCTTTCACTAGTTTATAAAGCTCTACATGGCCTGGCACCAGAATACCTTTCAAAGATGGTTTTAATTTATGAACCAGGGCGGCCTCTCAGATCCTCTCAATCTTCTCTTTCAGTCGTTCCACAGAGCAGAACAAAAAGATTTGGTGATGCTTCTTTTAGCTGCTACGCTCCAAAACTGTGGAACAAACTTCCAGAGGGTCTGCGACAAGCTGCAAATATAGAAATCTTTCATTGTTACCTAAAAACCCATCTATTTAGCTTTTATATAAAGCTTCATTATTTTAATTACTATTAAAATGTGTTTATTTTTAGTATCACTTTTTACCTTACTTTATTAGTAAATTTAAGTTTATATTTTATTGTCTGGTTTAATAACTTTTATTTTTCTTGTCCTGATGTAGAGCGCTTTGAGCTGCAATTTAATTTGCATGAATAGTGCTATATAAATAAGCTTTGATTGATTGATCGATTGAAAACATGGTGTTATTCACAGAGAAGAAAAGAAACTTGTCCTTGTAGCCTCCATCAAAGTTGTCCATTTTTTTAAAGTATGTGAATCGATTTATATTTGATCAATTGTTTTCCACTTTCGGGTGTTTGTTTCTTGCTGGAGTCGTAGAGCGTGCGTTAGTTTCTGCATTTCATATAGTTCTTCCACCATGTCCAGCCAGTTTTTCTGATTTGGTGGATTCTTCTTACACCAATTCCTCATGATGGCCTTCTTTAGTGCTGCAAGAAGTATTTCAGTCAAGTATCTGTCTTTAGTTTGTATGTTTTCCTGCGTAAGATTGCCCAGGTACATTACTTTGAAGGTCATGGGGAGCTTGTAACCTAATATTTTTCTTATTCCTTTGCTTATTTCTGCCTAATAGTTAGTTATTTTGTTGAAGCACCAAAAGATATGGGTATGATCAACATCCTGTTCTCCACAGTTTCTCCAACAGGGCTGTGGGACCTGCAGAGTTTTTTTCTTTATACTTGGAGTGGTGAAGAGTCTGATGATGTTTTCCAGCAGAATTCCCTCCAGTGTCTAGAATTAGAAGTCCTCATCTGAGTCCTGCACATATTATACCATTCTTTTTTCAGTTATTTCCCTCTTAATATGCGTAACCCATTTATCTCTTATGTACAGAGTCCGTTGATTTTAAAGACCTTAGATTTTAAACAAACTGGATTATATCAATCAGCCCATAGATTGGTCTCAGTTTGCTCTAACTTTTCATTTAAGTCTCACAGATTTTATCAGTGTATCTGAAAAATAAACTTTTGGTGGCGTCAGAAACTCATTAAAAAGTTATCAGAAAACCTCAGGCTCTTCTAATGACCTAGAAAAAAAAGAACATTTTGTGACAGCAGGATAAAAATATTAACATCTTCTTTCCATAATTGCAAACCTGGAGCGATCTGATTTATGAGCTTGTTCCCATTATTTTAAAGGTATCAAAGAATGTAGCAGCAGCAGCTTGTGTAGGAGCCAAAAATCTGCACACCACCAGACCATGGCTGCAGAAAACAGGTTTGTGTACTAAACTGATAATGTTTCCAGCACGGTTCTCAAATGTGTCCATCATCAGACCTTCCTGAGTTAACATGTTGCGTGTACTTAAGGCACCGCCGAGGTTTCATCCATTCTGGAGGAAAAGATCATGGGAGCTGACACCTCTGCCGACCTTGAGGAGACCGGCCGTGTGCTGTCCATTGGTGATGGTATTGCTCGAGTTTACGGTCTGAGGAATGTGCAGGCCGAGGAGATGGTGGAGTTCTCCTCTGGTCTGAAGGTAAGCCTTAACCCAATGCCACACTTCACCCGCAGAGTAATTGTTAAGTAACTTGACTCATATTGATTTGAACTGTATTTCCCTGAGGTAGATGAAATTTTGTGTCGGACCCTTTCTTCCATGTAAAGCAGCATATGTGGGATTTATTGGATTCATTTGGTTGAGGGGGGGAAATGGTACTAAATCCTTGTTTTTTGTCTCTTTTCCAGGGCATGTCTCTGAACTTGGAGCCTGACAATGTTGGTGTTGTGGTGTTTGGTAACGACAAGCTGATCAAGGAAGGTGACATTGTCAAGAGGACTGGAGCTATCGTCGACGTGCCTGTCGGTGAGGAGCTCCTGGGCCGTGTCGTGGATGCTCTGGGAAATGCTATTGATGGAAAGGTATATGATTATTATTATCATTAAAAACAAAATATCTGCTGCAGAATTTATTCAGCTGAAATGAAGATTTAAAGTAAATCCTTGGATTTTAGCTTTCTACCACCTCAAATGTCTTTGCCACTGAAGTATGTTTTTCCACTTATTTTCATTTAAGCTCGTTACATTGTGCCAGTCCAGTTTTAGTAGGGCCCGACTGATATGGATTTTTTTGGGCCAATACCGATTATTCGGGGGGGAAAAAATTTAGATTCCTGATTAATCGGCCGATTTTTAAAATTTTTTATGAAGTTATATAAAATATATATATATACTGTAGATATCTACAGTATATAATATACTGTAGATATACTGTTGGCTACTGCTCTTCATGCTGACAGGAAGACCGACTGATCAAACTCGGACCAGAAAAGCGTTTCCCCGCCGATCGGTTCCTCCGTGTCTTAACTCACGTTACTCATTTCCGGTTTGGTCTCATCTGGAGACATGCAGCTGCCTCAGTAAGAGAAGTAGCTCGATCACGTAATATGTACTGTTGTTTATTCTACCGTTACTGGCACGGCTAACAGGGTAGCAAGGCTAATAGCAGGTGGCTAACTCTAACTTTAGCTTGCATATTACATGGTGCTTCACCGTTAACTTAGCGTGACCGAGACCAGCACAGTGGGGAACATCGTGAAGTGGGTTGAACTGAAACTTGTTGACTTATTGTGTATTTCACAAACTGGTTTATTTACCGTTGAGGTGGACCACTCTCCTCCATGCGTCCCTGAGCTGCCTGCTGCAGATCCGTCACTCTGCTGTGCTGTGAGGTAGTTAGTGGATCAAGACTGTCATGAGGTCGCTGCGCCATATACTGGATAACTTTTCAATTGGCGGAACATTTTTGAAGTGAAACCGAATCTTTTTCTCCGCATTTTATTTCTGAAAATTTTGGCGAAGTTCGGTGAGTTTTGGCCGATTACCGATTAGTCTGAAACGGGCTAAAATTGGCCGATTCAATTGGCTTGCCGATAAATCGGTCGGGCCCTAATTTTTAGATTGGGAAATTGCAAGTAATGTGATGAAATTAACATGCAAGATGCAATTCGTCATCGAACTTAACATGACAACAAATAGAAAATGGATAGACAGCCTTAAGTGAAGTTAAATGGGAAAAAAAACTTGCTGTGGGGCTGTGATACTAAATTGACTCTGAAGTGGTTTTACAGTATCATGCCTTTTTGATCACATAGTTTGTTGCCAAATTGTCTGAGCTTCTGATCTTTTTGTTCTCGTTTTCCTCAAAGGGCCCTCTGGGCTCCCAGACCCGCAGGCGTGTGGGTCTGAAAGCCCCAGGCATCATCCCCCGCATCTCTGTGAGGGAGCCCATGCAGACTGGCATCAAAGCCGTGGACAGTTTGGTCCCCATCGGTCGTGGGCAGCGTGAGCTCATCATCGGCGACAGGCAGACAGGGTGAGAGGACTCTGCTCAAAGTGAATAGCTGAACACACAACAGCGTTTGATGTTATTCCTGGTGCCTTTGAAATACTGTTAAAACAGGGGAAGAGCTAGAACTGACAGCGGGCGGGATGATCAAATCAATATTGCATGAAATCATAATAAATATGTACTAGATTTAAGCGGTATTTTGTCTGAAGCACATAGTGTCACTTTTAAACAGAACAGTTTTAGGCCCTAAATAAGAAATATGTTTCCCAAAGAGAAAAACCCTCTTCAGAGATCTTTTTCACGTTTTCATGAATTAAACTCAAGATTATTTGGCCTCAAACTCACTATGTAGATCCGTACCTACATGGTGTTTACGCTTTTGATTCGTGTTGCAGCAAAACTGCCATTGCTATTGACACAATCATCAACCAGAAGCGTTTCAATGAGGGCACCGATGAGAAGAAGAAGCTGTACTGCATCTACGTCGCCATTGGTCAGAAGAGATCCACCGTGGCTCAGCTGGTGAAGAGGCTGACTGACGCAGACGCCATGAAGTACACCATTGTGGTGTCTGCCACTGCCTCTGATGCTGCCCCGCTGCAGTACCTGGCTCCATACTCTGGCTGCTCCATGGGAGAGTACTTCAGGGACAATGGGAAACATGCCCTCATCATCTACGACGATCTGTCCAAGCAGGTGAGGAGATGATGATGAAAGAGACAAAACCATTTTCTTTCTATAATTTCATTACGGCTGCTTAATGACATTGCTTATTGAATTAATAGTCAAGAAAACCCAGAGTTTTTATGCAGCAATGCAAGAGCAACATTAAGGCAGGCTCTCAACTTCTAAAAATGTCCTAATAACTTCAGTGTTCATTTTTAAAAGCAGATTTTGGGGCCCCACTGGAGGGAATAAAATAAGATCTCGAGAGTAAAGTCATGAATTGCTGAGGAAAAGTAATAATATGAGAACAAAGGCATACATTTGTGAAACTAAAGTATTGAATTTATGAGAAAAAAGTAACAATTTTAGCCCGAGGTTAGTTTTTTATTGGGAAGGGAAAGATTAGAAGAGCAGCTGGTCTATAATAACTACTAGGCAGCCTGTGCACACATCTGCAATCTCTGTTTGTCCTCAGCCGTTGAATAAAACTTCATCAGATGGGCCGTACTCTTCATTTTAGTTCAGGTGCCGAGTTGCTCTTCTACTTTTCTCCTTCATATTATTTTCCAAACCCTTCAATCACTACTTAACTCTTAGAAAATTATTACTTCACCCTGAAAGAGGTACAGTGTGTAGAAATGGTAATATTTACAAATAGGTAGCTGTTGAATTCTACATTGAAACCCTCCCTTGCTCACCCCTCCCTCAGTGGAGTGACGGTGGCCTTCAAGGACAAGAAGCTCCAGTGATGCATAAGAAGTATAGTCCTTTAATTTTCACATTTTTAACATCTATCAGTACACATTTTTTTGCACACAGTTCTTCCTCTTCTAAAAGATGCAATTCCTGCAGCTATTGACTAAATACAAAATGATGTTACTTGTTTGTCTGTTTTGTGGCTGTGCAAGATGGCAGCCTCCATGGAAGGTGACCCATGGCTATTTAGACATAAATGACTTGTTCTGAGTGAACAAAGCTAAAACTATGTTCATTTTCAGGTGATAATCCACTCATTTAAACATCTTTATGAATATTATGTTCCAGGTCTGTTCAGCTAAACTCTGCTAAATATTACACACTGTACCTTTAAGTCTTGTGATTCTTTTGGAGTCTTGCAAATTCATAACTTTATTCTTGGAAATTTAATGAACCCAAGACCTGTTTATCTTACAGCTTAAGCTTGTATAATCAAAATGTTATTCTCATAATATTAATGATAGTTTGACAAATGTGGCTGACCAAATTTTTAAGGTTGATAAATTATTAGTCATCGATAGTCATCAGCTGGGCTATCCCTCTGGAAATAAGGCACAAAGGAAGTAAACACAGAAAACTCATGTCTCAAAAAGTTTCTCCAAAAAAAACCCCCCATCTGATTTAAAAACAACCCCACCCTAAACAAACAAGTTTTAACAATAAAATGTTTCCTGTTTTCTGCAGGCTGTCGCCTACCGCCAGATGTCCCTGCTGCTGCGTCGTCCCCCTGGTCGTGAGGCTTACCCCGGAGACGTCTTCTACTTGCATTCCCGTCTGTTGGAGAGAGCTGCCAAGATGAACGACAACTTCGGTGGCGGCTCCCTCACAGCTCTTCCCGTTATCGAGACACAGGCTGGAGACGTATCAGCCTACATTCCTACCAACGTCATCTCTATCACAGACGGACAGGTGAGGGTGATACTTGCTTAATCTCATATATTATCCTGAACACAACACTTAATCCCGTTTTCTCACTCTCACAGATCTTCTTGGAGACTGAGCTGTTCTACAAAGGTATCCGTCCAGCCATCAATGTGGGTCTGTCTGTGTCACGTGTCGGATCTGCTGCCCAGACCAGGGCCATGAAGCAGGTAAACCATCCTCGTATTCACCAGTTTTTCTCCTTGAACTGTGAATTCACAGTTCATTGAGGTTGAACTGAGGTAGGACTGACTGTCTCCTGTGTGTCACCAGGTTGCTGGTACCATGAAGCTGGAGCTGGCTCAGTACCGTGAGGTTGCTGCCTTCGCTCAGTTTGGTTCAGATCTGGATGCCGCCACACAGCAGCTGTTGAACCGTGGTGTTCGTCTCACTGAGCTCCTTAAACAGGGACAATACTGTGAGTATCTATGATTTAGAAGAACAACTTTCTTGCTGAGCTTCTCCTTTCAGAAACTGTATCCTTTTTGCAAGCCTCTTATGACTTTAAGATTGTTTACCTTCATTTTTAGCTCCAATGGCCATTGAAGAACAGGTCACAGTTATCTACGCTGGTGTGAGAGGACACCTGGACAAAATGGAGCCCAGCAAGATCACAAAGTTTGAAAAGGCTTTCCTGCAGCACATCCTGAGCCAGCACCAAGACCTGCTGGCTGCTATTAGGTGAGTCAAATAACCTCTAGGAAACTATTCATAATTTGCTTCTCTGTTTTTTTTTTTCTTTTCAACCAATCTCCAACCTTTTTCTTGCAGGGCTGACGGTAAAATCTCTGAGGCGTCTGATGCCAAGCTCAAGCAGGTGGTGTTGAATTTCCTCTCCAGCTTCGAGTAAAGTGGTGTGGTTGTTTTCATGTTTGCTCAGTGCAGCGTCAGTTTAACTTTCTATGAACTTTAAAAAGGAACTCAAGTGGCACTTGAACTTAAATGTACAGATAAATGTAACAGAAAATAAAGTATTAAAACACGAGTGGGATTTGTTCCTTTTTTTGTGGTGACAGCATGTAATAGAGTACATGGTAGAAAAGTATCACCCTGCAATTTTAATCTTAAGACCAAACAAAAAGATGAAACCTGAGCTGGTATCCCTGGATAAAGGACTCTTATTGAATGTTGATTTATTTATTTTCATTACTGATCACAAACAGAGTGACCTCTGCTGGTGAGGAACTGCTCAGACCTGATACAGAGAGGTCCTGTTCAGCTGTGTTGATGCAGCTAAAATAAAGATACCAGTGTCTATGCATCTTGTATAACAATACTCAAATTGGTGGTCCTGAAAAGATAAGTGACCAAGAAGCATTTAAATGAAATTAAAAGAAATCTTTATTGAGTGATGTAAACAAAATTTGTGAACACAAAATGTTAGATGTGATTCTTTGCTCATGAAATAAACAATAAGTCTAACAGTGACTATTACAAAAAGTGAAAAAGTGCATGATTCATATTTAACATCTAATGTGAGCTGCAAGTATTAAGACAATATGATCAAATTCAGTGGCAGAGTGCATTTTACATAAACAATTAAAGTGTTAACATGTAAAGTCAGTGATAATCAGTGAGACTAATTTACAAAAAACAATAATATAAATATATTAAAATATGCTTTAAATAAATAAGAGAAAATAAACACTAAAATGACTCATTACACAGACAAATCAGACCCAGTACTGTTTAGTGTGCATCACAGGTCTGTGGTGTTTGTGTTTGGGTAAGGTGTTCTGTTTGACGTAGCACGGGTCGTAATAATCCCACTCCAGGGCTGAAGACAGAACCCCGTTAGACAAACCATCACTGTCTGCAGAAAGAATCCGCAGGGACACACCTGAGAAGAAACCAGAGTGAATATTCAAACATGATACACTATCAGGTATCATCTCCTTAGCTAATCTTCAGTTTATTCTACAAATAAAGGGTAAACATAAAATGCTTTCTAAGTAACAGGAACGTTAATCTACACTGTGTTTTGAAGGTCTGAAATTACTAGATTGAATTTGCATAATAACGCTAACCTACATGCTGACGGTCAAATATCCAAATTAAAGCGGATGTTAGAAACTTTGTTTTGGTTTGTGTCCCCATTAGACAAAAATGTACATCTTATCACTTCACTGATCAGTGTGTGCAGACCAGGGTAGTATCTTCTGACCAAAAAAAAATACAACCTCTCTTTTAACAGTCAAATGTGTCACTTTATGTGAATATTTGCTGTTAAAAGTGTAAAAAAAGGCTTTTATAAAATCTTGTCTGACACCTACCCTCCTACAGCAATTTTTGCGACCAAAAATAACCATGAAGAACTTTTTATATTGTTGCTCATGGTCCTGTTTGGCTTTTTAAGCCATGGAGAGCAAAACAAAGTGCAAAGCAAATTTTGAGTAGAAGTGGTTCTCTAAACAGAACTGGTCTGAGTTTCTTTTTCCAAGCTTTCGCAAGCAACTGCATCGATGCAAAGCAAAACATGTTTTCGGGCAGATTCAAGAGACAGCTAAACATTATCACCAATGTATCTGTGTCTGTTGTTTTAGTATTTTCACACAGTATCTCCTACCCTGCCTTTTTCTGTTTTGGCAGTCAGCTACAGCGGTAACATTACTTATTAATGACAGCTGTATCGATCGCAGTGCAGCTGCTGCAGACTGATTCATACCTGCACTGGCTCCAAAGTCACTGTCAAGTCCAGGACCCACGGCAGATGTGTTCGGGCAGGATGTCACTGAGGGTGGGTTGGTGTACTCGCACTCCATGGCAACTTTGTCAAACACATGAACCGCAACATCTGGACTCACATCTGTCAGCATGTCATAGGCACTGCAGCGGCGAATGTGACCACCATGCTCTGTCTCCTGCTGTAAACAAATGAGAAAAAATGTACATCGAATATTTGTAAGTTATTTTTCACAGGCTAATTTTGAATGGGAAAGTTTTAATGTTACTTGCATGTGTAAAAACTTAACTCTGTAGAGTTAAAACTTGACACTTTATCATGTTATCACCCGCTCAACAAAAACGCCACAAATAATGCTCAGAACAGCACCTAACTTCATCAACAGCACATATAGGGTCCCAGCCACAGCACTAGCCACCTAACATGTTTTTAACTTTGCCTAATTTCTTTAGCAAAGAGACTAAACACAACTCACCCACTCTCTTCCAGCAGCTGCTTGTTTGTAGAGAGACCTCAGACCAGTCCATTACAGACTACAGCGGGGTGACGCAGCTCAAGGAAGAACATTTATGATCATTTATTCATGGAAATGCAATCAGATTGAGACGCTAAGGCAGAAGAACAACTGTGTCTGCAGTGCAAAATGATAAATATGGTGATTATTACTTCAAGGAAATTACAAAGAAATAATCATAAATGTCTGAATTTGTCCTACTTTCCCTTTATGCCATTTTCAATTATACAACACAGTTTCTTACTCTACACTCACTAGTTGTAATTCAGGGGTTTGAAGTGAATGCAATCAAACCGACACCACTACTTTGTGGTTATTATGTAATGATGTATTGTTGAATGGTCTTGAGCAGAGAGATACTGAAGTACAAGACTTAAAGCCTCTGTAAGAAGATAGATTTTTTTGCTTATGAAACAGGGTGAAATTAACAGTGATTCATCAACGTGACCTACAAAAGCAACAGGGTACTTTTTTCATAGCCTGGCCGGGCCATCCTGTTGCGTGAATCACTTGCCGTTCCTTCCCACAACAGTCTGGACTTCGGCCCATTGGGAGCTTGTTTTAGAAATCAGAAAATAACCGGGCCAATCAGTGACTGTGTTTCCACTGTTCCCCGGACAACAGGGAAAGGCAGCCCCTGATTGGTCCATGTGTAGATGGTGACGTCTAACACATGCTACGGGATTTTTCAAAGCGCCGTTCATTCAGAACGCCGTTAATTCTGCCGTTGACTTTGCAAAGTCGGCAGAAATCGTTTATATCCGCAGAAGAAAGCAAACCTTTACTTGATGCTTGAGAGCCCAGCGGGGAACACAGTTGCGCACTGTGATGACGTCAGATGTTTGGTTACGGTGATTGGTTACAGCAGTTTGTCTATCAAGGAAAGTACTTTTAGGGTTCCCAATTGGCCGAAGTCCAGACGGCTGTGGGAAGTGATTCACGCAACTGGATGGCCCAGCCAGGCTAATTTTTCATGGAAATGCGATCAGACCGAGACACTAAGGCAGAAGAACTACTGCGTCTGCAGTGCAAAATGGTTAATATAGTGATTATTACTTCAAGGAAATGATAAAGAAATGATCATAAATGTTCTTCCTTGAGCTGCGTCACCCCGCAGCAGTTGATGGACTCACCCAGAGGTCTCCGTACAAACAAGCAGCTGCTGGAAGAGAGTGGGTGAGTTGTGTTTGGTCTCTTTGCTAAAGAAATCAGGTAAAATTAAAAAGATGTTTGGTGGCTAGTGCTATGGCTAGGACCCTATATGTACTGTTGATGAAGTTAGGTGCTGTTCTGAGCTTTATTTGTGACTATGGAGTGGTGTTTTGGTTGAGCGCGTGGCTCTCTGTATTGCTATCTGTGGTCATTACTTAAGTTGGTATAACTAGAGTAGCAAGCGGTCTGCAACATTCATCTCTCGAGGGGAGGTCTAACTTGCTGTTACAGTGTGTTTGACCCTAAATTAATTCTATGCCGGAATATCCATTTAACTATTTATAGTGATTGAGAGTCAAAGGGGGGCAGCAGCTAATTTTTGCCCCAGACCCCTGAAAAAGGATGATCCGGCAATGCTGTTAAGTAGGCCTACATGTTCCAGAAGTTCATCCTGTTTAGCATCAGAATAATATCCTAAATTATCTAGATATGATTAAAACTAAAGAGAAAATCACTCAACTTTTCACAAACTACAGTTGTTTACTGTTAAATCAGTTGCAGGCCAAACGAACTCACCTGCCTGTTTTGACCACCTACCGTAGGAGAGTTTGGCGGGACCAGGTTCACTCTGGTCTCGGTCTCTGAATCACTAGACTGCGGTAAAACTGGAGCACTTTTACACCAGCCTGCCTTACTGATGCTGTGAGCCCGTAAACCAGATCCTGGGTCCAGTCTTGGGGTGAAACCAGCCGCAGAGGAGGTGGCCCGGATGGTGCTCGGTGCCCTCAGAGACCCTGACCCCGTGGCACCGTCTGGCCTGAGGAGCCGGATCCTCTGATCCACCCTGCTGGCCCTCTCTCTAGATGAAGCCCGGGAAGAGGTGACAGGATGGAGCAGGGCTGGTTCTGATAGAGACATGTACGCTCTCCTCCCGTCCTGCAGAGGTGGAAAAACCGAATCGGAAACTCTCCCGACTCTATGCAGGGTGGACTGCAGAAGCATCTCCTCTGTATCCTCTCGCTTTTGTCTGCTGCAGTTTTTCTTGGACAGGATCAGGAACTTGTAGCCCAGAAACAGACAGTTGAGCAGCAGCAGAATGACCACACAGGGTATGAGCAAAAGCACCACTAAAGTCAGGTTAGTCACAGGGTAACCTTCAGTCAGATTTGGTGCTGTGGTCTGACTTATCTGCGACATTTCATCCCACACAACATAGAGGATGCTTGTTGAAGAATTGCTGATCTCAACTGAGAATTCACGATTGTGTCTGAATGCACAGGTGGGCTGCTGTGTCAATCAATGTGGACTACTTTGTGTTTGAGCGTCTCTTTTCCTCCTAAAATCAACATGTCAGCCTGTCTCTGAAATGTAATCGGCCTCCAAATGTTGATGCTTTCTTTAAACCTTCCCCTCATCATTGCAGGCTGTCGGTGTTTACCGAGCAAAGGCTTGTTGTGTGAGACGACTTTGAAAGGCAGCCACGTGGATTACACAGCAACAGGTGCGTCCTATTAAGTGCAAAATGCCATTGCGTACAATGACGGCTAGATGGCAGCATTTGTCAGATCCTGTATCTTGACATCTCTCTGTAGTGATGATTTTATGTTCTGAATAGTAATTTTTAGGACTGCAATGCTGGGTATTTTTCTGTTGTAGTTCACCTGTTTAGGTAAATATAACATTTTAAGTCCACTTATAGAGCTTTCGCGGGACTTTCTTACAAAGTGTGCTCATTACTTTTATGCCCCACTCATGAGGTTGTGGACTCACGCATGTGGATTTGTGTAGTCTATATTACAACCACTTCTCCACAATCTAAGACCTTTCTAACTCACATGTTTGCTACAGACTCTAATAGATAGCTCAAAGGTTTCTAGGCACAGACAGGAACACACAACACTTCTTGACCTTGACATTCAGGGATCTTGTTGACACATATACTGAGATAAATGATATAGGGGAGACAGGGGCTTGTTGTCACACTTTTTACACTCTTATATATTTCTTGGAATCAACACATCATATGTAAACAAAATGTGTACCAGATGAAAGACCAAAGTCTCAGGTACATATTTCGTATTCATGTCATTTTCATATCTTGTGTCAGTGCAGAGTTATGAGCAATTAAATAGAAAGTGTGAACATGTGACATGTTGCCCCACCATTGGGTAAGTTTTCTCACTATATGGGGTAAGATGTCACAGTGGATTTTGTAGCTAATAAAACAAGGACAAAATTAGTGTTGTTCTAATTTCTTTACTTGAAAGTGAACTTCAAAGTCAGAAAGAAATGGTTTATTATTGAGCTAAAGAAAAAGTCATTGAACAATCGTTAACATAAAATATTATGCAACATGTTCAGGAGTTTGGAGATCTGTCTGACTCTGTATTTTGGCTGGGGTGAATGTTTTGCAGTACCGAGCCAAGGTATGGTAGCTGACATTAAAGTCCTTTACTGTAAGAAGCGTAAGAAGAGAAAGCGTATTTTAAAATATATGAAGTTAATTTTTTTTATTTTGGGTTGTGCAAAATGGTGAATTGGCGCTCGTCTCATAATGTGCTCTTCTCTTCTCAGACAGGTCTCAACCCCTGACCATGTAAAGGAGGAAAACTAGTATTCCACTTTTTAGTTGCGCCCTCTGGTGGCAAACATAATTGCGATGTGACCATAGACTGTATATAGAATGGACAGCGTCTGCCTCCTTGTTGGGTAAAGCCACTCCGAGAACAGCGCCCTCTGATGGTGGGCTGCAGTATAGGTCATAAATCCCGCCTCCGCCAGCAAAGCTTATGGGGCTGTGGACAAACTTTAGAAATTTATTACACAGAATATACATTTTTCTCCTCCCTAGTTGTGATGTTGACATGTAGTTATTGTAATACTGGTTTGTGCTCAAGTCGTCCTTTTTCTGTAAAGCTCTGTTTTTAAAAGTTATTAGGGGGTTCATGTTTTCTTTGATTGACACCTGATACGGCCTATTGGCGTTCAGGGATTGCGGAGCTCACCCGGGGGATACACTGTTTTAGCCGAGCGTCATCACAGCGACTCTTGGAGACTCTCCTGCCGAATGCGCACAACACTACTGTGCAATGCTGGTTTAAGGAAATGAAGAAAAATCCCAGAAATACCGAGAGCTTTTTGGCTTCAAATCCGTATACAGCAGGAAGGCGGAACCAAGTTGTCCATAGTATAAACAGTCTATGGATGTGATAACTTACCCATGTGACAACAAGCCCCGGTCTCCCCTACATAGGGTTTAATAATAATAATAAGATCCAGTTCAGTTCGTGCATATAGACACAGGTCTCCCCGAACCCTTAAGTCAAGGAGTTCCTCAAGGTTCACAGCTTGGACCTATTTGTTTCATCTGAGATGTGCTTTGTTATTCAAACAATACCCAATCATGCTTGTCAGTGAAGCTGGATGAAGTCACTGGTTTGGCTAAACTCACAACATTTCATAAGGACATAAACTGGATGAACAAAATGTTCCTGCATTTGTCAAAACTGAACTTTCTGTGTCTAGCTCTGAACACCTCAGAGATTTGTTTTGCAGTGATATAACTGCCTTGGATGGCATCAGCTTGGCTCTCAGCTCTGCCATCATAAACCTGAGGGTTATTTTTGTTCGTGATATGTCCAACTCCTTCTTTCAAAAACAAGTTATTGACAGCCTTTTATTTCACTAACATTGGCAAAAACAGGTCCATCATGATTCATAATGGTGTTGGAAAACAGTGCATTTGGACTTCTAGGCTGGATCATTGCTATTCATTATTATTCTGCTGCTTTAGCAAAACTCTTTAGACTCTTCAGATGGTCCAAAATTCTGCTGTACTTGTACTGACAAGAACTAAGATCATGGATCATATTTCTCTGATATTATCCCCTCTACAGAGGCATTTTATAGTTCATCCATATAGACTGCAAGTGGACTTGTGTAGTCCACTTCTATGAAGAGTTTTAAGTGCTTGTAGTCCATTTATTTTGTTTTTTGAGGACTTTTTCCACCAACGTTTTTGTTTTGAGGACTTTGAAGTCCACTTATGTAGGCTTTTTAGGAGTTTGTAGTCCATGTAGATCTTTTTTGAGAACTTTTATGCTACATTTATTTCATTGTTTGAACACTTTAGTCCATTTATTATATTTTTGTGGATTAGGTAGTACATATATTTTGATTTGAGTACTTTGATTGTTAACCTTTTCATCATGTGAGGACTTTTTAGTCCACTAGTTAAACTTCTATTGTTCATTTCTTTCTTTGTAATACACTTTGTTATCAGGACTTTGTCGTGATTGGTTATGTATTTCAGTACTTTATATACCCTCTATTTTGGGTACCTCATAATCTACTTGTTTTGTTTTGTTGACTTTGCTGTCAACTTATTTTAGGACTTTGTGTTCCACTTATTTGTTTTGTGGACTTTGCCTGTCAATCATTTGAGGATTTTGTAATCCACACATTTCCTTCTCAGGATTTAACAGTCCACTTATTTTTAGGATGTAGTAAACTACTTATTTCTCTTTTGAGAACATTTGTAGGCTAGTCAGTTGTTTTTCTGATGATTAGTTTTCCACTTGTAGTGTTTTTAAGGACTTTGTTGACCACTTATTTTGATTATTGCAAGACTCTGGTAGTCAGTGTTGATATGTTTGACATGTTTCTGGTCACAATGAACAGTGAAGAGCAGATGTTAAATTCACATTTTTTTTTATTTTCATGCTTTCAAACTTGTCTCCATCAGGTAATAACACATCATTGCTCAGAATATATACAAACATTTTCAAATAATTCAATAGAACATTTGACAAATGAATCTCTCTTAGAGACAATGTGTTTGCATTTTGCACACAAAGTAGATCTTTGCACACAAGTATGTTTTGCTATTGTAATAATTCAATGCAAAAGTCAGTCATATGATCACCATATAACTATAGTAAAAAGGATTATATTCTTCACATTTTTTCTACCATTCAGGTTTAAGGAAGTCTATACAGACTTGAGTAGCACACTGATATCCTGCTAAAGGTTTTGCAAGTATAACAGTACAGATACGCTTTTCATTCAAGTGAAAGGCTGTAGAGTCAATGGATGCCCTCAGATACCAAAGACCCCATTCATCACTTCTGAACTCTCGTCTCTCATTCGGCATCGTAGTTGTTGTGCAGCATGCCGGCAGAAAGTCTCCTCTCTGAACTACAACTCACTAAAGTGCTGCTTGCCTTTTCCAAACACAAGAGGTTGTGAGTGGTTGTGATTTTAGCACCTCGGGCAAGGCTGTGTTTGTGAATTGATAGCAACATACAGGCTTAATTAAGCTGCGTTGGCGGATTAAACGGGCTAACACTGGCCCAGGCTGTGCTTGATGATCTCGCGGGACTGAGGCGGGATCCTGTCGGGGAAGAGCACTTTGAACTCCACCACCAAGTCGCCCCGCTGAGATGGGCTCTTGGGCAGAGGCAGACCTTCACCCCTGAGCCGCCGTACAGCACCAGGTTTGATGACATCGCTGCATGGGAGCGGCATCATCCTGTTGTCAAGTGTTGGGACGTTAACAGTGCAGCCGCAGAGAGCCTGGAGAGGAGAAAAAAAAAGGAGAATTTGAGTTTTGTAGATCAGGTATATTTAGAAACAGTTTCATAATGCATACTGAGTGATCTGACTGGGCTCGAGAACACTTGGAACAATGAGAAAAATCAATTAAATGCCAGGTCTTGAAATGTGTCAAGTTACGTAAGTGATAAATATGGAGCGTCTGTCTTTCTTTTGAAAGGCACTACCATTTTTCTGTGTTATGCAATGAACCTGTGTTACAGATGTTATAATCGTTGCTCTATTTCCTGCCTGTGTGTGGGAGTTAAGTGCTTCAGTGACTGAAAGGAGCCACAGGAAGATGGAGGAGCACTTTGAAATGCCAGTCTCCGTGACTGCTGCCCTGCTAATCTGTGTGTGGGATGGCTGAAGTGAGAGCCAGCGACATAGTGAGCCAAAAAAGCTGCCTCTCTGCCTGCCTGCCTTGTTAAGGCACAGGAGTCTGCGGCACACATAGTGGCTGAGAGGGAGAGTGAAGTGTGATTCGTGGGGGCAGTTGGAGCTGTGGCTATATTTAGCTCCCGCTCCATCGCACTCTGCAGGGGCTGATGAGGTAAGCGAGGCGTTGGCAGGCTGCTGCTGCTGTTCTGTTAGTGGGGGTCTGCCAGCCTCATTAAAACTTGGGGCTTTTCTCCCCCAAACTGAACACTGCGTTCTGTTTCAGGACTGGGTTCAAAGATTTAAACCCCCACAAAATTTGGCTGAAGCAGAACCTTCTGGCCGTGTCTTATAGACGCTTCTCTGAAATCGATTTTCTTTGTTTTGTCAGTGAATGCATCATTCTCCAGTTATGTAAAGGACTAGAAAAGGTGGTTGGATCAGAGCCTTTTTTTCTGTGTAGGTGTAAGCAGCTGGCAAATGACATAGTATTTCTACTTATAGAGCAGCCCAGTGTTTCATAATGAATCATTCATGTTGTCAGTGCTGATGGCCTCTGTAGGAGTCCAACTCCTAACCCTAATTGACCTGTAAACTTGCTGTAAGTGCACCAAACTCACCTCTTTGAGAGTAATCTTGGCTGTGAAGACGATGTTGGAGCCCTCCCTCTTGTACTGGGTGTGCTCCTTGTCCCTGAGGATGAAGGTGATGTCTGCAGGGGTGCTGTTTGGCGTCTCGTCTCCCTCCCTGGGGAAAGTGATCTTGGTGCCGGCCTTCCAGCCTTTCTTCACCACCACGTTCAGCACTTTGTCTTCAGAATGCATGCTACGCCCGTCAGGGTTAAGGCGACGTCGGGTGATCTTCACATGCTTGGTGCAGCCTTGCATCACCTCCTCTAAGGTCACTTGCAAGTCGTGGACCACCTCTTTGCCCTGCAGCCGACGCTGACCTCTCCTCAGCCCGCCCTCGCCGCCGGCGTACCCGCCCACGTGGCTGAAGGTGAAGCGCCTGAAGGGGTTGAAGAGGTCATCCTCGCTGTCAGTGTCATTGGTGAAGTAGATGTCAAAGTGGTCAGAGCCGTGGAAGAAGGAGGAGAAAGTGGCGTGGGGGTCACCATGGAAGGTATTGCGGAAAACGTTGCCTTGGCTCGCCATTGACATCCCACTTTTAAGGCCTGGAAATCAAAAAGAAGATGAACAAGTTTAGCCAAACCCTCACAAGAAGACTGTTAAATTTTTAGGAAACTTCTTCATTGCTCTCTGAATAATTCATCAGCCCCACAGCTGTTTATGCCAAATATAGATAATTTAATAGAAGTGGAAGTGTTTTAGCTATGCTCTCCCACCTCACATCAGCATTTAGCATTGATGAAAACATGAATTGTTAATGCACCAGCCTAAGCTCCAGGAATTAGCCTTCTGGCAGCTACTATTTTAGTTGTTGAACTCACCTTCTTCCCCAAACTGGTCATAGATGCTTCTCTTCTTGGGGTCTGTCAGGATCTCGTAGGCCTCTGCGATTTCCTTGAACTTGTCCTCAGCGTCGGCGTCGCTGTTCTTGTCGGGGTGGAACTTGAGGGCCATCTTCCTGTAGGCCTTCTTGATCTCGTCTTCGTTGGAATCGGGGGAGACGCCCAGGACCTTGTAGAAATCTTTGCCTGTTGGTTTGATCGACAGACAGGGTGTGTCCGGCTCTGTCTTGGTGCCTTCCTATTTGAGAAAAGACAAAAGAAGAGTCAGGCTTTAGACCATTTTGCTTTCCATGTGTGCATTCATGAATTACTTTCTTGCAAATGTTTGAAATCTTGTGCAAATGCAAAAACCCTGCTCATGAATAACTTAAAGCTTATGATATTCATCCCTGAGCTAAACAGACTGCAAGGTTTATATCATCTACACTTTGCTGCACGGTTTCTATTAATATGCACAGATTTAGCCCCCCAGCAGGGACGCTCTCTGTGGGAAAACACCCTTATCTCTGTGCTGCTGCTGCAAATCCATGCATCGCATTTTATGAGCTGATGCACAACTCAACGTGAGAGAGAAGAGGGGAAAGGTGGGGGTGAGGGGGAAAAAAAACCTTCCCCCAATCGCTTAGATACTTTGCAGCGATTGGCTGAACGCGTATCTTCCATATGAATGAATCCATAGCAGCAGCAGCAGACAGTTAATGATAAATAATTGCAATATTTGCCCCAGACATTTTACGCACAGCCACATTAAGTTGTAATAAATATATTAAAGCAGCAATTAGTAAGCCAATGTGATATTTAATGTGTCATTCAGTGAGTTTAAAAGCTTGAAGAAGCTGGAATAAAACTTGTACTCACCGCTGAGGAAGACGATCCGGAGCTGTCACCTCGGTGCATAACCCGCACCTTGCACTTGACATTAACATTTTTGTGCTTGACACCGAACTGAGTCCAGATAAGAACCATGTTTAGAGTTGAGAAGTTGAAGTTGGTTGTTTTGTTTGGGCTACGTGTCGCTGTCCAGTCGCTCTGGTGCTGAAAATCGCTCCTCGGCTCTTTGCGTTCCGTCCTGTCTCAGCTCTCCTCGGCTCTCTGTTAAATACCGGCGCGGCAGCTCCTTTACTATCCGCTCACCCACCCACGCAGCGTGAGTGAGCTTTCCCCGGCTCCGCCCATTTCCTCACGCGCAGCAGGGGATGCCGGTGCCCTCACTTCGGCTGCGCGAGAGGCCATTGGTGCTCCGGCGATGATCACGCGGATGTTGCAGCCTCCTTCTCCATCTCGAGGCAGGTTTCCGGAGTTCTTGAAGGCAGAGCCGAGCAGACAGTCACGACACAGAAGCAGAGTGATTTTTTTTTCACTTTTACAGACACACACAGTACAGAACAGAACAGAACATCCAGACATGTTTAAAAAGATCCAGCTGGCTGCCTAGACAACCCCCAGACAGAACATTATGCTGTGATGGAGCCCCTGTCCTTAAGTGACTGTCTGTTTGTTTAGATATGAGAGGCTTGGATAACAACTCCACCAAACTCCTATATGGATGAGTGCTCTTGTCCTGTCTTTGTTTTTTTCCTCTATTTCAACAGGGTCATGTCAGAACAGCTATTTTTAGAAACCTATTCTGCAGTGGTGGGCTACTCTTGTCCCCAAGTTACCAGACATTTGAGGGAGCAAGTTAGGACATGGGGATCAGTAAGTGTTTGCATAATAGAGTCTGTAGTGTCTTGAATGCACCTCAAAAATAGCATCTGCAGAGGTGGAAGTATTTATAGTCTTTATTTAGCCTTAATGAAAGTAAATGGTGCACTCTAAATCTTAGTCATGTAAAAGCTGTGAGTAGGTTATTCACAAAATGTACAGACACTGTGCTCAAAATGGCCCTTATAACTGTTAGATTGCAAATATTGGTGAACCGAATGACAAGAAAATGCATTTCAACCACTGAAAGCTTAGATGGCAAATTATTTCTGCTTTAAGGATGGGGACCAACAATTTGATTTAAAAAATGCTGTCAAGCCTATTTCATTATCTTGAAAAACAACCTAAAACACCAACTGGGATACCATGAAAATGTAAACAACCAAGATATTTGGTGGTTAAGAGATCATTCAAACCCCACGTTTGATTAAAGGTCCTTACACACCGGGAGCGTTTTAACCGTGCGATTATTTCGGACGTCAATATTTTTTTTCGAACCCGTACCCTGTCAACACAAGCGTTCACAACAGCAACATTTTCCTGTCCTGCGATATTGCGGCATTACTTTTTTGGATCACTTTGGATCATTTCTAGAGTTTTGCATACTGTGTGTCCACTTCTGACCAATTAGATTTCGTGTTGTTGCGACGTCTGATTCACCAGTATATCCAACATGGCTGACCGGCTGATTGTTTACGTGTCGGAGACCAGAGTGCTTTTTGATAAAAGAACACAAACATTACAAAGAAAACGACCTGAAGGATAGTTTGTGTGCTTTAACAGTTTGCTAAACGTCTTTGTTTTAACTTTCATCTGTGCTAAGTAACTTTAGCTCGTAAGCTAACCTGGTCAGATAAAACATACCATATGTATTTTCACTGTCTCAAACTCAATCGCGTTGCTGTCACAGCAACATTAGGTCTCAGTTGTTACCTTACGTTTATGGATTATAGTTTAATGTGCTTATCTGCTACTGGCCCCGACTCAGTACATGCTATCATGACAGACAGCCATCTCAACACAAGTGTCTAATCAGAACTGAAAAACAGTCAGTCTGGTGTTGTGTCAGTCTTCTTGCTTCCACCTTAGACGCGTCTTTTTTCCCCCCGGAAAGTCGCAAAATTGATCGGGCTTGATGTGTATAGTCAGGCGCGTCAAAATTCGCCTCTGAATATTTCATAATTTCGCGTCGTATATTTGGTGTGTAAGGGCCTTTAGAAAAAAATGGTCTGAAGACATCTCAACTGTCTCATTTTAAATTTGATGGCAGCAACATGGACAAACTGGTGAAAAGGCTGGCTCTGTGGTTGGATTCAAGCTGGACTCAGTGGAGGATGTGTTGGAGAGATCTACACTGAGGAAGGTGGAGACTATTCTCAAGAACATGGATCACCCACTTCGCAACACCTTGATCGACCAAAGGGCCAATGGTGGTGGATGGCTCCTCTCTCTTTGCTGCAGAACAGAAAGATTTAGAAGATCTTTTGTACTCACAGTAGTCAGACTTTACAACTGTTCCGTAAATAGTAGATGACTTTTAGAGACATGACAAATGAGACAACAGACAATTGATTTTCCCTGAATGTCGGGGATTAATTAAGTTCTTCTTCTTCTTCTTTTTCTTCTTCTTATGTTTCAAAGAGGTTGGGGAAGGCATGTTTATTGTTGTGTTTCATCACTTCTTCATATTACAACAATCTATTAACATTTGGGGACTGTTTTTTGGAGTGAAATCTTTCCCTATTCGTGCAAGATTTCATGTAAGATTTCAGCTGCTCAACAGCTCAGGGTTTTCTTTATTGTGTTAGTCACGAGTGGTAAGCCAACATGACAGGCAGGATAAGTTAACATCTAGACTCTTCTCCTTCTGAGCCATACCATTGTAACATGTGTCGAATGTGGTCTTGCGTTGTCTTGCTAAAGCTGAGCCCTGAATAAGCGCCGCAGCATTCCTATACCATTACACACTCTAAAAACCCCGAGGCAACACCAGGGTTGAAAAGGGACCGACTACTTATTGGGTTATTTTGACCCAGAATGTTGGGTTATACAAATTAACCCAAATTTTGGGTTGACTTAATAACTCTTTTTAAGGGTCAAGTTAATCCAATCTTTGAGTTAATCTGAGTCATGATCTTGGGTTAAATTGATATATGCATTTGGGGAGCTCTTTTTGGGAGCTTTGCTTTTACAACCTGTACCCTATTTTCCCATGTACTTTTATCTAACTGGTTGGTGGGAATCAGTTATAGTACATGGTAAAATAGGGTACAGGTTGTACCCTAGCTGTTTCAGTGTACTGACTGTGGGTATAGAAGCAATCATTTATCCCTCAGCCTATTCATGTAACCCGGCTGTTTAGGGTTACTCGAGTAGTAGCATCCCAACAGAGCCTTGTTCCCACCTGATGTCCATTGCCTTCTCTTTGTTGTTCCAATAACCCATTTCTCATTACAATGCCCTGGTTCCTCAGCATGTGACGCAGACCTTGTTAGTGCACTCATGTTAATGAGGTAGGCCATAGCGCTAAGGGTATTACCTAAGGACCCAATCTGGTAGATGTAGTTAGCTCCTTACAGATGTGTCTCATGCGGGATTTCAACCCCAAACCCCTGGTTGGGAACCTGATGCTCTATCTGCTGAGCTAAAAGAGTCATGTATGTTGTAAATGCAGTGCACCTTTAGGTCCCCGAGGATTCCAGACAAGCATTATTGATTTTCAAACTTGTACCTTTTGTACAACCAGGAGAAGATCTTCTGTGAAACATAGAAATGTCTATGGTATTGTAATGGCATGGACTTTCTCAGTCCTCGAGTGAATACTGGTGGCTGCTTCTGCTTTTGTAGGTCACACTGATGAATCACTGTTAATTTCACCCTGTTTCATAAGCAAAAGAATCAATCTTCTTGCAGAAGCTTTAAGTCTTGTACTTCAGTATCTCTTTGCTCAAGACCATTCAACAATACATCATTACATACTAACCACAAAGTAGTGGTGTTGGTTTGATTGCTTTCACTTCAAACCCTGAATTACAACTAGTGAGTGTAGAGTGTAGAGTAAGAAACTGTGTTGTATAATTGAAAATGGCATAAAAGGAAAGTAGGACAAATTCAGACCTTCAAAATGCCACCGACCTGCACTCTTATTCTGTCTACTTTACTTCCTGTACCTAAAATCCCCTTGTAGCTAAATTGTTCTGCTAATGGATTTTCTGCAGCAAAGGTCGTCCAGTTTTACAGAGGCAGTATTTATTTTAATGACTCCTGTTTCTTTGAGACTGTGCAGGTGTTCATTTAAATGTGTTCACCCCCACACATCTACATAGCAACCGCATATTGTGTACCGACAGTAATTGCAATGCAAATGCAAATGAGCCACTTAATAACCAACAGCAAACAGCTGTGTGAAAGAAAAGGGCAACTTGCCTTCAAGTTATGTAAGTGAATGTGTGAAAAAAAATCTTGTGTTGTTTGAGAAGTGTTAAAATATTTTTCCTCTGTGAAAATTGAAAGTATCACCTCAGACACATTCGCAGAAGGATGCAGATTGCTTTGCCAGGAACAGGAACTAATATTTTTTAGATCCAGATAAGTCCATAGTAGGAAGGAACTGTGCAAAAAAATTGGTGCAGTCGTGAGCTAGGCTAAAACAAATTTCATCTTTGTTTTGATTTAATAAAGGAAAGGGCTTTAGATTTAATAAATCTGCTCACTCTTCTCGGGTAAGTTTGTCAGTGTATGGATACTTTCACAGAGCTGAAGTCAATGTTTAGAGAAGTGATCAGAGTTTACACAAAAAACAACAAATGTAGCTGTCTGCAGAACATTCAAGATACTCGCCATTGTAGAACAAAGATTCATTTTACTGTTATTCAACCATATTAAAAGATTGAGAGTAGAAGATTTAGATGAAAATATTCATTTTATTACCGGTTATATTTTGCCATTACCGTTTGCTTTTTCTGAACCACTCTTGTGATCTTACATAACGCATTGTAGTTTTAGATTATTTTGCTCTTTGTGGACCAGTTTCCCTTTAAACTCCAGAACATGCACAATAAGTATTCTGGACTTTAGGTTAAAGGGATGAAAAGGACTGTATAAATGATGGATGAAATCTCAGTGACCTCTTCCATTGTTTTCTTTAAGATCAGTCACCACACATCCCTGTACGTGTTACTGACCTGTTCAACCATGTATGCAAAATACTACAGTATACTTGTCTGTGGTGTCTTATCATAATTCCATGATTGTGCACATGATTCCCTTCTACAGAGGAAAACGTGTTCAGCCTACAACATCGAGAAATCTATCACAGAAGCTCTAAATTTGGCGCAAATCACCTGGACTGAGTCGTGACTGACTCATGTGTTTTGTTTCTTCCCCCACAATTTCCCCCTTTTGTTACCCTCTGATAATGTTATTGTCTTCGGAAGATCTGGTCAACTTAAAGGGATATTCCGGCGTAAAATTAATTTCTTTATCATTTCCTTGAAGTAATAATCATCATATTAATCGTTTTACACTGCAGATACGGTAGTTCTTCTGCCTAAGCATCTTGGTCTAATTGCATTGCCATGAAGTAATGATCATAAATGTTCTTCCTTGAGCTGTGTCACCCCACAGCAGTCTGTAATGGACTGGTCTGATGTCCCCCTACAAACAAGTGGCTGCTGGAAGAGAGTAGGTGGGTTTTGTTTAGTCTCTTTGCTTAAGAAATCAGACAAAGCTAGAAAGATGTTTGATGGCTAGTGCTATGGCTAGGACCCTATATGTACTGTTGATGAAGTTAGGTGCTGCTCTGAGCGTTATTTGTGGCTATAAAGTGGCGTTTTGGTTGAAGTTTGTTTATGGCTCCTCAGATCACTGTGTACTGCTATTGTGCAGTCGTTACTAAAATTAGTTTAACTAAAGAAGCAAGCGGTTGGCAACATTCATCTCTCGAGGAGGTGTCTAACTCGGTGTAAATTAATTTTACATTGGAATATCTCTTTAAAGATCAGTCACCACACATCCCTGTACGTGTTACTGACTTGTTCAACTATGTATGCAAAATACTACACTGTACTTGTCTGTGATGTTTATCACAATTCCATGATTATGCACATGATTCCTTCCTACAGAGGGAAATGTTTTCAGCCTACAACATCAAGACATCTATCTATCTATATCTATGCAAATCACCTGGACTGAGTCGTGACTGAGTCATGTGTGGTGTTTCTTCCCCCACAATTTCCCCCTTTTGCTACCCTCTGATAACGTTATTGTCTTTGGAAGATCTGATCGACTTAAGACACCCAGTCGAGACTTACCTGTACATAGCCTTTGTTCTGTTTCTCTGATTATTTGAAAAGACAGATTGGCAAGATGCAATAATTTATGCCAAATGGTTGCTATAATTGTTGATGAGTCCTGGAATTAGATAACAGATTGCATATTGCCACTTTAGAACCCAAGTGAGGGTTTAACTGAGAAAGAGCAAAGATGAGAGTAGAAGAAGAAGAAGACGAAGAAGACGGAGTAGATAAGGAGAAGATGAAGAAGATGATGACATAGAAGAAGAAGAAGACAAAGAAGAAGACGAAGAGAAGACCACAAAGAGAAGATGACAAAAAAGAAGATGAAGAAGATGAAGAAGACAAAGACAAAGACGAAGAAGAAGATGAAGAAAAAGAAGCTCCTCCAAGCTCTCCGCCAGTATCAGAAAAAGAAGAGACATGACCCTTAAGTGTGGGAGAAAAAGTTGATTCACATAAGTATTGCAATTTTTTTGTTTTACAATTTTAAATTGATTTTCTTGTTCCTGATCTTCAAAACTGACTTACATGTGATGTGTATTTTTTGGGGAAGTATGGTTCCTGGAATAGTCACTAGATAATCATAATCACTCAACTGTTTCACCGGTGTTAAAAACACAGACTAAAGATGGAGAAAATCGACAATATCGTAGAATCGCAATTTAAATCGAATGGGCATCCAGAAAATCTTACAAGAATGGAATCGGGAGAAAAGCATAATGTCCCGACCCTAATGACCCTTGTAATCCAGGTACAGTCTCTCCAAAGTTAATGAGTAATATTCATTTGAGAGGCTTGTGTGGTATTTAATAAAACAACCAGGAATACCCACAAACCCACATAATCCTGTTGGTATGAAAATCCTCTCCGCATTGCAATGACTAGTTTCTCAGGACACTTATAAAATGTGCTAAAAGGCTGAATTTCCTCCTTTTGAGAAAGAGTCACCATATCTATTTCCAGATCATACTACAAGATTACAACACAGCGTGAACCGAGAAGCCTGCAGTGCAGCCATGAAAATGGGAATCAGTGTCACAGGGAGCGCACATACATGGCAACACTTCCTCTGCTGTAATGCTTTGTTTATCCAATAGAGGATGGAGTATCCGAGGATTCTCCTTTCGTCTTACAGGAAACAGCGGACATATATGGTTTGAAACATGTCGAGCCGGTAGAGTCATGCGCCAGATCGCAGCTCTTATATACTACTCACAGATTGAACAAGAGAGAGTGAATCAGAGCAGGCTATTTCACAGCGCTCGTTCTTCCTGCCCACGAGAACAGTCTGACAGTGTGCATGGACAGGTTTTCACACATTCAAACCGTCTCTCTTCTCACAGGTACACAGACAAAGTTAACTGTCAGTCTCGGAGATGAGAATGCTAATTAAAAGACCAAGCTGTTAGGGGGTGGGAAGGCAGACAGCTTAGCCTACATTTTGCCTCTTATATTCTGGTTGTGTTCTTTGGTGTTGTTACATTACCACATGGAACAGACACTATATTTGTTTTTGACGACAACTGCTCATGACTGTAGGGGTGAAATTAAACTATTTTTACATTAATTATCAAAATGGTGGCATGGAGGCAGACAATCGGTGGCTCTGCTGAAGTGTTATAGCTCCGTCATCTCATCTGTATTGTTGCTCTGTTGTATCTCATCTCAGATTATCTGTGGGGTTCAGGTCAAGTAAGTCGGCTGGTCAATCAAGCACAGTGATACCACAGTCAGCAAACCAATTTCTGTTTCTTAAGGCACTGTGGGCACGTGGAACTCCGTGTCTCCAAAAAACTTCTCAGCAGATGGAAGGGCTAAAATATTTACCTGGTAGACATTAGGCTGCATAGACTCTGGACTTGATAAACCACCAGCAGCAGATGACATGGGACCCCAAATCATCACAGGCGGTGGAAACTTCATGCTTGAGCACTCAAGATTCTGTGGCTCCATGATCTTCCCCCAGATTCTTGGACCTTGATTTCCAAATGAGATGCAAAATGACTTCAGCCTCAGTCCACTCCCCGTAAGTTCTTGGATCTGTTTTGTTTGACAATCCTCTCAAGCCTGCTTGTGCACCTTTTTCCTTCTAGTCAACTTTCAGCTGATATCCTTTTCTACAGTTCTCTGTAAACAGCCAGCCTTTGCAGGTGTACAGAGTTAATCGGCTGATCGGAACTCTACTGAAGCGCTGAAATAACTGACAAGAAACTGGACTTTTCCACAATATTCTGATGATTTGTGATAGTGGATGTTTGATTTTTAGGAGCTTTAATCATCAAAATAAAAAAAATAAAAACAGTCTTGAAATATCCCACTTTGTTTGGAATGAAACGCTGAACAGAGAATCTCTAAAATTATGGTAAAAAATAAACTTTGTTGGGACATTATGATATTTTCAGCTGCACCTGTATAGTACCCCCTTTCAGTCCATCATACCAAAAGGGCAGTAGATCCAGTGTAGTCCGTGTTCATATTATACAACCACCTCAATAACTATGTGTAGGGTGTAACTATAAATCAATACATACAAGCTCACCTACATGGTATGCATGCCAACTCTTATGTAAAAGGAACAGAAATAAGTTAATGTGTAAAAGGTATTGTCTCCAGGGAACCAGTCTATTATAAAAAAAATTGATAAACTGTTGTCTTCATTTAAGACCATGGTATTCAGACTTGTGATTGTGGTGTTTGTAGGATTGTGTTGGTTCTTAAGTCCACCATCTGCCCCAAACTGTGATACTTTACCAACTTCTAAATGGATATAATGCTTTTAATTTGATCATCAGCAGTTCAAGTAATCTGCTATAAAACTCAAGAGACAGAGGCTCAAATTACGAGGTTTTAGTCACTGTCATAAGACCAAGTACTGATATTTTTATTTTTTCATGCTTCCACTGCCCCCATCTGCAGCTCTTTAAAACTTTGATAAAGTTGTAAATAAGAGAGAGTAAGGTTGAATTAAGAGATAAAAACCACTCATATTTGCATTGATATATTTTTTAATTCTGACTTTTTAAATAACACTTCTTAATTTCCTCTTTACCTGATGTTACTTCACACTCTAGACCATGGGCTACCGGTGCTTGATTTTTCTTGTACATACTTCTTTATTTTACTTCTCCACAGTATGTGCAGACCAGTAGCGATTGCTCGAAGACTGCAAGGGAAGCTCAGCTTCCCTTAAAATGTCACCTCCCCAAAAAAAGGAAAAGTGGTGAAATACGTACTGCTGTGTGTACATTTCATTAACTAAATACGCGCTAGAAAGCCTTCATCTTTTGTTCAGAATCAGCTTCTTATCACAGTGTGATAAGAAGCTGATTCTGCACAACTTCATTCTCATTCATCCTCGCAGCGCCTCAGCGCTTCACACAGCTGGACGCCCAGCTTTTGCTGACTTCAATGTGGAAGCTCAAAGTGGGTTGTTCCAGCAGCGAAACTAGACGCTCATTGGATAAATGCTGGGCTTTGTCCCACCCATCGGACGCTCAGCTTCTCTGGAGTTCTATGGCGAGAGGGCGGTCCCAACTTTCTCGCGGACGCTGAGCTTCTGCATCCATGATTGGATGAGCTGTCTGAGGCGAAATCCTTTTTTGATTGACAGCTAAACAAGCGAATCAGTGATCTTAAAGAATAAAACATCTACCAGAGCATTTTCCAAGTTATTCATTCCATTGTTCTTAACTGCTCCGGAGACTTTACCGATCCTCAGCGACTTTTGTCTTTGTTAAAAACAACTGCTGTTGTGTTTGGCGACTCTGTTCTGTTACATACAAATAAACAAACACAATTATGATGTAGGCCAGAAAAATGAGCTTCCTCTCCTTGAAAGACCAGCAGCCGCCACTGGTGCAGACTATACTTGTTGCCTAAAAGTTGTTTTTCAACATTTGCTTGATGGCTTCCACAAATGCTAATCATTTACCTAAACATGTATCTTATGATATGGCGCAAACCATACCCGCATCAATTGCACCCGCACCATCATGAGGCAAATGTGGAATATGATGAATCTGTTGGCCAGGTTAAAGGGATATTGTGGTGTAAAATAATTTAGGGTCAAACGCACCATAACACCCAGTTAGACACCCCTCGAGAGATGAATGTTGCAGACTGTTTGCTTCTCTAGTTTTACCAACTTAAGTATTGACTGGACGATAGCAATACACAGCGATCTAAGGAGCCATAAACCAATCTCAACATTTATGATCATTTCTTTAGCATCTCCTTGAAGTAATAATCACCATATTAATTATGGTGCCTTAGCATCACGATCTGATTGCATTTTCATATAGAAATGATCATAAATGTTCTCTGCAGCAGTCCGTAATGGACTGGCCTGAGGTTTCGCTACAAACAAGCGGCTGCTAGATGAGAGTAGCTGTGTTGTGTTTAGTCTCTTTGCTAAAGAAATCAGGCAAAGTTAAAAAGATGTTTGGTGGCTAGTGCTGTGGCTAGGACCCTATATGTACTGTTGATGAACTTAGGTGCTGTTCTGAGCATTATTTGTGGCTATAGAGTGGCGATTTGGTTGAGTGCGCGGTTCTCTGTATTGCTATCTGCGGTCGTTACTAAAGTCGCGAAGCAAGCGGTTGCCAACATTCATCTCTCGAGGGGGTGTCTAACTCGGTGTTACTGTGTGTTTGACCCCAAATAAATTTTACGCCGGAATTTCCCTTTAATGTTGGACTAGTCCATTCAGTCAGTCAGGGGTCACGCGTCTCACAAGCGTTAACAGCTGCCCTATAATTCAGGCAGGTGTGGTCATCGGTACCTACCTTTGAACCCCACCTCCTTCCTCTAATGCATTTGTCCGCGTAATGTCAGCGGCCATGCGAGAAACTCTAATTGTACAGTTAACGTTTGAATGAGTAAAAGTCACGACTGAAAACATCAAATGGGAATACAGAAATTTTCAAGGCTTGTGTTTCAAACCGCTTTAACTAACGGAGAGGGAATATTATCGTATTGTGGACTACATTAATGCAGCGCACCGGCCTGCAAGTTTTGCAGCCAGAGATTTACCGGCGTCTGATGAAGAGGAGGACTAATGTTTGGACAACAACAACATGGGAGGAAGACGCTGCTGACGAGAAACACTACGTCATACAGGTAGGTTATGAATTTTTCATATGACTGGATGAAATCTACAATATTTTCACATTTACAAATCAGACCCAAACATTGAAAAGACAAACGGCACTATTTTTTTCGTTAAACTATGAACCTCAGCGGAGTGATACATTGTGATTGATTTTGCTCTTCAATGGGGTTTCAACTATATCTCATATTTAAAGTCATTACTTATTTGTGTTATTATAAGTGAAGAATCATAACAGCTTCTGATTGTGTTACTTTGTTGAATCACGTGACGATCTGTGATTTGTAAAGAGTGATGTTTAGGGATGTTTTGTGCAGCTGTGCTTTGTTGGTTTTGTATGACTGCTCATGAGTTGCTAGACTTGTGTTGTGAACTTTGTGGTGCTTCTGGCTTTCAGACATCTGTAAATGGACTGTAAAACAGATATTGGCTTTTAGTGGTCCTGTAATGTTATGACTCTTAGGATACAGGTGACTGCTGTGCTCTGAGTCAGTGTGAGCTGTATATTGGATGTTTGTCTTAAAATTTAGGTCAAGGCGTTCGTATCTACAGGATAAGTAGACAGCGTTTGATGATGCTTTTAAAAGCAGAATGGTACATCTGAACACTTTAACTCACAAGCATAAAGCTGCTGCTGAACTGCTGAAAAGACTTTATTGCCTCTGATTGCACACACTTTAGGTGGATCGAGAGTGAAAAGTTGTGTAACATGTGACCCGAAGTTCAAAAGCAACAAGTATAAATATATATGTACATTACAGGCAGAACTACTTGCCATAATAATGCAGAATATCAGTCTAAACAGCTGTGTATGATAAGTTTAACATACAGTAGGTCAGAGACAATAGCAAAAATATCTGTAAAAATAATGAAAAATATATATTCTTTATAAGAATGTTCATTATGTACATTTGTAAACAGAAGCTTATTCGAATGCAAAGCAAGAGCTGAAACTGCAGAAGGTTGTCAGGAATCCAGTGCAGTCCACTGCATACAGATGCTATCCATTGTGGCATGGATTAATACAAAAGCAGTACAATTCAATACAATAACAGGGGGATCACACACGACCTCTTTTCCATCACCTGTGGACTTTTACATGGTATGTTTTTGTAGGAAACAGTGCTACTGTTCTGTTTCTTGTGTGTTTATTTTTCCACTTGAATATAGATTAAAAGAAGATAAACATTACACAATCCATTACACAACAGATGTTCGAGGCTTTCTTATGTGGGGTACAGATAAATAAGATTCTGAATAACCCAAATTAAAACACTTAATGGTAATGTATTCATGAAACACCCTCACATTTAATCAAAATACCGTTTTCCAATCATTTTATGTAAAACTGCAACTCTGATGAGCATCTACAAAGGTTTTTTATGGGGAGGGAGGTGATTATGTGTTTATGTCATTATGTCACTAGGTACAAGCTCATACATAACCCTGCATTTGAATGTGCAGCAGATAGGCCATATGCAAATTATGTTGCATAAGACAGTCTGACAAATAGTCAACATAATTGAGTATCTAAAATTACTCTTTTGAAAACCTGCTGAAGCCTTTTGCCAAGTCTGTCATGTTTATGCAAAATGAATCTGGAATTCATTCTGAAAGTATGTAGCAGAAAATCCCACTATAGGGTGATGATATAATTTCAGGAGCCTCTGACAAACTGGATCTTCCTGTATCATTAATGTAAATATAATGCAGGAGGTACAGATCCAAAACTTGTGTATGATCACCAGATCATTTTGATTAGGGCCAAACCGATTTGTCGGTGAGCCGATTAAATCAGCCAATATTAGCCAGTTTGAGACTAATCAGTAATCGACCAAAACTAGACGATTTTCGCAGATATTTTCTGAAATAAAATGCGGAGAATAAGATTCGGTTTCACTTCGAAAATGTTTCGCCATTTGAAAAGTTCCCCGACTCATCCTGAAGATGACGCAGCGACCTCATGACAATCTTCATCCACTAACTACCTCACAGCACAGCAGAGTGACGGATCTGAAGCAGGCAGCTCAGGGACGCATGGATGAGAGTGGTCCGCCTCAACGGTGAAAAAACAGTTTGTGAAATACACAATAAGTCAACAAGTTTCAGTTCAACCCACTTCGAATGTTCCCCGCTGTGCTGGTCTCGATCACGCCGAGTTAACGGTGAAGCACCATGTAATATGCAAGCTAAAGTTAGAGTTAGCCATCTGCTATTAGCCTTGCTACACTGTTAGCCGTGCCAATAACAGTAGAATAAACAACAGTACACATTAGCACATTAGCTGAGGGGGTTGAAAACGCTTTTGGATCAGTCGGTCTTCTTGTTGGCGTGAAAAGCAGTAGCCTACAGTATATCTACAGCATATAGTATACTGTTGGTATCTACACTATATACTGTATATATATTTTTATAACTTCATAAAATTTTTTTAAAAAATCGGCTGATTAATCAGTAATCAGACCCCCCCCCCCCCCCCCCCTAATAATCGGCATCGGCCCCAAAAAATCCATACCGGTCAGGCCCTAATTTTCATTACAGGTCCCTTTTTCTTGTATTTATGCTAGTGCTATTTAATTTTTCTCAAGACCCTATCGTAGCTATGTGGAGTTAGAAAATACTGCAGCGGCTATTATCTGTGACTTGCAATTCTTATCTGTCAGACAGTGGGGTAGATAACCAGTAGGTGCAGAGCTACACAAGTTTTTTTTTTCCTCCTCTGCATGCATTTAGTTTTCTGTGAGTGTGGTCAGAAGAGTGAATAACACTGCTGTGAGTACACAGCCCTGACACGGGAGGTGACATCCACCACATCTCACACCATCCTACAGCCAACACTGTTCCTTCAAAGGTTAAAGGATGAATCAACATTGTGCAAGAGAAGAGAAAAGAAGAACCCTCCAAGTTAGGTCACCTTTACCAACAAGCTGCATTTTAAAATGAGAAAATAATAATTTAATAATAATGAGAATTTAGGAAAGTAAGATTTTTGATTTGGGTTGAAATGTAGGATCAGTCATTATAAGCCATTTTGCATCGCCAGGCAATGAAACGAGTTGTCTCATTTTCAACTTTTTCCCCTACCCTCGTCTCGCACCCCCCCGATTCATCACAGCACCCACACATGTCTAGGAGTGTGACTGTTATGTGTAGCACTGGCTAGACTGCACTCTGTGCTTCTGTGCTCCAGATATCCAGACAGGCAGATGGCAATAATAACACACATTTCATAAGTGTTGATATAAATGCAGACACAGACCCAGACAGCTCTCAGTATGATTATCAGCTGATGTCCCAGAATCTTCTTTTCACAGGGATCAGAATCTTTCGACTTTGGGGGGAAAAAGGAGAGAGGTCGTCCTTTAGAGAAGAGATGAAACTGATAATAAAAGAGCTGAAAGAAGATAAGCAATAAAAGGGGGTTTACCAAAACATGTCAAACTGAGGACGAGGCAGCACAAGAAACCAGAGGGGAGATAAAGAGAAATTATTAGAGGAAACAATAAGACAGATTGGAGCGCAGAAGGCAGTGATGGATTATGCCTGGCAGAGAAGAGGGTGTTTTTGCTGGGGGAGCACTTTATAAAAATCTTCCCTGCAGCTCAATATCTGCACTCATGACATGCTCTGCTGCATTTTAAATCTTCTTAAAGCAACCACCAAAACTTCAGGAAAGTCCATTTTACTGTTACATCAGAGACAGCACTCAAAATGATCTGTATTATTCCTTACAACATCGGTTTATATAATATGTCCCCCTCATTCAAGTTGTCTTAGTTATTTCCTCTGTATAATTAGATTTACATGCCTCTGTGGCTCTGTCTTTCCTTGGAGAGTGGTGCCCTCTGCTGTTCAGTGAAGCTATGTTGCATAATGAATTTTTGCTATTTCTTACAACAAATTTTTTTATATGACATCTCCATAGTTCATCTCCATATTATTCCTACATTTCATCCTCATATATAACATATAACATCCTCAAAAGTAGGATTTTGAAGCACCACCATGGCATCAGATTCACTCAGTGCAGCTCTTCTCCACCACCAAGTGGACACTCTGCACTTCATTCTCCCCCATCTGGGCCTCCTCTTGGCTGCCACTGTGCTGACAGTGCTGAGCATTCTCTGAGACCTTTAATCGTCTCTGGTAGCGCCGATTTTCCTCAGGGTAAGAGACCACAGACAGAGGCAGTCTACAGATGGCTTGGATCTCAGAGGAAATGAGGAGGAAGATGAGAGTCGACAGGCAGAAAGGCCACGTGCAGGCCGGTAATGCGAGCTGAAAGGGGATGTCAAAGGAGAGGAGAGCGTGACATATGATATGAAAGACATCTGGGTATTCAGACGATGTTTAAGGGAAAGTTTCTTACCATAGACATCATTTTTACGATTGCCGCAGTCATGTATGCGCAGAAAAGAGCTAAAAAGAAAAATACATGTACATTTTATTATTATTAACAAGCAATACTTCAAGTAAAGCAGACTAATGATCGATGTGTCTGTCAGTCTTACCACATATTACAGCTAGTAGATGGCTTTGCCACGTTAAGACATAAAAAACCCCTCCAATGGCAACACAGGAAAGAGCACTGTTATATCCCCACAGGCCTGAATAAATGTCCACATGAGGAGCTGCTAGTGCAAATCCTGTAACACGCATAAAGAAAAACCTCAGAATTATCCTAAATAGTGTACATAGCATGCAAATAGTAGATCTTTAAACTCATAATTTCTGGTTATTTAGAGAAAAACATGCAAAGGTTCGTTCATTCAGAGTAATGCCATGGTTTGCTTTAAAGAGCTAAAATTGTCACTTAAGCCACAGCAGACATTATGCAGATCTCTATGCAAATGAGAGAGTCTTTCAACCAGCCAGCATGCCAGCCGCTGAGCCCAACATGGCGTGGAAACAGATAATTGGTGAGGAAAGCAGCAGGGCCAGAAGGATGAGCCCTCCTGTCCAAGGACTGTCGCAGCCGTACACCTGGCCAACACCGACTGGCACTGACAGGAGGAGCTGCAAATGGAAAGACTGCAGTTTACTTACAATTCAAACAGATACTGCACATAATTTATCAAGACAACATATGTGCAGCATAACCAGTATAATGACCTAGAAAATAAAACAATCTTTTTTCACCTGAGAGATATTGAGGCTTTGGATGGAAATATTAGAAGGATGCAGTTGATGATTTGGCTGGATATCCACCTGAAATTAAACTGAAGTGAGCTTCATTTGAAAATCCATACTCCATTGTTTGAAGCAGGGCTGTACTGTACCTGCGGGAAGTAGGGGTGAGTGGCTCCTGTTGCTGCGACATGTATGTACACCAAAATATTAAAGGGCAGGGTGAATATTGGGAGGTCCCATTTACCGGTAACTGAGGACAAAGCGCTGGAGACCACTGGGCTGTAAACAGGAGCAGGAAATGGATTACTGATTGGAAGGAAAGGCAAATCAAATGAGAATGCTGTGACCTTGCCTAGATGGTCTATGTTCAGACCAAGGGTGGAGCTCACTGTATGACTTATAACTTATGTGGCTGTAGTATCAACTTTGTATAACTTTGTGTATTGTTAGGGTGTGAGGCCCACACTGACCCATACAGTAAAACAGTTTAGTTTTTTACATACATTGCCCCACCATGGTGACATAAGGTTCAGCCTAACTAGTAGACCCTAAAATCCAAACTAATCCCACTATTGTTGCAGATATCACTTTATTACTTCAAGTAGCCAATCAAGGAAAAGGTTTTGTCTTTGTGGAGGGTTTGTTTCAAAGCTCTCATGCTTGACTGCCTCCAAACAAGCTCAGTGCTTTGACAATTGGTATTTAAAGAAGACTTAACACCTACTAAGAGCCGTTTTTTTCATGCTATTATTTCGGACATCAATATTTCGTTTTTTTTAGATTTCGTGTTGTTGCGACGTCTGATTCACCGGTATATCCAAAATGGCCGACCAGCTGATTGTTTACGTGTCAGAGAACAGAGTGCTTTTTAATAAAAGACACAAACATTACAAAGATAACGACCTGAAGGACAACTTGTGGAGAGTCATAGCGTTGGATATGTCATACGATGATGGTTTGTGTGCTTTAACAGTTTGCTAAACGTCTTTGTTTTAACCGTCATCTGTGCTAAGTAACTTTAGCTCATAAGCTAACCTGTTCAGATACAACATACCATATGTATTTTCACTGTCTCAAACTCAATCGCGTTGCTGTCACAGCAACATTAGGTCTCGGTTGTTACCTTTCGTTTACAGATTATAGTTTAATGTGCTTATCTGGTACTGGCACCGACTCAGTACATGCTATCATGACAGACAGACATCTCAACACTAGTGTCTAATCAGAACTGAAAAACAGTCAGTCTGCTGTTGTGTCAGTCTTCTTGCTTCCACCTTGGACGCGTCTTTATTCCCCCTGGAAAGTCGCAAAATCGCATCGGGCTTGATTTGTATAGTCAGGCGTGTCAAAATTCGCCTATGAAAATTTCGTAATTTCGCGTCGTATATTAGCGTCGTTCCCGGTTTGTAAGGACCTTTGAGATGTAACTTATGCTTACTTTGAAACTATCTCAGTCAGTGCATTACTGAAAACTATATGATTTATTGCGATTTTTAACATTTTTCAATACAATATATTGCGATTTATATAATTTTTAAAAACTGTTTAGCTAATTTAGCATTTGGCTTTCCTTTTTTACTTACTTATTTCTTATTTACGCTGTATTTTATTTTCATGTAGCACATCTTGCAAATCTTATATATATTTGTTGCATTAACTGTCTCCTGCACTATGATGTCACCTCTGTCAACCTCATTGGACAAATAGTTGATTTTATTTTTCCATTATTTATAGATTTGACTCCATATTAATTTGAAAAAGCGATACTTGGTAAATGAGACGATACGATATATCACCAGACAAAATATCTCGATACTATGCTGCTTCGATTTTTTTTCTCCCACCCCTAATAAGTTCATCTATTGTTGTGGGTGTACAATACTTAAAACATTTGTAAACTGCATCCTAAATCAATAATTGCATTTAAACCAGGCTGCTTTAAACTTAGGCATAAATGGTGCAACCCAGGGCTGCTGTTTACTGATATTAACTTTGTGCAGAACCATTCCTCTGTTATATTTTAGCACACCAGTCAAGTCTTGGATTTCTCCATGATTTTTATATGTTAAGCCCTCTGCAGGCTTTTTTCATTAGTCTTGTCTTACTAAAATGAAGAATTCAAATACAGAGAATGGATTAAACTATGTTTATCTATTCCAACTGTGGCTGTAAATGGCTGTCTAAACATGCTGGTGCCTTTACTAAGAGTGTGCCAGTGAATTGATTGGATAAGAATTAGGGAAACTCTTACCACAGCATGGACATGAAGATATTTGGAAGTAACAGCCACCAGTACCAGTTCCCTTTGGCAGATAAGACAGCCATCAGCATGCCGACCAATGTTCCGTTGTAGCCACACAAACCTGCTGTGATGGCCTCCCTGATGTGAATGTGACAGATGTAGCCAACATGAGTGCAAAACACAATTAAACGGGAGGCAAACTGAAAACCACACAGTGTGAAAGTTGGAGAAAGTGAAGCCCCCGCGGATATAAGTGGGAGAGACGGAGATGATGGTTTTGTAGAAAGAGTTTTCATATCTGTGAAGAAGTCAAATATTGATGGAAAAATGGTGATAGACCTGTTTTGTCCAAGTAACATGGCGGACACAGTGGAGACAACAGTCCCCAGCAAACCATTCAACGCCCACCAGGGGTTCTGCAGGAAGAGTCCAGCTGTTATTAGAAGCCCACTGAGAGGGTTGTTGACAAACATGACCTGAGCCACCCCACGGAAAATCCAGTCCAGTAGTTGGATGACCAAAACCTGTCCTAGCAAACAATGAAAGTGTATTAAGTTTGATCAGCTTTGGTTATTGACACTTGGAATTCAAGCACAGCTCTATTATAACTGATGTGGCTTCAAGAATTAGACACTACCTACTTTTCATCCATTCTCTGCAGAGTTTCATGTCTCCTGTGAGAAGCCCAAAAGCCTTGAAGAGGAAGGAGCTAACGGGGGCTTCTCCATGTTGGGGCTTGTTGTTGTCATCCATACTGCCACTAGAGTGTATCACAGTGGTTATTTTAGTACTGCATGTAGTTGAACAAATCAAGGAGAAAGGTTTTACTGGTGAAATATTTTTAGGACCATTCCTATACGTCTTTGAGTTTACTCTGGTTCAAACTTATATATCTGAGTCTGGACCGTCCTAAGGTTTCTGCCTGTTAAAAGGAAGTTTTTCCTGTCAATAAAACAAACACATCAGCGATGTTTTCCCGTCCTGTGATATTGCGGCATTTATTTTTTCGGATCACGGTCGAATTTTCTGAAGTTTTGCATACTGTGTGTCCTCTTCTGACCGATCAGATTTCGTGTTGCGACGTCAGATTCACCGGTATATCCAACATGGCTGACTGGCTAATTATGTCCATGTTGGAGAACAGAGTGCTTTTTGATAAAAGACACAAACATTACAAAGATAACGACCTGAAGGACAACTTATGGAGAGTCATAGCGTTGGATATGTCATATGACGATAGTTTGTGTGCTTTAACAGTTTGCTAAATACAATTAAATACGTCTTTGTTTTAATTTTCATCTGTGCTAAGTAACTTCAGTTCGTAAGTTCACCTCGTATATTGTGTTCGGTCCTAGTGTGTAAGGACCTTTAAGGTTGGGTCTTGATAATTCATCTAACAGTGGTGATCTTGACCTGGGGCCTGTTGCATAAAAGTAGGATTCAGTTATCCAGGATAAGTGACTGAGCTGAGCTCAACGAATCCAAAGCAAGAGCGTCCAGGTTTATTCGGTTGCATAAACGCTAATCCAGGATGAGAAGAAACGGATTCATCAAACCAGCTGAAAGCAATCCCGGATAAATGCGCGCACCTGGCTGCTTAAATAGACCCCCGCGATCGATCACAGATTCACCTATTTACCATGACAACCAGAGCTGCATACTTCTCCCCGTCGGAGCAGGATATACTTATGGAAGCGTATGAAGAGTTAAAAGATCAGATTAAAAAAAGGAAACGCCGCCACTGCCATTAAACAGCGAGAAAAAGCGTGGCAAAGTATTGCAGACCGCCTGAATGCGTAAGTGTTGCACAAATACACACTCACTCCTCCTCTGAAACGTCACAATTGCAATCCAAATAGTTGATTAACATCTCCAAAAACATAGTTGTTTTAGCCTACTCTGATTATGAAACAGTTGAAATTGCAAGTAAAGATAACTGCAGAGAGAAAGTATGTTAATCCATGTTTGCTCCTCATGCTCCTCTTCTGTTTCATTCTTGATTAAAGCTGTCAAAATTAGTGACTTCATTTGAGTATATTAATTTGTGCAATCAACTGAGTAGAATTTCTAATCATAATTGTTTTTTTGACCTATTAATGCAACAAAATCCCCAAAATTACAGAAAAAAAAAAAAAAATCCCCCCAAAACAAAAAGACAGCCCTAATGAGTAAAATTTATATGAACACAATTAAAATAACAGTTTCACTGCTGTTTTTGTGACTGTAAACTGAGGACAGAATGATAAAAGCCTTCATAATTTTTTACTTTTGGACTTTTTCATTCACTTGACACATTATTTAAAGGTGATTAATTGTTATTAATCTGGAGAAACCTCTGATTAATCAAATTAAAAATTCTAATCATTTGACAGCCCTATTTATTATATGTATGTGTGTGTGTGTGCGTGCATTCTGATTGATCACAAGAGAACCACAAAGCCAACTATGCTTCCTCTGTCTGTCTGTAGATTAAACATGACTGGGCCTAAAAGAACTTGTCAGCAAGTCAAAATCAAATACAAAAACATCCTGGCGAATGGTAAGTACCCTGACATATACTATGCAGAAGTGTAAGTTGTACCCAGAAGGTGCCTGCTCACACGTTGTCTGTACTTTTAGCAGTTAACCTGACCTCACCCCAGCTGAGGACAAAGTCTTGGCATTAAATAGAGACAGGCCTGTGATGGAGGGGATCCCTGGGGGAGCAGAGTTCCTCCCAAGATGTCATATACATATATATATATATATATATATATATATATATATATATATATATATATATATATATATATATATATATATATATATATATATATATATATATATCTCAAAATCATTTATCAGCTGACTGAGATAAGGGATAAGATTAAACGGATCCTGGAACTTGGCCTGGTCTGGAGCAGGCTAGCTCCACAGAATAAGTCTCCATGGTAACTTATGTCATCACATATCCTACTTTCCCCTATCCTACTTTTATTCAACCGGATCCTGGATAAGTTGATCCAGGATAACCAACATATCCCGGCTTAATCCCTTATCCTACTTTTATGCAACAGGCCCCTGCTCTTTTTCTTTTGAAAACATTTTGGGATGACGACTGTTGTGAATTGGCCCTATATAAATAAAATTTGATTGATTGATGTATCTCAGACATTATTTGATCATAATCATACATTCATTCAATGGCTAAAGAGTAAAAATCCAACCCAGCAGGACAAAATTATCACTTATTCTGCAAAAATCTGATTATTTTCCAAACAAATTGGCACTTTAGGGTGAGTGTTTCATAACTTTCAAAGCCCATTAACTTTTCATCTCATGCCATATGAGGTCAAAACAGAATTCAACACAAGTTTTCTGTTAAAGTTTCTGTCTGCAAAAATGGCAGTCCTGCAGAGCCCCTGAAGTTCTACAAAGTTAAAATTTTACGTAGTGCGCTTAAGTAATTGTCTTGTGCTCAAAAGAGTTAGCAGCTATTTCAGGAGAGCTAGCAAGACAACATTGGGCATACTATTTAACTCAGCAAAGGTGCTCCTACACAAATACCAGTCAGTGTAACACGTTATTTTATATTACAAACAATATCCAGACAATCAAATAGCAAAAATATGGCAAATAATAGAACTTGATTATAAATGATCATAGATGGCAAAGTGGAATCACCACCTCTGCTGCCTTCACACAGATTAATGATGTGTTTGTTGACATGAGAAAATTGTCAGGAGCTAAGAAAATAACAATTTTGTTCTTACTTTCTGCCCCCTCATTATTTTGGCTGTGATGTGTTTTTAACTGAACTTGTGACTTGGCATGTATCAATAAGTCGATTTTTTAAATTTCAAACATCCAGCTCAGTTTATGCTCATGTTTACTATTGTTGCCATGATTGCATTTGTTTGTGCGTCCGTCTTTAGTCATCTCGCTTCCTTAGTTGCTATCGAGTTCATGATCAATTGTGCTCAGGGATCCCCTTTACACATAAGGATTTCTGATCATAAATATTGAACATGATTAGTATTTACAATTCCAAATCAGGAGACAAACAATCTCTTACAATTTCCTACCATGAGATAATCTGGCAAGATAAGCCTCAGTCAGAACCATCAGATAATCGCGCCTTTGCTGACTTTCGTAGGGAGGGCATTGGACCCCAACTTGGCGCAGTTATTTAAAGGTGGGGTAGGCAGGAATCCGTTAAAGAAGCACATTTTTTTGTGGTGTATATACAAAAAAGCTTTTAATATCAGTCAATAGCTATTAGTTATTGATGACATTTGGTAATATAACAATATTGCTGTGTTCTGTTATGTCTGTGTAGTCAACATTTTAACATTTCAGAGTGCTCCGCTCTTTCTGACTGTAAACAAAGCCATTCTCCACCAACCTGATTGGTTGTGAGGCAGACGCTGCTCCCCCGTGTCGTTCAGGAGCCCAAACAAAGTTAGCGTGTTACAATATCGGACAGTAGAAACCAACCAGAAAGTACAGAAAACTGTCTGAATCCTCCTTTAGCCATGATCGCCGACACAAGAAAACGAAGTAAATACTGGAGACTCTGACGGAATAACGGGCGCTTAAAACGGAGGTAGACCGGACAAGAGCTAAGAAGCTGGGTCAACAATGATGGGGGCGCTTTGGGATCTTACAGACCCTGTAACCTTTCTGCTGGACAGGTAAACTGCTTTAACAAAGTAAGCCAAGTGTAATAGAAGTGTTTCTTGTCAAACAGGACCTGCTGTGTGTTGTAGCACCACTAAACTGTTTACATCTGGTCTTGAAGTATGTCACTTTATCCTGGTTGTAGAAGTCCTGCAAACATTGTGTTTGCTGGTAGTCTGTTGGCATCTACAGTAGCACCAATGTGTTTTACTTTTATGTCGACTGGGTCCCATTTGTAATTATCTGAAGTATTTATCTGCATTATATCTGAATTTAATTGAAACGATACAAGTGAGCAGGAGCGTCTGTTTGTGGGCGGGGCTTGTTGGAGTAGAGATGGAGGGGAGAGGAGGAGCTGAGGGGAAAACTGGTTGGGAGGGGAAGAGTTTACATTCAAGATTTCTCACCAAAAACCGGCACTTCCTCAGATCCTGCCTACCCCACCTTTAAACTATAATATGCTGATTCTGTTGTCATGCTGTTAACATCATGCATCCCTATTTTTGTCATTTTGTCACAACAGTAAAGTGTAATCAACAGAAAAGGACCCAGAAGCAGAGGGGAGCATCTTTTACTGATTTATTTATGATTAAAAATTTTTGTGGGGTAGATGGGTCATAGGCTGGTTCATGTGCAAATATGCTATTGGCTTAAAAATTGTCACTCTGATTAGCTGGCAATTAAACAAAAGCAAGTGTGAAAAGCCAAACCACTGCCAAACAGAAGAAGGACTAGTTATCAGGAGAGGAGGTGAAGGTCAGAGAAGCATGCTGATGAATGTCAAATGGAAACGAAAGGCTTCATGAATGAGGATTGTGATTGAGAGGTGGAACAGAGAAACAGACTGTGAAATGATTTAGCGTTTATCTTAAACTCTCTAGATGGTAATATGTTAACCTCCACCTTTCCCTTTCCCACAAATTACACAAAAGTTGTCACCCCAGTGCACACAAATTAAATCAGTGTGAACTTGCCTCCTTTTGCTCCCTGAGGTGGAAACAATTCCTACGAGTCTGAGCTAAAATCTGAACTCTATACCGTCAGTTTGCCTCATCATTTTCCATTTCTTTTTTTTATTTTGTATTTTAATATGTTTTTTTTGTAGCAGCGATCAAAGCAGATTTCCCAAAGAGCTTCCCACTGTTAGCGTCAACATCCCTGGCCCCAGTTCTCTGCTTGAAAGCCTGGCTGTGTTTATGTTGTTCAGTGAGCGCTGAACCTCTTGATCTTCCAGCTCTGTCAGGAGCCTCTTTTCTTCCGTGCTACAGTACTTCATAAGAATCAACAAAAATAAAAGCGACTGATCTCAACTCTGCAGAAAGTTTTTGGGGGATTGAAGGTATGAACAAATATAAAACAATGAATAACCTCTCATAAAGGCTGTTATCTAACTATGTCTGTGCTTAGAGCTAGTTTAAACCATGACGCTGTTATCTCTAAACCCTCATGTTGTTCCGGCTTTGAAAATGTAGATCACTTGGTTATTGTTATTTTGTTTTCTTTGTGGGAGCATTTTTAGGAGGCCCCTGGGAGTTTCTCTTTCCTCGCCGTGTTGACGATAATTGTCTGCTTCTGTGCAAATCAAGTTTTACAAAGCACAGCCTAACTCTGACTCTCTAGAGCAGTGGTTCTTAACTGATCTCACTCTGGGACCCACATTTTCCTTCGGTCCTTCAGTCATGACCCACTTTTATAGAATTCAAACCAAGCAAATGTATTTTTTATTAAGAAAAACCTTTAAAGACTCAAATCTTTAACATAAATCCACTGGTTTTTATTTAGTAAGGTGCATTTCAGAGCATATGAAGGGGACAACACAAGGAGGACAACTACTGAAGTTCTATATACAGAAAATATCAAATATCTAATAAGTATTGCATTGAATATGTACTTTTTTGACCAGCTGTTTGTGACCCATCCAGAATGTGTCCGGGACCCACTTTTGGGTCAGGACCCACCAGTTGAGAACCACTGCTCTAGAGAGTATGAAATAGCATCAACGTCTCATTACTCATTAAAAAAATCAGCCTGTTCATAGAGAAATAGGGCTCTTCCTATAGAATGAAGGCAAAGCAGAGACAAGATTTGTAGGAGCTATACTCTGTAAAATCACGCAAGATTTTTGTGGATTGATGGATTATTTAGTTTATTTATAAATACTCCCCTTGCAGAGTTTTGTTATTTCCAGCTTATGTAGAAGCAGATTTTGCTAAATTAAACCACAAGTGCAGAAGTGCATCATGAACCTTCTTACAATAAAAGTGTAAAATCTATATCATCTTACCTCTCAGAGTCGGGGCTCAGTCACAGCCTTCTCTAAATGAAGGCATGCATGCCTAATCAAGCACCCAGGTATAAAGGAATCTACATAATGTCATGTATCCTCGTCCTAAAGCCCCCAAAAAACACCCCTCATTGTCTCTTTTCCGGAGGACCTTGCCCTGAGCAAAGACCCCCGTCTCTCTTCATGTGAGCTAATCAGGTAGTAGGAATGTGCTTATTAGTGGGAAGTATTTCCTGCTCAAGCAGAACAGTACCCTTTGTTTCTGGGGCAGCCTATGAGCGAGAAGAATATGTGCCAATTTCTCAGGGAAAGAAGGTTATTTTGGAATTCAAGCAATCAGTGGATTATGTAACAATCACATCAAAACATGGGAACAGCTAAGAGGAAAATCAACTATAAAAAAACAAAAAACTTTGGCAGCAGCCTTAAAAATCTGCATCAGCATGAATTTCATTATTTTTTAGAGCCCTTTATTTAACCAGGTTCATGACTACATTGATATGAAATGATCAATATCTTGAGGACAAAATACGGAGGGAGTAAACAGAGGTACGGTGAGCTTTAAGTTAATCATCTACAGTAAGTGAGACAAGGCACAGTCTGTTCAACTTCTCCCAAAAAAGGAGTAAAAGTTAATTATTGATGAGAAATACAACCTAGTATGAGGTTGTGTCCTTTAAATACACATGAAACTACTCTTCAAACTTTGAAGCAAACTGTGGCTAAAAACCTCTAATATGCAGTGGTAGATGGGCTGCTCTTCTTGAGTAATACACAGTTACGTCTATGAATTCATTAGCCAGATGTTAAAGTGTTTTTTAAAGTTATTTCTTTAACACATGACTTTGTTTCCTTTCGTGTTGTGCTGCATTGGTCGGGAAAAGAAAACAGACATGATAATAGGCACGTACAGTACAAAACTTGTGTTCATAAATGCACAGAAACTGTACAAAGATAGACAAACAAACAGGCACTTGCACACATACACTTGCACAACCACACACAGCATTATTTAGAGTTCTGGTGTCATGATCTTCTTCAGAGTGAGCTGACAGCGCACTAATTGCTGAACTCCTGGAAATCCTCCGGGATGGTGTCTGTGGCAGAAAGAGATAAGCATCAAGAGACACTCCACGACTAAAGGAGGCCAATCTTACTCACAGCTGCAGTCTTGTTATTACAGCAACATTATAGAGTGTAAATGCTAATGCTGTCCCATTTCTCAGGCAGTTATAGTTACAAAGGACACAAAGAGAATATAAATTGCTCCGAAAACAGTGTCTCCCACGGGATGCCAAATCATTACTGAGGCTAAGTAGATTTTGGATGGAGGCTTTTCTTTTCTTACCATTGCATCGGTATTTCAGATTGGACCAGATGATGTTTTCTTGAGAGAAACAGAACACGCCGAGTCGTCCTCCTCTCATGGTTGTGTCAATAATCACACCAGAATCAGCCACCAGCTCAGTTCCCTCATAAAACCGTGCTCTGGTTTAGAAGAAAAAAAGAAGAAATGGCCATTAACATTTCTATTCATATCTTTACTGTGTTTTTTATTCAGCATTTCAATAAACAAACCTGGTCGCTCTCTTGGTGAGAGTGTTAGGAGAGAGGATTGACACCATTTAATGTCTTTACTGAAGGGAGCCAGCAGCAAGTTAGTGAAATTTAACATTATGGGCTCTATTTTGGTGCCTCGCCGGAGATCTGCCGCAAGCGCAGCGTCAGTCAGATCCGCAGCGCTGACAAGGCGTTCCCAAGCACAATTTGGTATTTTGGTGAGCCGCGCAGCCCGGCGTAAGTATCCCCCCTCCCTAACTCAGCTCCTCCCAGCAGCATAAGTCGTAGACGGGGAGGAGAGAGGGCGTGTAGTAGATTTAACACAGCCGAGACCTGTTTTCACCAATCACATAAGCTCCTCTCCTTGTCTTTAAATCCACCACCGGCGAGGCGTATTACTATTTCATGAAGTAGTCAAAGAGATCGAGAGATGTCTGAAGACAGTTATGCCACACGATGGCGACAGAGGGCAGCTGCTCAACAAGTGTCCTCCACACTCTCTCATCTGAGCACAGATGGATTTGGTGTGTGTAAGGTTGGACCCACTGGTAAGACAAACACCCTTTTCCACAAATAAAGACACTCACATAAAGTTGCTCATATTCAAACCTCACGTGACAAAGGTGGGTTTAGCGCACAGATCACAACATAAACTCCAAAAATGGCATTAAAATCGGAACCATCTGTGCGTAAACGACGCATCGCGCTCCGTGGCCTGGCTCTTTCTTTCACAGATGTTGGCATATAAAATAAATTTGGCCCACAAAAATGAATATTATAATATCCGTATGTCGGCTTAAAGTAGATAATGCATCTGAGCACTGAAACAAATCAGCTGTTCAGCCGCAGCAGCAAGCAAGACGGACAGAGGACACGGAGACGTGTCCAGGTCGAGCTGTGCAAGAAATAAGAGGAAGAAAGAAAAGGAAGAAGACACATTACATATCTTGTTAACTTCATCATGTGTGTTTATTTACTAGATATTTAATTTAATTTGATGCAGTTTCAGCTGTATTGATTCGGTCAGGTTGTGTGCCCAAACGCGTGCCAAACGCGCTCATCAGATCAGATATAGATCAGAATATATCGATATAGATCTAAATGTATGTGCTGACTCAGATTAATAGTTGTTGATGATTATTTATTGCACTGAAATCTGCCTGACACTGTGGAAACCTGCCGGTGAGGCATCAGTGACGTATGTCGATACGCCGCCGGTCTACCAAAATACTACTAGACCAGCTGCGTTCCGCTTTGCGCTGAAAGCTGACCAGGTTTGAATCGGCGAGCTTTCAGCGCACGTTACACGCCGGTGGCGAGCACGAAAATGTCACTGCGCCAGCTGATTCTGTCAACACCTCCCCCTGCCACGCCACCACGCCCAGCTTGGCGGATCTCGGCTCGCCTCCGTGCGACTCAGTCCACGAAAATACCAAACTCGCCTTACGCTGGGCTCCGCCAGACGAAAATACAACTGCGCGGGGCTCGCCGCCCTCCGCCGCCTCACCGGCGCGAACGAAAATAGAGCCCAATGAGTGGACTCAGCGAGAAACAACTTGTGCAGCCTTGTACTAAACTAAATGCCACCAACTACTTATTAATCTTACCAATTAAAACATACACACATATAAGCAGTAGAGAGTTTTGAAAAAGTACTATAAAACAAAAGCCAATGAAATGGCACCGTTGCATAGTTCTGCAAAAGTACAACTTGTTAAGCTTCGTCAATTTCATAAATCTCTCATTTCTTAAACTGGTTTTTAAGTGTGTGAATGGCTTTGCCCCAGACCTAGTTAGTGAAATGATAGAAAAATACTCAAATAAAGGAGCTTCTACGAGAGGAACAGTCAGTGGAGGCTGTAAACCCACAAAGCGCAGGACAGCTTTTGGCCAAAGGTCCACAGATTTGGAATATATTACAATTAGAAATAAAAACAATACAGGACCTCAAAACTATAAAAAATATATACTGAGGCTAAGTAGATTTTATACGTATATATGGCATGTATGTGTGTCTATGTGTATGTACAGGGGTTGGGCAATGAAACTGAAACACCTGCCAATTTAGTGTTGGAGGTTTCATGGCTAAATTTGACCAGCCTGGTGGCCAATCTTCATTGATTGCACATTGCACCAGTAAGAGCAGAGTGTGAAGGTTCAATTAGCAGAGTAAAAGCAGTTTAGCTCAAAATATTGCAATGCACACAATATTATGGGTGACAAAAGAGGACAAATTGTTTGGGCACGTCTTGCTGGCGCATCTGTGACCAAGACAGCAAGTCTTTGTGATGTATCAAAAGCCACGGTATCCAGAGTAATGTCAGCATACCACCAAGAAGGACGAACCACATCCAACAGGAGTAAATGTGGACGCCGTCTGAAAGGGATGTCCGGGTGCGAACCCTGATTGTATCCAAAAAACATAAAACCACAGCTGCCCAACTCACTGCAGAATTAAATGTGCACCTCAACTCTCCTGTTTCCAACTAAACTGTCTGTTGGGAGCTCCACAGGGTCAATATACACGGCCGGGCTGCTATAGCCAAACTTTTGGTCACTCTTGCCACTGCTAAACGTTGGTTTCAGTGGTGCCAGCAGCAAAAATCTTGGGATGTGGACAATGTGAAATATGTATTGTTCTCTGATGAGTCCACCTTTACTGTCTTTCCCACATCCAGGAGAGTTACAGTGTGGAAAAGCCCCAAAGAAGCGTACCACCCAGACTGTTGCATGCCCAGAGTGAAGCATGGGGGTGGATCAGTGATGGTTTTGTCTGCAATACCATGGCATTCCCTAGGCCCAATACTTGTGCTGGATGGGCGCGTCACTGCCAAGGACGACTGAACCATTCTGGAGGACCATGTGCACCCAATGGTTCAAACTCTGTATCCTGAAGGCGGTTCCATGTATCATGATGATAATGCACCAATACACACAGCAAGACTGGTGACAGAGTGGTTTGATGAACATGAAAGTGTTCTCCCATGCCTTGCACAGTCACCAGATCTAAATATTATTGAGCCACTTTGGGATGTTTAGTAGGAGCAAGTCAGGAAACGTTTTCCTCCACCAACATCACGTAGTGACCTGGCCACTGTTCGGCAAGAAGAGTGGCTCAAAATCCCTCTGGCCACTGTGCAGGACTTGTATCTGTCATTCCCAAGACGAATTGATGCTGTACTGGCCGCAAAAGGAGGTGCTACACCATACTAATGAATTATTGTGGTCTAAAACCAGGCGTTTCAGTTCATTGTCCAACCCCTGTAGGTATATATGTATCCATGTGTGTGTATGTGTATGTATAGTATATGTATAAGAAACTGCTTGTTTTGTCTGCTTTCTTGTTGTTTATATGCAAACATATGATTGCCTGTCTGCACCTGTTATAATGTTAGCTCTTATTTAGTGGTTTATGTATTATGTGACCCAGGAGATAAGTTGCACCCATATGTCACACTCTGTTTCAAGGGTCAGCTTCAGAAAAAAGGTTTACAAAGTTTCCCTCAACTGCAACTGAGTGTTGATCTTTTTAGTACCATCTATTTTTGCCGTGTGGAGTTTGCAATCCCTTCAGCTCAGCCTATGCAGGGTTTCCCACACATGTAAGATACTTGGGTGGGCCACCTAAGTATATTTGCAGACCATTTCCACATTATTGTGGTGCAAGTCCATGACAAAGTTTTAGTTTTATTAAAGCTCCATTATCACAGAAACACGCTGATTTTTGGAGTAAAAACAAAACACTGAAAGTGCGTCTTGTGCTCTGAATTTTAAGGATGTATTAAATATGCTGATCTTGAATTATGTTTTGCACAATGACTCACCAGATGCAAAGATTTTGTGATTCTTGCAGGTTTACGGAAAAGTAATATTTGTTGTAACGCCTGGTTATATTTCATTTTCACGTTGTTGTCTGCAGTTTTTGTTAAGTTTTCTGTTCCCATGAGTAGGAACAAAATGCTAATTTTAGCTGACAAACTTGAAAATGATTTTGAAAAGGTTTGAAATGTTAATAATATTCTGTGGACAAACTTCAAAAACGTTATTGTCGTACCTGATGTATCCGACTTGTGGGCGGTGCTGCAGGTACCATCTGTAGGACACCTTGTCCTTCCAGCCCACATTTCTTGGGTCCTTCCACAGCAGACGCACTTGATCGTTGGTGTCTCCTGTATGCCACAGCGAGTTTCTCAAGTGCTCTCCAGGGCCTGATCTAGACTTCACAGCCTGACAAACAGTCAGAAGCAGAGAAATGAAGGATGTGGGATGTGAGATGTGGAACAGACAGACAACAGAGAGGCAGAACTGTGAAAAATATGTCAAGGGATAAAAATAGGAGGAGTATGAAACTGCTGCAGGGGATTTATGACATGAATTTTTCTTCACCTTAAGCTGGATGCCAGGCTCGGCCACAGCTCTGAAGGGTGTCGCCTGCCAGTAGGTCTGCTCAGTCTGTTTCCACATCACGACATAGAAGGAAGATGAGTCTTGGTAGCCAAAGATGAAACCAGCGTAGTCATCGTCGGTCACCGTGTTTACATGAAATGTGCCTTCAAAGTCCACGCCGCTGAAAGCTGTGTAACCTAGAAACAGATGGTTTTGGTCAATTTGTGTCTGTTGATGGTGGATTTTCTTTAAAGGGATATTCTGGTGTAAAATTAAGTTAGGGTCAAACACACCGTAACACCAAGTTAGACACCTCATCAAGAGATGAATGTTGCTGACCGCTTGCTCACATACTCTCTTCCAGCAATTTGCTTGTTTGTATGGAGACCTCAGGCATGTCCATTACGGACTGCAGCGGGGGGACACAGCTCAAGAAAGAACATTTTTAATCATTACTTTATTACTTCCTTGAAGTAATAATCACCATATTAATCATTTTGCACTGCAGACGCGGTAGTTCTTCTGCCTTAGTGTCTTGGTCTGATTGCATTTCCATGAAGAAATAATCATAAACGTTCTTCCTTGAGCTGCGTCACCCCACTATAGTCGATGGACTCTCTGTACAAACAAGTGGCTGCTGGAGGAGAGTGGGTGAGTTGTGTTTAGGCTCTTTGCTAAAGAAATCAGGCAAAAGTAAATGATTCACTCCGAAAATGCTCCGCTATTTGAAAAGATCCCCCGACTTATCCTGTAGATGGCGCAGCGACCTCATGACAATCTTCATCCACTAACTACCTCACAGCACAGCAGAGTGACGGATCTGAAGCAGGCAGCTTGGAGGAGAGTGGTCCGCCTCAACGGTAAATAAACTAGTTTGTGAAGTACACAATAAGTCGACAAGTTTCAGTTCAACCCAAAGTTAGAGTTAGCCACCTGCCATTAGCCTTGCTACACTGTTAGCGGTGCCAGTAACGGTAGAATAAACAACAGTACACATTACGTGATCAAGCTACTTCTCTTACTGAGGCAGCTGCATGTCTCCAGATGAGAGCAGACCAGAAATGAGTCACTAAGTAGTAGTTAAAAACGCTTTTCTGGTCCAAGTTTGATTCATGATAAATACGTAGAATATTACTGAGGTTATTGTTACTGAGAAGTGTTTGAAAGGCCCAAAAGCAGCCATTTGTTTAAAAAACAATAAATATGTTAATATATTACTAAAATTAACAAAATTTAAAAACTTCATAAAAGATTTAAAAAAACGTCTGATTAATCGGTAATCAGATTTTTTTCCTCCCTCATAATCAGCATCGGCCCCAAAAATTCCATATCGGTTGGGGCCCTAGTCGTTACTACAGTTGGTATAACTAGAAAACCAAGCGGTCGGCAACATTCATCTCTTCAGGGGTCGTCTAACTTGGTGTTACGGTGTGTTTGACCCTAACTTAATTTTACACTGGAACATCCCTTCAAAGATGGTGACTGACATTCACTTTAAACAATGCTTGTCTTACCAACAGCAAGTCCCGGGTCACTGTTCATGGTCTGAACGATTTCCATTCCCTGTGAAAGAATAAGAGAGATAACTTGTGAGCTATGTGCACTGTGACACCCTGAACAGCATTTACATATCACCTGTGCAATAAAGTCAGTATATTTAACATGCAATATTTACAGGAAGACATTTATATGCTGTGTAATATCTCTGTTCACAGATCTTTCATTAATAAGCTGTAGGTGTTGAAGTGGAGCAGGATTTTGGTACAGGAAATGTTTGGTAAGGGGAACTGATAAACCAGTTATGTTATCAATTCTCGTCTAACTTCTGTCCCCTGCCTCAAAGGAGGAAGTGTCAGCTCACCTGGTTCAAAACAACCCAGTTAGGGTCAATCTGAGCATCGCCCTCAGGGTCCAGCACCACCGTCTGATAGGCCCTGAAGTCAGTCAAGGTAACCTCAGCGTTCTCGGGACAGTTGTCAATCCTGTCGATCACTTTGTCTTGGTCAAAGTCAGACTCGCACACATCTCCAACGCCATCATCTGAAACACAAAACCGACCTCTGATTTAGATTTGGAAAGGAGTTAGACTTTATCTAAGTCAATAAGGATTTTCATATCATGATCACAAGTGTCGGCTGTGCCACATCAGTATGCAAAGTGATCTGCTCCTTTCATTTCTTTAAAACCAATGTGTTTTCCACCTCGTCACGACTAGGAGATTTGAAACCGGCTTCAACAAAAATGTCACAAAGGCGAGCCTCCAAAGGAAATTGATGTCTCTTTTTGAGAAGCTGCAGAGCTGTGAGGTCTGAATACAAATCACCCAAAAATGTGCTGCCAAAGCGTAAAACGAGTCCTGTCTGAAGGGGCCATTCACATTTTAAATAAAGAAAAAAGTTATTTGCTGATGGACTGTTTTCAAGATTACTGTGATCTGCATCTTTCGTTGGGAATGTTTTTTTTTTTCTTTTTTTTTTGCAGAATCAGAAATTGTCGTCCTGCTGTCTCTGTGCTAGAATTAAGTCTCAAGCAGTTGAGAATCTGTCTCATGAGATGGAGTTAGCTCCTCCATATTGAAATGTTAATACAGTCATCAGACGGCTTATGAACTACAGTTATGACCTCCAAAAGGTCACAGAATTCATGGTTACTTGAACAGAAATGCCATGCTGTGCTTGGGTAAAATAGCGACTGCCTTAAACAGCGTGCATGTCTTGGTAGATTTGTTTTATATGTTTGTGTGTTGTCAAAATGGTTAGCTGCACATGGTTAAATTGCCATTTCAGTTTGCCTATTTATTGTCATATTTAGTCGAACATCATTGGATTTCCCAGAAGGTCAATCTCCTTTTTACATCACTGAACTCCCTGAATGCCAATAAAAGCTTGTCACACGCCCCACTTGGTCCTTGGATTGCATGAAAAGGTCAGTGAGGAGCAGTCCAGGGAAAAGATGAGCATGTGCACAAAAACATGGACATATAACTCAGCTCATTTAGGTGGTTGTCAGACAGAGAAATGACATACAAACTTCAATTAAAAATGCTTTAATGTTGTAGGAGCTAAAGTCATACTCACTGTTGTCATCAGTCTGGTCAGTGTTTGGTACCAGCCTGCAGTTGTCTGGTCCCGGGGGCAGGATGTCAGGGATCCCATCGTTGTCGTCATCATCGTCACACTCGTCGCCAATACCGTCTTTGTCAGTGTCCAACTGGGAGCTATTGATCACGTGTGGGCAGTTATCCTTGGTATCCTGGTGACCGTCACCGTCGCTGCATGGAGAAGACACATGAGGACATGACATTTTCAGAATCTGTAATTGTAGTTGTCGGGAAGCAGACTGATTATCAACTTAGGCCGATTTAGGGGGTTTGGCCCTTATCTGTGTCATTCCTTTATTTAAAGGGATATTACGGCGTCAAATTAATTTAGGGTCAAACACATCGCAACACAGAGTTAGACACCCCCTTGAGAGATGAATGTTGCCGACTGCTTGCTTCTCTATTTATACCAACTTTAGTAACAACCACAGGATAGCGGTCTGAGGAGCCATAAACAAACCTCAACCAAAACACCACTCTGTAGCCATAAATAATGCCCAGAACAGCACCTAACTTCATCAACAGTACATATGGGGTCCCCAGCCATAGCACTAGTAACTTTGCCGAATTTCTTTAGCAAAGAGACTAAACACAACTCACCTACTCTCTTCCAGGAAGGAAGGAAATGATACATTTATAATCATAAATGTTCTTCCTTGAGCTGCGTCACCCCGCAGCAGTATTACTGTGTGTTTGACCCTAAATTAATTTTACGCTGCAATATCCCTTTAACATAGAGCTGATAAGATCAACTGATTAAAAACTGAACTATGTTGGCTCAGCTGTAAGTAGGTTAAATTGGTTAATTAATAACTCCTGTATATAATGTTGATGATATCATGAATATTTGCTTTGGAAAGAGTTAACAAAGGCTATGTCCTCAGCTCACCTGCCCCCTCACAGCTGTACAGATATTACAAACTACAATATAGAAATTGCCTGTCTTGTCAGTGATGGTCTCATTAGCTTTTGTATGTTATAAGGATGAATCACTGTTCATTTCATTCATAATCAAAAACTCACAGGAGCTTTAAACTCAATTTTTAACTTTGAATTACTAAACTAAACTTTGACAGAGTATTGTTTTTTTATGATTGATTTATATCATTCCAAACATCAGTTATTGGTCCCATGGGCTACTATAAATCAGCCCTGAAACAGTATTGAACTGGTAAAAAAAGTTTTCTTTTACCTGTCCTGGTTCGTGTCACAAGAGTCTCCAACCAGGTCATTGTCAACATCCGACTGAAACAAGAGCACAGAGCTTAGTTAGGCAAAAATATCTCGACTGAAAACTTGACTGAAAGTTTTACTGGAAGTCAAAGAAAACAAACCCCCCTGACATGTACCTCTCTGGGTGCCCCAAAGTGCATAAACATATGTACTGGATTAATTCTCACCACAGCAATCCGTCCCTCTGGCTCACACTGACCTGGTTGGGGTTTGGGATGTCAGGGCAGCTGTCACAGGCGTCCCCAACTCCGTCTCCATCCCGGTCCTGCTGGTCTGGGTTCTTGACTCGTGGGCAGTTGTCCAGAAAATTCTTCAGGCCTGCTCGCCAATTAGTAAGACGAGTCTGTTAGTGTTATTTAGCTCCCTGAAAAACTCCTATTTTCTTAATATGAAGGACATCCATCACAGTAAAATGTAAACTTATCCTGCACTTTGGCTCACACAGGGTAAGCACCCGAAGTAAAACCAAAATGTGACTATCTATCTAGATTAGTTGATCCTCTTACAGTTGTGATAATAACAAAATACTTTATAGTTTTATCTTTCTAATTATGCTGATTTTGTACAATTTCCTTTCTCTTGTGATAGCAAAAAAAGATTTCTGTACAAGCTATTAAAGGACAGTGGACATTTTCACAATTTCTCTAATATTTTATGTAGATTTATCATGTAGTGAGTGAGTAATCTAGGCCGGTTGGTAATGAATATAAGAGTCATTAGATGCAGCCGTTTATAAAATAAACCATGTTACTGCGAATTTATTACCAAGTGCAGGTGTTGCCAGAAGGGAAAGATCATTACCTGGATTTAATCAATCAAAGTGATTTATTATAGCAAGCAGGCAAGAGTATTTTCTTGGAAACCCCTTTCACACTGACCAATTTACATTTAATTAAGAAATGCATGGAAACATTGATACATTACAGTGCAACCTTGCTTTGATTAAATGAATAATTACTCTGCCTGTAGTTTATAATTTCACCTCTTGGTTGCACTGTTGCACTTCCAATTTGATGAGCACCCATTCCAGCTCAGGTGCTTTTTGCCATTCATCGCATGGAGGCAGCAGCAGCACCACAAATGCATAAAGGTCAAGCGGCAGCGATAAGGAAAAGCTATCTTCTCTCCTGTGGGGCTTTTTGAGGTGTAATCATGCTGCTGGATGATCAAAGCTTGTGCTCAGACTGCTGTTGGCCTCAACTTTTTTTTTCTTCTTATTTTCTGCAGTGCTGTTACTCATACCTAAGCTGGCTTTAAAAGCATCCTTACCTCTGCACAGTGATATATTCCTACAAAATGATTTAGAGAGACATGCAACGTACACTAAACCACGTATGCATGAGTGTTTGTTGGATTATTTAATGTTGGCGGGAAGTGTGAAGAGAGAACAGACTTATAAATTATAACAGTGAATGCCTTCAGTGATTCTGGTTATATAAGCATTAACGTCAGTGTTAGTGATGTAATTTCTCTCCATACCATCATTATCCATGTCGTCATCACAGGCGTCCCCTTTGCCGTCACTGTCAGTGTCCCTCTGGTCAGGGTTCTCCACCATGCGACAGTTGTCACAGGCATCGCCATGGCTGTCCTTGTCACTGTTCCTCTGATCCACATTGGGCTTCAACCAGCAGTTGTCCTGAGACAGACAGACAGAGAACACAAAGGCCTCTTTCACGGTACGAAGATCTCTGCGAGTGTATTTGTGTCTCAGAACAAGCTTTTGTCGACATCTTTGCAAAAGTCCTTGCAAGCAGGGAGCTAAAACAATTAGCCAGCCAACAAAGAGAACATAGTTTTGAAGATGAATTAACGAGGTTAAACATTTTACTTTCTTAAGCCAGCGTGACCTTTACTCGTGCTGGAGTAATATTTGACCAAATCCATGGTTATGTTCACTGTCAACTACTGCATTTCAGTTAAGTCAGCCATACCTTTAAGTAAACCTACTTATAATATCTTCAACACCAGTGAAAAAAAAATCCCCCCCTTCAGAGTGAGTACAAAAAGAGAAATAAGCTTTACTGTCACAAATCCTCATTTTGTACCAGGCTGTAAACATGTTTTGTTCTGCTGTAGGAATGAACATTTTAAATGGGTCTTAATGGGACATCACGGGCTTTTGAAGCCAGCCTCAAGTGGTCACTTGAGGTACTGCAGTTTGAAGCCCGCTTCATTTTTCCAACACTGGTGGCTGGATAAATTAAAAACAAATCTAGCACGAGACAAAACACCAGTTTGAGTAATAAAGTAATACCCTTTATCTCTTTTTGTGTACAAGAAGTCTTTTCAAACAAAAACCTCATCATATTGTCTTTTATTTTTGAAATATATCACTCACTGTATGTTTTGCCATGGAAAAAGTATGATATATAGGAGTCACAATATTGTTGTGAAAAGAATAGGGGTGCCATTCTCCAGAATAACAAGTTGCTTCTTCAATAAACTTAAATGTTCCCGTTCAAAAGTAAATTGGATCATAACGTGTCAGTATTAACCAAAAGAAATTATAATTCTGTTTTAATTTCTCAGGCTTCATGGATTGTAAATTGTCAGGGTTGCAACAGAAGATGATAATCAAGAGATGCACAAATTTCAACCAACCTGTTCATTTGGGATACCATCACCATCTGCATCCTCATCACAGGCGTCGCCTTTACCATCCCTGTCAGTGTCCTCTTGACCAGAGTTAGGAACAAAGATACAGTTATCCTGCAAAGAGATGTGATAGTCGCATAATTACAATTGAAGGCTCCACCAATCAAAGTATAGTTGCTATTTCAACAAAGTCACATTTTTTTTTTTTTACCTTTTTGCAGTTTGCATCTTTGCATTTCAGTTTCTCATCTGGGTATCCATCAATGTCAGTATCTTTGCCACACAGGTATCCATTTCCTGCCCAGCCGATTCCACACTAAAAGGACATGTCAAACTCGTGAGAATGCTAGATATTATATGAAGTTCTGGCCATGTAGAAATTGTGTGTGCTGGTAAAAAAAAACACTTGGAAAAGAAAAACACACCTGACAAGAGATAGATCCATCCCTCTCCACAGAGCACTGTGCATTGATATCACAGGGGTTGGTCAGGCTGTTCCCGCAGCTGACCTCTGGCTTGCAGCCTTTTACTTGATCTCCTGTGAAGCCTGTCTTACAGCTGCCGCAGTGGTAAGAGCCCTGTGCAGGAAAGAACACATCTGCTTTTTTTTGGACAGCTGGTAGTAAGACATAAATAGTGACTGTCCTACTGAAGCGCTTTGTAGTTTTCTGGTTTTTCATATTAACAGTAGTCTTACCATAGAGTTGTGACAGAGTGAGTTTGCTGTGCAGCCTCCATTGTTGGGTCCTTTGCATTCATCGACATCATCACAGACCTAAATTTGACAACAAGATACTGTGAACAGAAAACCTTGGAGAAAGTAAATGTAATATCATATTTCTTTCCTATTTTTTGCTGTTTCAGTTTTTAGTTGATTTGTTTGATGCAAGAAGCACACATGGACAATTGTACTTTACTTCAGTATTCTGAAATATCATGATACTTTATGCCTCTACTTCACCAGATTGAACCACCATATACAGTGTTGGAGTCAACAAAGTTATTCTGTATATAGTTAGCGGTTTCTTGTCCAATTGAAGATACTAAAATAATGCATAAAAAGAGTAAGAAATTACAATATTGTCAAAGAATAAACATGTGGCTCCTACATGTTTGACCTGACAAACACACTCTACTATTATTCTTCTTACCAAGTTTTGGATGTCAGTGATTCACTGACCTGCAATCCAACAGACAAGCTGACCCAATTTGAGTCTTGCATATCACAACATGTCTTTCATATTTGACAATCTGGGCTTTAAATCAAAGTTTCTGAGATTTGTTTTTTTCCCTCATCTACTTACTTGCTTGTTGGTCTGAGCAAACAAGACGCCCACACCCTCCACTGCCAGGCCAGTGTAGCCCAGTGGACAGGCGTCACAGCGGTATCCCGGGGCAGTGTTCACACACTTCACTCCTGGGAAGCAGGGGTTAAACTGGCACTGTAGAAAGGAGCACATGAGCCCTGTTAAGGCTGACAGATCTGGTTTAGTTAGTTATTAGATCAATAAAACTCAGTGTCAAAGATGCACACTGAAAAGAGGACCTATTTAGTGAGCCGCCCAAATCTGGCCATTGTTCAACATGAATCTATGTTTACAAATTCTACATAAAAAAGTAGAATCTAAACAAAGAAGGTTCATGGTTTTGTTTGTTGTAGGCATATAGAGTGAAGTGGTATTGACTAATTACACATTAGCTTGAGTGTGGAGAACAAAAGCAGGCAGAACACAAATCCACCACAATGACTTTTCTGCCCCTACTAACAAGTTACTAATCTCTATAAACTGCAAGCAAATCATCCAGTTTTAACTTCATAGCCTTCTGAATCTGAGGGCTATTGTTTTCGGCTTATCCGAATAGCCTGAATAAAATCATTAAAGGCACACGCTTTTAAATCCACCCAATGGTAAGGAAAACTTGGATTATTTTGCCTTGTGATGTACTTTCAACCTTGCTCCCATCAGGGGTCTATTCTGCGGCAGGGGTGCATTATACGGCACAACACCTGTTGAACACCGGTTGTCAGCTGCTGCTGCCCCGTTTCAGTGTGGCATTGAAGGTACATAAGATAGGGTGACTATACGTCCTCTTTTACCCTGACATGTCCTCTATTGGGGGGCTGTGGGAGTTTATAAGATCCTTCAAATGTCCAGAACGAATATTCATTCATTATGAAACAGTGCAGAGCATCAGTGCTCTCTGCAGCTCTGCCCCTCCGCTCACTTCTAAGCAAAGTCACTGATGCGACACACACATGTGCTGTCTTTGGGGATTCCAAATAATTTATGTTTAACTGATTTAGAAGTGCATAAAAACTCTTGACAACTTAAAAAAAAACAACTCCTGTTGACTGTAAGGAAATCACAAGAAAATGGATTTATTTTGGGCTCATACAGCTGAAGTAAGCCAGAGTAATTTGCTGTCTGCAGTTGGGCTGAGACATATTAGAAACATATGTGCAGGCACTACTCCAGGAGATGTTATAAACCAAGAAATGATGGTGTTCATGTTGTCGACATAAACGGCGCTTTGAAAGAGAAGTCCCGGTTGGAAGTCGTTTCATGCTTAATGAGGGCTACATTGGTATTTCTTAGAAGTTGGCAGCTGTTGGCAGAGGCATGTATCACGGCTAGCTGGTTAAAAACAATTATGACTCCAGGATTAGTTTGACAAAATTGCCAATTAGTTTTTGGCAAATATTAAATCCTGTTCTGAACATCTCCAGTAATAGTCTTTACCTTTCATGGTGTTAATCAAAGAGCTCAAAGAGAGACAAACTAAAAGAACCAAAGTTATAAATGCAGCACCGTGTTTATAAAAAATCACCTACCTACTTCTCTTGTTAGATTAAAAAAGGGTTTCAACAGAGTAGAATCCCTGAATCTATAGACTTGGATCTGCAGAGCTGACATATGAAATGCAAATTTCTTCCCCAGTTCCTACATGTTCCCCCTTCAATACCAGCCCTATAGGAAAATAATTGCATGTATAGATCACAGTGTGCATGATTCATGGCCTGTAATCTATGGTGTGCTATTTTCCTCTGTCTATCCTCATTTCCTGTCACCTCTCTGTGCCCATTAACCACTTATAATAAGCTCATCCAATAAAAACAATACTAACTCTATTCCCAGTTCACTGATTTGTCTACACAGTGGCAGAATTTCTGTGTGGAAATATACAAACTTTTCTCTCATGAGAGCAACAGCCTCAGGCTCAAACTCACCTCATGGGGAATGAACAGATTTGCATATTATGCAACCACCAATTACACGGCTGTATGTCCTCTTTGGCACAACTTTGGAGTAAATGGACCACATGTTGGCGGTTGGACCCTCACAACAATGTTGCTTATTGATCAACACGGTTATTGCTGCATTCATGTACCGCTGCTATTGTGTAAAAGAACTGAAGTACTGTGAAGTTACGTCTCTTTTATCCATGTTTGTGAGCCAAATGCTCGCAAGGTGTCAGCTGCTGCTAAAAGACGCCTTTCAGGCATCTTTTCTGTTGACACTGGAAGCTTGGATGGATTTAACAAGCTGTCAGATTTTCATTTCGATCCAATTCCAGAATATGACCAAACTGATGTGCCTGGATCTGGAAATGCAATAGTACAAATAAACTTTTATCTTTAAAAAGACAGCAGTGGTCGGCGTGTTTACACTGAAAGTTGTCAGGATTTAAGTCTGAAATCAATACATTATCTATTTTTTGATTCTGTGCTATTAGCTGCCTCAGTTTCTTCTTCCTTCCTGCTGAAGCCTTGATGTGAAGTATCAACACCACTGCACTTTTAAGTTGCATATTTCATTTGAAAGACACTCCCAGACAGTCCAGTTAGCGAGTCACAAGTAATATGCACTTTTTTGTCAAACTTTAAATAAAAATTGTACATCTACACTTTAAGCTAGAGCTACCACCTATGAGCTAAGCTTGAAGGTGCAGCTGATCAGCAGGCAGAGCCACAGACAAGCTACTTTCAGACCACACCAGTTAAGCAGTGCAGCATTTTTTTGAGTAATAGATGTAGAAGTAAGGATCATAAAGTGCTTGACATTGCAAGTATTAGATCCTCAAGTCAAAACATAACTGCTTTACATTGACAGTATGGGCGCTAAAACTAGGGCCCGACCGATTTATCAGTGAGGCGATTAAATCGGCCAATGTTAGCCCGTTTGAGACTAATCGGTAATCGGCCAAAACTCGCCGATTTTCGCTGATATTTTCAGAAATAAAATTCGGAGGATATGATTCGGTTTCACTTCAAAAATGTTCCGCCATTTGAAAAGATTCCCCGACTTATCCTGTAGATGGCGCAGCGACCTCATGACAATGTACATCCAGTAACTACCTCACAGCACAGCAGAGTGACGGATCAAGAGCAGGCAGCTCAGGGACGCACGGAGGAGAGTGGTCCGCCTTAATGGTTGACTTATGGTGTATGAAATACACCATAAGTCAACAAGTTTCAGTTCAACCCACTTCACGATGTTCACCACTGTGCTGGTCTTGGTCACGCCGAGTTAACGGTGAAGCACCATGTATTATGCAAGCTAAAGTTAGAGTTAGCCATCTATTAGCATTGCTAGACCGTTAGCTGTGCCAGTAACAGCAGAATAAACAACAGTACACATTACGTGATCGAGCTACTTTGTTTACTGAGGCAGCTGCATGTCTCCAGATTAGAAAGGACCGAAAATCTGTAACGTGAGTTAAGACACGGAGACACCGATCGGCGCAGGGGGGTCGAAAAAGATTCTCCGGTCCGAGTTTGAACAGTTGGTCCTCCTGACGGCCTGAAGAGCAGTAGCCTACAGTATATCTACAGTATGTAGTATACTGTAGATATCTTTTATAACTCAATAAGAAATTTAAAAAATCGACTGATTAATCAGTAATCAGAGTTTTTCCCCCCCTAATAATCAGTATTGGCCCCCAAAAAATCCATATCAGTCGGGCCCTAGTAAAAACTGTTTTGAATCAACCCCATTTGCTGCATGTCATCTCCCATGAACTCTTACTCCCTGCCTAACCTCTCTCTCTTTAGCTATTAAAGACAAAAAAATACCCGAGAATCAACCTAAAACACTGTTTTGAAAAGGAAATAATGAAGGACTTTAAAGGGATTCAAAATATGATTAAAAATGTAATGGCAAGAGACTAACGAATGAAATTCAGTTTAAGTCTCATCAGTGAACCTTCCAAAGTATCCGTTCTGTTTCAGATATGCTCTGATTTTAGGCCCCAAAAGAGTAGAAGTATATTTTCACACACACTGAGTCTTACCTCGTCCACATCATCACAGTTGAAACCATCCCCAGTGTACCCATCAGGACATGGTCCACAATCCACACCATCCGCTGTCTCAATGCACATATCATCACGGAAACACACGCCTGGAGCACACCTGGGTTTTACAATCTCGGTGCCACCCAGACCTTTGAATAACAAAGAAATGTGCTTTTAATGAAACATCTGTCATTTTATTTTTTTGTGAAACCGAAAATAGCCGTGATGAAAGCTTACCGCAGGCCTGACACTCTGAGATGGTGTTTCTAAGAAACGAGGTCTCCTTGACCTGAAAGGGGTCAAACATAAACAAGTTTAGATGTAGTCAGGCGAGCTGTCAGGGAGGTCAGGGGGGGAGGAAGCAGGATTAAGTGGCCTCAGTGGGACTGTTAGAAGGAGTTACCTGCTGAATGAGGACGTCTTTCAGCTCATTTATCACTTTAGTTAACTCCAGCATTTGATTGGACAGCTGCTTCGTGTTGACCCCTAAGAGAAAAGGACTGTTATTTCCTTTGACTGAAGCAGAGGTGGGGGATTCTCTGAAATTGTTCTCAAGTCACTCTGACAAACACTGACTGTTGTTTTCTTACTGCCGGGATTGTTGTCCCTGGAAACATTTGGCCATCTCTGTGGGTGTTAACTTCCACAGAAGGACACTTACCCAGACTCTGGACGGCGTCTCTTTGTTGGAAGTGGCAGTCTTGTATTGAAGCAACATTCTCAAATGAATCCCCAACCACCAGCTTGAGCTCATCCAAACTCTCCTGTTAGAATAAAACAAGTGTATGACTAAGACATTTGGAAATGTTGTAATCAAGTATGGAGATGGACAAACTCGTTATTCAGTCACTCCAGGATTCTTGCCTCAACAAAAACTGCCTGAGTTCGCTCTATCTTTTCAGAAGTATTGATCTGTATGTTCCAATACTTTGAGGCATTCTTAATAAAACTACAAAAGCACATAAATTTTGTAAATTACAGCTGTGGTGATTGTGCCAAACATCATAAAAAAACCACCTTTATTTTGTTCACAAAAGCCCAAAGAAAACATGCTGTGAAGTCTTCATCAAAACACCAATATTCTATTGAAGCTCCAAAGCTTTCAAAACAACAGGCTCAAAATTATCACAATTTAAAGTTAAAATATGTTTAAAGGAGAGTCCCAAAGCTCTTTGTTATGTTTACACTGCCTCAGCTCATAACTTCAGCTGTCCAACTAACATAGAGGTCTGATCTGAGATTTGGAGGAACTTCCCTACAGACCAAGAGTTGTGTCCTTATGCTGCGTTCCAGTTACCTCATAAATCGGAGCTGGTAATGACGTTACATCTGAGTTGATGGCGTTCCAGTTAAAAAATCAGAAAGATGGACGCCTACTGTTAGCTAGGGTTGTGTATCGTTTGATTTTGATCGATTCCGGTTCCAAATGATTCTCTATTCCGATTCTTTTAAAAGGCAGGCTATTAAAAAAAAAGCATGGTTTAAATGAGGGCGCTAACCAGAGTTCTTCTTTTTGGATGAAATTTCTGAACTTCTCCATGAATTTTTAAATTATATGAACTTTTTAAGCACTTTACTATGAATTTCTCACAGGGCTATTTTCAACCAGTATATAAATATCAATTTTTGTTGTCAGGTCGTTTGTCTACAAAAAGTACAAGGGCTAATGTTAGTTGGATATTTAAGTTGACCCACCGTACACAGTACAGTTTGTTTGCCGCTTCAAAGTTAGCAGAAGACAGAAGTAAGTTATTGTTTCACTTATCTGATTCTGGCTGGTTAGTGGAAGACCGGCGAGGCGCATCTAAGACGGGGCACCCAGGTATTTTTCCTCCATGAAACCTGAGGTGTTTAATCATGTTGGTTGTTCACCCTACCTTGTATGATTTAACTGTGTTGCTAAAGTTGCTCTGAGATAAGAGATCATTCTTTCTGCTAAAGTTGGCCAAACTTTTGTCGATAATACAATAATGTGGGTTGCAATGCACTCTCTCTCTCTCTCTTTCTCTCTTCTCTCTGTGGCTTCATCACATACGCTTCGTCCTCGTTGGTGTTCGGCGGCTTCTTCTTCATTGGTGTTTAGCGGCTTCCTCCTCATTGGTGTTCGATGGCTATTTCTTCCGGTCAGTGGACTCCAACATCAAAACTTGGAATCAAAATTTTAAAATTTGAATGATTCCGGGAGAATCGAAATGTTAGTCCTGGTCCCCATCAATGCTCGAGACTCGATGCCCAACCCTACTGTTAGCGGTTGTCAGCTGTTGTTAGTTGTTGTTAGCTATACCAGTTGTAAACAACGCATAACACTGTATCTTACTCAACAAATACCATAGCGCCGTGTTCACAGTTAGACACTGGGCAGTATAACATATACCACTTAATTAATTTCACAAAAACAAAACAGAGGCACTAATAAATAATACGAGGGCTTTTACTGTTACTCTTTACTGTTGATGCACTGCGTGGCCATCTTGGATTATGATGTTGTTGTCAAGTCGGGGTTGGCGAGGATTGTCGGACTTTCCAAGTCGGAAATCCCATTTCAGGGGGGGGGGCGTTTCAGATGAATTTCCAACTCGGAGCTTGGAAATTCCGACTTCTGAGTACAACTGGAACGCAGCAATAATCACAAACTCATTCCCTCTTCTTATAGTGAGTTGGATGTAGTGGAACCCTACGGTGAACTTCATACTGAGCGTAATCAAACTTTTTTTGCAGCAGACTGGATTCTTGAATGTGAAGACGACACTTTGGCTCATGGAAAGTTAAATGACAGTTCCCTCATTTGTCCTCCTCTGCTCTGCTAATCTGGTAAAGAATGCTGTCTTTCCAGTGTTTTGGCTTTACTTTTAAGAAGCAGTTTTGTCCTCTATTCAGTTTTTGCTGACTTACTAAGGTTTAAATCTTGACAAGGATGTGGTTTGTTGACAGTATAGTACACACCAGGCACCAAATGATTGGCCACATTTGTAGTGAAGTTGCTGTGATTGGACAAAAATAATGCTCAAATTTGGTCGATTTTGAACTGATACTGTAGCTTTGTCTGAAACACGAACTTTCAGAGGAATGGATCATGACTGAAATACTTCCAGAATTGGATTACCTGATCTCTTGCCTGCATGGTCTTCAGCTCCACTGTACCGTAACCCGGCGGTAAACCCTGGAAAGCAGCCGGGAGATCCCTGACCGTCTCCACCAGCCTGCAGTCCAGATGCAGCTCCACCCCTCCTGGCCCCTGCTGCTGTAGCCCCTTCAGGTGAAACAACAGTCGGTGTTGTTGGCCGTCTGCCAACACCAGGTTGTTGAAGGTTACTGAGCTCATCCTCTTGTCACTCCGCAGGTATCGCAACACGGCTTTGAGAGGACAAAGACAGGAAAGAGGAAGTGAGGGAAGATAACAGGAGAGAGATTTAGAGGGGATATATACTGCTAAATCTTGATTCATCTAAATAACAGCAAGTCTGCAGTCACATGGCTGGTCCCTGCCCCAGTGGCAGACCTTAACTCTGACTTCTTTTTATCTGAAACTACGAAATGTGAGACATTTTCTATTCTGCAAGCCTGCATAAACGAGTGCAAAACATGTTGAACCCATCAGACTCAGTGAGAAATTTACTGGGTGAGAAAACAGGACATTAAAAGGGGTAACACAGGAAATAATTATAAAAAGAAGGGAGCCTACCCAGAAGCCACAATAAACCAAACCTGATTCAGCCAAAGTAAAAGGTGTCAAAGAACTCGCCAACCTCACAAGAGTAAGGTTTGATGTTATGATGATTTCATATTTTAAAGACATCTCTGTAACAGTTCTTTAAATTTAAGGTTAACTCATAAACATCAAATCTAAGCTTTCACCTCATGGAGCTCAATGCCCAAAAAATCGAACTTCTCATAGTCGGACTAGCATACCTGGGTTTCCCTTACAGCTCAATTCGATTAAAACTGGTCTAAGCTTTCTGTGAATTCACATACCAGGCTTTAAATCAGAAGTTGAAAGGCACAAATATGTTGCTAGGAAGGTAAACAAAATCTTGAGTGACTCAGAAAAGACTTTAAAATAAATGACAGTTTTCTAGCATAGAAACAAACAGCACAAAGCTGTTAAGGTGACAGTGTTTTATGCACCTCTAGTCTCTTCTAGACTATTCTAAAGAACATGGATCACCCACTTCACAACATCTTGATAGACCAAAGGGCCATCAAGATGGCCATAAGGCTTTATAACTCTTATGTAAATAATAGATAACTTTTATAGACATATTATGTGAGACAACAGACAATTGAATTTCTCTTCGGGGATCAATAAAGTTATTCTTATTCTTATTCTTATTGCGGCATTTACTTTTTCGGAACTTTTGTAAAGTTTCGCAAAAACAGTCAGTCTGCTGTTGTGTCAGTCTTCTTGCTTCCACCCAGGACGAGTCTTCCCCCCCCCCCGGAAAGTCGCAAAATCACATCGGGCTTGATGTGTATAGTCAGGTGCGTCAAAATTTGCCTCTGAATATTTCATAATTTCGCGTTGTATATTTGCGTCTGTCCCGGTGTGTAAGGACCTTTAACCGTGCATGATTTTTTTTAATGCATACACTACCATACATCAGCCTGAAATTTTCTAGAGATGTGCTCAAAATGTTTTCAAAATTGCTTGTTCACAGAAGTCCCTCACAGCTTGATGTCTTTTATGCATATGTGATTACTGCTCTATCAGGCCTGTATGCTTTAAAATCAAATCAATGAGCTGAAAAGTGCCAAAATCTCCTGTATAGATTGGGATAAGAAAAACTGCGAAGCCTGAGTGTAAATCTTAGCGTGTGTGTGCTTACACTTGACCCCTTAAACCTCAGACACTCTTCTAACCTCATGTTAACACAGAAATATTTATCAGAGCAGCTCCAAACCACTTTCATGTTCTCCTACCTCTGTTGAGCTTCCCCATCACGGTGAACTCAAAGTACTTGCTGTTGTCCCTGGGGTTGTACAGGCCAAACACGGTGGTTCCAGTTTTGGGCTGCAACTTGAAGGAGGTGAGGATGAAAGCCTCGTTCACGCCTTGCTCTGCCAGACCCCCCTGCAGCAGGTCTGGCAGGCAGTCAGGCGATGTGAGCAGATCATAGACTGGTGATAGATATGGGAAAGAGAAAAATAGTACAGCACATGAGAAACGGATGGCGAGATGTGGATATTTACAAACTGCAGCCACTCTGATCTGAGAGCGAACACATACTGAGTCAACAAGAACAAGATGATGATGTTGACCCAGTGATTGTCGCTCCTGCAGCACAATACTTGGCAGGCACATTTGGTTCAGGAAAAGCTCAACAATGTGGATACTGAAGGAAACACAGCAGCTGTACATATTATGCTTTTACTGTTTATTTCTTAGCTCTAAGTAAAAGCAGATGAGACGCATGTGTGCTCCAACTTTCACCCACAGTTAGTTGTTACGGGCAGAATTTAGACATAACACCTGACAGGCTGCTTAGTGGGAGTTAAATACCAGAGAGACAGCGTACGCTTTTGCTTATGGTTAGACTCTCTTTTTAATAAAGTGACTTGGGAGCTAGAAAGGCTATGAGAGGATGTGCTGTGAATCTCTAGTCTGCCATCTGCTCACATCATGAATGCACAAGTAGCCTGAAAGCAGTCAGAGAGGTCCACTGTCGTGAGGGAGCAAAATTGCTCCCAAATGCTAGCAGAAATTGGCCGTTGTCAGCCAAGATTGTGAAGCTTGATCCCCAGATGAGATCTCCCCTCTCTTTTTTCACTTTTATCCCTCCTTTCTGCCAGGGTCCCTCATTTTTTTTGTCCGGCACATGCTGTATTTGAGGATAACACGGGGGATTTAAAAATGTGTGCAGTTAAATGTGACTAAGCCACTCAAAAAGCCTGTTCACATGGTGTTGTTAACACTGCTTTCAGCTACAATGAGATAAGTCTTTTAATCTCATGGCTGCCAAGTTTACCCGATGAGTCCTTCATAAACATGTGGGTGTGGTTTTTTCAGTCATTTTGGTCCAAATAATCAACAAAAGAAAAACAAATCTCAATGCATGATTCATGCTTTTAGAGCTGCTGAAAAACTACAGATACACACAGGCTAAAACACACACACTTAAAAGCACATAGTCCTGCTGCTGTTCATAAATCTTCTCGACAGAGGGCTCAGAGGGGGTAAGGGTCGTCTTACACCAGAGATCCTGAGAAAGTGCCTCATTTCACCCCATGATTAACCCCAAATTTCAAGCTTCATAAAACCAGTTCAGCTCAAAGCCATAAAGCAAACCAATGTCTTGTCCCCTCCTTAACACCAGCGTATAAACACATCACGGTCACAGCTCACTACAATGAATACAAATGGACAGAATTCTTCTCTGTACTGATTACAAATACTTGACATTTGTTGAAAGCTGTGATTGATTGCAGTGTTATGCTTTGAGGTACCCAGCCAGCCATTAGTAATGATGGAGGAATAACATCACCAACATCAGAATGTAATGAACATAAACACTGCAGTCACATTTTTCAGCAGACATGAGTAACTTGCCTTGAGGGGAGCAAAGAACCATTACATTTCATGATGTGTAATAGTGTTGTGTGGTCTTCTGGGGACTATTTACAGGAAGCCAAAAACACAACATTGACATCGTATTTTTTATCTGATGTGGAGAGCTTAGTGGGCAAATTTATATTTTACACAGAACAAGGCAGTCTTGCTCATTCAAAGACATTTTCTGATACAAAGGTGAGACAAAGTCAAACACTTAACTCTCATTTGTTCTGATATTGTTCAAATAAGTGGCCAAAAGTGGTGAGGTAATGAGACTATCATCCTCAGGATTCCTGGTTGGTTAAACATATGATGAATTTTACTTTATTGTAAATCCAAATGATAGGTCTAAGCTGCAGTACAGCCAACCGCAGCTTTCCAGGGCTGAAGCTTTAATTCAGTTCTACTGCTACAAAGCTACAACGCTCCACTACTCGGATGTAAATAAGCACAGATGATTGAACCTAGGGATGGGCGATAGGGGCTAAAAAATTTATCATGATGAGATTTGTCATTCTAGTGATAACGATAAAAGTGCATATAAAAAACATTATAATTCCAATCTATATTTTTGACTTATTTTCTCTTGAGAACACCAGTTGGAATAGTCAAATAAGATATGTAATCACAAGTCTGAGTGGTAGGTTAGTAGGTATAAAACTAATGACATCAAACAAGTCTGAAATGTGAAAACATTTTCAACATTTGTTGAAAACTCTTATTGCACAGAGTGAACAGCAGCAGATCCACTGTCTGCTTTTAGGTATACCTGATTGCACTCATTTAAACCCCAATCTTGAAGGAAATCCCTCATGTGGAGCCTCGTTCAGTAACAAGCTGCGCAGAAACGTTTTCTTCATTACCTTCTGCCATGTTTGTTTGTTATTCTGCTCTGTGTGGGCTATGGCTGTGAGTCCGTTACTCGTGCTTATGTCATCGACTTGCATTTATCGTATGTATCATGAGATGGCAAATATTTGTAAAGGAGGATTTTTCTTATGATATATTATGAACATTAATTTACCTATCTCTAATCGAACCGGCTTATTGGCTGGTGGTACTAGCTCATTTATGGTTAGCCAGACGCAAAGCAATTTAACACCATTTACCAGCAGACTATGATGTCCTGTGATGAATTGTCCTAAGTTTCTTGAGTGTTTTCTTACTACAAGACAAGTTGTGAATGTCGACTCCTGTTTGAACAACTTGGAGATTAGTGCATCTCTAACTGGCTGTATTGATGGGGTATCTTGGAGTAAGTCATTTAGTGTATTGATCAAAAATGAAAAACTTGTACCTTAGTGTTAGTTAAAGGGATATTCCGGCGTAAAATTAATTTAGGGTCAAACACACCGCAACACCGAGTTAGACACCCCCTCCAGAGATGAATGTTGCCGACCGCTTGCTTCTCTAGTTATACCAACTTTTGTAACAACCGCACAATGATCGACTCATCAAGCAAACAAGCGGCTGCTGGAGGACAGTGGGTGAGTTGTGTTTAGTCTCTTTGCTAAAGAAATTCGGCAAAGTTAAAAAGATGTTTGATGGCTAGTACTATGGCTGGGACCCTATATGTGCTGTTGATGAAGTTAGGTGCTGTTCTGAGCATTATTTGTGGCTATAGAGTGACGTTTTGGTTGAGGTTTGTTTATGGCTCCTTAGACCACTGTGTATTGCTATCCTGTCTTTACTAAATTTGGTATAACTCATAGACTGTATATACTATGGACAACTTGGTTCCGCCTACTGCCTGTATATGGATTTGAAGCCAAATAGCTCTCAGTATTTCCGTTTTTTTTTCTTTCATTTCCTGAAACCAGCGCTGCGCAGTAGCGATGCACGCATTCGGGCGCGCTGTCGCCGAGAGTCGCTGTGATGACGCTCGGCTAAAACACAATATCCCCCGGGTGAGCTTTGCAATTCCTGAACGCCAATAGGCTGTACCAGGTCTCAATCATAGAAAACTCGAACCCCCTAATAACTTTTAAAAATAGAGCTTCACAGAAAAAAGAGGACTTGAGCACAAACCAGTCTTACTGTAACTATATGTCAACATCACAACCAGGGGGGAGAAAAATTTATGTTCTGTGTAACAAATTTCTAAAGTTTGTCCACAGCCCCATAAGCTTTGCTGGCGGAGGCGGTATTTATGACCTATACTTCAGCCCATCAACAGAGGGTGCTGTTCTCGGAGTGGCTTCACCCAGCGAGGAGGCAGACGCTGTCCATTCTATGTACAGTCCATGGTAGAACTAGAGGAGCAAGCAGTCGGCAACATTCATCTCTCAAGGGGGTGTCTAACTCTGTGTTACGGTGTTTGACCCTAACTTAATTTTACACTGGAATATCCCTTTAAGCTTGTGAACTGTCACCTATATCGCTGTAAATGTCGAATGTTGAACTAAAATCTAAAATGAAGCAGTTTCACGTTAAAATCTGTCTTTCTTTAGCATTTTATGGCGAACAAAGGATGTCAGGGGTGGCTTCTAGCTTAGCTGTGGCTCAAGTTAATCCACCTGTTTTTGCCAAACTTGGCTTCAGGTTAGGATTCCTTCAGCGGAGATAGTAAACAGGTGTCAATATGACATTAGTAGCACACAGCTGTTTCTTTTATTGCACTTGTATCAGAGTTCTGGCCAAAACTTCACATAACAGAGTTGTTATCCAGAAGAAAAAACACCTCGTTTTATAGCTCTGTTTTGGATCCTTTTACCTATTCTACCCACAGATGCATCCAGAGGAACAGTCTGTCTTTAAATATTCCACTATGTTTGGAAGATAGTCGTCAATTGTATCTGCTGTACAGTGCAGTTTAAGTAGTGTGCAGTGGGGTTTTACAGCAGTTTTATTGAAAACAGCTGCCTTCTTCTTCAGCTGAAAACAAAAGGTGTCAGAACTTTGAAAACGAACCAGAACAGTCGTGTTGATTGTGAAAAAATGAGCCAACTCTTGCTTTTATAAAAGTCAATAAAGCTGAGGGGAACTTCAGGTTCAGGAAATAATTCAGTGTAGGTTCATCAATATAAATGACTCCTTTCACATTTCCACGTCCTTTGATACATTCTTATTACAAAATAGTCGATTATCGCTGCTTAGGATATATGCTTTGTCCCCGGGCCGGGAGTCCTCATGGCCAAGTGAAATTTGAATTCCAGTAATCTCAACTCCCGGTGAAGTCATCCTTGAGACATTATTATTGATCAATAACCCTTTGCAGAGGTCTAATGGCTGTTTTGTGCCACTAAAATCTTACTTACCGCAGCTTCAAATTGGTCTCCCTCCTTTTAAACACAGTCATGCAGACAATAAGCCATTTGCAAAGAAATGATAGATGATGAACCCCATTAATCTGGACTTGTTTTCTACATAACATCAGGAGGCTAGTGCCAAAAGAGTGTTGGGATTAATGGGCGCATGAAAGCTATGCCATCCATCACCGGATGTTAGAAGCTGATAAACCACAAACATCAATACTTCAACAAGTCCTCTGCAGCTCTCAGATTGTGTGTATCCTTGAACAAGCTTATGTGTGACTGTCAGAGAGAAAGACGAGCGTCTGTGGGACTTGAAGTTCAATATTGGGCCCAGATCATCTCTGATTATTCCCATGTGTGTGACCTAGCTGGGACTTTGTTTGAATTAATTTGAGCCAGAGAGTTGAACCCTCTGAGCTGGAGTAATCAAGCAGATCTGGGAGGAGAGATATGAAAAGCAGGGTGACTTTCCTTCAGCTGAAAGACTGGGTTTTAAACTCTGTCTATTTTATTAATTTTCTTTGTCTTCCTGCATTTGGCAGCTTCATCTCTCTCACGACTGGCGGGGATGTTTAGCATTTTATTCGCACCTCAGTGAATATCACACACCATGTCTAATCCTCTGTGTTCTTTGGGTTCGCATATGATATTCTCTTTCACGGTCTCTGCTTTATCCATTATGCATCGAACTCATACATGGTGTGTCGAAATACCCGGTGGTGGAGCCATTAAATCTTTTTTGACACATAATAAAAATGGAGGATTACATCACAGCCAGGATGTCAGAAAAATACACCATTCGAATTAAATCAAAGACATCTTTTTTTTTTCTGTGTTCGTTAAAATTTTATCTTAAAATTTTTGTACAAACACAGCTGTTGCAACTGCAATATGACGCGCTTTGTTGAATTTGAAATAACACTGAATTATTCATATTAAAAGCTAATTAAAACTCTCAAAATAACACTTACCCAAAGCCTGGGCTTCCACGTGTAAGCTCAGTTTTAATAGCAGCTGCCAGGCCAGAATCAGGGCCGTCCAAACACCCATTTTGTCCTTCCAGCTGGTCCCAGATCAGCACTTTATCTGTTGTGACTTATTAGTGTGTGACAGTGGCAGTTTCCCGTATGTCTGCCCCTGCTGTGAGTGGTGCGTTTGTGTCCCTGCCTTCTTTTTGAATCAGAAATGAGAAAAGACTGTCATGGTAAGCCCTAAAAGAAGCTGCTGTCAGTTTATGTGTGTGAATGTGAGTGTGTGTGTGTGTGCATGTGTGTGTGAATGTGAGGATTGCAGGAGTCTTTCTGAGGGAGGAGCATGAGGGCCAGAACCTGCTTTTAAAACCTTCCTGAGACGGCCCCATACAGAGAAGGAGTGACCTGGGAGAACTCTTTGCATTGGCTCTTTCTGGCTGCTCCTGATTCCCACAGGCTCCAACACACATTTGTTCAGTGTACAAAAGCAGCTTCTGAACCATGTTTGCAATCATGTTTCAACTCAGCCTAAGCCCAGAATACTTTCACACTCTGGAGTTCATGTTTGGGTTAAATTTTTGAAGAAAGAAAAAAGCATCTTCAGCCTCCAGAAATCAGACTTTGAGCTTTTTTTCACACTCTCCTCCTTTTTTTTTCTCCACACAAGGACTTTCTTATTTTACTTCCAGGGGGTCACATGTGACACCTTTCCTAAGTGCCCTTGTTTAACTCTTCGGGGCAAATTCAGGAAATGGGCGCTCCTGAGCTCACACCTCAACAAGCCGCGTGAACCGGCCAGCAGAGTTTCAGACAGGCTGCTGACTCAAACAGCCTCCAGGTCGTCAGCATGTCTGGCACCAGGGAAATTCGCCACATTTGGCGGAGACGAGACTGAAGGCTCAGGTCTTAATGATGTTTGTTTTTCCCTTTTTTGAAGTCAGCTAAGCTTTATTCCATGGGCGAGCTACTACCATTGAAAACAAAAATACTGAATCTGCAGTAATGATGTTTGCCTCTTCAGTCAGTTCATTAAAAGTTGAGTCTCAGGAGCTGCAAGTTGACAGTCTTCCTAAAAAGGATAAACAAACGCATCTATGGCAACAGGAAACAACAAATGAGTCAGAGTTTCCCAGAGTCTACCACAGGTGTTTGGTTGTGGTTTGCTTGTACATGGTTGCTCTGGTCTGATGTGTGTGTGTGATCTGAACCTCACCCAGGGGTTTTTATCTTTCCTCTGATTGGTTTCTACAGGCGTGTGGGTTCTGGATTATGGAAACCCTCCACAGACCTCTATTCATGGTCAGCAGCTGTGGTCCGAATCTCAGCAGAGCACATAAAGTCTGCTGCAGGATCTGGGCTTGAGTCACATTACGGTGCGGTGGATGAGGTCAGACAGTGAAGGCTGCCTCTGGCTCGGAGATAAACCAAACCCCAAATGTGTCTGACAACATCTCCAGACTATTTCAGTTCGTGATACCAGCAAGACCAAAGCTGGGTCTGTAATATCCACACTGGTAACTCTGCCTCACTCCACATATTTGGTCGCCAACAGACACCAAAGATTATAGCATAGCTGAAACCACAATTAGACCAAATATGTACGGTTACCAATGACCTGGAGCTGTGGTTTCGTGCATTAAAAAAGCATTACAAAAAGTACTTTTTGTCTACACCAGGGAGGTCTAACAATTAGCCTTTATAAAAACCTTTGAACCAAAAAGGAAACAACAACCTGGCCAGAAATTAGACTTATTAAAGGTAAATAATAGGAAGCATGTGGTACATAAATAGCAGAACAACAGATGCTTTACTGTAATCCAGGAAAGAAAATGCAGTAAAAATGAGCACAACTTATAAATATCTTGTTTATTCTTACCAAGTTCGCACACTACAAATCCAATCTTCAGGTTTTAAAAGTCGTCTTAAAACCCATTTTTATTCATTGGCTTTTAACCCTGCATGAGACTCGGCTCCTGTTTTAGTGTTTTATGGTTTGTTTTTAGTTATTTGTTTCAATGTTTTTAAATTAGTTTTTAAAAACTTTGAAACTATATTTTACTTTTAATTCTGCTTTTATTTTATCCATTGTTTTAATTGTTTTTTGATTGTTTTTTATCCTGTTGTTTTGTCTAGTTATGTACAGCACTTTGTTCAACTGTGGTTGTTTTAAAGTGCTTAACAAATAAAGTTGAGCTGAGTTGAGTTGAGGGTTTTTTTTTGTTTTTGTTTTTTTTTAACAGTTTTTATGTAGGGAGTTTGATAATTTGATAAAAAGACTGATTGTCCAAGCGAGATTTTTGTCTCAATAAGCTCAACTAAACTGTTTTTTAGGTGTTCTTGAGTAGAGTGAGATTGTTTCAGGAGATCTTTGAAATCATATGTTAATAGCATTAGGGGCAGAAATGTTTGTATTCACACAGGAACAAAAGTCCTCAAACTTTGACATTTGTGTGAAAACACAAGCAGCCACACTATCAACCTGACTTTTTTTCCCCCTGCTGGCCCCCTACCACATTATTTTCTGGAAGTAGGAGTGAACTGATGAGAGAAATTTCCTGGGAACTTCACCGCAAGTGAGAGGGCGGTACATGACCTTTATTTCAAGTGACTCACGCCATCCTGGAAAAGCAACATGTAATGGGACGAATGAAAAAAAACATTTTCATTTTCAAGTTGGGGACAGGAAATATGTCTGCACAGCTGTCCATTTATGTCAAGGTCAGGCTACACAATTTTGGTCATGATGGTCACGGTGACAAATTAGCCATCTCAGAGCCATAATTTTGTGCCGTGACTTCACCAACAAGATTTGACAGACTGGATGTGATGGACCAATCATCAATGATTAGATGACATTAGGAAGAAGAAGAAGAGTGGAGATAGAGGACACCAAGGAACGCTAACAGAAGTGACTCACCAGAATTACCCGTTTTTAACATTTTATTGCGTTTACCTTTTCACGCCACATTCCAACACCGATGTAAACCCTTGACCTGCCAATTGGAAGACAACTGTCTCTACCACTGAGCCTGGAAAGGCAGAAATGTTGTTGACAGAGCTTGACAAACTTTCCTTGTCTCAGTTCCCTTCTGTGCTGCTTGCTACCTTTGCTTCAGGTATACAGATTGTTTTTAATGTCCAATCAGGAAAAAATAGGAGGACGGTGAGTGACAAGGTCAGATTATCTGGTAAATTGTTCTAATTCAACAAATCCTTGCAATTAAGTCAATCTCAAGCATGTTTGATGTAAACAGACTGAAATGGCAATAAGTTGACCCCTCCTCCATTACGTCAATTCATGTGTTTGGGCAATGTTGTTGACACATTGTGGGAAGCTAACGAAGCAAGCATAGTAACTGGCAATTTCCACCGCATCTTGAACGGCTGTAGCCATCGATCGCAGCTGATCATAACCACTCAGGTCAATGTGTTAATTTCCACCGGTGATTGCTGATTGACGCTGGAGCATGCCAGATAAATGCAGCACAGATTAACCCGTGCTGGAAAGAAAGCTGGACACAGACACCTAATAAAACATCCGGCCTCTTTTCAAAGTAAAACATTCCATGTTTCAAGCAGATCGTATTTCACACCATGCAAACGGGTGGGGACGAACAAGTGAAAGGTTTTTAGACAGCATTTCATCCCGATAACACTATGGATGATGCTGATTTTAGAAGTCTAGAAGTAGATTTCCTCCTCTGTATGGACACAATCTACTGCTTGTATGGTTAATCTATGTTAAGGTGACCAGACGTCCCCAATTACCGGGGACAGTCCCCGAATTGGGGATGCTGGGGATGACCTGTCTCCAGCTAAAGCTGTCCCCGAAAATGTCCCAGATTTAAGCGTTTCATGAATGAGAACAAAAATGTTGCGTGTAGGCTAGAACAACGGTTATTACAGTAGCCGAACGGGTAGAAAGCACAAGTAAGCAGTCCTGAACAACAGTATTTACGGGGTTATTACAAGGGACATGCGCTGCTACTAAATAGTACCAAGATGTTGTCTGTGATCACATAGCCCCTGCACCCTGCCGAGTTTGTGTCACATGGACTTACTGAGCTAGAAGCGCGTAAAAGACACTCGATCCGAACAGAAAAACTCTCAGAATTAACTTTGTGCGACTCTGTCCCTGTGTAGTTGTGTCCTCTTCTAGGGGATTCAGAATATGGTCACCCTAACTAACATTCAGTTTAGTTACTCTAATCTCTAGCTTCATTTTGCCAAAGCAGGTACAAAATAAAAACAAGACTGAATACAATAATGAGAACTGTAATGGGCAAAACCCACAGGGTCCGGAACAGCTCCGCTCCGGCACAGCCGATGGATCAAATCCACAAGCATTATAATCAATGTCAGTCGTTCCACAGAATCCATCTGGCGTCCGGCACTGCTGCGGATAGGCTCCAGCTAAGCAAGGCTTCTATTTTTGAGGGACGCCGGAGCACGGTGCATCAATTCAGTGCAGCAAAGCAGGAGCAGCAGCGGAAGTTTTATGTTGTTACACAGTAAAATATCCGGTTAATTTTCAAAATAAAATAAAGTAAGTACAATAAAATGTTCTCAACTTGATAATAGGAGAGGCCAGGATTGTGGGATGTGGGTGATAAACACCAATCGGCGGATCTTATTCTATGACTCCCAGGCAACATGCGAGAGCTCGAGATCTCGCCCAGTCTTGTGATAAATATCGGTAATCTCGCAAGTGCTTATCCTCAGTTGGCGGCGGTGGATCGGATCCGATGGGTGCTTTATGCTTGCCGATCTGATCTATCTGTTAGTCCGGAATGAAGCAGAGCCGTTCCAGATCCTGTGGGTTTAGCCAGTAATGTTAAATGTCTGATTTGTGAGTCCACAACAGGTCATGACATATCAAGTAACCCTGATATTTACTTAACATGTACTTGTGAACTCGGCCAGCAGGATTTAGAAAAATGATCACGCATGGTCATACAGAAATACCCCGACATGAAGACACGGCACACGTCAACATATAATTAGTCCTTCGACTGAAAGATGTTGATGCGTTTTGACTGTGCTTGGGAAAGTTTAACGTCAAAGGAATCACAGCATGAGAGAAAATAATGCCTCCACCACATAAAAGTTCCTCCTCATGAGAGCTTCTTTCATAGCGACTCACATCAGTCGCCTCGTGTTCAAGGAATGAACGCACACTTTTACAACACCGCTAACCACAGTCGGTGGTGACCAGAAGGCTCCTCGCTCCTGTGCTGTGTGCTGAAGTGCTCATTACACTGTGGGATGCAACAACTTACAAGCTCTGCACTGTCTTACCTGATGAAGTTACATAACATCGCCAGT